GTGAATCCGTGTTGTTGTGGGGGGGGGGGGGGGGGGGGGTGGGGGGGGGGGGGGGGGGGGGGGGGGGGGGGGGGGGGGGGGGGGGGGGGGCCCCGGCCCCGGGGGGGGGGGCCCCCCCCCCCCCGGGGGGGGGGGGCGGCCCCCCCCCCCCCCCCCCCCCCACGAGACGAGGTCGGTGGTCGTGCAGCCATCGGAGCCGCCGACGCCGCAGTCGGCGCCAGTGAAGCCGTTGGTACAGATGCACGCGCACGTCCCCTGGGAGAGCACGTTGGTCCCGCCGTTCCGGCAGACAAGGTCGGCCTTGCACTGGTCGAGCGCGGACAGGGGCGTCGGGTGGTTCCCGAGCGTCTTGAAGACGAAGAACTGCAGCGGCACGACAATGGCGGCCGCGATGGCGCAGAGGAGGAGGATCATCAGGAGCACAAAGGCCCAGGGGGGCATGCCGCAGCACTTGCGACGGACGGGTCGAGGTTTCTCTGCCGTTGCTGCTGCTGTTGCTCCTGGCGGACCCACTTCGTTGTGTGCACCGTCGTGTTGTCCTTGGTCGTCCTTGGCGCCAGGAATCAGGGGCCAAGACGTGTTGCGGAACCAGGAGGTCCTACTGCGACGGGCTTGCCCGTTGGGCGACGTCCTTTGCTGGTGTCCCGGCGGGGGGAACGCCGCGAGCATGTCGGACAGACCGGACTGGTGGCGGTCGTTGAAGGAAGAATCGCCGTCGCCGTCGCCGTCGCCGCCGCGCGGCTTGTCGAGGTAGTCAGTAAAGTTCTCGAATCGACTGGCTGGGCGCTTGCCCCTCTCGATCATGGCGGCCAGCCTTGTCGCGCGCTTGATGAGGTCAGGTAGGCTGGTGATGCTGCCCCTGGCCTCGGCGGCGCGGACAGCGTCAATGTCCAGGTTGGGTGGGCGCTTGATGCCCGATATGCGCTTCGACCAGGAGCGCTCAGGGACGGGCAATGGGGATGCCGAAGGGCTCCGGAGAGGCGGCGTGGCATTGTATGCGACGGGCATCAAGAGCTGTGGTTCTTTTTCGACAGTCGGCTGTGCTTCCTTGCTCCTTTGCGCTGTGCGGATCGTCTCCGAACTGGTGCTGTCCTCAATGTAGCCAGTGCCAGTGGCGAATGGCTGCACGGGTTGCGCCAATGGTCGCGCGGGCGCAGCAGCTGATGCCGCCTCGGTGGACGCTCCCGACGTAGTGGCACCTGGTTTGTTATCCACCAGAGCCGCCTTGCCCTTTTTGCCGACACTCGCGCTGCGCACCAGCTTGCTCTCGTCGCCAAAGTCGTCGCCTTGCGAGTCCCGGCTCTTGTCCGTCACCGAGTCGTCGTAGTACGAGTCCGTGTAGCTATGGTCGTACGTAGTGGGGGTCAGGGGTGAGGCCGGGTTCCAGACGCCGGGTATCGCCGCGCTCGAGGCATACGAGCCGTGTGACCGTGTACTCTCCTCGGGAATGGGCGAGACAAAAGTAGCGTTGGAATAGTACGAAGAGGGCCCGCGTCGACCGGCAGGCGGCGGCCCCAGATTGACGCTTCGTCGCGGGGGCATGGGCATCTGCTGCGCCGGGGGCTCCTGGCTGGCGCGGGTGCTGGCTCCGGGTGTTGGGAACTCGGGTATGCTGCCGACAGACGACGTTGTCAGTCTCGAGATCGGGGTGGCTGGCGTAGCGGACATTGGTGGCGACAGTCCCTGCTCCATCACATCCTGTGAGTCTGACGCCTGCTGGGGGTTCCGAAAGACGGGTGTTGGCTCTTGAGGCCCGGTCTTGTCCACCATCGAAGGGATGCGACTGGGGCGAGCGGGTCGGGCCGGCGCTTGGAGCGGCCTGGGAGGGGCTTGTGTTGGTCGGTCAGGTTGACGAGGCTGAAAATAATCATTTTGGTAGTTGTTGCTGTTGCTGGTACTGCTGCTGCTCTTGTTGTTAACAGGGGTGAGGGGGGAGCCTGGTGGTAGCGGCCACTGAGGCGCCTGGGAGGGCCTCGAGATGCCACTCTTCCCCTCGGATCCAGGCGGCACTCTGGCTCGTGACGGGGGTGCTGGGGGGAGCTGTATGGTGGGCGGCGGTTGCGAGGGCGGAGGCATGTGGCGACGAGGCGGTGGGCTGAGATAGCCCCGGGGTGAGGAGGAGCCATCCTCCAACGGCGTCGCGGCCGGCATCGTGGGCGTCGCTGACGACGGCGGCGGTGGCGGCCTGCGAGGCGCTCTTCCCTGGGCCGTGGCCGCTTGCTCCCGGGCGCGCTTGACAGAGCCTGCTCTGGGGCGGTCCATATTCCACCCGTTTTGCGACTGGCTCATTGCATGCCCGTACTTGTGAGGTGGTCGAGCGAGAGGCGAGAACCCGTGAGGTCCAGGTTCTTGGGGTGGGCGGGAAGAAGAGGCTGTCGTGGCAAGATGGAAGGTGTTCGTTCGTGTATGCCGGCGACGATATGCTGTGCGCGTCGGTGCAACAGTCTGGTGTCACGATGAGGGCTGGTTGTTTAGGTGTTAGCGAATGGTTCATGGCAATGTAGTGTTGCCAATTGCCATTGAGGGCACGGCGCGGTAACAATGGTTCAGTGGGAACAATGCCTTTGGAAGATCAATTCAAAATGCATAGGACAATAACTGAAATGGATGTGAAGACGTGTGAGTGAACCACCAGGGCCACGCATGAGAGGGAACCCAAATCGACGCCATCGGGTATCCACAGGACAGATGCGCAAGGGGTCCGTGTCTGCGTACCTTACGTACCACAAGTGTAAGCTGAAAGTAGGTCTCATACGATCCGCTCTCCAGAGAACTGAATTCGTAGAGTTGTTGTGGACCAGCCGTACCAGTCCGGGCGACTGGCGCAAGTGAGAAAGACAGATGGCGCGTTGGGATATCGCTGTCGAGAGTGGGATCATGCGAGTATGCGAGAATGCGCGTCGACCAGAGTTGAGAGTAACGACGGGCGTCTTCCAAGCCTCTGGGTCCTCTCTTGTCGTGTTGTCCGGCCTGCCTCGTGCGACTGGAGGTTATTCCTGTTTCAGGTCCTCGTCTGCGCGAGCGCGCGCAACTTGCGAGATGGTTGTCTGTCTTAACTGGCGGTCGATTCTCCAATGTGGGTGTGGCAGGACCCAAAGTCCCAAGCCGAAGAAGGGGATCAGATCAGATCAGATCAGATCAGACCAAAAAGAAGAGGAGCCCGCCTGAAGAATGCAAGAATCCAGCCTTGCTCTTGGAGGCAAGAACAGAGTCGTACCCGGGAGGGGGGAGTCCACGAGAAGGGTGCAACGTCAACGTCAACCGACGAGTGACGAGTGACGGACAGGGGCGTCGTCGTACGTCACCTGATGGATGGACGGATGGCCTGCTATCCTGGGTCTTAAGTGGATTTCACACGTTTTGCACAGCGTCGCGGAGCTGTTTTGGCCGCGTAGCAGTGGGATTGGAACGAATGTGAGAGCGCGGCCAGGTCAGGCTGGGCTGGCGTATGTGCTTTGTGGGCGGAGGATGGAAGAAACGAACGACAAAGACCAGACGGAGGTGCCTGGGGAGAGAGTGAATGAATGAATAAGTGGGAGAAACGAAGGACGAAGCAGACTTGACTACACCACAGACTGGCTGGCTGTTGAAGAGGATTGATTGACTGACTGAAGGGGGGGCTGAGGAGGAGACTAGAGGCACCAGCGGGATGACACCCAGCCAACATGAACGCCCGGGTCCCGACGACGCACTCCAGCAGTTTAGCTCACTCCAGCAGTCTAGCTACGGGCAGCAAGGCGGCATGATGGGAATCCCTAGGCGTCTGATCCTGATGAATGAGTGAGTGAGTAATAACATAAATTAAGTGCGTGTTCGGTTGGTGGGAGCCTGTCTCAGATTGGTGGGGCATCGCAGCAGGGGTGTGGACACAAAAGCCGGGGCTGCACCAGGCCAGGCGTTGTCACCAACAGGACAACATGAACGTTAGACACGCGCATCCATGGCTCGCTTCGGTCGGTACTGCATTCATGAATGGTTTTGATGAATATTCGCATTTCATTGTGAATTTGTTTGGATTCTCCAGACCCGGTGATGGCACCTCGCCCGCCTAGTCTTGCCCACGCCCGGGTTATTTTGTCCCCTCTGAAGGCACCACGGACGACATCGAAATCTGCAACACGCGACGCAGGGGTCTCTCCCCCCAACCCGTCTTGGCAGCAAGGTCGAGTCTGCTGTGCAGTTGGAACTTGTACGGACATACAAGAACCACGAATGAAGACGCTCGTCTTGCTCTCGTCAATGCTGGTCAAGGTTGTGTGTGCCCTTGGCACGTCTATACATGCACTGCCATCGCCTGCGCTGCCCATTGTCCATCGCTCGCTTCCTACGTTATTGCTCGAGACATCCACCCAGTCAAAGCGTCCCGTCTGCAGGTCGCACGCGAGCCAAGGAGGGAGGGAGGGAGGGAGGGAGGGTCTGCGTCTTGACTCTTGACTCTTGACAGCCAGCATCCCTGCTTGCTCGCTCTTCCAGAAACGCTAGTGCCACCCTCCTGCATCGGCTGCCTTTCCATAATTACATGTATATATTAACCCAATACATCATCGATTCATCGCAGATATCTGTTGCTTCCCTCCTCGACTCGTGCTTCTGATGGAAAGTATCGCTCTCCGGTGGGCGGACGGACAGTCTGGCTCTTCGTCAGCGAACTTCCTGTGACAGACACCACCATCGTCGGATCAATCTATCCATCTGTCTCCCTCTCCCCACAGACCAGACTAAAAGAACAGATACTTCCCATCGGGCCTAGGCGAATCCGAGCCTAGCCGATGGATGAAACCAAGACTTGACTCGGCCGCCTCCGGTTCCAAACTCGCGAATCGCATGTGTCGTAATGCCCATTGAGCTGATGTGATCCTGCGCAATATCAAGAAAAATCACAACCCTGGTTTAAAACTCGACTTCTCAGACCAGCATTGACTCGGAGCTGACGGCTGTCATCCGCTTTTTGGGTGCATGAGCGCGCCGTCCTTGCATGGCTGTCTTGGATGACGAGCGCACGCAGTAGGGCGGATGTCTCAGACACAAGGTGCCATTTCCCTGGATCAGAATGAATAGTCAAGGCCAATGAGTAAAAGGCCCACAAGCAGATGATGATTAATCGATGCTTCGTACGTGTAGAAGCAGTTGGTAGTCTCCTATTCGATAGCAGACCATCACGTCGTGACAACCATCACCCCAGCGATACCACAGGGAGAGAGGCATTCCCATACATATATATCTCTGTCCTGATGAATGTACACTACTCCACCTCCAGCCTAAACGCATCGTACTGCACATACAGCGCGTCCGGCAACAGCGCCGTCTCGACGCTGCTCGCATTATACGGCAGACTCAGCACAAACTCGTTCCGGCCCGCCCGCAGCGTCGCCGCCGGGAACACAAACTTGTGCTCGACATTCTGGCACGCCACGGCGCTCCGCACGCCGCACGACCCGCTGCGCCAGTACGGAATCGTCCACGTCGCCTCGTACGCGCCCCCGTTGACGCCCACCGTCCACGGCAGGTTGGCAAACGGGTGGTCCGACACCTTCCACTTGTCGTTGCCGTTGGCCGTCTTGGTCCCCGCCACCTGCACCGTGAACGTCGCCGTCGCCCGGTCCCGCAGCTGCGCCGCCGCCAGGTCAAACGTCACCGTCCAGTTGTTCACATTGTCGTACACGGGCGTGTCCCGCAGGTAGTTGCCCTTGGACGGCCACCACGCCCAGTGGATGTAGTTGAGGTCCAGGTCCTCCCGGCTCTCGCCCACGTGAAAGTGCACGCCCTCCGGGAACTCGTCCGGGAACTGGTACTGCGCCCAGTAGATCCGGTACTCCTCCGGGTGCAGCGGCTTGGACTCCAGCGGTGCGTACCCGTGGCGGTACTCGCCCGCCGACTTGTCCGGCACGCCGATCCGCCAGAGCTCCGTCCCCGCCGACTCCTCGGTCCAGGCAAAGTCGTGCATGCGCGTGCACCGCCCAACCTTGACGTCGTCCTCGATGAACCAGCCAAACACCTCGTCCGCGTAGACTGTCACGCGATACGTGCCCTCCGCGACGCGCGGGATGCTGAACACGCCCGTCTCGTCAATCTCCGCCCAGTACTGCAGGGACGTGTGCTCAAACACGTTGAGCTGAAAGTCCTCCTTGTTCTCGGACAGGACGATGATGGGTCGCTTCGCGCCCTCGGGGAGGTCCACCTTGCCCTCAAACGTGGTGCGCCTCGCCGAGGGGATATAGTTGGGCACGTACGGCGCAATCTCATCGTAAAAGTCGGCGTTCCACTCCACGTCCGCATACTGCGCGGCATCCGCCCTGAGCTCCTGCAGCGTGGTGTCCGGCCCGCCCTTGTTAAAGTGGTAGTACTGCGGTCCAAACGTCCTGTCGAATCCGTGCGTGATGTTGGGCGTGGGCGCGCCGTGGTGCCCCGAGACCATGTAGTTGTACACAATGCCATCCACGACAAGATCAGAGTGCAGCGGACCGCCGTAGTACGTCTCCATTGTGTTCTGCACGAGCCACGCCCCATACGTGTCCCCGGCCGGCGACGTGCTGCCGTCCGAGAACTGCCCGTGGACGTCGTGGTTGCGCCACACCTCGCTCAGGCTGTACTTTGTAAAGTAGTCCGAGTACTGCGCAACGTAGCCGTCATCGGGCGTGTTCCCGAGGTATGTCGTCGCGTCCTGGACGGTGACGGCCTCGGCAATCGCCTCCTTGCCGGGTAGCGGGCCATAGTTGCCGTCACTCGTCGAAAAGTGCGTCCACAACGCCGTGTTGGGTCGGAACAGTGTGCGCAACTCGCCTAGCCCCCTCAGGAAGGGTCTGTTCTCGTTCCAGTACGTGACGCGAGAGAACGCATGCAGCCCCGTCTCGCCATCCCGGAGGAAAAAGTACTGGGAGAGCGTCTGGTTGGTCGAGTCATATGTATCCTCCATGACGAGGCCGACATAGTCTGTCCCGGCGCCATCGGTGCCCTCGATCAGCTGCAGATCGCCTCCTGGCTGCCAGAAGCCGTCGGGTGTGCATGAGCAGTCCAGGTAGGGACCCTTGCCTGAGTTTCCACTGAGCGGTCCGAGCAGATCCTGTCCGTCGAGGGCCAGGTCAACAATGTGCCCATTTGACTTGGCCAGCGCAATGGCGAGGTGGTCGTTGGCGACCGTCACATGAGTCGAGTTCTCGCCCGCCACCAGCTTCGCGGCAGCATGTGCCATCAAGCTACTGGCGACGGCGCCCGCGAAAGACAGGGCGTTGCAGTTGTAGAGGCGTACCATGTTGGCAGTATTGGGCCTTCAGTTGACTGTCACTCGAAACAGGCCAGACGAGACAACGACCTCGCTCGCCTTAAATAGTAATCAGCCTCTCATCCTGTGATGTGACGCGGGGCCCCGTGGGGGAGGTGTAGAAGCACGTCTCGGGGGGAATTGAGCCGATCGCAGCGATGCGATCTTCAGGCTGCTTCGGGTAAAAAGGCCAGTCCACCAGAGAACCTGCAGATCCATCATGTACATCGGTCTTTGATTGCCAACCGCGCGTGCTACCTTGGTGCGGGCACGATCTCCTGCAGCGCGACGATCCTACCTCGGGGGATCTTGTCACGGCCAGTGGCACGCCATCGAAATCACCGCTTCTGCGTCGCTAGAGGATACCGGCTGGGGCTGTGAGTCCGGCTCGAGAACTGATACAGAAAAATACCGCTACAGGACGGCCCTTGGAAGACAATACAGGATTCCTAAATCAACAAAATATACATGACACGTCTGATGCCCACCGCACGGACGGCAGACAACAGACGCTGCCTACATCTACCCCATCGGATCACCGCCAAAGTTCCCGTTCTCCACCGTCGGGTACGCGCCGCCGCTCAGCTCGGCCCAGTCCCAGTCCAGGTTCATCGGCAGCTGGAAGAGGTCGGTCGGCAGCATGGGCTGGTGCATGGGGAACGCCGCCCCCGTGCCCTGCATGGGCTGCTGCTGCATGCCCCCGTTGCTGCCCGGCGAGTCGCTCGTGGGGAAGCCGCCTTGCTGGGCGAAGCCGTCAAAGTCACCGTTGGGCGGGTACGTTGCAAAGTCGGCCGGCGGCGGCGGCGGCGCTTGTGTGTTCCACGGCATGTTCGGCGAGGGCCCATAGGAAAGGGGGCTGAAGCCCGTCGTGTCGGCCTGCACAGGGCTCAGATTGCTGCTGTTGGGTACTCTCATGCCTGCTCCTCCTCCATTGGGCATCGCCTTGGCCTTGTTCTCGGCATTGTTGTGGTGATTCTTGCGTTTCCGCCGTGACGACTGGTCCTTCTCCGCCTTCTCAATGACACTCTTGGCGATACGCTCAAACTCGGCGCATACGCCGAGCATGCGGTACACGCCACCCTGCTCGGCCTCGTGGCCCAGCATGCTCAGGAAATTCACCACGAGGTTCATCAGGCGAATGTCGGGCTTCGCGCGCGGGTCGAGCGGATTGTTGAGGATGTTGGCAAAGAGGGTCATCAACGCGGACACGGGGAAGTAGAGAATCATCCAGACGCACGAGTTATCCCCCTGGGGGATGTACTTGACGAGGCTGATGGACGCGCGCGCGGCGGCCGTGCACAGCGCCGCCGAGCTGTACACGCGGGGGTTGAGGGCCTTGGTGTTGAGCCCTTGCAGTGCGTAGTTGCTCAGCCGGCTCGTCCAGAAGCCGTGATGGACGCTCATGCGGTGGATCGTCGTCAGGCAGTTGTAGTAGGCAAAGTGCAGCATGACTACGTGCAGGATCAGGGGCGTGTGGCTGGCCTTGATCTCGTGCTCGGGTCGAAAGTCAATGGGGATGGCGTCCTTCCAGTCTTCCAGCTGCGAGTCCAGCTCGCCAATGGCATTGAGAAGCTCGCCGACAGACGACTTGGTCGCCTTGGTCGAGTACAGCCGCCTGTAGACGTCCGACTCGATGACGGCGAACTCGCACATGGTCCGGAAGATGTTCATCTTGGACTTGCCATCGGCGAGAGGAATGTTGCCAATGTTGTCTTCCGGGTCGGCGTCGGGCAGGTCAATGTTCATGTCGTCGTCGTCCTGGGTGGGTGGGCGGCCGGCACGAAGGCACATGTCCTTGTCCAGTATGTAGGCGATCCAGAATACGCGTTTCCTTTGCTCAAGCTCAATGGGGTTCAAGTTGAACCCGGTGCCGCGCTTGTGCAGGCCAATGGTGTGCGAGAGACGTATCGCTGCTGCGACCAAGAGCGTGCTGGGCTGCGGGTTGGGGGTGCCCTGCATGAAGAGGGCCATACCGAGCAGCGCCTGCACGGACAGGAGATCGGTGTTGCGCATGGTCAATTCCGTGAATACGCCCATGGCGTTTTTGAGGTAGCCCCACGATACCTGGTCTTCCTCCTGAGGGACGAGGTGGCTCATGACGCGGAGTCTGTGCGCAATGGCGAGAGCACAGTTGAGACTGGCCCACCAACCGGAGCCTTGGTACGGATCAGCCGAGTACTGCCGCTGCACGAGGTGCATAAAGGTCGGCTGGTGGAAGAGCGGGAACATGCAGTTGAAATTCTCAAAGTAGTCCTTGAGGAGAGAAAGCGCGTCATCCTTGGAAGGGAGAGGCTGGAAGACAGGTCGCCTAAAGACGTCGTTGAACACCTCGGGCTTCCAGTTTGTCCACTTGTGATCATCTTCGGACACTTCCGAGATCATGTTCCGGAACGAGTCGTTGCCCGTCTTCTGGTTCACCCACTGTATGCCCTTGGGGGAGAAGATGCTGAAGCCGGAGGAGGAGCCGAGGTATCTCGTCTCGCCCGACTGGTTCGTCACGAGGGAACACATGAGGTCCGACAAGTTTTCAACATCTTCCTCCGGCTCAGCGTCCTCGACGCTCGCCGTGCGCACATTTGAACTGCGACGTTGCGGCTGCTGCTGCTGCTGCTGCTGCTGCTCCTTGTCCTTGTCCTTGTCCTTGGGTTGTGGCGAAAGAGTATCCGCAGGCGACGCCTGGCTGTTCGCTGCGGTCGTATTTACAGAGGGGGGCTTGGTCGCGGGGCTGGCGGGGGTCGAGGGCACGGCCAGGCTCCCCTGCCGACTGGCCTCCGAGTTCCTCTGCTCCTCCAGCTTCTTCTCGAGGGCGCCCAGGTCCGTCTCCTCGCCCTCGGACAGGAGCCCGCTCAGCCGGAGCAGATGCTCCATCCTACCCAGCCGGTTCTCCAGGCCCTCAATGTACTTGGCGCCCTTGGGGGGCGCGCGCTTCTTCTCGACCTGGGTGAAGACACACTCGGCTTTGTAGTTGATGCACTGGGTGCAGCTGGGCAGTTTGCCGTCGCACTTGATCTTCTTCTTGCGACACATGTCGCAGGCGCGGGCGATGCGTCTGCGCTTGGCGTCTTGCGACTCGTCGTAGGGAAAGGTATGCGAGTCGGCGAACATCTGGGCGGCGAGATCTGGCGGGAGTTGTGGCAGGGCGTCGGTGGCGTAGGAGCCGAAGATCTGAGGCGGGTTGAAGGAGGCCGCAGGCGGCGGATGGACGCCTGGTGGTAGTTGGAAGGCCATGGCAGCGTCGGTGTTGCTTGTTGTGACGGTTGGTGCACCTCGGATGAGATCGAATGAGGGTGCCGTGGATTCGTCGGAGTGAATTAGGTTGTTGGGCTCTGAGGGGGGGGGGCGGGGATTGGATTGATGACGAATCTTGGACTGGGCAATTCGAGATTGGAGATGGTGGTGTTGGAGCGAGCTACTTGCGGCGTACCATGTGCTGCTGGTATGCGAGCTGGTGGACCTGTGATCTCCTCTCTCGTGGCACGATCAAGTCCAGTCTCTTTCTCGGAGAAGGGGGGGAGAAGTAACAAGTTGCATATGGTGGTGGTCTTGACTCGGCCTACCTTAAGGTACGGATAGGCTGGGATCAGGCTGGTGGGTGCCGTGGAGTTCGGAGTGCTGTGGAGGCCGCGTGCGCGGAGTTTATCCAGCGGCAGGGGTTCCAGCGCCCCTTGGCCCAGCCAGAGAGGTAATGACTAATTATTAGTGTCAGGACGATAGACTATGCTTCATGACTCGATGGAACATCGCATAAACATCATTGCTTCCGGAGTAGATAAGACACGTACTACGTACTAATAAGTAGCGATGAACTCATACCTGGTAGCGTAGCCTCACCCGCGTCATCCCGGGCATCTACGGAGTACTATAAACACGTATGGTACGTACCCCACCTGATATAGCGGACTTGTTGGCCGCTCATCCCCAAGGTAGGTAAGGCGTGTACGTGTAGTCCAGTCTATACGGATAGTGCTGTACTCGTTCATGTTGAGATGCTGATACGATCAATTCCTGTACATTGACTCTGTCTGTGACTGCACAACAAAGGCAGAAACCATGGTTCCAAATGTAATGCGAATGCAAGTGCCGACACACTTGAACGTGGCAGTGCTGCCAGTGCCCGCAGTGGGCTGGCTGCTTCTCCTACAAGTACGTGTACATCAGCTGTCAGCACAGCAGACATGGAGGCCATCGGCGCAACCAACAGCAGCGGACTGTTCATGTTCATTCGCGCCCGGGCAAACTTGACACTCGGGCTGCTTCATTGATGTTATGCCGCTGTACAACATACGATGGCCATTGACTGCCATCTCGGAACGCTGACCGTCCCTCTTCCTGTTTTACGATTACTGTATGAAGCGGCCCTCACCACATCGCAGGCCAGTCCAGTCAAATCCTCAGAGACACGCATGCCTGCGTGCAGCGTGCGTGCCAAAGGCGCCAAGTCTGTCTTGGACTCTTGGGCGGATCTTGGATGCAGGTCCCCCGATCAGATCGTTCGCCCTCCTCTCTCGCGGCTTGCCCTTTTCCGGATGGGCCCATTCCATTCATTTGACAACGACTGGCCGGCCCCCCCAACACAGCCCTAGACTCCCAGGTGCAGTACAGCAAGCATTCATCATCCCATGGGTAGGCTTTTCCGCACCCGTCCTCGCCGACCTTGCCCATAGACTGTAGTTGGACTGCATTCCGGACGAGGATGCCTACCTACTTAGACTGCACCGCCCATCACCGACACGTGCGACGCTATGTCCGCGTACAACAGGAGTCAGGAGATCCTCCGACTCGTGGTAGACGCCGAGACGGCGTACGTACGTACATACCGTGTATACGTACATGTACTACCACGACAGGCCAGCCGCATTTACCCATTACTCCGCACGTCCGTCCTGCACAGATCAACGCAACAGGCACGAATGTGTACTGACCACCAAGATTGGTACCATGAAATATGTACGCGGGCCATGTTATGTACACATGACGCCTGACCCGACCCGTCCGTCCTTCCTTCGCTCTGCTAGATAGATAGATCCTGTCGCTCCCAAGTTCCCATTGCAACATGTACAAGAATTTTAAAATCTACCGGTTCGGTCTTTTTGAACCCCTCCCCTTTCCCAGACACAAGAGCCGACTCAGATGTTCTCTTGAAATCTCGAGCCTGACCCTCTCGACCCATCCTGGCTCGTCAGACTCCGTCCCAGCCCGTCTCTCGACAGTGGTGGAGGCGGTAGCGGTCCGCTCGGGGGCGGCCCAGGGCTCGGCGGGTCAGCGAATGGATTATGCTCTGCGACCGCTTGTCGCCCGGGTCCTGAGCGTATGATCGGCACGCCACTCACGGGGCGCATCGGTGTACCGAGCGCGAGTCGCGGCGCTGTCGCGCCGGGGTCAAAGGCCTGCGAGCCGCGCCAGTAGTCAGACTCTCCGCTCATGGTGCTGGCGCGGGGGTCCGAGTAGCCATCACCGCCGTGCTGTAGGACGGAGGGCAACTTCCTGCCAGACACGCGGACGAAACCCCGTTCGCCTGAGCGGGTGGCCTCTCCAGGCGCATGCTGGCTTTTTCTCGTCAATGCGGCCAACGCACCCGGTACGGAGAACCCAGTGCCGGGGCGCTCTTCCATCGCGTCTGCGCCCCCATTGCTGCCTCCTGTCGGCGGGCCGCCGCGACCTGCAATTTCCCGTGTGCCTTGCTCTCCAAGAAGCTCGGTCACCTGACTCCTTCGCTTCTTCCACTTGATCCCCATCATGACGAGCAACAGCAGGAATGCCACGCCGGCCACGCTCCCGACAACGCCTCCGACAATGGTCTTTTGCTGTGGAGTCAGAGGTGCTATACCGCCACCACTGTCGTCGTCCGTGTTGTCGGTATCTGTCTGTGCGTCTTCCGAATCGGTTGGCTGGGCGCCATCAGCACCAGTGCCGCTGTATCCAATGACATCTGATGAGGCCGTCTCGCTGTCCGAGTATGTCGACGGGAGTGACGTGGAGAAGGATGAGTCCCAGGTGTAGCCGCTACTTGAGCTGGAGATGAAGGATCGGAACTCATCGTCGGATGTGGATGTGAATGATATAGACGAGGGGGTGGACAAGTAGGTGTCCAGTTGTAGAGCGCTCTGGCTGAGAGGTGTGGTGGGCGTTGACGTTGAGTTATGGGAGGGCAGCGCTGATCGTTGTTAGTTCATGTAGGCCATTGTTATCAGGGTGGAGAGAGCACTCACAGTTTGTTTCATTGAGCGAGACGCCCGCTGATGGTGTGAGGAAGTTGCTCGTTTCCGGCAACAGGCTCGCTGGTATCGGGGTGTCGCTCGCTCCCGACGTGATCAATGGCGCGGAGACATCTGTCGAGGCGGAGGAGACCGAGACGGAAGCCGACGCCGTTACAGATGGCTCTATCGGCAGGCTGAGGCTAACCGAAAGGGACGCCTCGACCTTGACGCCTCCCGACGAGACAGATGATGCGGACGGCTGTATCGCCGTCCACGACGCTCCTGGTGCTGAAATGACGGATATCGTCTCCCCCGACGCGCGGTCCACGACCACGGTCCCGGGAGGCGGTAGTACGGTTTGTAGAGTGACTGGGTTGCCGGATGCGTCGACTACCTGAATGAGCTCGACAGTCTGAACGACGTGCTGGACATAGGGGTCTTGGTCAGCTTGGCGGATCTCGAGGTTGCTGTCGCGGTGGGCATCAATATCGACATCGGTGTCGTCGTTCTTCTGGTCAGAAGAGAGGTCGGAAGAGGCAGGCACTCGGTGATGTAAATGCAGATGTGCGTTTGAACGAGTGTTGTCCAAGGAATGTCGGTTGTGGTGCAGATGACCATTCCCGGAGTGAAACGAATGTGAGTGGTGTGTATGTGTGTTGGACAAAGTCGAAGACGAAGATGAAGTTGGAGAAGAAGAAGCAGAATTGTCGTCCACGTTGGTAGCCGCGATCGGGGCAGCGCCACCCGCACCAGCGAGGTTAGTCATGGCGACGGGAGCAACTACCACCATGCAAACGACGAGTTCGCCTCTCCCCAATTGCTCCAATCAATGGATGGCCCCGAAAAAACAATGGATCGGCTATTTTTGCTGCACTACTAAACAGTGTCGATCCAGGCGTTTTGGGAGGGGATCCTATCGAAACGAATGCTGCGAGGCTGAGCGATCAGGCTTGCGCAATCCAGGCTTGGGAGGGACCAAGGCAGTATTGCCCAAGTCTGCCACAATCTTATCGTGGCCAGCAGCCAGAATCCCGTCGTCCGTTCGTGTTCCAGAAAGGCCAAGCAGGATGGGCAATGATTCGGCTCGATTGAGTGATTCGAATGGCGGTCTGTGAGATGTCGTGCCGTGGGCGCCCGTCGTTTGTTGACCCTCGCTTAGCTACGTCGCGTTGTCGAACACAGCCTGTTTCTTCCCTTCTCGTATTCCTCCTCGTCGATTTCCCCCCCAACAGCGGAATCGTCTGTGTTTCGTGTGCTACTCTTCTCTTTTCTTTGCCTTGGAGACTTTTCGTGATTTCGAAGTGTGGCACGAATTCACGCACGCCTTCGCGGCTAGGGTAGAATGACAATTGCTCGTCTGCATAACGCGTCCACGATGGCAAGGTGGACTCAAAATATGGCACGAGCGGGCAAAAGAGTGAGCCGTCGGCACGAAACGAAGGAAGCAGAATACAACGGCAACGAGGGAGTGGTAAAGAGCGACGTGGGTAGGCCAGACCTCAACCCGTGCAAAGAAGGAAGAGGGAGATAAGGCGCCTCGAGCTTGAAGAGACAATATTATGGCCTGCGGGCGGATGGGAGGACAGACGGACGGCCATGACTTGGATCAGATCAGATGGCCGCAATAGCCCCTCTCCCCCGGCCAAATGTCATGCACGTAAAATGAAGAATTCATCTGCACGAGCGTCGCTACACAATGGCCAGGAACAGGCCGCAAGACGTCGTGCACAATCACGAAGAATGGGTGGCATAATTTCGGGATGCATGATCTCGGGCCAATCACGATTTCGATCACGCAGCAGGGGACCGGGCGTCGTGGAGCAAGCCTTTTCGCCAAGGACAAGTTCTGGGCGCCGGTCGCCAGTCGCCAGTCGCAGGATCCTCCGTCCGACGGCTGTCGACATGGAGCTCTGCTTGGGCGCCGATTGTGACGATGCGTCAGCGCGTGTATGCTATTGTGCTGTCGCCTCATGGACGATGGCAGTGGCCAGGGATTGCATGTGCAGACAGAACACACGTCCTGTGCTGGAGACTATGCAACGCGACGAGCTACACCTCACACCACTCAGGATGCAGAAGCTGAAGAATGCCAGCAGCTAACCTCCCGTCCGGAAGAGTGGGTGCCCTACGGCTGCGTAAACGTTTGTGGCTGTTGCCGAAACGGCGAAACCCACAATCCGCGACGGATGGTAATTAATCAAACGGAAGTTTCACCAGGCGTTAGTTAATTGGGAAGATGATAAACAGTCGACTCGAGAAGCCTGGACACCACCAGAGGTCAAAGCTCGAGGCACATGTATTTTCCTGTCCAGGATTCCAGGTGCATTATTATGCATACACATGATAGACGGATTCCTGTGTGAAATATGACATTGCTGATCCGGAATGTAACGCTGCAAAAGGGGGACGTGCCGTCACGTGCGCGACTGTCAGTCTGTCACTGTGTCATATCTACGGACAGACGGATGCCTGTCAGACTGTCAACGCGTCACTGCGTCAGGCAGGTTCACGGCTCTCTTGTGACTCGGATGTGTCCGCAATTCTGAACTGGAGTATCAAACCATTGTCGGCGTTGCTGTTGCACCTCATACGTCCAGCGACACAGCCTCGACAACGCGCGGACACTGGGGACGCAGTGGCGCAAGTCAGAGTGCATGATGCACCCATTAGAACCGTTGAGTTCCACCAGTACGTGACCCAATGTGCGGGAAATGGAGCTTCCATCGGGAGAGAGCATGATGAAATGAAATACGTAGCATACTTACATGTACATCGGACGTTCGTACGGATATACACGCGCGGAGTAGACGTTAGATGATCACTGATCATCGCCGTGGCTTTTAGCTTACCCGCTAGCCGTTCAGCCTTCGACATCATTCCTTCCAGAAAACAGTCCAGGAACCAACCACAATTGCCCCACAGATACTGACAACTGCTCCGAGTCCCCAACATCTCGGGTGCTAATGAACAAGATACGAGTGACCATGTTGGAGCAGCTGCGAGAGTCTCGGATTCTCGCATTCTCGGATACTGCTAGCAGTTCTTGGGTTACAGCCATCAGGCTACGGCCCTATCTGGAGTCAGCGAGAGTAAAAGTCCTGAGCCCAAGGTAACGACAAAAGACCACCTACTTCCGTGTGTGAGTACTAAACCAACATCCAGCGCACGTTGATTTCTTTCTAGATCGTTGCAACGCAGATGACTTTCGTTCCACGTACGGATACCTACCTACGTAACCCAGACAGACCCCCGCTGCCCCGCCCCACGTATCCAACAAGTCCCTGGATTCATCCAAGACAACCTCTGGATCAGCACTAAGCTAAGCTACCGCACCTTACTACCAGTCTAACAACAACTCAAACTCTCGACGAGCGTCGCCTCCTTCAAATCACACTCGGCCCTCTTCTGCGTACTTGTCTCGTAGCCTCCCCCGCAGCAGCAGCGGCAGTCTCGATCCCCCCCTCTGTCTCAGCCCGGCGTCAAAGGCTCACAGCATGGCTGCCAAAGACAGCCATGTCGTCCCGACGGCCACCTCGCTGGGAAAGGGATCCGACATGCTAGCGCCCGATCCGCGCCACTCATCCTCGCAGTCTCTCGCGCCCTCTACCGCCGACGATGGGCAGGGTCGTCGTCGACGGACGCTGCTCCTCATCTATATCCATGGATTCTACGGCAATGATCAGTCGTTCAGGTCGTTCCCCTATCATGTTCACACCTACCTCCGATCAGCCCTGTCCGAATCCCATGTGATTCACTCCAAGATCTACCCGCGGTACAAGACGTACCGTGCCTTGGAGGTGGCCAGAGACAATTTCAGCGCCTGGCTTCGGCCTCATGAAGGACCAGATACCGACGTCATCCTCGTCGGCCACTCGATGGGTGGCATCTTGGCGGCTGACATTGTCCTCATGCCCAACAGGAACCCGTACGGCAGCCAGCATCCATACTTGCACCGGATACTGGGCACAATCTCGCTGGACTCGCCATTCCTGGGGTTGCATCCCGGCATCGTCGTGTCGGGGATATCCAGTCTTTTCCAGTCTTCACCCGAGCAGCCGGCGGAAAATCAAGAGGCAAGCTCTAGCAACACGGATCTCCAACTCCAGGCAGCCTCGCCGTACGACATGCCCCCAGACCGCCAGCCGACAGACCCCTTCTTCAACCAGCCATTCTGGAACGACAACCCTTTCAAAGAGGCACCCTTTGTGAAGAGGCTGATGAACTTTGCCAAGAAACACCGGTCAGAAGGCATCGTCAATGCCACGGCGAAACATGTCCTCTCACATCTCGAGTATGGCGGCTGCTTGGCCGACTACCCAGGGTTGCGCCAGCGCTACAACCGGCTGCGAGAGCTCGAGGATGTCGATGAGCTTGAGCTGCAAGGACGACAGGGGCATTCCAACAAGGCGAGGGTACGTTTTGTGAACTATTATACTCTATCGAGCGGACGCAAGAATGAGCCCAAGACGCCGGGCTCGGAGACACCAGCCGACATCCTCACACCTGTGACATCGACGGGCGACGACTCCTGGAGCCAGCAGGACACACGCACGTCCACATCGAATGTCAGCTTTACCACCAAGGATCAGAGTGATGCGGAAGAGGCAGCCGACATATCCTCACTTTCTTCCCGACATAGTACCTCTAAGCATTCTCGAGGCGACGATGGCGAGACTGCGTCTCTGCAGACAGACTTGGAGTCCATGTCTCTGCAGGATCTCGATCCAATCCCCATGAAAGACGACAACGCCACCGAGCGCGACAAGCACCTTGATCTCGCGCCTATCCCGCCCGTCCCCGAGAAACCAGAGGCACCCGACTTTGAGCAGTACACGGACAAGGACGCTCGAAAACAGGCCGAGCGGGAGTTCAAGAGGGTGCAGAAGAACTATGCTACCGCGGTCAAGGACCGTAACAAGGCCATCCGTGAGAGGAACAGCATTCTCGAGAAGCGACGTAAGAAAGCCGAGAAGGAGGTTGAGCGCCAGAACAAGGAAGACGCCAAGGCGGCGGCGGCCGAGGTTGCCAAAGCCAAATCCCAGGCTGCCGACGCAGCGGCCCTCCAACGAGCTGGAACGGAGCAACCTGCTGCTGCTGCTTCTTCAGCCCCCACTGCAGATGTGTCTGCGTCGGCGTCCGTCTCGACAGAGTCCGCCGTCAAGGATGCGGAGGCTGTCGAGGCCGCCAAGCCCAAAAAGTCCAAGAAGTTTTGCACCCTCCCCAAGTCGCACAACGGGCAGCCCGATCCCACCTGGGTGGACATTTACATGGACGGCGTGGATGAGGTCGGCGCCCACTGCGGGCTCTTTTTTCCAGGCGTGCACTACGACCGCCTGGTGGGCGACGTCGGCGAGCGGGTGATCAGCTGGGTGCAGGACGACATGACCAAGCGGATGATCCTCGACATGGAGAGCGAAATGCAGAGTCCGGCGGTAGACTGAGGATGCCAATACAACAACGATACCCCTTCTTTGTTTGCTGGTTTGTTCACGCACTTGATGGGTGTGTGGCAGTGTGTCATATTTCGCTGAAGTGAAGGGTATCTCGATGACTAGTAAACATCCACCTCCTTGACGGAAACGCTTACATCCCCCCTGTCGCCCCCGTCGAGGGCCATTCCCTCCAGCACGGCCGTCTCGTCACCCAGCGGTGTGAAGTCGAGGAAGGAAAGTGACATGACGCCCAGCCGTGTCCAGTTCTTCCCTGCTTCTGCTTCTGCTTCTGCTTCTCCATTCACGGGCCCTTCTTCCCCATTCGCTGCATCATGCTGGGGATCCGTGAGATCACCTGGCCCCAGCACGAGGCAGACGGCCTCCTTGTCGCCAGCCTCCCTCCACTTCTTCGCCAGGAGCACCACGCCCATCAGCTCCCACTCGCCCTGCGCCTTGACCCAGCTCTTGACCAAATCTCTCTGCGCACGTGCCAGGTGGATGCACGTAATGGCGCTGGTATCCCCCTGCTTCTTCACATTCAGGCTGAACGAATATGTCTTGATCCGTAGAAAGTCGAGCTTCCACTCTGACGTGTCCTTTGCGACCGGATCCCACGGCACGACGGTACCGTCCTGCAGACCCAACGAAAGCTGCATCTTGGGCGGTGCGCTGTAGGCGACCGAATCCTCGTCCGACGGGAACGTGAAACCCCCGCCCGTGGTAGGTCTCCAGGCAAGCCATGTCCACGAAGGACACTGTCTTGCGGCGTCGAGCACATACCCTTCGGCTGGTGTCCCGGTCTGTGACCGCACAGGCGCCCACGAGAGACCAAACGCCAGCCTATCATTTCGTGCGTCCGCTTCCTCTGCGTCAAGACTCCCTCTGGCAAAGAGCGGCAGACCCACGAGATGGTCGATGCCGCTCGGGCGCTTGTAGTAGTGCTCTGCTACCCCCCAGAAGTCCTGGACTTTTTCCTCTGGGGTGGCAAAGTCCTTTGCCAGGTACTCTCGGACCGTCCTCTTGTAGTCTACCGCGTTGCCATGTGCGCCTCCTTCGGGGAATACCCGTCCGAGGTTCAGACCTGCCGTGTATTGCAGCGGCACGCTCATACTCTCGCAGAGACACATTTCGGCGCACTGCCAGTAGACCTGGCTGCTCGTGAAGACGACCCTCCGCGCGCTGAGTAGGCCTTCCTGGAACGTAGAGCCTTGTCGCCACCAGAGTGAAGATGTGACTTCGAGGTCTGGTCGCAGCAGCGACGTGAGGAAGAGCCCAGCGTGGCACTGGAGGGATAGTTGCGGTGTTCGTGGCGTCGATATGGGTGAAGTCGGCGTCGTGAATATGAGTGTCAAGGTGGCTGAGGAGAAGATACCTCCCACGTCATCGGAGCGACAGTAGGGATGGATGTAGACGTATCGATACCCCAGCTGTTCGGTGAAGGACATTGCATCCTCGAATACCCTGGGTATGTCGTCGCTCAGCGTCCGCGCGGCTTGAGTCGCCTCGTCGTGTACGTAGCTCACAGCCACATAGTCCGGCATCTCATCTCCTTCGAACTCTTGGAGAGCCTTCTCCTTTACATCCACAAGCTTCGCCGTCATCCTCGTTGCCGGATTCCTGCACTCGTGTTTGTCCACGCAGTACCCCTGCCACGTCGTGACCAGCTCAGCGTCCGCCACCCCCTCAACGAGCCTTCCACCAATTTTCTGCTCGTCGGCCAGATAGGCCTGCGGCGTCTGGTCCTCCGCCGCGAGGATAATATAGCCCCACGGCAATGCCTTGTTCCTCCCTAGCACATCCATCACCACAGTCCTGCCGAGCGGATGACTCTCTGGGATCCCAAACCTCTCCCAGGCCAGCCGTATCCTCAGATACGGGCTGAAATTGCCGCCGTGACTCTGCGTTGCCACGGCCAGGTAGGCGCGGAAGAAGAGGCAGTACGGACAGGACGGCTCGTCCGTATAGTCCAGCACGTGGCCCACACTCACCCACTCTCTCACGCCATCCTTCCAGGCGAAGACGGAGGCAAAGTCCTTGCCGGCGCATTGGGCGCACATGAGCTCCGGAACGTCATCGGCCACGAATTTCGTCGCGGCTGGAGCGGTGGGCGCCGTGTGGTGTAGAAGCCGTGACGAGGAGAGTTGGTGTCGCGTTGGGGCCTCGACGGCGGGGGGTAGAGAGGACGCATAGTCAATGTAGGAGGGAGGGTTGTGCCGTCGATTGAGCAGCTTCTTGAAGGACTTCATCGTTTCACCGTCGACTCATGCTCGCTTCTGCTGCTGCGCGGGTGAGATGGCTGGAGTGAGTGATGAGAAAGAAGGTGCAGGGTAACCAAGGGGAGATGATTGCGATCCGTCATGCGCCGGTCTAGGTGGGCACGCACGCGACAGTCAGAGCCAGGTGATGAAGGAGACGTGGCCTGGCAAAAGAGAGGCTGCAGATGCATTTGCTCGCCAGCTCGGGAAAAGTCCAAGTAATTGGATTAGGCAAGGTAGGCGATTGGCAGCGGGTGAGCGGAAACAGGCGCCACCACGAGGAAGACTGGACTTGTGGTAAAATGAAAATTGGCCAACATGAAGTCATCTTACGGCAACCGGGGTGCCTCCCACCAGCACCAGCACCACCAGCACTACCACACCCTAACGGATCAACGGTGTCCTTGACGCCGTTCCAAGAAAGAGAGGCGTGTTGGGGACAAGACGAGACTCTTAGCTGCCTGTCGTACAGCACAATGCATCCATTGGCGCCGATGCGCTGCGATCCATGCTTTGATTGACCAATATTGGATAAAATCCGTGTCAACCGGTCAACAAGAAAATGAGAAAAAAAGGCTCTCCAAAATAGTGCCGGCACTCGGCGGGGTTCACCCATCTCACCCGGTCGAGGTCGAGTGACATGGGTCCACGATCCATCCCAGATCCCTGGATTTGAGTCCTCGCGATATCTTTTAGCGAAGGCGTCTCTTCGTTGAGGAGGTCGGCACAGTCTACAGAGAACGTGTCATTGTCAATTGTCTCTACAATTTCCTCATTGCATCGTATGTGAGCAGCAAGTGCCCACCCTACGTACTAGTCTAGTTCACTCGAGGTGCCTGGCCAGCCAGGGGTTCGCGCCCTCGGCTGATGGATGCGCTCTGCTCTGCTCTGCTCAGCTCTGCGTGCGCGCGCAAACACCCACCCCGCCTCCGACGCCACGATCCTCAATAGTACGTATTGGCTTCTACCGCAGCGTGAGCGAGCAGATCACGCGTAGGCCACGGTGTGGTCCTCGTTGATTCGCCCAACAACACCCAGGCTTGCCTCCCCGCCAGCGACACTCGGTCCGCGCACGTTGATCTATCACTGTTAGCATGGCTTCCACAGATCGCCAACACAAGGACGATTCACTGACCTCGCCTTCTACCTTGTCATCCGTCGTCTTGTTGACATCCGTATCCTTCAGCCAAACCTCCACGCTCGTGACAGGCCCGCCAAAATGCGCCTTGCCATTTTCAGCGTCTAGACGGTAGTCGAAAAAGGCCGTCTGGCTGACAGAGCCCGCCACCGGCGCCGCCGTCAGGGCGTAGATCACCCGCGCACCGGTGAAGATGCGGAGATCAGAGACCACCCTAGACGACAGCGCGGGCGTACTGGCCCCCGCCCTCTCCGCAACGTACACAAGACGCAGCTTGCCGGGCGTCGTGCCAATCGCGGGCCTGGCGCCCGAGGAGAATGGCGACAAGAGATTCGACGTGTTGAAGATGCCCTCCTGTGTCAGTGAGCGTGTAGACAGCGCGTGCGATGCGCTCGCAAGCGCGGACGTGAGCTTCCCTGCGCTCTCCCCGTGCGTCCTGAGCAGCGTCTCGGGACTGGCCACGAGGATGGTGGGTACTACGCCTTGCGTGGCGAGGGCCACGTCCGAGGACTGCTCAGCCACCGAGTTGAAGGCTACCGAGGCGTTCGAGTACAGCGCTGCCAGCGTGACGACCAGAGTGTGGCTGTGGACCATGGAGTCGGCGGGCAGAAACAGGTCCGCCGCGTTGAGACGCTCCCTGTGCGGTAGAGCAGCCAGCTGTGCAGCCACACCGGCCACAATGTTCGCTTGCGTGAATCTGGCCATCTGGGCCTGACTCGTCTGGCTGTTCTGCCAGAATGTGATAATGTCGCCTGGCGTAGTCGTCGCATCTGTAGCTGGTAGCTCCAACCCTGCCGCAGCAGGCGCATCGTGAACAATGTCCTGCCATGTGGCCACGTTGACTGCACTGCCGACGCCTTCGGGGACTTCGTTCCAGTCCAGATGCTTGCTTCCCTCATCGACGACCCAAATCAGCTGTCGAAGGGCTGGATACGACTTGGTGACATTGTCCAATGGAAACGAGCCAGATGCGGTGATGACGGTATCGACCTCGGCCTGACGGAGCATCGAGATGAGGTTGTCTTCGGAGGTGTCAAAGGGAATGAGGACGGTCGTGACGTTGGGGCAGAACGCAGCAGCGAACAGTGTAGCCAGGAGTTCGATCGAGTTGGGGAGATATACGGCCACGCGGGCGGCCTTGTTCTCGGTAAAGTGCTGGCCGATGAGGTTGATTTGTCTCGTGATGTCCTCTGTCCCCGATTGTTAGCCCAGCTCATCGCCGGTGATAGCGCTTCTCTCTCTCTACCTACCAAGCTTGTGCTCAATCACCTTTTCCGACCCGAGGACGGTCAGCAGCCTCCCCTTGGCGCCATTCTCGCCACCCTCGATGACCTTCCTCCATACGTCCCGCAGATCCCCATCGCGTCCGCGGGACCACTTGCTCGCGCCAGGATCCTTGACGTTCAGCCCGCTGTTGAGCGGCATGCCGTGCGGCGCCGCCTGGCTGCGGTACACGGCGCTCTCGCCCTCGTTGCGCACGGTCGAGGGCACGGCCTGGCGGGCCAGGAGCATCGGGTGCACATCGGGATCGCGGCTCGAGATGACGCGGTACGAGACGAGGACGACGAAGATGGTCGCGAGGGTCGTGGTGTAGAGGTTCCACTGGCCGACCAGGCGGGTGATGCCAGCGTCCACGGTGTCGAAGAGTCCCATGGCGGTGGGTGGAGGAGAACGAAACGCACGCTGGAAGAGGAATCGATATAAATCAAGCAAGACAGAAACAGTGTCCGGGCAGGTCGCAACTTGGAACACAGTTTGGTCCGGATGAGGAGGTTGTCGAACGTAAGCTCGAGCCCGGCTGCCCCGCCACGTCGAAATGCACCGACGTTGACAGCGGTCCGAGGTGAGAGTGACCCGAGTCCACCCTGAGGAGCACCGTGCCAAGCGATTAATGATCAAAGATCTACGCACTATAAAAGGAACATATTGATCGTATCCCCGTGATGACAAGTACAAGAATTAAACAGAAAGGTCACAACAGTGTTGCAATGAACACACAGGACACGCGTTGAGATGAAACTTTTTTTTTGTCCGGAAACTCCTCAGTCTACTCTTGAGCATGTCTGTCTTCAGTGATAGGGACAGATCCCTCCATTTCGGGGCCTGTTCCCGTTTCCCGAGGCTACCTGCACCGCGCGAGAGGCTGCGAGTCTGACCCTGCCGTCTTGCCCAGCCGGTTCTCAACTCATCCATCCCCGAGCGATGCCTGGTCAATCCGTAAAGCCGGTAACCCATTATCCATACCATCTGTGTGTGTCTTCGGGACGGCTTCGATCGACTCCATGCTTGTCGATATGCTCTAGTATGTGAAAACAGACAACTAAGTACGTATCCCTCCTGGCTTTCTAATCGTGTCCTGTAAGCACGGGAGGAGAACCTGAGAATGATTCCCACTTTTGTCTATGTCCGCACGGCAATGTTCATGACCCTCTATCGTGAAATAAGAGCAAAGAGAGAAAAAAAGACAAATGACCCTCGGGCAGAAACATGATGGCGTCGTGAGATGTTTCTCTCGGAAAAACGCCGTGTCCATATCCTGCTGTTGCTGCCGATAATATCGTCGTCGTCGTCGTAGGCTTTTTCGTTTTCTTCTCGAGCTCCCCTAGTCTCGGTCTAAGGGTATCAATCGAGGAGGATGCCGAAATCAAATTCAAACGCAATCTATCAGATGCTTCGTCATAAATGCCCAGAGTGTCCCTGCGCCAGCATTCTGCCTATGCCGCGCTGGGATGGTGAAAGGCATCAATGTCGCCTCCTCAGGTCATGCTCATGGTTGCCGTGTCGTCAAAAGTAGTGTGCTGTGCTGTGCGCAAAAAACAACAAAAAAAGCAGAAAGTGACAAGAGAAAGAAAATTTGGATGCTCCAAAGGCGGATCGTGGGAGCATCAACGTGCCCGCATCAGGGGTACGCTCTGGATGCGCCGCCATCTCGCATGGGCACCTACCACCAAGACTGGCCGCCAGGACCGCCGGGGTTGCCATAGGCGCCACCACCGCCGAAGCCACCACCGCCACCGCCGTAACCACCACCACCGCCGCCGTAGGCAGGAGCACCTCCCTGAGGAGCACCAAAGCCGCCGCCGCCATAGCCGCCGGACTGAGGGGGACCACCGAAGCCGCCTCCATTGCCACCGCTGTTGCCCCCAAAGCCACCACCGCCGAAGCCCTTACGAAAATCGCGAGTGGGACCGCCGCGGCCACCGCCGCCACGAGAGCGACCACCACGACCGCCGCCGCCAAAGGACGACTCGCGGGCCACGGTCTCCAGGAACGCAGGGACCTCTTGGTGGGCCTCCTTAAGCAGGTCGAGGAGCTCACGTACAACACCGCGGTTGCCACGGTTGAAGAAAGCAGTGGCAATACCAGTGTTTCCGGCACGACCGGTACGACCGATGCGGTGGACATAGTCGTCAATGTCGGTGGGGAGATCGTAGTTGACGACGTGGGTGACGTTGGGGATATCGAGACCACGGGCCGCGACAGCCGTGGCGACCATGATGGGGCAACGGCCGTTACGGAAGAACTCGAGAGCGCGCTCACGCTCACGCTGGGTGCGGTCACCGTGAATCGATGTGGCGGGGAAGTTCTGGTTGATGAGGAAGTCGGACAGAGTGTCGGCCATGCGTTTGGTCTCGACGAAGATCAGCGTCAAGCCACCAGCGTGGGTGTGCAGAATGTCGAGCAGCACAGAACGCTTGTCGGCATCTTCGACGTACTCGATGCGCTGAGTAATGTTCTCAGAGGTCGAGCCGACACGGCCAACAGACAGGAAGACGTAGTCCTTCAAGAAGTCCCTGGCGAGCATCTGGATGTCGCGGGGGAAGGTGGCCGAAAACATGAGGGTCTGGCGGTCAGCGACAGTGGGCATGTCCTCTCCCTCGACAATGCGGCGAATCTGGGGCTCGAAACCCATGTCCAACATGCGATCAGCCTCGTCAAGAACAAGGTACTTAATGTTGCACATGGAGATACGGCCACGCTCGAGGAGATCGACGAGACGACCAGGGGTGGCGACCAGGAGGTCACAGCCGCGCTCGATTTGACGCAGCTGGGAACCAATGTCCGCACCACCGTAGACGACGCACGGACGGACCCAAGAGCGGTAGGCGAACTTGCGGGCCTCATCGTAGATCTGCGAGACCAGCTCACGGGTGGGAGCCAGGATCAAAGAGGTGGGGAAAGCCTTGCGCTGACGGCCAAAGCTGCCTTGCGCACTAGCGGGAGGAGGCGAAGGGCCGTTGAGGAAGGCCTGAGACAGGATGGGGAAGAGGAAACCACCAGTCTTTCCGGAACCAGTCTGGGCACAAGCCATCAAATCACGGCCACCAGAGACAATGGGGATGGAGTACTTCTGGACGGGCGTGGGCACCTTGTAGTGAGCAAGCTCAATATTGCGAACCAGGTGCTCGTCCAGGGGAGGAGTCGAAAACTGGTTGACGGGCTCGGGCGGGTCACGGCCAGATGCCTCGACGGGAATGTCGTCGTACTTCTCGAAGTTGATACCAGTCTGCTGCTTCGTGGGGTCGTCGGCAACGCCGAAAAGTTCACGCTCGAGACGGGGGTTGGCAGGGCCAGGGACGTGCTTGCCGTCCCGCCACTGGCCATCGCCAGAGCCGCGAGCAGAGCCACCGCCGTGGCCCTCGTAGCCACCTCCGCGGCCTCCGGAAAAGCCGCCGCCGCCGCCGCGACGAGCAGGACCATTGTTATAAGTCGGGACCTGAGCAGCGTTGCCCCAGTTGTTCTGGCGGGCACCGTAGTTCTGGCTGTGAATATGTTAGCGGCATTATACGCATATGAGTGGTGTGTCAAAAACTTACTCAGCCCAGTTGCTATTGTTGAGGCCGTTCACAGGAGGGCCGCCAGCGCCAGGAGGAGCTGCGCCAGGAGGAGCTCCGCCAGGAGGAGGGCCACCAGCCGCAGGGCCAACGCCCGGTCCGGGACCGTTCATGGGAGGACCGCCTCCAGGACGGTTACGCATGTGAGGAGGAATGTAAGAGCGACCGCCAGGGGCGCCGCCCTGCTGGCCATCCGGGCCAAGGTTCAGACCGTTCATGTTAAGTTGGTCCGCCATGTTGGGTGGATGTCGAGTAGTTTCGTCGTGTCGATCGGGGTGTGGCGAGCGAGGAAAAGTGTATCACCCTTCTTTCTTCCGAGAAAATGAGAGTGAAGAATTTGAATGAGCTCGTGGATCGAGTCGAAACAGTGGGAGTCGTTACGGCAGAAGGGAGAGGAGGGCAGACTCCAATAGACCTTCAGAAATTGATTAAGACGTGTGGTTGCAGAGATTCCGACTGCAGCTTGCAAATTCCCCTCGAAGAACAAACAAATCTTCAAAGGAAAGAAACAAACAAGGAAAGACGAAGGAATGCCTGTGGGTGGCAGATATGGGAGGGGAGATGATGTTTTGAAGGGTGGATGAGGTTTGTAAGGAGAAGGAAAAGGGTCCAGGGTCGGGTGAGGGCTCATGAAATGGGGACGGATAGAAAATTTCACAATGTGGCTAGTGGCGTTCATCTGGCAGGCAGGGCCGGCAGTGGGTCGAGAGTGAGCGGTGAGCCGCATCAGCCACTGTGAGGTCACAGAGGGGCAGCAAATGTGGCTGGTGACCACAACGTGCTAGCGTGGAGTCAGGGTCCCTCCTCTAGTGACACTTCGTAACACCCTTTCTACTTTAAATTCTAGAGTTTCTCGATAGCCGCTCGAGACTTATTAGTATTTCTAAAGATATTTTTAATTATATTTTCTAAGGAATAGTCAATAATATATCTTAAGTTAAGTACGAAATCTTTAAAGTTCCCCTATAGTACTAGTGTATAGTCTAGGGTTCTTAGGCTTAGTAATTTCTCCTAAGTCTCGGTAGTTCTAGATATCGGCTATAATATTATGTTCCTTAAGTACTTAATATAATAATATATTACATAAGAGCTGTTAATATATAATATTCAGGTCTAGACTAGCTATAGGGTTAGTAAAATAGAAGTTAGTTTATTAAACTTAGTATACTAGGATATTATCAACTTAAGCGGTCGGGTTATGATGCACTAAGAGGCAGATCAAACAGGTGGAAAAGGATGATCAATCCAAACGTCCTTGGGCAGCCAGTCGGTCAGCCTAAATAGGCATGGCGCGGCTGCTCCTCGGATCGTGTGCGCGCAGCCTGATTGGCTGCGGCGTTATCAATGCTATCTTATCGCTATCGTACCTGTACGTGTACGTGACCAGCACGTGACACCTACACACAGCGCAGATGCATCTTGGTTGAATGGCCACACAACCTCCAAAGTGTATCAGGTTATAATGTATATATAAGATAGTAGATCTTACGTAGATAATTATATTAATAGCTAAGGAGAGCTAATGAAGACGAACTATAATAAAGCTAGGCTTCTTATATACTAGTTAGGAGAGTAAGGGCTCACGGGAGTATCGTGATCTAGTAAGCTATATATCAATGCTAGAGCGTGGGCTCACGGTGAGGTCGTGAGCCATAACGACGCATAGTAGGCGCGTTGGTGTGATTAAAGGAAAAAGTAGGGTACACGTGAGAGGCGCATGCGGTCGCATGTCGGGTCGTAACACATGTACACTTCCAGAGCACACCTTCCTCACGCTGCGACCTCAGACACGTTAAATCTTCGCAATGTCTTCCCACGCCACTCAATCCGACGCTTCTCCCGACCCGGCGGGAAATGGCGAGGACATCTCCGCGCATGAGGTGGATATTTCTTCTCCGTCTTCTGTATCGTTCCAATCCGAAGCTTCGTTTGATCCGATAGAAGGTTTCGAGGGTATCTCGTAATCGCAAGAGGCCACTGCTCGTGCTTTCCGAGACTACTACGCCTTTCTCGCCAAGATGTACGTGGACGAGTCCTGCATTGCCGAACCACCCCCTGATGGCTGGCCTTCGATCACGAGCGAGAGGTATCGTGGTATGGGCAAGACTGACACCGTCGTTAAGCTACTGCGTCACCTGCCCTATCTAGTCGAGAAAACCCCAGGATTACGCGACATCGAGGCTATTCCCTATTGCCATTTCTACAACTTTGAACGCGGTTCCCCTAGGTCAGATGATGAAGAAGACCTAGCCAAGGTCTTGACCGAAACTCACGAGTGGGAGGATTTCTTCCCTCCACACGTTTTCGGGTTTTGCTCGGGAGAGGACGACCCTCACGTATTACTACTTGATACCCAGTTAGGCTTTGTATACTGGCTAGAGGCTCCGGGCTATATTAAGTTTAACGACGGTTCGAACCCGTCTTTCATCTCCCCCGTCTTCAACAATCCCTCCGAATGGGCCCCCGAGAGCGAACAGGACTGGCGCGAAGAGCCATGCTGGTCTATCCCTGATTTCTTCGAGATGCTGAAACAACAGTTCATCCAGCTACAATTTATCCCCCTCAACCCACAAGAAGTTGTCGAACCCAAGTTTTCTCATAAAGTAGAAGATATCTATAGGCGGTTTGGCTGGCCAGACCTGGAGAAGTATCGCAAGGAGGAATGCCAAGCGGCTGTTCGAGCTTTTCTCGTTGCGCGCGAGGAGGCTGAACATGTAGAATGATTGAGTAAGAACATCTAGGGTTTGGGATGAAGCCCCTGTCTATATGGAATGAGATACTTGCCAGTAAATTGAGTATGAAACATACCGCCGGGTTGTTCAAGCCGTACCCTTCTATCTCTCCAACCGGGCATCTTCACCATGTCGATGTCAGAGACCTACCAGCACACGTGTCCCGTGCGTCGTTCAGTTGTGAAAGATGAAGACAAGAAGAGCTTGCCTACTTTTTCTTGCTAGTTCACCACTCCATCATAGTTAATTCTAGCCGCCCAGTGAAAGGCCTCAAGTGATTCGCTGTTCGCTCCAGGAGCTTTCCAGGAGAGAGAAACCGCTTTCTGGGGTTCGCACTAAATAACAATATACACGGTACATTGCAGTAGCTGCTCGTACGTTTCAAAGGCCTAGAACAGAGATAACATTGGACGTAATGGCGTTCGCCTTGCTTCAAACCGAAGTGGCTGTCCCAGCATACCCAGCTCCGGAAGAGATAAACGACGAGACACAGTTCAACCATGTTGGTCAGAACCGAGATAGCTCTGGTGAGCTCGCCATCCAAGATGCTCATCTTGCCGCTCATGGCGGACTCTAGACTACATAGGGGCCATGAAGCAAGTTCAGCGTTAAGTGACAAACTTCTCGTCCACAACATTGGTGCCGAAGAGGCTCATCCATTCATGTATGTATATGTTTTGTAATGAGGCGTCTTACCTAAAGGCTTCGACACATGTTGCACGTTTGCAAGGTGCTTCGTGCATAGTAAAAGGGGGAGATGTGCATGATGGAGTTCACCTCAAACATTGAAGACTGCTCAAGATTAGTGATTCTGAACCATTTGCGATACTTGCCGTCTGATAAAGAGCACGCCCAGACGCAGAAACTGGCCCTGACAGCAGTGCCATTTCTGCAATTTAGTGCGTAGAAAAAGAAGAAGAAATTTTATCTACCTTTGGCAGCAGACTTGAACTTGAGCTCTCACGACCCCGCACATGTGACTTGGTTCTAGAGTCCTCGCGAATGTCGTAATGATGCCACTAGCGCCGCCCTCGAAGTCGTCGACATCACCGGTTTCCAAACCCGGATAGCTTGCGCTTTGTGGCTAGGCTAGCCACAGAAGGAAAACATGCGGACTATTATGTGCGATTGCTTGCGGTGAGTTCCTGCGTAGTTCGACAGGAATGGGCGATGGTTCCGTACGCGCGGCCACCACGAGAATTGGCGGGCCATCTAGACCCTCTTAACAGAGTTGAAACAAGGTTATCTAGAAGCAGCTTTCCCGCACGGGAGGTTATTCTGCGCGCGCATTTTGAAAACCACTCTCGGATTGACTCACTCCCGGCCCCCAGGACCGCGTGGTAATTAGTGAGTCGGCGCAACCTGATGTTCGCTGAGACTGTGGCTGATGGCTGTGGCTTTGAGCAACGTCGAGCCTTGAAGATTGCGATCAGCGATGTGGCCATGACGTACGCGCGTAATGGCAGAGTTGGACCAGTTGGTGCTGGCGAAATCCAAGACGATTGGGATGCTCGAGGTATTCGACGGGTTTCAGGAGAAACCATTTGTAAGGCCTGGGCGCCAGCACTGCCTCAACGAGCTAATGACAGAAATAATCAGCAACGAAGCATTGTCAGACTTGCGCAGGCCTCATTGGGCCGTCATGACTGGAATGGGAGGCGAGGATGGGTCTCTGCTCCGCTCGCAAGCCAATAGACACGCTGCGTATCTCGTAAAAGAATCGACCGATCGATCAATTTGACAATTGTCGCCCAAGACCCCGTAGTGCAAACAAATGAGCTTGGCGTCCACTAGACAGGGGAGCCAGTGTGACGCCTTTATTGTGACAGCGCTCTGGGTTGCGACAGTCGCGTCCTATGCATGTTCATCCCTGGATCCTGCAGTCCAGTCCCCTTCTGCCCAGCCCTCTTTGCTCCATCGCCAGCGCTCGCGGACTGCCGTCTCTTTTGTCACGTTCAACCCATCCCAGTAGACCGCCTGATGCTCCACGATTCGATCGTCAAGTCACCACCTTTCCTTCGCTTACACACGCAGCTTTCACTCGCTCCAGTCTTCCGGACCACTGCAAATAACCTTTGGGCTTCCAGTCCGTCGACTCGTCGCTCAGCGGCTTCGAAGCCTAAGACGAAATCACACGAGAGCAACACGAGCTGGCCTCGACACGGCCCTGCGCTGCTGCGAAATCATAGCAAAAACACAATTACGATATTCGACGCCCACCTCGACTGAACCTCCCCCGCGGTCACTGTTGACACGGCGCTGTCACCATGAAGTTTAGCAAGCTCTTGGCCGGCTTTGGCCTCATGGCCACTGCTGCAAACGCCATCGACGTACAAATCGACGACGAGCGTGCGTGCCCGTAATCTAGTGGAAATTCTTCGACTAACCGCGTGCGCATAGAGAGCCGCAAGGAGGCCGCCGGTACCGTGGCGTATGGACTACTCGGATTCTACTATGGCAATAATACGGGCGATGTTCCCGGCAACCTGCCAGATCCGTATTACTGTCAGTGTGTTGAGTTTGCTGGCGTGCCCCGGCTAACCGACCGTAGGGTGGCTCTGTGGCGCCATGATGGGCACCTTGATCGACTACTGGCATTTCACAGGCGACGAGTCTTACAATGACCTGGTAAAGCAAGCCATGGTCCATCAGGCTGGAGTCGACCGAGACTTCTTACCCGCTAACCAGACCCGTGCGATGGGTAATGATGACCAAGGGTTCTGGGCCATGACAGGCATGCTCGCCGCCGAGTACAAGTTTCCCGACCCTCCAGAGGACGGGCCCCAGTGGCTGGCTGTTGTGCAGGCCGTCTTCAACGAGTTCGCCTCTCGATGGGACGAGGAACATTGTGGTGGTGGTCTGCGTTGGCAAGTGTTCGACTTCAATGTTGGGTGGAATTATAAAAACTCAGTATCCAACGGCTGTTTCTTCAACATAGCCTCGCGCCTGGCTCGCTACACGGGCAATGACAGCTATGCCGACTGGGCCGAGACCGTCTGGGACTGGGAGAACGAAGTTGGCCTCATGACCGACAAATACCAGCTCAAGGACGGTGTGACGATTCGCGACGGCCAGGACTGCCACGAGGATATGGACCCCACCGAGTGGTCTTATAACTCGGGCGTGTGGCTGCACGGTGCCGCCATCATGTCCAACTACACCGAAGACGCTAAGTGGAAAGAGCGTACTGAGGGCATCCTCAACCATGGTCTCGAGATCTTCACAAAGGACGGTGTCATCTTCGAGCAGAACTGCGAGCCCTGGGGCATCTGCGACGACGACCAGCGGTCATTCAAAGGCTATTACATGCGATGGCTCGCTGCAGTGGCGCAACTCATTCCTGAGCTTGCCGACCAGATTGTCCCTCTCTTGAAGGATACCGCTGTGATTGCAGCTGGTGCTTGCTCTGGCTCGCCCACTGGGCCCATTACGAACCATCCGCCATTCAAAGGACATCCAGGCACGGCCTGCGGATTTACATGGCTGAACGGGTCAAGCTTTGACAACAAGTTTGGCGTTCCTGAATCAATGAATGCCCTAGCTGCCCTCTTGTCCACCTTTGAGGCCGATCCGCCTGTTTCAGCGAAGACGGGTGGCACATCTATAGGGGACCCCGGCGCTGGCGGAAGCGATGAAGAGAAGGTGAGGACATTCAGTCCCATCACGACAGGCGATCGGGCTGGTGCTGGTATTCTCACGACCATCATCATCTGTGGTGTGATTGGCGGTAGTGCCTTCTTGATTATTTAAGCGTGTGAGTTCAGGCTCTTCTCCCGCATCGCCGAGTTCCTGTGATGGACTCGTTGCGTGTGGCACTTGAAGGTTAGGGATGGGCGTTGGAGGCGTTTGACGAGAAACCAGCCAATTCGGGCCGCAAGCTCAGAGATGACGGATGTGTGGTCACCTACCTATGTACCGAGTATATTCCCATCGTTTCGCATATCGAGCGTGCAATAAATGCAGCCAGAAGTTAGATGTCCTGCGACTAAATAGTGAGTATGAATTGGAGCAACGCTCAAGTCAAGCCCCGCGCGTCTGTTGCATCTTCCAGTCCAACTCACGTCACTGTGGCGCTCGGCTTCCCATTTACATCAAACAACGTATCGAGGAGATCTTGTTCAAATCATTTCGCATAGCAAATATGTCGGCGAAGCACTTCATCAATGATCCAACCAAGTTGGTCGACTCGGCCCTCAACTCGGTTACCCTCATCAACCCCAACGTCGCTCTCGATCCGGAGCACAAAATCGTCTACCGCCGTCCAAATGACTCTCATCCACCCCAAGTTTCCATCATCGCGGGCGGCGGATCTGGCCATGAACCATCGTTTGCCTCCATGGTGGGACCGGGAATGCTAAGCGCTGCCGTCGCAGGGACTATCTTTGCAAGCCCCTCTGCCGAACAGGTCCGCCGGGCCATCACCTCCCGCGTGCAGACGGCAGAGGGTATCCTCGTGGTCGTGATGAACTACACAGGAGACGTGCTGAACTTTGGCATGGCGGTAGAGAAGGCGCGCGCCTCGGGGACCAGGGTGGAGATGGTCGTCGTGGGCGATGATGTTGGCGTGGGGCGGACAAAGGCCGGCAAAGTAGGAAGACGAGGCATCGCCGGCACGGTGCTCGTCCTGAAGATTGCGGGAGCGTTGGCCGCGCAAGGCAGATCGTTGGAGGAAGTGAGTCAGGTGGCTAGGCTCACGGCTGACAACCTGGTCAGTGTTGGCGCAAGTCTGGAGCATGTCCATGTGCCTGGGCGTGAACTGACGCAGGAGGACAAGCTCGAGCTTGGAGAAGTCGAGATTGGAATGGGTATTCACAACGAGGCTGGCTCTGGCAGGGGAAAGATGGACCTACTAGAACTGGTGAGAAAGATGCTCTCGCAACTGTTGGACTCCTCCGACGCGGACCGCGCGTTTCTCAACGTCAACTCGAACGAATGTGTTCTTTTGGTGAACAATCTTGGTGGAGTCAGTCTACTTGAGCTCGGTGGCATCGCGGCAGAGGTCGTGGCACAGCTGCAGAAGGACTGGTCGATCCAGCCTGTTCGAATCTTGGCTGGCACCTTCATGACCAGCCTGAACGGACTTGGGTTCAGCATTTCTCTGCTCAATGTCGTCAATACGAACATTGGCGGCCCTGGTATGATTGAGCTCCTCGATGCCGACAGCGAAGTCACCGGATGGGCCGCGCCGATCAAGAAGACGACCTGGGAGGCAAAGAACAAAGCAGTCTTGACTGAAAGCATCGATGATTTTGCGCAACAGGCAAAGCCAAGTGGTCTCACAATCGACCCTCAGGTCGCCACGAAAGCACTAACTACAGCTCTCCAGACGGTCATTGCTGCGGAGGCAGACATTACACGGTATGATACAGTAGTTGGGGATGGGGATTGTGGCATTGGCCTGAAGAGAGGAGCTCAAGGTAAGTTCGCCCCCGTGCAAGGCACGTCGCATTGTTGCTGACGACGAGTCTAGCTATCCTCAGTCACATCGACAAGCATCCATTGTGCGAAGACATTGTCAGCAGCCTTGCTTCCATTGTCAATGTCGTCGAAAATGTCATGGATGGCACGTCCGGTGCCCTCTACGCTATATTTCTCAATGCTCTTGTGAAAGGGCTGCGTGAGCAAGGACCAGGCGATGTCACGCCAGATGCGTGGGCCAAAGCCCTCAAGCACAGCTGTGATGCGCTGTCCAAGTATACACCCGCTCGGCCAGGAGACCGCACCCTCATCGACGCCCTGTACCCTTATGTTGAGACGCTAGGCCAGACAGGGGACGTGAAGAAGGCTGCCGATGCCTCAAGAAAGGGGGCCGAGGGGACCAAGGGAATGAAAGCAAGCCTTGGGAGAACTGTGTATGTTGGTGGCAGTCTTTACGAGGAGGTCCCGGATCCAGGGGCTTGGGGGCTTGCTTGCTTCTTCACAGGCCTAGCTGGTCAAAAGCCCAACGAAGAAGGCTGGAAGAGCATTTGATCTGTGTCTAATTAGTTTGCAATGTGAATTCAGTAATCAAATGTGTATACGCGGACGAGAGGCTCAGAGTAAAAGCAGTTTTCATTGGAATAATCACAACCAACGCCTGGAGTCTCTTACAACCATGCTCAAGCGCGAGAGCCACATGTGTTTCCCTCTCCCCAACCTGTCCGTGATCTTAATCGAGCGTCGCAATCAGCTGAGTAGTACAAGGATGACGCTATCGCCTCTTAGAAACCTGCTGGGCGTTAGCACTGGCGTGGATACCGAGAAACCCCGTGCGAAACACACATTTTGCTGATGAAACGGTCCTTGTTGACAGGCCTTCCCTTCTTTCCGTCTGCCAATCTCGGTGTCTCTGTCCACATCTCCTTCACATTCTCCAGTACCATGTTGCAGTGTCGGTCGAAAGCCTTCACGCGCGCCAGCAGTTTGCGATTGTTGCGGACGGAGATCAGGACTTGGGTATGTGAGCGAACAGCGGTTTGCAGAATCGACAGAGGTCCGGCCGAGAACTCGTGCTCCTCAAGCTGCGCAATCTCGTACTCCCTAGCAAGATGTCAATATCGCTGGGTACTATCGCAGAATGCGGACGGGTGTCAGGCGTACGTGAGCTTGTCGCGATCCTTTGTGAGGAGTTCTCTGGGGTCCATCAGTATTCAGAACAGAGCACATCGCATACGGCGGTACGTACTGTATCTTTGCGTCGGCCATGGCGTTTGTATGTGTTGAATTAAAAAGAATCTACGTAGGGCGTGTCGCGTAAGTCTATAGCTTGAAGCTCGAAAAGATCCATGTTCAAGCACTCTTTTGATTGGTCAGTTTGAAAGCCCTGTGCAAATACACAATCTGCACGCGTTACGGTGCTTATTGTGCGCGAGCACCACCACTAATCATATATTGGAAATGCGATGCTATCCTCGGGTAACTTGGGATTTTGGCTGCATCTTCATAGCCGTGGAAAACCATTGCCGCGGCGCATTACCATACTTCAACCCTCAACCTAGGCTCGACCCCACCCATTCCTGTCGATGCGCTTGCTATCATTGAGGAGCGCGTCGTCAATTGGCCTCTAATGTCGTTTCGAAGCATAGCAGCACGGGCTGGCCACGCAGCAAGTGCTTCAAGCCGTCGTGGACTCAGCATGGCACCACACGCAACGGCTCTGAGCCCATTCAGGGTGCGCCCTGTAAGCATTGATCCAGTATCCCAGCGTGTTGCAAACTGACGGAAAGGCCAGCTATCGACAGAGGCGAAATCAATCAAGGAGCTCCCTGGCGATGAAGACCACGATGTCGTTTTCGAAACCAAGTACGGCGTGCGTAGCATTACCCTGAACCGACCGAAGAAGCTTAACTCTTTGAACGCTTCCATGATTCGAAAGATTGTGCCGCGCATGGTGCAGTGGGAACAGTCTGATATGGCCAACGTGATCGTCCTCAAGGGTGCAGGCGAAAAGTCCCTTTGTGCTGGCGGCGACGTTACTGCGCTGGCCGAGGCGAACAGGGCCAGTGAGGATGGTTGGAAGAAGTCGGCTGAGTACTTTGGCCTTGAGTACAAGCTCGATCACTACATCTCCACGTACCAGAAGCCCTACATTGCGTTCATGGATGGTATCACGATGGGCGGAGGTGTCGGCCTCAGTATCCACGCCCCGTTCAGGATTGCTACGGAGAAGACCGTCTTTGCCATGCCAGAAACAACGATCGGCTTCTTCCCAGATGTCGGTGCCTCGTTTTTCCTCCCACGAATGAACGGTGCCGTCGGCACTTATCTTGCTCTGACAAGCGAGCGGCTCAGTGGTGTCAATGTGCTCTACTCTGGTATCGCCACGCATTACTTGCACTCCTCATCTCTCCCCGAAGTTGAGGCTCGTCTAGCTGAGATCCGCTTCTCAGACACGGACGACATGAACACGCGTTTAAGGCTGATCAACGGTACTCTTGAGGAATTCGTTACTGGACTTCCCTATGATCAGCCCATGCAGATTGCCGGAGAGGTGCGCAAGGCCATCGACCGGTGCTTCAGTAAGGACTCTGTCGATGAGATCATTGCCGCGCTCAAGGCCGAGACCGGCCCTACGGAGGAGTGGGCTCAAAAACAGCTGGCGACCATGCAGAAGCGTTCACCAACAGCAGTCCACGTGACGCTACGCCAGATGCGCTCGGCACAGGACTGGGATATTGCCCAGACGTTCAAGCGCGAGGCGCAGATTGCGACACAGTTCATGAAGCACCCCGATTTCAGCGAAGGCGTTACCGCGCTCCTGGTGCGCAAACAAAAGCCCACATGGCAGCCGGCGACTCTAGATGATGTCAAAAACAGCAAGAGCACCACCGATTCTTTCTTCAAGTACGACGAGGCGAACACCTTGGATCTCTTCACCGATCGCACGTATGCTGAATACCCGTACCCTCCCGAACTGTCAATGCCCAGCGAGCGCGACTTCAGGAGGATCTTGAAAGCAAAGCAGAATATTACTCCCTCGCAATTGTCGAAGGCTATGGTTGAGATTTTCAAGAGACGTCAAGGCGTGTACGAAATCGTGGAAGAGATCAGGGCGCGGAAGATTGTCACGAACGAGGCAGGGCACGCCCAGTGGGCGTACGATGAGTTCGAGCTTGCACAAGAGAAGCGGGAGGCTCAAAAGGCCAGCAAGGCCATTCAGGACAAGAAGGATGCCCAGGTCGCGACGGGCAAATTGTAAGATAGACTATGTACACGTGTGGTGGCGTTAAATCAGTGATGGGACTGCGTGGTCCCTGAAGCGATGAATGGGGAGCACTTGTCAGAAACGCAGAGCAATCGCGATTTGTGACAATGAGTCTTCACTTGGCAGTACACCGCCCTCACATGACGTGCTTGCTAGGTATGATAAGGCACGTATTACTTCCGATTGAGCGTGGAGTTGGTGTCTCTCATGACACGAGGTGATCACGGGGTCACGTGACTTCTCCAGGCCATTCGTCGGTCTTGCAGCCTAGTCGTTGTTCCTCCCGCTTCCCTGCTCATCGATACGTTAGACTGCTTGTCCTGCATCTGTCCATCCCGCGGCTTTCATTGATTGTCGAAGAGCTTGAGACTTGCATCTTTCGCTCAGTTTCATTGCATTCCTCGCCAGCTTTCTCCAGGACCATCTGTCGGCTGTGTTCTAGCTCAGACGCCTGCGTCATCACCCACTCAACAGAGCTCCCTCCGGCGGAAGCTCAGCTTGCCAACCCAACCGAGACACGCCCACACGTTACCTGACAGTCACTATGTAAGTTCTGACATACGTACATGATGAATCTCAGTGACTCATAAACTCTAGGGAGGTTCTTTTGGGTATTTCCGGAAAGGACTTTGTCCTAATTGCAGCTTCCAAAGCTGCCATGCGAGGGGCAACCATCCTCAAGGCTTCCGACGACAAGACGCGGGAGCTCAACAAGAACACACTCATGGCCTACTCCGGAGAGGCTGGTGACACTGGTGAGTCGCTGTTTCTCTGAGAAATGACGTGCCGACTAAATGAAATCAGTGCAATTTGCAGAGTACATCCAACGTAATGCGCAGCTATACAGCATGCGCAATGAAACCGAACTTTCTCCGCCAGCACTGGCCAACTTTGTACGAGGCGAGCTTGCCTCAAGTCTCCGCAGTCGGAAGCCATATCAAGTCAACCTCCTGCTTGGTGGCGTAGACAAGGATACAGGCAAGCCCAGCCTTTTCTGGCTGGACTACCTGGCGGCGCTGGCCGAGGTCCCGTACGCCGCGCACGGTTACGCACAGTACTACTGTCTCTCCATCTTGGACAAACATCACCAGCGCGACATTTCGCTAGACAGGGGTATCGAGCTGCTCAACCTCTGTGCGGACGAACTCAAGAGGCGGTTGCCGATTGACTTCAAGGGACTGACGGTGAAGGCGATCACGGCAGAAGGTGTGAAGGACATTCCGTATGACGATGACAAGATTGTCAAGTCTGCATAGGATGGTGGAGGGCGCGTCAGAAAATAAATCGCAATTGATGTCTTGCGGAAATGTGCATTCTTCTTAATGTGGTGATGTTGTCGGGGCGACTTTCCGCTCGCGAATTGGAAAAAGTGGAGGCCGGGGATGCAAACCATCAAGAAAAACACCAAAATCATCAGAAAGCGACCGGCGGACAAGCTTCAGTATCTAAGCTTTGGACAAACAATGTCTGGCCGTAGTGGAGGGGTCAAAAGAAAGGTGTGGCACGCGTTAGTCACGGGAAGGTACCAACAACCCAACACCCAAAGCATCTCCGATGGCCTCACGTCGATATGGGTTCACAAGGAGCAGGTATAAAAGGGAGCGGCACGCCCGCCATCGTACGGGGCCCAAGGAAACTCCTGCAAAACCGGACTTCTTTATTTCACTCTTCGAGAGCTCTAACCGGGGTGCCTCTGAGCGTCCGGAGGTGCTTGGCTAAAGTCCGTCGTTCATCGTCTCAACGTTCTGGTTTGAGACATCGCTCACCTAGCGGTCAAGATAGTCACATTCAGTCATGCCTGAGGCAGCAGGCGCGCCACAGCGAAGTCGACCCGATTAGGATTAGTGCCGGCATAGAGATAGCCCCGCGACGATTGGCTGGTGAAATCTGTGGCTGGCGGGTGGGCCCTCTGCAGCAGGCACGCGTCCAATCCTACGGCAAACGTCACTTACAAGATCTCAGACGCGGCTTCCCTCTGGACTGTTTGGCGATCGCCATAACGGCCATTCGCGTCAAATATCCTAAGCCCTTCTCTTTTATTGTTCATCTTCGGGCTCATTTCTTGGGCTCACATCCTCCCTCCATACTGTGTCTTTTTGCCATCTGGCGGAGGTCTCAGTGCGTGTTATAGACAGCTCCACAGCCTGAAAACGCGCTGATACCACGGTCAGGGTGGGTTCAAGGTCACGGCGCGTCACGAACAATACGCCCCAAGAGCCTGCCATTGCCTGGTCAATGAGACTTGGTTTCTGCTGCAACGCACCCCATTTCAGTCACAACCACGTCTTGACGCCGAACTCATCTCGACCTACAATCAGTATCCTGCTGCAGCCCAGCTGCCGAACGACTATATTACATACTCGAGGCCGAGGTTGGCGCCAGAGAGCACGTCTCCTAGGAGACGACAACCTTGGTCATGGCGTCGCCTATGCCGACCCAATCCTCGACTGGCTGGACCAACCAAGGGCAGGCGATGCCTCCATCACAGAATAGTGGTGACGATTCGGGCGTTCAAATTCGTCCCGTCGGTCGTATGTACAAAATCTTCGGCGACATTTACGCCATGCTAATACCTCCTCAGTCAAGGTTCTATACAAGTTCAATCACGATGACAGGTTCGACTGCCTTGCGAGACCGAGCCAAACGTTCAGTCTGCAAACAATAGCCTTGGATGAGAGAACGACGATTGGCGTGGTGGATTTACGGACGTGCATACAAGCGGTCATCGACTGTAGCCCAGAGCTGCCTGGGAGGGAATGCGACTTCACCATATACGCTCACGATTATTCGGAACCGGACACTCCTCTCGTCGGTCAGGGCATGCTCTCAACGGCGCTTCAAACCTTGCAGCAGGACTCGAATGCGCAGCCCAAGATGGTGACAGGGCTTTTGACGCAGAACAAATTGGGACTTTTGATGGGGAACGCCAACAAGGAAACTCTTGAAGTCAAAATCAAGTTCACAGAGACACCCAGGCCACAGCAACAGCAACCGATCCAGTATCACCCTCTGCCGCAACACCCAATTCAACAGTCAAACCAATCACAGAGTCAGCACGAGGCATATCACCCAGCGAACAAGGCCCTTGATCGATCTTTGACGCCAACTGGCGCCGCTGAGTGGAATTCGTTTGTGCAAGCGAACCCTCAGCTCGGTCAATCAACACATTTCTCAGCGGCAGTACCGCAGCCAAGAGGACGACCACCGCACTCGAGGACGAACTCGTGTTCCCACTCGCCTCTGCCTCAATTACAACCTCAACCCTCGTTTGAAAGCCACACTAGGCCGGGTACAGGGAATCTTAAGATTGCCCCAGTACCCGCCGAGAGCGAAGCCGCATCAAGGCCTATCGAAGCAAATGCTGGTCCAGTCTCGCGACCCTCTAGTAGGGCATCCAACAAAGCCCCGCCCAAGCCAAGGGGCCGGACAGGCAGGCCTCGAGGACGCCCACCACGCAACAAAAAACCAGTGGAGGGCAATACGTCTGGGTGCGAGGAAGCAACAGAAGGTGAAGATGGACCTGCGAAGAAACGCGCCAAGACGACAAAGGTAGATATGGTCACTGGAAACCCTTTTGGCAGTGAGCCAGACTCGCTCAGAGTAGCTGCGAGCACTTCGGGGTCATTGCGCAACTTCCGGCCGATTGCGCAACGTGGGAGCGAGGGTCCTGCTGGGCCAAGCCACTTGCAAGAGGTTCCCAGGGCGCCTACACCGGTACCCATGGGGCCGTTACGCGGAGGCAAAGGCGCCAAAAAGACTGCCCCTTCGCAATCAGCAATAGGACGTGAAACCTCCGTGCCGCAGCTTTCTCCACGGGGCCAGAGACTTCGACAGATATCTCCTGGCCAGGATGATGGGCGCTCACCAGACTCGATTGCGGAGACGGCAGTGCAAACACCAGCCTTTTCGGAAACCAGTCCACCTGATATTCGCTCTTCGCCGCCTGTTCCTCGCACTCAGTCTTTTTTGCAGTCGAGTCCCCCGCCCTCGAGCCCGGTGCTCCCACCGATGCCCATGGAGCCATCCCAAAATGAGGGTCCGGGGGACGCAGATGACGTGCTCAGCGAACATAAATCGCAACCCCAGGCTGCGAGGCAGAGGAAACGGAAGCCGAGGGTTCCAAAGGGCACACTGGGTGGCCCAAGACCTGCCGCTCAAATTCCTTACCAGGTCTTTCGCATGGAGGATGGGCCGGATGGAAGTCAAGACATGGTGCACGTTTGCAACTATGGGACACCTGAGCCAACATCGGCCCCAGCATTGCCGCCATCTGATGCCCTACCACAGCCAGCACTTCACGCTGCCAAAGCCATCGGTACTACCCGCCCTCGTGAGATTGACTCTTCAAAGAACACTCAAGCAGTGTCGATGGCCCCAACTCCGCCTAACACTACGGATGCCATCGAGAAACCTACAAGTCCACCGCTGCCAACGGATCAGGACCAGCCCACCGCGCAACGCGAGCCTGCCAGACCCATGCCTGACCTGGCATTCCAGTCGCAACCGGGTCAGAGTGAAGCGCAGCAGCCGTCCTTCACCCCTTTACCAGACGCAGAGCTCGGACCGTCGACCGGAGGTGTGCAACCACGAGTGCCCAACCTCTTGCCGAGCGTTGAACATGCTTCCAATGAAACGGCGCCTGTCACGAATTCGGCCAAGCCTACCGAGCAGGCTGCTCGTGAGCCATTTGCTGTGGCTGGTCCAGACGCCCAGCCCATACCGCCACAGGAAGTTGCTCCTACGTCGGCAGCACCGAAGCCAAGAACCAAAGCACCACCAAAGCCGAGAAAATTGGCCCGGTCACAGTCGGCAGGCAATCTGGGGTTACCGAATATGCCTGCGAGTGAACCCATGGGACCTTCAAGCCTGTCGCAATCGATGACCGGCGATAGTGATCAGGTTCTCTCAGCTGGCGACCCTTCCACTCTACGCAGGGCAAAGTCATCTGGTCCCACTGATGTTCCGGTGCCAGCAAGCGATCCTGCTGGTCCAACGACAACTCAAGCCGCGACGACACCATCGTTCGCGCTCGCGCTTCCTGATATCCCGTCTTCTACGGCAGATGGCGCGACCTCGTCGCAGGAGGAGAAGACCAATAAAAATCTCGTGAAGAAGACGGCTATCAAGCAGCGACTAGAAGCCGCCATTCGGAAGGGCGAAATGCCGCCGTATTGCAGCAACTGTGGCGCTATCGAGACCCCGACATGGCGCAAGATTTATGGTCAAAACCACGAGGGCCTGGCCCCTCACCACAATCCCGAGGAGTACTCATCTAAGCCTGGGATGGTAACGACTGTTGATGTGGTTCGCGCCGCGACCGAGGGGAAGGCTGGACTGTACCGTGTCATCAAGAAGAATCTTGGTCCAAATGACGACAAATCGGCATGGCATGAACTTCTGCTGTGTAATCCCTGCGGCATCTGGCTTGGCAAGACCTTCAAGCTTCGTCCTCAGAACCGATGGGAGGGCGACGCTGCTCGTCTGGGACAGAAGAGAAAGAAGAAGTCATCTTGTGACGTGCTCGACTCTCGCCCGGTCAAATCTCGTACCAAGAGCGACGGGGTGATGATGCCGACGTCTGAAGCATGCTTCCCGACTACGGATGCCATAGGACCCGATGATTTCTGGTCACCCTCGGCCGGGATGACAGACCAAATGACGATCGACCCAGCGCTGGGAAGAGAGCCTACGGCAGACAGCATGACGCAGAGTTTCGAGGCGGAAGCTACCCTTGAGCCGCAATCTACCAATTCGACTGCGACGGAAACTGCCAAAGGCCTCACACAAACGGAGGCTGCTAGGGATGCGGCGATGGGCACGACTAAGCGACTCCTGTTTCCCTCCCCACGAAAGGACCAGCCGTCCACCGCTCTCGGTGAAGTGGACATTAACATTGTGCAGACTGGTTCCGAACATCGTCTCGTCCAGGACAGTCCGCTCCAAAAGGAGAACCTCATCGTGACGACGACGCCCAGGGCTAGCGAAAACTTTGACGACTTGGAGGACTTGTTCAGAAGCCCTCTGCCCCTTCGCCCAACGACGCCATTGAACAACGGAAAAGCAGCGGCTCCCACGACACCATTCAAAACACCGGCGCGGGCGACGCCAAGTCACAGGCCGATCACCAGGAGCGTATCACGGTCTATCAAGTCGAAAGAGACCATGCTGGCGTCGCCCTTGCTCACCTTCAAAAGAACGCCTTCCCGGACACCAAGCAAGCCAGTGCTAGACGACATGGCGTTACTCGCGACGCTAAGCAAGCAAGCACACGAGGGGTGTGAAGGCAACGCTATGGACTTTGACGAGAGCATCTTCGATACGCCACTGTGCCGCGCTGTCAACCAGATGCTGTCCGAATCCAACTTTGGGATGCACGATGATGACGGAATGGACCTGATCGATGTGGACATGAACGCGCCGGACTGGGCCAGCTTCAACACCATCTTTAGCACAGATGCGCCTGTGCCCAGTTCGCCGCCCATGAAGGCCTTTCCAGGTCAGGTGGATCTGAGCTTTGAAGCACAGGCACAAATGTCCGAGCCCTGGAGCATGGACCAGATGGAGGATGCCGAGGATGATGTTTAGAGGCCATTTCCGAGGCAAAGTACACCAAGGTCATGAATCATGACTTTTACACTGATGGTAGGCGCGATTGCATTTCAGCGGTTCTGCTCTTGAGCGTTCAAATAGATGGAGTACTTGCTCCATGAGGGATACGTATCGCTGGCAAAGCTAGATGCGAGCACGGCGTTAGGAGTAAATTACATAGCAGTACCGTGAAGGACCCTGAAGCGAATTGTCAATTACCGATTTATACGAATTTGTTTTATCATCTTCAGATCATGCTCCCACTGCTGCCCGTTCAAACTCCTCCGCCCATGACGACAGTATGCCTAGATCGACCGGCGTCGAGCTAGTAGTCCACGGCGACTACAGATAAGTTGAGCTGTCTGGCACTGCTCTTACTAAAGTAAGTCCTTTGGTAGAGTCTACAGACAACCTGACACCCCTTCGCCACTTAACCTGTCACCTGTCACTACCTCACCGGTCACTACCTAACCGGTCACCTGACACCTAATATCCAGCCGACCCTATAGCAAATATATATATCGCGACTCTAAACCCTAAACTAAACCCTAGCTATCCCTAATCTAGCCTTAATCTAACCTTTTAGATCTATTTTATTAAGCTTCTTTTTTTTTTGGAAAAAAAAAAAAAAAAAAGCTCAAGTCAAGCTATATGAATTAAAATGAAGTCTCAATTCGTTTTAAACTAGTTTAAACTAGTTCTAGATAGACTTTATCGATAAGAGTTAGCCAAATTTATCTACTGACAGGGGGTGTCAGGTTGTCGCAACACTCAAGTAAAGTGGACCCGCTGCCACTTAACGCGTCTTGACTCCCAAAACGCGCGACGCGTCTCCCTCACCAGCTCGAGGCTTCAAGTTTCCACCATCATCAACCCCACCAAACCCGAATCAGCCACCGACCGAGTCGCCATTCTTGTCCATCTTGTTCAGACAGTCCAGACGCACGAAGGGCAATCGATCGCAATGGCAGACACGGTGGACGAAGAGCTCTCCGCGCGCTTCTCGCCCAACAAACCCCTCCCTCCCGACATCCTCACCGAGCTCCAATCCATCATGCGCCTGCACGACCTCTCGCCAGAAGACATCTATCTCAAGTGGGACTCGTACTGCCTCCGAATGGACTATGAGGCGCAGGAAGTCACCCTCGCCAAGATCCGTTCGCTCAAGCATGCCATCCAGGACACACTAGAAAAGGACAGCAGTCGACGCGCGCAACAGCCCAAGACGAGCGCCACCCCTCGGCAGCCCAGGGGAGGAGACGTATACGGCATCCTAGACGGCATGGTGCCCAGCACACCTGCGACAAGTGGGAAACTGAGGGCGCCAGGCAGTGGACTGAAGCGGAAAGCCGGCGAGACACCGAGGAGCAGCGCGCCCATGAGCTCGCCAGCAGGGGGCATGAGCGAGCAGCTCAAGACCATGAATGTGGGCAGCGTGGCTGTCTTCAGCGAACGCACAAACGCTGGAGAAGTGGTGGAGATTTTTGGGAAACAGCACGACGCGCCCGAACCGCCCATGGCGCCCCACGCAGAGGCGCGGATCAGGCTCAAGGCCGCGTCCGACCAGACAAAGACGGGATACAAGGCACTGGCAATGAAACTATCAGAGGCAAGCGGGATCCTCGACGATCGGATCGAGGAGTTCCAGACACTGGTGCAGGAGTATCACAGTCTCGAGGAGTCGTCCTTTGGGAGTGCCGCGAGCCAGAGCACCACCCCCATCGTGGCCGTCGGGAGGATAGCGTCCGACTCGCTGACGGGCAAGCTCAACGCTGCCTCCCTGGTGCTCGAGACGTCGAGACGAACCGGCATGGCGTTACGCATCCCACTGGATATGAGCAAGATTCGCAGCTGGAGCTTCTTTCCGGGCCAGACCGTCGCCCTCAAGGGCAGCAACACGTCTGGCAAGGCCTTTGTCGTCGAGGAGATCCTCGAGATCCCCCTCCTGCCCAATGCAGCCTCCGTCCCGTCGGCATTGGAAGCCCACCTGGAGAAGCTGCGCGGGGGCGCGGACGCCATGGTAGAGGACGACTCGGAGCCTGGCCCCCTAAACATCCTCTTCGCCTCCGGGCCGTACACCGCGGACGACAACCTCGACTTTGAGCCACTCCAAGCGCTCTGCAGCCAGGCGGCCGATGCCTACGCCGACGCGCTCATCCTCACCGGGCCCTTCCTCGACATTGACCACCCCCTGATCGCGACGGGCGACTTTGACCTGCCAGACGACGCCAACATCGATCCCGACACCGCCACCATGGCCACGGTCTTCCGCTATCTCGTGTCGCCGGCGCTCAACAGGCTGGCAGCCGCCAACCCGAGCATCACGATCATCATGGTGCCCAGCGTGCGCGACATAATCGACAAGCACGTCTGCTGGCCCCAGGACACCGTGCCCCGTCGCGATCTCGGTCTGCCCAAGGCCGCCAAGATCGTCTCCAACCCCATGGCGCTGAACCTCAACGAGGCCGTCGTCGGCCTCTCGTCGCAGGACATTCTCTTTGAGCTGGGCGGCGAGGAGGTCGCGCACAACCCGGCGCACGAGCGCCTGGCGCGGCTCTGTCGATACCTCGTCGAGCAGCGGCACTACTTCCCCCTCTTCCCGTCCATGGAGAGGAGTAGACTGCCGGCCACGGGCACCGAAAACAAGACGGCCACAGGCGCGGCGCTCGATGTTGGGTACTTGAAGTTGGGCGAGATGTTGAATGTCAGGCCAGACGTGATGATGACGCCCAGTGCGTTCCCCCCGTTTGCGAGAGTACGTCCACATGCCATGCCATTCCATTCCACATATTGATACTGACCATGGCGCGCAGGTTGTCGAGAACGTCCTCATGATCAACCCGGGCACATTGTCGAAACGCAAAGGCGCAGGCACATTTGCTCGCATGGCGCTCTTCCCGCCCAAGGTCGAGGGCGCCGAGCTGGTGGATGGTATGGTTGGGCATAGAGTCTTTGACCGCGCACGGGTCGAGATTGTCAGGATATAAAACGTAAAAAAGGTCCAAGTAAAAAAAAAAAAAAAAGGGGTATAATGATCGATTCACGGACGGCGCCCAACGTTGTTAGTCTGTGTCTGTCCGCCGCCTCTTGTCCCCGTCTCGCTCTGCCTCGCGCGACATGTCCCGCTTCCTCCCGAGCGGTATACTGTTGGATCCCCTCGCATCCCGTTCGTCGGGCTTGAAGCGGTCGTCGTCGGGTCGGAACCTGTCGTCCCCCCCACCGCCGCCGTTGTGATGCCGCCTGTCCCGCCTGTCGTCGAAGCGTCCCCAGGCGCCCGTGTCCTCGCTCCGCATGTCCTTGTACTTTGTCGCGCCCTTCTTGCCCAGCTTTGACATGTCCCTGATCTGCATGGCCGCCGGCAGCGTGTCCCGGTTCCGCACCTCGTCGGCTATCCGGGTGCCCATGATATCACGCTGCGCCAGACCGGCCTTCTCCATGTCCTCCTGGAAGAAGGCGCCCTTGTGATGGTACTTGCGCATAAAGTCGACCTTGCCCTTGGATTCCTTCTCGGCCTGCTGCTTGGCCAGGTGCTCCTCGTCTTCGGCTTGTCGCTCCTCCGCGGTCAGGTTACGTCGTCGCTCCACCTCCTCGAGCTCCTTTTCCTTCTCCTCGACCTCGAGGCGGGCTCTGCGCAGACGCTTCAGCTCGCGGACCTGCCATGCCTTCTCCTCCGCCTCGGGGTCCAGCCCGTCGGTCGTGTCGACGTCAGAGTCGGGATCCTGCTCGTCGTCCCAGTGTTTCTTGCCCGCGGCGCGCGCGGCCAGGTCCTTCTTGATCTGCTCCTCCACGAGTTCATCGGCCAATCTTTTCTTCGCCTCCTCCTCTGCGAGCCGCGCCCTCTCCTCTTCGTCTTCTTTTGTGGATGTGCCTCGTTGCGCTTTCGGCACAAACTTGGGTCGCATCATGAGTCGTCGCGGTGCCTCGTCTTCGCTGCTGCTCTCCTCTTCCGGGTCGTTGTCCTCGTCTTCATCTTCGTCATCGTCTTCGCTTCCTTCCTCCTCCTCCTCCTCCTCCTCCTCCTCCTCCTCTGTCACAAAACCTTCCTCAACCGCGGTTTTCTCGGCCGTTTCTTTTGCGAGTCGCAATTCCTCAGCCTTGGCGGCTTCTCTTCGCCGCGCTTCGAGGTCAACTTTGGACAGGTCCCCACCGGCAATCCGGCCCGCGCTCGCTGCTTTGGGCGGAGGGGGCACAGCCGCGGCGGATGCGCCGTTATCGCTGGCGCCATCGGAGTCTGAATCGGAGGAAGAGTCGAGTGTTTGCTTGCCGGGTCGGTGGCGCGATGGCTTGACCGGATTGGCGGTCATGCGCTTGGGCGGCATTTTGCGTGCGCTTGTGTGTGGATTGTAGCAGCGTACGGTCGGGACTGGGAGTGGCTGATGGAGTATGGGATGGGACTTTGAGAATGAATGGACGTTGTCGCGTGTTGGTGGGAGCTTGGGGCGCGATGGAGGGCAGAGTAGAATTTGGGTGGAGAGGCATGATAGTTAACGTTTGTCTAATCTACTTACCTACCCTGCAGCGAGGTCTGCGAATATAGGATCCAAGCACAGCCTGATCTGGTGTGCTTGAACAATGCTTAAGAGTAGGTAGTATTGAGTTATGCGCCATTTAGATTGAAGTGTTTTGTCTGTTTTTGAAACGCCTTATATTTGATGGTACAACCGTTGTTCTTGAGCAGCTGTATGACACTGTTTCAAATTTCACACTCTGTGGACGTGATCTGGCGCTATCAGCCATAGCTACTTCATCTGAGGGTCAATCAACAGCTCAAAACCACCAAGACATGGCTTCACCTAGCATTTGACCACAGTCAATTTAAGCATTGACAAAAGGCGCCCGGGAGAGGCACTACTCCAAGGCCAGGTGAAGTACCCTAGGGTAAGTAATAGCCAAGATAGAAACCCCACCCCACGTCATCAGCGGTTCACCCTCACAGTCTCATTGTACATCATAGCTCAACTGCCGCCTTTCCACCTTCACTGCCGGCCCGTCTCAGACCAGTCAAGAGACATTCCCGACCTTATCCATCAACCATCCAGTCAATATCTAAAGACAATGTCCCAGCGAACCGCCCTTGTCACAGGCGCCACGGGCTTGCTGGGTCGCCAAGTGTACCAAGCTTTCTCCTCCCCCGGATCCAAGTGGACAGTCAAGGGGACCGGCAACTCGCGCGCAGACGGCGTGGAAATCCTCAAGTGTGATCTGAGCTCGGAAGAGGAGATCAGCGCGCTGCTGTCCAAAGTCAAGTCAGTAACCCCAACTGCGACTCATCATGACAGGGCTAACAAACATGGACAGGCCCAACGTGATCGTTCACTGTGCGTACCTCATCACCACCCAGCGAGCGACGAAACTAATGTCCTGGAACCTCAACAGGTGCCGCCCAGCGCTTCCCAGACAAGGTCGACAAGGACCCTGAAGCCGCCCGGGCCCTCAACATCACCGCGTCCTCCACCCTCGCCCGCCTCGCTGCACAGCACGATGCATTCCTCATCTACATCTCGACCGACTACGTCTTCCCCGGGCGACCGGGCGAGGCACCCTACGCCGCGAGCGCCACGCCCGCTCCCACCAACCTCTACGGGCAGACAAAGCTCGACGGCGAGAGGGCCGTCTTGGAGCACAAGGGCACCGTCGTCCTCAGGGTGCCTGTCCTGTACGGCACTGCCGACACACCCAGCGAATCCGCGGTGAACACGCTGCTCGACACGGTCTGGAAGGTGCAGACAGAGGGCGCCCCCGTCAAGATGGACCACTGGGCCATCCGCTATCCCACTAACACCGAGGACGTCGCCCGCGTCTGCCGCGACGTGGCCGACGTGTACCTGTCCCACGCTGATGCCGCTTCCCTCCCCAGGATCCTGCAGTTCTCCAGCGAGGACAGGATGACAAAGTACGAGATCTGCGAGAAGTTTGCCGGCATCATGGGCTTGAAGCTGGACGGGATGGAGGCGAACACGGAGGGCAACGACCCCAACGCTGCGGTCCAGAGACCCTACGACTGCCACTTGGATACCAAGGAGTTGAAAGACCTGGGCATCAACGTGTCGACAATGGACTTTGTAGACTGGTGGAGGCGAGAGGTCAGAGCGTTCCGGAAGTGAATAGAATCACCAAGCCATGATCGGGGTCGACTACACCACTGTTGGTACTATTACACCACCGTTAAGTTTTTTTTTTGTGGACCAGGTCGACGAGGCGAGAGGAGCTATGCACCTACCTACCAGTGTAGGTCCCCAACCTATATGCACGTTACACATGCGCCGTACTCTTTACGTAGGGCCTCGAAGATCCGGAACATTCTTTACGTTAAATCAAAAGCTTGATCGCTGAGCCGCGAAAAGTGGAAAGCGGCCCTTGTTGCTGCCCTAGGCCGTTTCGGACGGACCTCAACGTCCGCATACGGGTCCGGGCTATTGATCATCGATCTTCTCGTCGCTGAGGCTCCAATCCAGAGGGCCACTCGTCCGGAGGCGTTCTCCGGCAGACACGGCGCCCACGTCAATCAGGGTTCCACCAGTCAAAGGGAGGGAATGCTCCGTTGCCGTCCATCATGGGCCACTTCAATCCGACGACTCTACCATTCCGTTGGTGAAGTAATGTGGCCCTGGCCCTTGAAACCTCACCAAACGAGCCGTGATCTTCAGGTCTGGGACCACACAAGCTGCACAACCAGAGAGCGTTCCAATGTTGGCCGACGTCACCCTGGGAGCAAAGGTAACGCGGGCAGACTCTGATTGCGTTCAGCTCTTCTTCCTAGCTATTAGCTTTCCAAACAAAAAGTCCAATGGATCCTTTCCAATCTATATGGAGTGCGCGACCCAGGCCTAGCTCCTTCAATACCAACAACGCTCGCCAGGAGAGTGAACTGTAAACCCACCCCACCCCCTATCAGGCTACCATAATGCCCCCATCCCAAACCGACTACTTTGTCGACCGCCCCCAAACATCTGACGAACCCGAGGGCACGACCGCAAGGACACCGGCATCTGGCTATGCCCTGACCAACGTCGGCAGCGTGCGGGAGCGCATACCGGCCACCATCCCAGACGAAGAGGGAGGAGGCCAAAATGGCGGAGACCTTGGCGTCAGAAATAGCGCTCGCCCGCCCGAGCCCAGCAACCGCAGGGCGCTCTCCAGCGGCACACGAGGTCCATCTCATTCTCACCAACCCCTCCAACAGTCGACGACAAACGTGACCGACAGAGCCACTGCTCCTGCACGGCGGCCCCAGACACTGGATCGTCAGGGGTACACCGATTATCCCCAGCGCGGCTGGGCCGACGAGGGCTACTATGAAGACAACCCCTGGTACGACGCCCCAGCTCGGAAACCCGTCTTCAGTCTTGGAAAACCGCTCCCTCACGTCGTCCGACGAAGGCGTAGACGGGTCAAGCATGCCGCGCCCAAAGACAAAGGCGACGAGGAGCAGGGACAGGTCATCGAGGACGTGCCTGAAGTCGTTGAGCCAGAAGGCGATGTCGACGACGACGCCTCGACAATGTACTCGCGGAGAGATCGGCAGTCTCAGTCAAGACTGGGCGACGACGCTTTGGACAACAGGATACCCCAGTCCACAGTCGGCGGTGTAGCCCACAGCAACAAGCGGAACGAAGCTGGTTTGCCCGTGTTCGACTATGTTCCCGGTCCAGCCAGGCGGATGGACAGTGGGCTGGCGCCCCAGCAGAGCAGGAACAGCATGCAGCCGCCGGAGCGTGTGCAGTCCGGTGTCTCGAGAAGCGCGCCGTCCTTCAAGATCGACGGCGAACCCATCGGGCACCATGAACATGCAGAGGTGGAGAGAGGCGAGAAATCACCAGACGAGCTGCGGAACTGGTGGGCACGCGTGAGGGCGCGGCATCCCGAGCCACTCGCTGAGTTCCTGGCCACCGGCATGGCGCTGTTCCTGGGCCTCTGCGGCACCCTGAGTGTGAACCTGTCCCAGGCGCTCAACGACACGTACGGCAGCTTCGAGACGTCGTGCTGGTCCTGGGGCTTTGGGTGGATGTTTGGCATCTATCTCGGCGGCGGCGTGTCCGGCGCGCACCTGAACCCAGCCGTGTCCCTCAGCTTCTCCATCTTTCGCGGGTTTCCATGGCGGTCGTGTGCCGTGTACGTCTGTGCGCAGTTCATCGCGTCCCTCGCGGCCGCGGGCCTCGCGTACGGATGCTACGCGGACGCTATCCACCAGCTCGACCCGGGCATGACGCAAACGTCAAAGGCCTTCTTCACGACGCCCAAAGATTTTGTGTCGGTCAAGTCGGCCTTTCTCAACCAGGTCGTCGGCGGCGCCATCATGATGATTGCCATCTTTGCGCTCGGCGACGACCAGAACAATCCGCCCGGCGCGGGCATGCACGCCTTCATCCTCGGCCTGCTGGTCACGACGCTCAAGTTCACGCTCGGCTTCAATGTAGGCACGGCGATCAACCCTGCGATCGACTTTGGCCCGCGCGTGGTGGCGTACGCCGTGGGCTATCGTGAACACAACGTCTTTGGCACTTGCTGGTGGATATACGGACCCTTTGCGGCCACCTTGATCGGATCCATGCTTGGGTGTGTCATCTACGACGGATGCATCTTTGTGGGGAGCGAGAGCCCCATCAACTATCGCATGCAAGGGTCTTGGAAAGAGAAGACGAGGCGCTTCTGGTCGCCATTCGTCTCAGGGAGCAGGAAGAAGACGGCTGCGAAGGATGTTGATGAGGATGAGGGCAGTTCGAGCCAGTAGGCTCGTCGATATCAAGTGTATGGATATATTGGTATGACTATTCGCGTTAGCGACCGGCGTCCTCCCTGCTCAGCATTTCCATATAGCGTAGCACGATAATCTAGCGAGAACGAAGCAAGCTTTCGATACAAGGATATTACGTGCACAGGGAGCGCGCCAGCTCGACGTTTCGTCACGCGTCTCAAAACAAAGCTCGTCTGCAGTGGAGGAATGCCACTTTTCTGCAGGGGTGACCAAAGGTCTGAGATGGATATGCGCCAGACACCGACGATGGTATGTGTGAGCCGCGAGTCTGGAACATACGCGACGCGACGCATCGGCATGCTGTCGTGGATGATCTGGGTGTGCGCGCGCTCTTCTAAAGAAGAGCGCAGGTCGTCGCGTCGTGCGCTGGGCACTAGGTTTGGATCTAATTTTTTCTGTTCCTTCTGCTGCTGGCGATTGATTAAGAACCCTTGATGTTCTGTGGTCTTCAGTCAGCATGGCAGATGCAACAAAGTTTGTTCCGGTGACGGTACTAGATGGAACACGGTCACGGTGCCCCAGCGGGCGCCCTCCAACATCTTGGGCTCCTCCAGCTCCAGTTCAGGCCCCTCCACCCCCGCCAAAGTCAGAGAACCGCCTGAAGTGGAAGCCCCAGCGCCAGAGGGCTCCATATCATCACTCTCGTACTAAGAGCCAAGCATCGTCCCCTTCGCCCACGGAGAGACGAGCCAGACAGTTTGAGGTCTTCCATGACGATGAGGGGCCAGCGAGGACGCAACAGCCATCGCCAACGAGACGTCGCTCCAGGAGCATTGCAGCTGGTACCCTCGGGGCCCAGGCCCAGGCACACAATGCAGCTAAGCGACAGTGGCGACTTGCGGTACGGAACGGCGAGGAAGAGGAAGAGGACCAGGACGCAGACGCAAGACGAGGCAGATCCTCCACAGCGACACCCAAATCGGCACTGAAGCCATCTTCGCGGCACCTCAACCAGTCGCTGCCCGTCACCCCATCGTCGCGCCCTTTCAAGACTGTTCCACTCACCAACCCGCCAAGTGGGAACAAGGAGAACTTTGGTGTAGTGCTCCCTACATGCACCGCGCCTGGCCCTGGCCCTGGCCCTGGCGACGACAACGCAGAGGCTGCCCGCTTGGCTGACGAGGTGGCCCGGCTCGAGGCTGAGACGGACCGCATCCTCGCGGAGCAGAAGAAGAGGGATCTTGCCAGGCTTCAGGCCCAACTTGCCTTGATCCCCACTCCTCCGCACAAACCCAAGCCAAAGCACCTCATCCTCGACAAACTCCCCTTTCTCCTGCCAAAGAGCGCGAGGTCCAATGGGACTAGTCAGCCAACTACACCACAGAGTGCGCCGGCAAAGACGCTGGCTTTCGTCTGGAACCCTACACCAATAGGCTCCCGAGACCAGACGACCTCACCGCAGAGCATGTACTCGATTGAACAAGGTGGCGGGGGCATTGTGCCCCAGACGGATGCGCCTGCGTCGGCGATCAATGGTGGTGAGAGGGTAGGTCCTGCGCTTCACTGAAATTTGTCTCGTGATCTCCTACTGACTCGACGCAGCGGGTGACGGTGCGATACTTGACTTCGACGATCAATCTGCCCGTGAACACGGACACAACGCCTGTCGATGTCGCCTACTCGACGGCCAATTTCGTCACCCACAACCTCACCCCAACAGCCTGCGTCATCATCGAGTGCTATGAGGTCCTCGGGTTCGAGCGCCGCTTGCGCCAGTACGAGCGCATCCGCGACGTCATGAACTCGTGGGATAGGGATCAGCAGAATACGCTGCTCGTGACGACTGTCGACGAGACGGCCCGGTCAGATGCCGACCTCAAGCTCGCCACTGTGCCACGGATAAGTGACCCCCCGACAGGCTTCACCTTTCGACTGTATCACTCGGCCCGCCCCGGCCGGTGGAACAAGCGATGGGTGACCCTCATGGACAGCGGCCAAATCTACGCCTCCAAGAAACCAGACGCGAAGCCCACGGACAAGGACAGCGCGGCACTCTGCCACCTCTCTGACTTTGACATCTACACGCCCCGCGAGACGCAAATGAGGCGCCACCTCAGACCACCAAAGAAGTTCTGCTACGCCATCAAGAGTCAGCAAAAGACACACCTATTCCCCAATGGCGAGAACTTTGTGCACTTCTTCTCCGCGGACGACGAGCAGCTCGCGCATCGCTTCTACGAGCTCATCCACGGCTGGCGCAGCTGGTACCTCGTGAACAAGAAGATTGACTTTGAGGTCAAAGAACAGCCAAGCTCGCCACCAGTCCGGCGCAGCGGCATCACCAGGACCAAGTCGGGTAGCGTGTCGAAAGCAGCACCTTCGCACAAGACAGCCATGGGAGGCGAGCCTGCCTACACGATAGGGGAATTCAAGCCACTGCTCGACATGTCTGAATTCGACAAGCCTTTGGAGCAATTTGGCAAACGTCAGTCAGAACTGGTGAAATCGCCTCAGAAACCAACACCGCCGCAGAGCGCCACAAGCAACAAGGCGCACAGTCAGCTACCGTCAAACACTGGTCTCGTCAGTCCTCAAGCTGAGGATGAGTTCTCCTCTGGAGGCCTCTTGGGCGAATCGTACGATAAGCGCAAGGCGCGGGAGGCTGTCGTCACAGAACCTCAGAAGACGGACAGTCCTTTTATCGAGGGCACACTCCTCAACAGACCCGCGACAGCATCTGCCACGGCCGTCCAGAAGCCCGATCAGGGTTCCTGGTTCCCTTCGGCGCAAGAGCACTCGGCCCGCAACCGTCCCCATCCGAAGCCTTCCGTACGCCGCCCACAAACGGCCGGTGCGAGTCAACCTCGCCGTGACGATGCGTCGCCTCCCTTACCGGGATTCCATAGCATTCCCAATCTGCCCACAAGGGGTCCCAGCCAGCGCCACGACATCGGACGCGCCGTCAAGCCTCCGGCCGGCAGTCCGCTGATCGAATTCGCCACGGGTGGCGTGACGAACAGTCAAGCCATGCCTGCGCGCAGCGAGACAAAGGGACCTCCACCCCATGGACACGGCCTGCCGCCCAGCAGATCCCGGAGTCGGTCGACTGCGTCGAGCCGGGCCGATGGGCCTCGCATGCCGCCGAGCAGTCGTCCTCCTCTTCCGCCGGTGCCACTTCATTTGGCAAGGCGACCCGACGAGCGAGACCGTGCAGGGTCTTCTTCTACCACTTCTTCTTCTTCGCATAGGAGTCGTGACCCGCGTCATCAGGGACCGTTGATCAACAGGGTGAAATGAGTAGCTCAGCCCTGTCACCATTCACAATGTACATATTTATGGTCATTCCGGCATGGGAAAAGGGGCGCACTGGTTCTCACTGAATTCAAAATCATTGGACTCTGCCAGTCCGTGTTCATTAAAGTTTCGATTCTGCCAACGTATCTACTGGGTGTATCGTCTATGGGTCTTCTCCGGTCATCATCAAAATCTTCTTTACTTGCTCCTCTTGTAAATCTTGGACAGGAACACCTCGAAAATATCCTTCTTGAGCCCGGTGCTCTCGTCAATCTGGTCAATCATGGCGCGGAGCTCGCCGGCGCGCTTCTCCTCAAAGTCCTCGAAGCGCTTCTTGAGACCCATGTCGTCGTACAGCGTCTTGACAGTCGCCTCCTTCGCGTCGTCCTTCTGGCCGTAGTTCTGCTCCAGAATCTGGCGCTGCTCGGGGGTAGCCAGCTCGAGGGCCTGGTTCACCAGCCACGAGCACTTGTTGTCCTTGATGTCGGTGCCAATCTTGCCAATGTGCTCGGGCAGACCAAAGTTGTCGAGAAAATCGTCCTGGATCTGAAAGTACTCGCCGAGCGGGATCAGGATGTTCTCCGCCTGCTTGAGGGTCTCGGGCGTAGCCAGGTTGAGGAAGTGGAGGGCCAGGGCCACGGGGAGGTAGAAGGAGTAGTAGGCCGTCTTGTAGATGACAATGAACTGGTACTTCTCCATGGAGAAGTTGTCGAGGTTGACCTTGTCCTCGGGCGCGGTGAGGAGGTCGCACAGCTGGCCGAGCTCGGTCTGGTACGTGGTCTCATGGAAGAGCTCAATGAGGTCGACGTAGGCCGGGTGGTCGCGGAAGTACTTCTTGAGGAGGGTGTAGATGGCCGACTCGAGCAGGAAGGCGTCGTTGATGGCCACCATGCCGACACCGGGCTTGAGGTACCAGCAGGGCTGGCCGCGGCGGGTCAGGCTGCCGTCCATAATGTCGTCCGAGACGAGGAAGAAGGCCTGGAGAAGCTCCGTCATCCAGCCGAGTGTGGCCGACTTGAAGTACTCATCTTCGGTCAGGGGGCGGCCGAGGAGGAGGGAGACAGAGTCGGGGACGGACATGCCACGGTTGCACTTGCCGCCCATGGGGTTCTCGCGGATGTTCTGTTCATGAGGTGAGCATCGGTGAATCCATGCCTCACTGTTGGCAACGGAGCACAAAGCAACGCACCTGCTTGTACCATTCCAGCTCGGTCCGGGGGAGCTTGTAGGATTTGGCATGGTCGAGGAGCGTCTCTTGCAGCTTCTCGTAGACAGCCTCGAACTCCTTGATTGTGGTCTGCTTTGCCATGGCGACGATTGGTAGTTTTGCGAGAGTATAGCAGATTGTCTGCGTACGGGGCGGTGTGCGTGGTTATCTGGAGGGGGGGACTGATCGTGGGAAATAATATTAAAGGGTGCCCCTCCTCTAGATGGATGGTCTGTCGCCTAAAACCGGGATTCGGGAGCTGCAGGGACGAGGAATGCCATTCTGACCCCTAAACTGGCAACTGCCCCTCTAATAATACCCCCCATTCAGGGTCCCTTTCTATGGACATTGGGATCCAAAAGGCGCCGAACTGTGCCTGCGTCACGATGGTTGTGCAAAATTCGGCGTTTTTGCATGTCATGTCGTTTCTGTTGCCCAGCAGTCGTCGTTGGCCTAGCTCCATTGGAATCCCCCACAAATTGCCCAATTGAGTATCTCGACGAGCCTCGATTTGGGCAATATGCTTCACGCAATGCAGCAACGACTGAGCAGTTCTCCTCTGTTGAAGGCGGGAGTGTAAACCACGGACGCATTGGTTTCCTGCCTTGTATAGCACTTGACACCAAGAGCAGCTCGTACAATGTCAACCACTGACGTCATCATCAGGATATTTGCCTGACTCTGCAAGACAGACCACGCAGACATAGCAGTACAGGGTAGGCCAGCGTCTCGTACCTCGCGTCGGTGGACACTGGATCGCGACTGGTCTGGAGCATCAACACACTTGACGAACGAACAAAGCCGCCCAAGACGCGGAAACAACGCGCGAATCCACGTCAATCCGCTCCTACTATGAACAAAGGTCTATAGAGGCACGTTGATATGTCACAACCCATGGTACCCTGAACAGAGCTCTATTTCCAACGCGGTCGCAGCGCACGTCGACGCGACACCCCACCAGCCATGGGACTGAGCCCACGAGAGTTGGCGTCGCTACGCAACACACTGGCAGATGCCACGGTCAAGTGCGCAGAACGAGGGCTCTACCAGTCTTCAAAATGGTACGCCCAACAGATTCTGGCTGAGCCTCCTTATGACTGACAATTCCAAGGGCAGCCGAACTGATGAACTCACTCCCCGACTTTGAGGAAGAGGAAACCAATCTAGACCCTCCTGAGGAGCAAATACCGTCGCCGATATACACTCCAAATCTGGACCCGAGCGAAGCAGCATTGGAAGCAAGGCAGCTGCCAAAATATCTGCTGGCCAAGTCCTTCTTCGACTGTCACGAGTACGATCGATGTGCCTCCGTCTTCATACCCGATACGCTGCTTTCGAGCGTGCTGCAATCCAAGCCAGATGGCGCCCCGCCGACACCAAAGGGCAAAGGAAAAGAGAAAGCATCTTCTGCTTCGATATTCTTCTCGTCCCCAAGAGCTCCCCTAATCAGCCAGAAGAGCTTATTCCTGGCATTGTACGCCAAGTTCCTGGCTGGCGAGAAGCGCAAAAATGAAGAGGCGGAAATGGTGATGGGACCCCATGACCACGGTTCCGTGATAAACAAGGAACTCCTCGTGGTCGGCCGCCTGCTGAGCGCTTGGTTTGAAGCAAAGACGCCACAGGATGAGGAGTCGATAAGAGCAGCCTCAAGGGGGGAATTGCCCGATACCCCAGAAAGCCAAGGTTGGCTGGAGTACCTGTGGGTGACTGGCATTTGTGTTTTTGAACATGGGCGGAGCTGACATGAACAGGTACGGCATGGTTCTGGCACGAGAGAAGAGCGAGAACCTGGCAATGAAGTACCTTGTCCGAAGCGTACACAAGTACCAGTTCAACTGGGGCTGCTGGCTTGAGATGACTTCCCTCATCAGTAGGCCTGAGCATGTAAGTGATGCATCTTGGATCAATCAGGAGAATTCTAACAGACGCGGCAGTTGTCTCGAACGGTTGACGCTTGTCCTGAACATCTCACCTCCTACATGTTCCACCTACACTCGTCGTTGGAGCTGTACCAGCAATCACCTGCCCTCGCGCAAAACCTCGACAAGCTGTACTCGATATTTCCGCACTCTCCATTCCTGTTGACGTGCAATGCACTCCTGTCGTACCATTCTAAGGATCTGCTCGCCGCGGAACAGCACTTCAGCCGGCTGCTGGCGTCACACCCACGCAGGCTCGACTCGCTCGATCATTACTCCAACATCCTCTACGTTCTCAACAACCGCCCCAAGCTGGCATTTCTGGCACACCTGTGCTCCAGCGTCGATAAATTCCGACCCGAATCATGCGTTGTGATCGGGAACTACTACTCTCTCATATCGATGCACGAGAAAGCCGTGCAATACTTTCGCCGGGCGCTTACGCTCGACAAATCCTGTCTCTCTGCGTGGACGCTCATGGGGCACGAGTATGTAGAACTGAAGAACACGCATGCCGCCATTGAGTCATACCGTCGGGCTGTCGACGTGAACCGACGGGATTACCGTGCCTGGTATGGGCTGGGCCAGACCTACGAAATGCTAGAGATGCACACGTACTCCCTACATTATTACAAGATGGCCGCGGGGTTACGGCCATGGGACGGGAAGATGTGGATGGCTGTCGGCACGTGCTTGCAGCGCATGGAGAAGGAACGCGAGGCCATCAAGGCGCTCAAGCGAGCATTGTTGGCGGACGCCTACTACGAAACGGGCAGCAGCTTCGGCAGCGGCGGCGAGCTCATGGGCTCCCGGAGCGCAACTGGCCATATGGACCCAGAGATCCTCCTGCAGATAGCGTCACTCTACGACGCACTTGGCGAAGAGGAGGAAGCCAAGTCGTACATGGAGCTCTGCATGAGGCAGGAGGATGGTACTGACGCGGAGGCGGGAGACGCCGTGGCAGAATCGGTCAGGATTCATAACGACTCCCCTCCTGCCTCGGATGACGGTGTCGTTGACGAGGAACAGGGCGGCCGCGAAGGAACAGGCGTCACGGCGGCGACTAGTAAGGCACGTATGTGGCTGGCCAAGTTTGCTATGCGTACGCACGACTATGATACCGCGACAAAGCTCGCAATGGAGCTGTGCCAGGACGGCGTTGAAGTCGAGGAGGCTAAGGCTCTGGTGAGGGAAGTGAGAGCGAGGATGTACGCACTGGAATCTGGATCAGACGGGGCGCGTTAGAAGTGCGCCTCTTTTGCTTCCTCAGACTCTTGAGATGTGAACCGTGCAAGGGGAGGACGGGTTCGCTCATCGGGTTCGCTCAGTAGGGACGGGTGTTATGATATCATGAGTATACGACTTGTTGTAAGTCTGCCGTGGACGGCCTGTAATTCACTATCTGGACTTGGCATAGCAAAGATGGCCTTTTACATCGTTCAAACTCCATCAACATTAAACTATTCTATTTCCTGAACACCAAGCCGACCTGGATATATATCGTAGACTCCCCAATGAAAATTAAGCTATACGCTGTCTTGTCCTCGCCGCTACCATGGCTTACAGGACAAAGTAAGCGGCACCGGCCATGACCAGAGCACCAACGGCAGAAACGGTCTTCTTAACACCGGCGCCAACGGGAATATCAGAGGGGACGGGCACACCGGTAGGGCCGGTGGGCACGTTGGTGGGCTCACTGGGGGTTCCAGGGATAGGGGTGATGTCGATGATGGAGGTCACGGGTGGAGGCTGGATGACGGTGGAAACGCCAGGCTCTTCTCCAGGCTCCTCTCCAGGCTCTCCGGAGACGGTGGTTGTGACAGCTGGAGGGAGGACAGTGGTGATGGTGCAGGGGCAGTCTGGTGACATGTTAGCACCCAAGCTCGTGCAGACGAGAGACGAAGTGCCACTTACTGGTGATGGTGAGGGTAGTCTCTGTGGTAGCGGTGTAGGTGGCGTTCTTGTGGATGAAGGTAGTCGGGCCCTTTCATATCGTCAGTATGATCTGTCTCTTTTCTTCATATCCCGAGAGGGAATACGAACAGGGCAGTAGAGCTCGTAGTCAGTGGTGACAACAGTGACAGTCGCGACGGGGGTCTTGACGTCCTCGACGCCAGTGTTAGCCTGGACAGCAGCGGCGCCAGCGAGGGCGAGAGTGGCAGCGGTGAACTTCATGTTGCAAAGCGAAGGACTCTTCAAGTCCTAGTTGGGTAGCGAAAGTGGGTGAGCTTGATCGAGAGGATACGCAGAAGCAGCTTCAATGGATGTATTTCGAGAAAGGCAGAGGAAGTGAGACAGCAGCGGAGGTGGGATGCCCTCTTTGTAGTCCGCACGGCTGTTCACCTCCTCTCTCTCACACCTGGCATCGCGGCAAGTCTACGATGGGGTGGTACCGTGGTAGTCATGCAAGGCAAGGCAAGGCTTTGCAATGACAGGGCTTGCTGTTGGTCGATGGGGTGATGTCCGTTGAAAGGCCCGGAACGGCAGAGTGTAAACTGAGAGTTTACCAAATTGGGAATATTGAGCAACATACGGTCTGTACAGGTTGGGCTCGCACTTTAGCATTGGACGATGGCGAGATTCAGCAAGGGAGTGCCCAGCCAACCTGGGTCTAGCTGACAGGACGATCGACTCGGCGCCACAGGAGCAGAGGAATTGGCCTACCAGAGCGAAGCCTCGCATGCAGTGTTGTGCCTAAGGGAGGTTAGAGTAGGTAAATAGGCTTTGTTGATTTTAGAGACGGATGGAGACCATCTGCGATACAGTAAAAGACGTTCAAGGTCCAGTCTGCGCGGCCACTGAAGGAGGCCCAAAGAGGAACCAGATGCACGTCGGAACCTGGTTCGGTTGGCGGGGTAAACGTCACAACCCAATTGAGGGTGTTGATGATGCTTGTTGGCTAATGCAGAGGACGCAATACGGCTGTACCATACCTCGTATTCCATCAGCCGCTGTGACCATTTTCAGCTAGTGGTTGATATCGCGCAGATAAGGATAGCCAAGTCGATGCTTATTCGACCAAATGCGGTAGGCATCGCCATCACCACCGCCAAGGCGGCATCGCAGCCAGGGCGTTCGTCTGGCCTGCAGCTTGTTTATGCGGTCAGAGGTCAGAACTCGTCTTTGCTGGCGATAACCGCTGCCGTTTGTGAAAGTTCAGTCCCCGTGCAGAGAATGGCTAGTCAGACTTGTGCCAACTTGCGAGATCGACCTCTCGTCAGCCCAGGATGGCAGGGCTATGTGACTTTATGTCCCGTCTGTCATGGCGCGATCCGCAATTCAGGAACCGGACACGCGCAGTGGACGAGGCACGCGGGCGACTGAAATGCTGACGGGTTGTGGGCGCCACGCCACGGACACGGTTGGTTGGGCCCCAATGGTGCTGTCGTTGAAAAAAGCTGAAGAACAGCGCTTTCGGGAACCAAAGCAGTCGTTATTGAGGATATCGGTCGCTCGGATGTGCAAAAACTTTCGTTGGCAAGCGCACGATCGACTGGCGCTGGTAATGATAAGCGTCAAAGCGCACAGTGACTGAGATGAGACCCTGTGAAGGATCGCTCTGGGAATCTTCAACTCCCGCCGCTTACTACGGTCAACATCGATGCCCAGGATAACGTACCCAGGGGATGCAAACAGTCCGTGTCTGAAGGCCTAGCCATCACACCACCTGGATGTCAGAGCGATGGCAGTCAGCATAGCTCATGATTAACCGCTCCTCGCGACCGTCGTCAGGAAGCCGCCTCGCGAGAGCCGCTAGACCAGGAGATAGATCATCAGTGAGGGAAAAGGAGTGCCATCATGTGTTAGCATGAGCGGTTTGGGCAGAGTACTAGTATGGATGCTGCTCAAGTAAAGTACTCGTTGATGATAATAGGGAAGCGCCTTATTATGCTGTTATCGTGGCATTCGGGTATGTTGCACCTGCCTTCTTTTGGTGCAGCGAGTTGCACCGAATGGCCCACACGTGACGCGCCGCGCCGGAGATTGCGATCTTCTCCCCTCTTCAACGACCACATGACAGTCTGCAGTGTCCCTCAAATACCGCGACGATGTGCCCTCGCTCTTCCATTGTCTCAATCATCTTGAAATCCAACCCAACTGAACGCCCTTGTGTATTTCGCGGGGTTGACCTGCCAGACGCTTCCTCACAACGACGAGCTTCACAAGGTGAAGCCATGCGATCATGGCAGTCCAAACGTGACAAAGATCTCTAGGCACGTCGTCTTCGTTGTGCGTATGAAGTCGCAAAGCTCAATCAACGCGGTCGCGGCGTTGCGAGGTCGACTTGCTTTGCGAAGGTGCACGTGGCGTGAAGGCATCTGCCTTAACAAACAACACGCAGGTCCAGGACAGACTGTGGCCCACACATGCACATGCGTCAGCACATACGGTGCATACCATGTTCATGACTCTGTTGACTGTTGAGCAGGGAGCATGCACTCCTATCTCGACTGGTCGGGTTGTCGCAAGCCATTGCCTCCCGGGCATAGACGTATATAAGGGCCGATCCTAGTCGTCGCCCATTCCTGTCTGCTTCCAACGACAAGATAACCGACTGTTCGCCTTTAGTCAGTCCATGCGTCAATCGCGGTCGGCGGTGCGATTGCTGGGAGTTTGTCACACCACGTTGCGGTCAATGACGGCATCTGAGCTTGCGAAGCTGCCGAGCGGACACCAACAAACTCTATTCATCTCACCGACTAACGATTCATTTGCAAAGGCTTTCCAGCTCACGAAGGTCAGAGCTGTCCACAGCATCTGATCTCAATCGGGGCGGAGACTGCGCGTACTCGATATCCAAACGGTCGGACAGTCGTACTCAGGTGGTATGACCTATGCGCACATGCCGGGGATGCCAACTACAGCCTTAGCTCACCCATCAGCGTAGACTGAGGCGCATGTTGTCGAGAAGCAGGATCGGTCCTTGTTCAATGAAGCAAACCCAAGTATCATGGCAGCTACCTCAACCGAGAATTGCTACCGAGTCGTGGGAAGCAACCTTTGAGGTTGGGGATAAGTGTATCAGCACCGGCTGAACGCTTCCGGCTCCCCATGGCTGTCTGGATGCGACAATCTTCTAGAAGGATTTGGAGAACCTTCGCGCCACCCACTACGAACTGAATCAGTACCACCTCCGGTGCGTAGCTTCTGAAGCCTCATGGCGACGGGAAGTGTTCGAAAGGAAGCAATCGACAGCCGATATACGTCCCCTACGCGCGTCACGACACCTCCCATGATATTGGCCAGCTTCCCACTGCTGGCTTGCCGACTATCTGCCGGACTCAACTCATTCACGGATTCCGCCACAGTGCCAACGGGACCGAATTGTATGTGACAGCACTGTGTCCTTTGACAGGACCCAAGGCGTGGCAGATAATGTTGAGATGGGCGAGACCTCGCCAGAACCATGCAGAACTGTGGAATCACTCAATAGCACCTTTGGCACCCTCCGACCAGAATACATCATGGTGATCGCTCTACTCTGGCAGACCTGCAGCCAAGAAAGGCAAACCACGGTCTCGCCTCCTTTCTGTGAGAAGAGCACTACCTACGTGTCAGAAACGAAAGTCATACTGTGTGTGATTAGCCGGTGAGGTTCCGCAGCGGACGATTCACGACTCTGTTGAACATTGATCCCCTCCATGACCCCGCGCTGCGAGGACTGCGAGTCGGGTCGCCCGACTCTCCAGCCTTGTCGTAGAGTGTTTCCAGTTATCAGCCTCAGACTACACTGGACGGTCTAGTTCGCGACTTCGCGGTCGTTCCTCGACGGTGCTTATTCAAGCTGAATCGCTCCGTCGAAGACGTCAGAGCTGCCAGAAGCAAGGGCTTGGAGAGGATTGGCGCCGCTGTGTGCTCGACACAGTGCAGTCAGGCTTACATAACGTCGATTGACAATCGATCGGCAACAGAGGTGCAGAAGCGCAAAAAAGCAAAAAAAAAAAAAAAAAAACCCCATTTTGCAACAGACCTCACTCAGTCGTCATTGTGAGAGACTCGCAACTGGGAGTCTGGGAACACTGAGTTTGCGCAAATTCTTGCCGACCCGCTCTTCCTGCGTGTCATCAACGATCAATCGCTGGGATCCGCCCCATCTGATGAGGGGAAGGCGGAACATGGCGAAGAGCTGTTTTGACTACGTTAGTCTGCTGCGGGAGTCCTGACACACTTTTGCTCGAGTCCGGCGCCAGGTTGATATCATATCCGACAACGAGAAACAGTCGGCTGGCCAGAGACGTTTAGCTCTTGCGCAGTTGGCGGTTGCGCGGGCTCACTGCGATTGATGCGCTGGCAGAAGCCGCACTGGAGCATCTAAAGAGCCGATCAAGGCCTAACAAGTACTTCGTACTCCATATTACAGGCACAAATGATTCCATTCGAACATCACATCGGGTTGCGCCGTTGCGCCGTTGCCACGCACAGTGGGTTCTGGGCCTTCTGGCAAGTCACTCCGCAGCTCGATTCGGGAGTACTCCGTATTTTGGGGCATTTCCAGGCTCCAGCGCTGACAGTCATTGCTCTGGTTTTGGAATCGACGAGGCCCACCGGGATGCAACTCCCTCTCTTCCTCCACCCGTCTTCAACCAGTCCGTGTGTGTCTACCTGTGGTACGTACCAGCCTGGACAAAGACCACTGCTATTGCCAACTTTATCAAGTTTTTCAACACGTAACTTGGTCTGGAAAAGGGCGAAAGGCGCGCAGCAAGCTGCAGCCTGTCAGGGCGGACCACATGGGCGGGTTGCGTTTGCTGTCAGGCACCAGGCACGGAGATGGACTGCGCACCAATAGGATCGCACCCTCACCAGAGCCAGCGAAGCCAGCATGCAACTAGTAAAAAAACTCGGGAGCCCTTCTTCTGCCAGCCGTGATAGGCCTCTCTGCGGATACCTTTCGAGTCGACCCCTCCCTCCATCACGGACACCAGTCAATCCAAGCTGAGGAATTTTCGTCGCGGCCGACACGCACGCACGCTGCACACCTTGCCTTGGTACGTACTCCCGGAGTCCCGGGTGAGGGTTTTTCTCGCGACATCTGCTTGGTTGGTGAATCGGGACTAGGGTTCCTCTGGTCGAGGCTTAGTCGAAAGTCTGTTTTCCCGCGGCGCACCCTCCTTCGCCGGCCGGCCTGGCGCTGTCGCTGGCGCAGCAGGTTTTGACTTTGACCCTTGTCAGGTACCCGTCTTGCCGTGAGCGATCCCGCCTGGGCGTCGCGTGCTTGGGTTCCCACGCATCCATGCTACCAGCGATTGGCTTTGAGCCTCTTTCATCATGGCCAGGACAGGCGGCCGTCGACCTCATTTTCGATGACGGCGATGAAGAGCAATATGCTATGGTCATCGGCGTCCTTGGACAGCGCACAGAGGGCTCTTGGAAGTGCAATCGACACGTATCGGTAAGAGGCACTGATGGGTGAACATGGAAACATTTCACATGCTGCAGAGAGGCAGGCAGGCGCTGGCTTACACGCTACCGGGGCCTTTCTTTTCCAGGAAGCTGGGCCGTTCTCCTCAACGACAACAAGTCACTGCAGCACCCTCCATTGCCGGACGGATCCACGCACCACCGTGCGCAACAGGCTCCCTGCTCCCTTGCTTGTTAGTGATATTTTTGGCAGGGAACCACAGCACTGGTTTCTGGTCTCGAGTTGAAGTCGGTACGTACCCCGGCACGGCGTGGCATCGGGCACTGACTCTTGTCATGCCCCAGTCAGTCATGTTGCTCCACGTTGGACATCCATCCCGTACTTCCAGAAACTTGCTCCCGGTGTCATTGGAGGGGCCTCCCGCAATCAGCCTTCCCGTGCCCTCCTCCCAAGGGCCTTAAATTTTCTCGTGCACCGGTCCCTGGTGTATAAAGAAGGGCCCCCTTCCTCCCCAAACATTGATCCATCTTCTCATCAAGCTCATCAACAATCCTTCCCTGCCTGTAGATCAGCAGACTTTGAATCACATTCCCTTCCCACTCCTTTGGAAGTCGAGTTCAGTAACGGCCCGGTCCCGTTCTACCTTCATTCACACAATCATCTCTTGGAAGATCATATCACCAGTACTTAACTCTATACACCGAGTCTAAGACACTCCCTTCAACAACCACTTCCAAAAATGCAGTTCACCACCTCCGTCCTCGCTCTCTTGAGCTCTGCTGCCATTGCCAACGCTGGCTTTGTCACCTTCTGGACCCTTGACGATGTCACCCGCACCATCTACTTTACCTCCAACGAGGAGAGGTTCCCCATGGAGCCCGTGACCGTCTCCAGCGCTGAGAAGACCACGGTCGAGTTCGCTGATGGCTACGTCGGCAACTTCTACGCCGTCCCCGAGGGCGATGGCCCCCAGGACGCCATGCTGGGCGAAGTCAAGTTTGGCGGCTGGGGTGAGATGACCTACTTTGACGTCTCCGCCATCGTCAACGCCAACGACAAGAACAACGTCAAGCAGATGTGGCCCGCCGACTCGCAGACCCCCATGTCTGGCTGCGAGGTCTTCCCCTGCGACAACGCCTACTACCTTTGGGATGACGTCCAGACCAAGGTCACCACCGAGGACCACCTCATCACCACCCTTGGTGAGGGCTCCCCTGGCATCCACTTTGCTTAAGCGCCTCGCTACCCCCGCCTGGAAGCCTGGGCTTCTTTCCACTCCTTACCAATACACGCCCCACTTGCGCCGCGCGCATGTCCCGATGACATGATGAGACCATTCGAACAACAAGTACAAGATAAGATACCCCTCGCAGAGTCCTTGCAACGGATCTCGAGGCCATTTGGGAACACACACACGGATAGACATAGATGACACTGGGCCATTGATTCGCCCTGCAGTCCTACACGGCGCTGCAGTCACACCACGCTCTTTACGACACGCTTCATTCCTCTTCACACCGCCTTCCTTTGGACAACACTTCACACATACTTTTCATGAAATAAACTACACTCTGGGCTCACCTGCACTGGTGAAGCTCGAGGGCTGGCTCTCGCTTCATTCTTCACATATTCTTACGCTCTCTTACACTACGAAGTTACGACACAACGCGTTCGAGTACATATTTTATTTCGGGCACACTGCGATGCCATGGACATAGACTTTTGTTTCGCTTTCAGAAAGCTACACTGCGAGACTAGCAGAATGACTATCAATGACAATACAATATTCACAACAAAAAAAACAAAATCATTCGTCCATCCGTGACCGCTGCTTGTGACGAGAAAACTGACTCGTACTGGCTTCAAAGCCCTCTACTGCAAGGGGCGTACGAAGCTAACGCAGGCCACGTCGCTGTCCCTGCCGCAGACATGCGGGCTTTGTTCAGCCGTCAGCCGTCAGCCGGTCTGCCGTGAGCCGGATCGCCCTAGCCAGCGTCGCAATTTTCGCGGATCCACTGTTCCGGTTCGGCGCACACGGTCCGAGATCACAGTATTTCGAGCCTGGCGATACTGTCCCATGAAGACAAGCTCTAGCATGACACTGTTGACTCGAGGTGTGTGGCAGCATCAGTGCTTGCTAGTCACATCGCTCCAGTTTTCTTTTTTCAATAATATCGCACTATCGTTATCGGCGATGAAGCTTCGATGTCTGCTCTTCTCGTGTTCTGAACTCAATCGACACTAGGGCCAAAGTACGTACCAGATTGCATGATAATCGTCAGTTAGTAATAATAAATACAGCATCTGCTGCAGCAGCAGCAGCTGTGTGTCCTCGACCCCGTGTTCATTGTCACACGACGCTTTTCACCCCTCTTTCGTACGATGCGCTGGTCACTGTCGTGTGTGACAAAGTAATAGGCGGCGGAAAGACGTGGCACCATATTCGAGGCCCTGAAGTGAGCTTATATGCATTGCAAATGTCGCGCGCTTTCCGCTTCTATGATTCTAAAAAACAAAACGTGAAACGGCATTCTCATGGCCAGCTTCCCTTGCCGAATCAAGTCATACACACCGCGGTCATACACACCACGTCGTGATAACGAGCGGTGCTGGTCGGTGGTCACAAAGAAGGTCTACGCTAACAGCGTCACCCCCATATTCAACCCCACGGCGGTTGACGCGCGCCAACTCTGTGGTGGCGCTCAACTCTCAACCGTCGTAGTCCCTTGGTCAAGGTCCTTTGTCGCAATCTCTTCCTCAGCAGGATCAGACGAGTCCATGTCAGCCGACGACGACCCCTTTTCCGGCGACTTCTCCTCCTCAGCCGGGGAGGGAAGGGGCTCCGCAGCCTTGACTTCCTTGGTTTTGGCGACGCTGAGTAGGCTCTCGCCAGCATCGCCAAAGCCATCCACCTTGCCTAGCTTGGTTGTAAAGAACTCGACATCGCGTATCATGCTGTTTGTCTATGTTAGCGACCATGACCCAAGGCTTGGCTTGATCACTCACCTCTGATGGCCCTCTTGTGTCTTCGGGTTCGCAGCCTTGAGAGCTGCCCCTAGTTGTTCCTTGTAGCTGCCAAACACGGGTCCCATGATCATGAGGATGGACGTCTCCGGGAGGTGCTTCGTGAGGACCCGGTGTAATGTGCTCGTCTCCTTGCATAGCGTCTCCATGTACGGATGTATGCCATCGACCTGCTTGTCCCACTCGATGCTCCTCATACCCTTTGCGTGGACCGACGCACGCCCGCTCATAATGTCTACCAGCTTCTGGTGGATACTGTCCTGGTGTTCTTGCAGCAGTCTCCGCACCTTGTCAAACTCACCCATGACGGACGACACACCCGCGCCAGAGCCTGCGTGGCGACGCACAAACTCGCGAACATGGGGTATGAGAGTCGAGATAAATGATAGTGCTTGCGCGGCCAATGCCAGGTGTTTCGATGTAATGTTCTTCAACCCAGCAGAACGCGTCGCGCCCGCTCCTAGAATGAGCTGGGTACAGCGTGAGTTGAACAGCTGCAGATAAGCCACCAGTGACGAAGCAATGTCTGTGGTCATAGAAGGGATGCCCGCAATCAAGTGCAGAAATTGCGCGGTGCCCTGCATGCAGAGGATGGCCGACGAAGGGAGCACAAACTTCTCGGAGTCAATGATTGCCGTGCGCCCCTTGTCCTTGCCAGTGCCATTCGGCTCCGTAGAAGCAGCACTACTCTCTCGCTCGGCCTTCTCAATCTCGTGATATGGCACCCATATCTTGGTCCTCTCCGACCACGCCGCCGGGTCTTGGGTACTGGCCTCGAGCAGCTGCCCCAGGAGCTCAGCATTCTCGTCGCTAAAGTCCTTGGCGTTCCACTGATCCGACTCCATCCCCTGTGCAAGCTTCTGCATCTCGGTATCCCTGGTTTTCTGCACAAAGTCCTTGATGTGGCTATTAACCACATTTTTCAGGGCAGTGCCGCTGCGGCCCGAGATGGCCTCACACTCGTTCGCAAAGTAGAGGTTCATCGTGAAATACCGTAGGAAGAAGTCGAGGGGCAGGTTTCCGGCCTGTTCGTTCCTCACTTTGAGTACCTTGACAATCTTGTCAATGGCCACGTCCACCGCTTGCCCTAGCAAATTCGCAACGTCGAGCGTTTTGTGCAGCTCTTCTTGTAATTGGAACCCGCTAAATGGAGGCATGTTTCGATCTAGCCGTGGACTCGATATCGGCGACCTAGAAGGCGGAGACTTGAGCCCATCCCCGTTTGGCGCCGCCGACAGCGAGCTGGCAATGTCGAGGATAACCTTGGTTTGGGTCGTTAGTCTGCGTAGCGTTTCTGTGACGCCCACGTAGATTGTCGCCAACAGTTCTTCGGCCTCGTCTGGACCCAATGCGCGCAGATTTCTCGCAAGAATCGACGATTTTTCTTGGCTTGAGCGAACCCGCCCTCCGCTAGCAGCGGTCGATACCGACATCATGGATTCGTTGTCGTCGTCACTGGAGCTGGGTAACGGCCGTCGAATGAGGTTACGGATCTCCTTTAACGCAATCTCTCGATAGATGATGGCAGCCGCAGCGACATGTTGCGCGCGATCGAGACCTTTGATCGTGGGTGCCAACTGTCGCTTCAGCTCTTCTGTCCCTGTCAGGTAGCTTGGAAAGTTTGATGGCGATCTGGCGTGGCCACCTCTCGCTCTCGAGGCGGCGTGGCTCCATCGGAGTAGTATCTCTGTTGAAGACACCGACTCCATGTGTTTCTTGAGATCGCCTAATAGCACATTGACAAATTGAGCCTCGTACGCCTTGCCCACACGCATTCGCAACGTCATCAAGTCGGCATTGACGCCTTGCAGCGCAGTCGCGCCCCTCAAATCTCGCAGAGTTACATCTTCCGCCAGAATCTGCGAGGTCTCGCGCTCTCCTGCAATTAGGTACTCCAGAGAGTCGATGCTGTCCAGAGCTTTGTCGACCTCGCCTTTCTCGACAAGAGTCTCGCAGTCGGCTACCCCGTCAACGATCAGCCTTAACTGCAAGACAGCGCCATTCAATTGACGCAGATTCTCTTGACGTTGACGCTTCTTGACAATGTCCAAGCCCTGGGTTACAATCTCCTTGTCCAAAGCCTCCAGCTCCAGTCTCAACGCCTTGATGCGCTGTACGGAATCGGCAGCCTCGGAGTGTAGTTCCTTCAATGAACCCAGCGCTGTGAAGAATGTCGTCGAAGCGGTCGATATCGAGTTGATCAGATGCACCTCGATGGTGTCCATGTACCACGAAAGCTTCTCCTGCAGGATCGCATTGGTCGCGAGGGCCTTTCGGGGCGCAGCCGCGTCCCCGTCGAGACTCGTCTTGTTGTCGTTTTCGTTCTGCGATGGTCGAATCACCTCAGACCGTTCGCTCACCACGTCAAACGTTCTCGGATTCTCGAGGTGAAAGTCCTCGTCAAAATATACCGTCGGAATCGTAGACAAGGGCGGCGGTCCTTGGGCAGCTCTTCGTCCGAAACTCGAGCTTGACCTCCGCACCGGGCTAGGCGCCTCGTTCGAATTCAAGGATGATAGCGAGGCCGCGGAACCCTTTCTCGTCATGCTAGAGCGACCACCTGGCCGCAAGAGCCCGTCGCCACCGCTTGCTTCCCCACTCTCGTCATGACGACTACCCTTTCGGCTTGACGATGCCTCAGATTCGCTCTCTTTGATCCGTTTCAACTGTTCATGCAGGGCTCCGAATTGGCTCAGGTATGGCGCGAATTCTTCCGACTCGACATGCTCAATGTTTGTCAAGGTGACAGGCGGAATATCTCGGGTTGTCGGCGGCTTGTGTACGTTAGAGGCTGATGATGTCAAACCGGACAGACCAGTGCGGATTATTGGCGGTTGCAACAAGGTCGAGATAGCTGGGGAGCGTCAGCGCAGTTGGCACTACATGATCGCGAACTGTACCATTCTGCCCAGATTCGTGCATCGCATCCTTGAAACCACTCGAGCTATCGAAAGTCTCACCGACAGAGCGAATAGAGGAAGCTGTCGAGCTCCTCCTGGACGTTGAGCGGCCCCTGCCTCTGCCACAAGTTAGTCTTGAGCGCTCTCGCTAGCGAAGGTGACTTGCGCGTGGGCCGGAAATGGATACTCTGAGCGGCCTCCCGGCGAAGAGGACAGGGCTGCGATGTTTCCTGTCGATTTTGCTCCGGTAGGCGAAGAGAACATGTTTGCGGCGTGGCTCGGGTGTTGGGCTTCGCGATCACAAGTCGCTATATGCCGACATCGACGTTGGCGGCCAGGTTCGCAGGCTATCGAGATATCATTGCTGATAGATGCAGAATTGGGGGAAAGTCGAGTGCGCTCTCACACAATCGGTCAAAGCCTACGGCGACATGCAGAGGTGCTCTATCTTCAATAAGGAGACGTCTCTAGAACTTGTCAAGCTGGAGGTCGTTGTTAGGACCATTCTGCCACCTGCGCCTAGCTTACGACTCGGACGCCAAGCTACAGCTCCTTGCCAGGTCAGGTACGTACCTTACCTCTGTTGTCTGAGCACCATGCAGCCGTGACCGCGGTTTAACCGGATATTTACCACGTGACGCAGACAAAGTCCAGCCAGCACCAAGCCCCACAGGGACTAGCGCGACGCGTTCGTCCTGCAACCACTTAACGCGCCTAGACTAGGGACGCGTTTCCATCGCGGAGATCTGCATCTCCCTGGACTGGGAATCTGGCGAGCCCCTCAACCCCTCTGACAAAGCTCAACTGCAAGCGAACATCGCCTTTGCTCTTCTGAACGTATTTTGGCAATTCGGCATCATGGATCGTGCCTCAGTGTACACGACTCGCACCTGGCAGCCGAGCTTTGAGGAAGACGCCTCTGCCCGCACGGAAATTCAAAATGGCCTCGAAGCCTTCATCCGGGATTTTCGCATCGATAATAACTACATTTATCGGTAAGAGAATCTTCATGCGTCCGCTGGACATACAATGGTCTGACGCGCCGTGTACAGAGACCAATTGAGGGAGAATGCACTCCTCCAACAATACTATTGCGACATCAACATCACAGACCTCATCACATACAGCGAGGACCTCGCGGGCAAGCTCATCTCTGAGCCAACAGAGGTCATCCCCTTGGTGCGTGTGTATACTCCGAAGGCTTCGGGCAACATCTAATGTGTTTTCAGTTCGAAGCAGCATTGCGGAAAGAAACCCACCGGATTCTCTTCCCTCACGAGCCCAAGGCCCAGGTGCCCGCACACCAACTTCTCATTCATTCCGACGCCCAAGATGTATCGATTCGTGATCTCGACTCCGTGAAGATCTCACGCCTTGTCCGCGTGCCTGGCATTGTAATTGGTGCCTCGGTCATGTCCTCCAAGGCCACTGAGCTTCACCTGCAATGTCGGAGTTGTGGTCACCAAACGTCCCTGCCCATACTTGGCGGATTTACAGGCGTCACCCTGCCGAGAACTTGCGGTCGGTCGCGGAAGCCAGGAGACCCGGACACGAACTGCCCCATGGATCCCTATTTCGTTCTACATGAGAAGTCCAAATTCGTCGACCAGCAAATCATCAAGCTGCAGGAAGCTCCGGATCAGGTGCCTGTCGGAGAGTTGCCGCGTCACGTCCTAGTCTCAGCCGATCGATACCTCACAAACCGCGTGGTGCCCGGGTCAAGATGTACCATCATGGGCATTTTCTCCATCTACCAGAGCAAGGGCTCCAAGAATTCATCCACCAGCGGCGCTGTCGCTATCCGCACACCGTATCTCAGAGCCGTGGGCATCACGGGCAATAACGACCAGCGATCTCAGAGAAGTCTGCAGTACACAGACGAGGAAGAGCAGGAGTTCTTGGAGCTTAGCCGGAGGCCTGACCTTTACAACATCATGGCTGACTGCATTGCCCCCTCAATCTACGGCAATCGCGACATCAAGAAGGCCATTCTCTGCCTGTTGCTGGGCGGCTCCAAGAAGATCCTGCCGGACGGGATGAAGCTGCGTGGAGACATCAATGTGCTATTGCTTGGTGATCCAGGTACTGCAAAGTCACAATTACTCAAGTTCGTGGAGAGAGCCGCGCCTACTGCCATCTACACATCCGGAAAGGGTTCGTCCGCAGCTGGTCTGACTGCTTCGGTGCAGCGTGATGCGTCGACCCGTGAGTTCTACCTCGAAGGCGGCGCCATGGTTCTTGCGGATGGTGGCGTCGTGTGTATTGACGAGTTCGACAAGATGAGAGACGAAGACCGCGTGGCCATTCACGAGGCAATGGAGCAGCAAACCATCTCCATTGCCAAAGCTGGTATCACTACGATCCTCAACGCCAGAACATCGGTACTTGCAGCTGCCAACCCTATCTTTGGTCGCTACGACGATATGAAGACCCCGGGCGAAAACATTGATTTCCAGACCACAATCTTGTCCCGTTTTGATATGATCTTTATCGTTCGAGACGAGCACTCCACCGACAAGGACAAGATTATGGCGAGACACGTTCTGGGTCTACACACGAATGAGCAGCGTGAAGAGGAGATTGAAGCGGAGATCTCTGTGGAAAAGATGAAGCGATACTTCACATACTGCAAGACGTGAGTTTCCTTTCCTGTTTCCGAACAATGAATGCTAACCTTTGCCAGTCGCTGTGCTCCCCGTCTCAGCCCGGAAGCTTCAGAGAAGCTGTCATCACACTTTGTTTCCATCCGTCGACAAGTTCACGCCGCGGAAATGGAGGCCAACACCCGCTCGTCTATTCCCATCACCGTCCGTCAGCTCGAGGCTATCATCCGCATCACAGAGTCCCTGGCCAAGTTGACTCTCTCCCCCATTGCTACCGAGGAGCACGTCGACGAGGCTATACGCCTCTTCCTCTGCTCCACCATGGACGCCGTCAACCAAGGTAGCAACCAGGGAAGCCGAGAGCTGAACGACGAGGTCAATAGACTGGAGATGGAGCTGAAGAGGAGGTTGCCGATTGGTTGGAGCACCAGCCAAGCGACATTGAGGAGGGAAATGGTGGAGGGCAAGGGCTTCAGTGAGCAAGCACTAAACAGGGCGTTGAACATTCTGCAGAAAAGAGATACCATCATGTATAGGCATTCGGGAGCGCAGATATACAGGAACGGCGCTTGATAGAACGACGAGGAGATTGTGTAGTCGACGATCCTATGATCGATGTATTGGAATGTGTCGTGATCAACAGCCTTCAGAACCACGGCGAAACAATTGCTATTATAGGGCGAATTCAATTTGAAATGCTTGTTGCTTGCAATCCAGAACGCCTGACGCCGCCCATACCGTGTCCGATGCGCATACGTACTTGTACAGGCGCAGAAGACCCTTGTCATGACAATGATGGATGTCTACCTCTAGCAGTACGTCTCACTCGTGTACCACGGTCCCAACCAGTCTCCCCATTCCTTGCCTTCAAAGTCTTTCCATTCTTCTTCAGACTTATGCAGCCATGCCGAAATAGCACTGGCGGCGGACCATACCTCGCCCGACAGCGAAAGCCAAGTCAATTCAACGCATAAGAAGTTGACCAGCCACGTGAAGTTCGCTCCCTGCATTAAGCCAATGCCCCGAATGCCGTCCACGGGGAGCCCATTGCGGAGGCAGAATGATCGGGCTATAAGACGAAGAGTCATGGCCTCAGCAGGGGCTAGGACGACTCTGATGGCAGAATAGCTAAGAACCTTGGCTGCTAAGACCGAGGGTAAGTTGGACAGCTCTGTGGCTAAATATGTGGGCGCCAAGGGCACTCTGCTGTTCTCCGGCCCCGTGCTAGGTCGGAGTTCGGCTGACCAGAGCCCTTGGGGCAAGTCTGTTGTCTCCGTTGCCTCGACATCGAAGCTGATCAGAGTAGCACTGACAACATCGTGGAGATCGTCGTCACTATCGTATTCATTGTTTATGCCGGCAGATACCGTGCTCTGCCTGCGTGAGAGCACAGGCGGTTCGTTCGGTTCGCCCTCGGGGCTTGCTGGATTATGATCCTCGGCATCACCGGAAGGAGTGGTGGTCACTGCTTCGCTTTCCGCTCCCGGTTGCGCGGCCCGCTCTTCTTGTTCAGGCGGTGTCACTTCTGTCTCCTGAGCCACAGGCGGGGGGAGCGGCTCGATTCCTCTGCCGGCCCTCATAGGGTTTGGTAAGTGAGGAAGTATTGAACCCCAGAAGAAAGGGCGCAGGCTGATCCATAAGCTCTGAATTGCGGCCCACGCCAAAACAGGGGCTGCCGAGATGAACGCACCGCTTACCCATTGCATGATAGCCGAAGGTGTGTATCCAGTCAACGATTGCATCGGCGTAATAGGCGAGTCTTGAGTGAACGGTATGAAGAAACGCCACGTAGGCAGTAGCTGGTATTTGCTGACGAGGCCCAGTCTTTGGTAGATGGCGAATAGTTCCAGATGTATTTGAAGATACTTCCAGCAATATCGAGCCCTGTTCAGTGTCAATCGTATTTTCAGATCAATAACGCCGTAAAGCTCACATCTTCTCCTTGACACCGCTACTGCTTTCCCACGGCGTCCACGGAGGCAGGAAACGGCGTTCGATGTAGTGAGCCAATAAGCTAGAAGGGACACCAGGAAACATATCACGAACAGGCGAAAGATCCCACCTCGAATGCCAGAGTTCGTAGCAAGGGATTTGGGAGAACTTGCTGTAGACCTGCGCAAGACTTAGTTTTGTAAAACTTGGGTGCATCGGATTTGCTAACCAGTAGTCTCTGCCTCAGCCCGGCGACGCCAAACACGCCAACCATTTCGAAGCATCGGTTAGTTGCCCATATCATCCTTTGTCCAAGGTGACTTTCGTATGCGTAATGCTGGCGCTTTTCCTCAAGCTCGGAGGCAGTATGGGGGTTATCGGGCTCAGCAACCCCGACGACCAGCATAACTTCATTATGAGCTCTGACAATGTCGCGGTTGATGCGCTTCGTCTCAGGGTTGATATGGCGACCTCGCGAGTCATACTGCTGGTTGGGCGTATTTGGATCAACCTCGCCTTCACCTGAGACAACATCCTGATCATACGGCGAACGGCCCTGGGGTCGCGTCAGCGCATCAAGCTCACTTGCGCATCGCGCATCGCACAGCGGAACTCACCAGCGCCTGGGCCGTCAGAGGGCCTTGTATGCCCATTTCAAGATGAGATCAAGACCGTTATTTCAATTCCTGATGATGAAAGCATGATCGTTCTGGATACTACGAACACATCCGGACTCTTTCACGATGGTGAGGCTGCCAGATGGAAAGTGCTGAGTCATCCGCGGCACGTTTCCGCGCGCGCGGAAGGCGCAACTCAATTTGGGGAAAAAGTTTCCAGACTTGAGTATCACCACCGGCGAATTTTCAAACGACGCAAACGCCAGGGCGTGTCGAACGACAAACATGGCCAGTAAAACTCCTCTGAAGACGACATTCGATGTCGATCGAGTACTGAGGCCGATATTCACCGGAGGCTCTGTCTCAATCGACAACAATGCCAAAATCTTAGCGACCACCATTGGCGAAGATGCGATTCTCACTGAGCCCGCCACTGGCAAGCACTTGGCGCAAATTGAGGGCGATGGAGAAACGATATCAACGCTCACACTGACACCCTCGGGCTCACACCTCATCGTTTGCTCGAGGTCTCTATCCATGCGGATATTCGCTTTGAAGCGCGCATCGGACGATACTCTGGAGCCCACGTTGTTGCGCACGTTGAAGCCGCACGGTACCCCAGTGGTGGTGCTTGCTGTCGATCGCACGAGCACGTTACTAGCGACCGGTGGTACAGATGGAGGCATCAAGGTCTGGGATATTGCAGGCGGGTTTGTCACACACACGTTTCGTGGCCCGTCCGTACTAGTTTCTGCACTGCGATTCTTTGACGTTGCTGGGCGCGCTGAGCAGACCTCAAAGAAGGGGAAGACGAAGAAGGGCGGCCGCAAGGAGGCTGTTGCGCAAGATGACGACGTCGAATCAGAAACGACACACTTCAGGCTCGTGTCTGGTAGTCAGGACGGCAAAGTCAAAGTGTGGGACCTTAACAAACGGAGCTGCATCGCCAACCTCGACTCGCACGTGTCCGACGTACAGGCCCTTGACTATTCCCCGGAACAGCAGGCTATTGTGTCTGCTAGCAGAGACAAGACGATCATTTGGTGGGATGCCAAGTCGTGGAAGATTCGCAGGGTTGTCCCGTGTCTGGAGCTGGTCGAGGGTGCCGGTTTCGTCGACAATGGTGAGCTGACATGGTCCGCTGGCGCGAATGGATGCTTGCGCATCTGGGAGACGGATAGTGGAAAGGAACTGAGTGGAAAGCAGCCGGCCAGGAGCGAGGAAGAGGCATTCATCACAGGCATCTATCGCCCTGGTATGCCCTTCATTCTGTGCGTGCAGGTCGACCACACGCTGTCCCTTTTCCAGCTGCCCAAGAAAACCGACGCTTCCACACTCACACAGATCGACCCCATGCGAAGGATATCCGGAACCCATGACGAGATCATCGACATGGCCTATTTGTTGCCCGATCGGTCACTCATGGCACTGGCTACCAATTCGGAAGATGTGCGCATAGTGTCAGTGTCCGAATCGTCGACAACAGAGGTGAATCCCTGGGCACCCTCATCAGCGTCGCATTTTGGTCAGGATATTGCGCTCCTCAAGGGTCACGATGAGATCGTCATTACCCTCGATGTGGACTGGTCTGGGCACTGGATAGCGACCGGAGCGAAGGACAACACCGCCAAGGTCTGGCGTGTGGACTCGGATAACAAGTCCTACACGTGCTGGGCGACATTCTCGGGCCATGCTGAGTCGCTAGGCGCCGTCGCGCTGCCCAAGGCCATGCCTGCAGAGTCAACAGCCGCGCGTACTGACCCTCTTAACCACCCTCCAGCCTTCCTCATCACCGGTTCGCAAGATCAGACCATCAAGAAGTGGGAAATTCCCCGACAGCGCCAGGAGAAGGGTCAGAAGACCGCGATGCGATCCGCCTTCACCCGCAAAGCACACGACAAGGACATCAACGCCATCGCTGTGCAAAACACAGGGGTTCTGTTTGCGTCAGCCTCGCAGGACAAGACGGTAAAGATCTGGTCAACAGCAGAAGGCGAGGTCCAAGGCATTTTGCGCGGGCATAAGCGCGGTGTCTGGTCCGTGCAGTTCTCGCCGTCCAATATGCCCGTTATTCAGGGCGACGATGGGCCAGTGACGAGCAAAGGGCTGATTCTGACCGGAAGCGGCGACAAGACAGTCAAGCTCTGGAGCCTGTCTGACTTCACCTGCCTTAGGACGTTCGAGGGGCACTCGAACAGTGTTTTGAAGGTTGCCTGGCTGAAGATGCCCGTCAACAACGACAAGAGCAAAAGGCCAGTGCAGTTTGTCAGTGCCGGCGGCGATGGTCTGGTCAAGGTATGGGATGCCAACTCGGGGGAGACCGAATGCACGTTGGATAATCACGAGGACCGTGTCTGGGCCATAACTGTCCAACCCGACACCAACGCCATCGTCTCGGGCAGTGGTGATTCCACAGTGACCTTTTGGAAAGACACCAGTACAGAGACACAAGCAGCTGCCTCGCAAAAGGCTCTCGAGCTGGTGGAGCAGGAGCAAGAGTTGCAGAACCACATGAACGCAGGTTCTTACCGCGAAGCCATCGCGCTGGCGTTGCAGCTCAATCACCCAGGCCGTCTGCTGTCGTTGTTTACCTCTGTCACGACGAAGATCCCACCGGAAGAGGGTAGCTTGACGGGCGTCAAGGCTGTCGATGAAGTGCTGGCTACATTGTCAGACGAGCAGATCTTCCTCCTTTTGCTACGCTTGCGCGACTGGAACACCAATGCACGCACGGCGCCCGTTGCTCAGAAAATCCTCTGGACGTTAGTCCGCAGCTACCCAGCTTCCAAGTTCTCTAGCTTGTCCGTCAGGGGTGCGCGTGGTCAGCAGAGCCTCAAGGATGTCCTGCAAGCATTGAAAGTATACACTGAGAGACACTACAAGCGCTTGGAGGAACTCGTAGACGAGAGTTACCTGGTGGAATATACCCTGCAGGAAATGGATAGTCTTGCGCCGGCGCTGGAGGATGGAGAAGATGCATTGATGCAAGAGGCTAGGCAGGACACCATCATGGCTGGCTAGACAGATAGAATGTTGCTGAAACGGAAATTTCACGTGCAGTAACACATCTTCGATACATTCCAAATGGCGAATCAACCGTAATTACTCCCTCAGTTCAGTAGACGAAGTTCACAAATTAAAGTAGCAAGCTTGCCCCGAGATTTGGCGTTGAAAGGCGTGCCCCACAGCGATGACGATCCAATATTTTCTTCAGTCTTGCCGTTCGCAATCATCCATCAACTGCTTCGTCAATCCCGCCAGCAGCCGAACCTTACCTTGCGCAAATATCATATTACGAAGCTTGTCGATTGAGTGGAAAATATGGCTAAGCGCCATGCCTTCGAGGCGCTCGAAGACCTCAGCGGCGTCGCGTCACCCGCGTCCAAACGTTCGCGATTCGACGACCTAGACTCGCCTCTCGACGGCCCGACACCGAAGGAAGACAAACCGACCAACGGCGCGTCAAAGGGGGAAGATGACGAAGAAAATGAGCTCGACGACGAGCTATCAGCGCCGGCACCCGTTCGCCAAGCTGCACCGACAGACGGCTACGCAGACCTCTACCTAGACACAATCCACCGCCAGGTTCTGGACTTTGACTTTGAGAAGCTTTGTTCGATATCGCTATCCAACATCAATGTGTATGCCTGCCTCGTCTGCGGCAAGTATTTCCAAGGACGAGGACCAAAGAGTTACGCGTACATCCACTCCCTGGATGAAGATCACCACGTCTACATCAACCTCGAAACACAGCGAGTCTTTGTCCTGCCCGAAGGATACGAGGTCAAGAGCAAAGCCCTTGATGACATCAAATATGTCGCCGATCCCACATACACAAAGGAAGACGCGCGAGATCTCGACCGCGTCTCCAAGACGAGTCGCACCCTCGATGGAAAGGAGTATAGTCCAGGGTTCGTGGGCATGAACAATATCAAGGAGAACGACTATCTCAACGTCGTGGTACAAGCACTTTCGCATGTCGCGCCTCTGCGGAATTACTTCTTACTGGAGAATTTCTCTTCTAAAACAGAGCTCGTCAGGCGCTGCAGCATCCTCTTTCGCAAAATCTGGAATCCGCGGGCCTTCAAGGCGCACGTCTCCCCCCACGAGCTGCTCCAGGAGGTGTCCCTCCGATCCAACAAAAAGTTCACCCTGACGGCACAGTCCGATCCGGTGGACTTTCTCTCGTGGTTCTTGAACAACCTGCATCTCGGTCTCGGTGGCTCGAAAACCAAACCTGGGTCGTCCATGATCCAGCGGACATTCCAAGGGAAACTCAAGGTCGAATCACAGACAATCACCGCAAGAGCGGATGTGGGCGACAGGCTGCGATTCGAGGAGGCTGCCGACGTCAAAGTCGACGTTGCGCGGTTCATGTTTCTCACTCTCGACCTCCCGTCGGCGCCGCTATTCCAGGATGAGCTCGAAAAGAACATCATCCCCCAAGTGCCCCTGACCACCATTTTAAGTAAGTACGACGGGCGGAGTGCACAGGAACATCACGCCCAGAGGAAACGATATCGCCTGCTACATCCGCTCCCGCCCTACCTCGTCTTCCATGTGAAGCGCTTCTCGCAAAATAAGTTCATCTCGGAACGGAACCCTACTATTGTCACATTCGATGCCAGGAACCTCGACATGTCGCCCTACGTGGAACCCAATCCGGCCGAACATCCGCCGGGCGAGCCAATATGGTACGACCTCGTGGCAAACATTGTGCACGAGGCCGTCCGGACGCGCGAGGATGTCGCGGACACAGGCGAGGAGAGGAAGACGTGGAAAGTCCAGCTCAAGGACAAGGCAACGGGCGAGTGGGTCATGGCGCAGGATCTCTACGTGGACAAGGTACAGAGGGAACTGCTATACCTAGGAGAGACATATCTCCAAGTCTGGGAGAGAAGAAGAGACAGCAAGGGGAAAGACAAAAGCCTAGTTTAGGATGCTGGACGGCGAACAAATGTTTCAACCAATGTCAATTGGACACGAGGAAGTCATATCTTCGAGTATGCATCAAACCGCTGTATCGCCGTGCCTCCGTGTCAATGCGCTACTGAAACACCCATTTAGCACCTTATACCAAATCAAACCAGGTCTTCTTCTCAGACCTTTCATCCCAGCAATGCATGCATGCAAAATCATACGCCGCCCTACAATGACCTGACAATGAATGCGTGCCAACGGTACAGGAAGGGTGGCGTGCAAATCTCGAGATGCACGAGACCAGTAGTATACAATGATCAAGCAAAAAAACAAAAACAAAAAAAAAAACAAGGTCGCGCGTGAGGGTGATTGCAGGCGTTGGAAAGGAGGACCTTTAGAGGAAGCTCCTTTCGTGGAGGTGGAGAGCGCGGATGGGCTCGGCCTAGTTCATCTCACTTCTCGCAGGCCGCTTCTCAGGGTTGGCCTCTCTGGCCTTCTGATTCTCACGGCGCTGCTCGTCGAGGGCTGTGCGTTGTTGGATGCTCGAGTCGTGACTTCGAAACTCGACGCGCGTGTTGGCGGGCAGCTTGAGAATGTGCTTCATGAGTTCGCTGGATGGGTCAGTCAGTTTGTGCATCATGCCAACCATGCACATGGGCGGCTTACCGAATCTTGAGCACGCGGCCACCGTCCGTCTTGGTCCAGATACTCAAAATATCTTCGCCATTTCGGACACTGAGCACGGCGCCGCATACGTCCTCGCCCGCCTCGAAGAACTGATCGCCAATGAGCGCCAAGAGGAGGTCTTCCCAGTAACGATCAGCCACACCCTTCTTCAGCCTCACCACCCACTTGCCACCTTTCTTGTTGACATCGTCCTCCCAAATCGGCCGGATATCCTTTTTGAAGAGATGATAATCCGATACCACGGGCAGCGTCGAAGGGCGCTTCAGGTGCTCATATACATCCCAAAACTCTTCCGCCGCTCGAACCGTTGCAATAGGATGCAACGTATGCTCATATTCAATGTACCCATGCGCCTTGGAGATGGGTGGACGATACCAGAAGGTCCATGAATCTATGAGCAGATGTAAAGTGGGCACTGTACCGTCGAGAGATCTAGCCTCAGAGATCGAGGCCATGCTGGGAGTCTTGCCGATTGGCTTGGCGTCTTTTACGACGCCGGGCTTGGGTGCCGCCGTGCCCATGGCCGTGTCGAAAGGATTACCTCCGGACTTGGGCGTCTTCGCAGAGCCAAAGGAAGCAAATGCGCCTGAGCCCAGGCCAAAAGCGCTGGATGCGCCCGTTGGCGAGGTCAGCCCTCCACCAGGTGTTGTAGCACTGAGGGGCCCCGGGCGCAGGGACGATGCATTGTCGCCGCCCGCGCGCTTGGCAAAAGATGCGTTGCGGGAAGAGGATGGTTCGTTGGAGGCGCCGTTGGGACCAGAATTTGTGGTCAGTGAGAGTTTACCGGTGCTAGCAAAAGGTCAGCCACGGAAAGAAACGGCTGACAAGGACGCCGCTTACTTTGCTCGACGGGTCCATAAATTATCCATGAAGGCGAGTGGCTGGTCCTCAGAGGAGATATAGAGGTATTGCTATTACGGTACGGGCGGCAGGTCAGGTGGTTGTCACGGCGAGAGAACGGCTAGCGAAGGTTCTTCTTGATGCTGTATTTTCCGGAGGGGTATCGAACAGGTCTGTGGTAACGTCGTGCCCCGGGGCTGTCGCGAGATTAAGAAATATCGTGCTTGTTGATACACACGTCGCGTGGACGAGGAACGGGCGTTGTGGTCTGGTAGGAGTAGAGGGGGCGTTTGCAATGAATAGGCGGACGCTTGACGATGGGATTTTCTATCGCTTTTCCAAAAGCTGGCGTTGCGCTCTCTTGATACAAATAAGCTGGTAGATGAATTATACGGGCGGTGGCGTGGTGAGTTCGAGCGTTCGTGTGAATAGTTGAGTGTCGAGAGTCGAGTTGCTAGACAGAGAGGTGATGATGATGATGTTGATGGTGGTCGAATGCTTGGTTGGATGGAAATGGTGGTGTGGGTGGACTGATTCGGAAGGACGTTGGACGTTCTTGGGTCACAGTGCTGCAGGTGTTGGAGAATTGGGGCCTTTGGTGAGAGGAGGTGGACTCTGTTGCAAAATTCAGCCACTTTGCAATTGGATTCGGCCTCAGAACTTTGGCGAGGGCGCCAGTCATGGCAGCCCAAATTTGTTCAAAAGACCCATTCATTAATCAAGCCTCCACACATCCGACTTGAGATTCGTCCAGGAAGGCCTTGACGATGAGTCCTCGTTCACTTGAAGCTCATGTAGGATCAGCATATGCGCCGTGGAGTCTGCACAAGGTTCTGGCATGTACTCGACGCAGCTGTGATGCAGTCAAGACGATGCAGTCAAGACGAATTCCAGTCGCTTTACGAGATAATTACCCATAGGTACTCTTTAGTTGGGTGATGTGGTTGCACCTCGCAGCTGCGCTGTTCGACGGACAGTGTTACAGAAGGCCACGTCCGGTCTGCGAATGCTCAATTGCATTCGACTCCGGAGCGAAGACCAAAGTAACACCTGTGACGTCTGACTAAAGATGCTAAAGAAGTGATCTTACCAGTCGATGAATTTCTCCAAGGTACGTACAGAGTACATAGAGAACTCCTAAGTCGTGTCCCACAAATTTGTTCTTATCGCCCCTCGTCACCTCTTATCGCCTAAAAATTTCCCAAGATTCCCATCATCTCACCATTGCGACCACAGCTGCTCCCCATCTAGCATCATCACTCCCCGTCAGACGTGAAAAGCAAGCATCACTGTTCGCCCATCTCCGCTACCATGGCGCCCTCCAAAACTCGTACCATAAAGAACAAGAATGCGGGTCCTAAAAAGACCGACGACGACAAACCGAAATCCAGCAAATCTTCGGCTGGTCGCAAAGGGCCCGTCAACGCCACACAGTTGAAGGAGAAGAACCGCGCGCTTCTGCTCAAGAAGCCCAAGAGGAAGACCTACACCGACACCGAGCTCAACATCCCCAAGCTCAACATGATTACGCCTGTGGGCGTCGTCAAACCCAAAGGCAAGAAGAAGGGCAAGGTCTTTGTGGACGACAAGGAAGCGATGACGACCATCATGTCACTTGTGCAAGCAGAGAAGGAGGGCCAGATTGAGAGCAAGATCACAAAGGCGAGACAGTTGGAGGAGATTCGACAAGCGAGAAAGGAGGAGGCGGCAAAGAAGGAAGAGGAGCGCAAGACCAAGTTGGAGAACGTGAAGGAGTCGCTCAGGAAGAAGAGGAAGCGTGGCCCTACTGACAAGGACGACGATAACATCAAGGGTGCTGCTTCTGCGGGTACAAAGATGGGCAAACCTTCGAAACGGAAGAGCGTATCATTCGCATAAAAAAAGGGGCGCGGATGATGCTGGCATTGCTAGGTGTTACTGGCGTACGGGATATCATGGAAGCATTGATAATGTTATGCAAATCTTGGCATTGCGATATTATGACTCCGTTCTATCAACCTGACCTCGTCGTACGGTACGTTCTATATCTATAGTGACCATTCTATGCCGCCTCGTGCGGCATGAATAGGTTGCGTCGCATGGGGACGTATCTGGTCCCTCTATCATTGCTGCCCGTGGTCTCGGGGTCCTTGCTTGGCTTGACGCTTTCCAAGTCCGTCTCGAAAGCCATGTGGTTCAGGAAGTTATATACCTGACTTGTCAGCATGAACGATGACGGGTCGAAGGGAGTACATACCGGCTTGGTATACCACCGCGAGCCTCCTGACTCGAACCAGCACAGATGTCCGCCCATCGATGTCGTCAGAAGGATTGTGTCTGGATTCTGGCGGAACTCCTCATATGGGATTGCCTCTTTGACTGCGATCTGCGCATTGTAAGTCAGTGGCGCATATGTTCTGGATAGGGAACTTACAGGATCGTCGACCGCGTGCACAGCTAGGAATGGTATCCTAATTGACAGCACCGCGTCGGTGGAAGATGCATCTCGATAATACGAGTATACGGTCGGGTAGCCCCAGCTAGGACATCTAGGCACGTCAGCGTCGCAGTCTACTGTATGTTATGCCAACAATCCACTTACTGTACCAACTCGTCAAACTCATGCAGATACTTCACGCTGACAAGTTTTTCCATGTCTAGGCCGGTGTTCTTCGCTAGATCATCTTTGTGATTCTGCGCAAGCGCCCTCATGGACCCTACAAAGGTCAGCGAACACGAGCCTTGTCATTTCAAGGCACTATACATACCGCCCATGACTCGCAGATAGACCTCTTTCCCAATCCAACTGCTTTGCAGGATCTTGCTTGAGATCTCCAAATTGAAGGGGTTTGAGCAAACAACTGCGGCCTTCAGCTCACAGTTTGGCCCTTCCTCGCCACAATACTTCAAACGTCAGTAGCCGTTCCGCCGTGGGCTTCTGGTCAGATATACTCACGTTCGTAAGCATGTTTGCGCCCAGGGAGAACCCCAATCCGAAGACAGGTCGGTTTGGGAACGTCTTCCTGATCCATTTCACGACCTGCCTGACATCCCATGTCGCCCGTGCGTTGTACAGGACACCGCTCGTAATCTTGGTTCCTGCACATCCACGCGCGTTGATTACGCAGATTTCCCAATTTCCCTGCTCAATGAATGGTTGGATACAGTGCCGCAAGTAGACTTCGTGAGAGCCTCCGGATAGACCATGCAGGATGACCAGCATTGGCTTGTCGTCGTTGGACCCGGCATCCACAGCTTTCCATTGCTTTTCCGTAAATTTCACTGTCCTAGGGAATGAAATGCTGTCGTCCTCGTCATCGTGAGGAGGAACCACAAAGTCGACGGCAAAGGTACCTTCATATTCCTTGAGATCTGCTGTGAAAATACGACGCCGGTAGTACACTGACGGCCCATGTGGCTTGGTCGCCGTCCACATGGTCTGCACATGGCCGTTGAAGAGAAGAGGGTTGAGCTGGCAGGGAGGCGTCGCATCCTTTACAATTTTCAACAGATTAACATCTTGGTGGGCTTCGTCCAAACTCTTCTGCGAAGAGTCGGTGACCACCTGGGACTTGCCACGGGATTTGATGGTACGCGTGGTAGGTGCGTGGGTGAAGTCGATGTTTGAACGGCCGAGCCACTCCATTGTGAGAGTTTGTTGGTGACGTTGTGCCTTTGACGAGCCAATCGATGTGCAGTGTATCCTGGGTGTCCTCCGCAATTCAGAGATATAGCAACGAAACCCACGCGCACAGTTTCGACAAGAAGCGAGAGACTAGACTTGGAGATCAGGGGCCCTGAACAGTGTAGAGGTGAATTAAGGCGTATCCCGAACCAAGGTCAAGAAAGCCCGGGCCAACATGTGTGTGGACCCCTAGGAATGCGGCCGATGAAGGCCCACGGACGACTTCGAGTCCATGCTGTACGATATTATTTCTCTCGTGTTTCATCGCATCCATCGGTACACATCGCCCAGAAAGTCCATTTTCTGCAGCGTGAAATTGACCGAGCTGCTTTCAGTACATTGAGATTTTGTTGCACGAACGTCTTCAACTTACTTTACCCTCATAGATAAAGTCCGTTCTTGTGTACTGAGTACAGACAGAAATTGTGTCGAAGTCCGTGCCGAGGCATTTAAACTCGGTGTGGAAGACTGAACTCCGTCCGTCTCGCAGTGCCAAATCCGGTTATGAGCATAATTATGTCGTTGCTTCCGTGCTGAAGTAGTTGTTCAATAAGATCTAAATTTATAACATTGTGGCTACTGATCATGGCAATGAAGACGTAGTCAACTTGGAAACAATCAACAATTGCCTTTGAGTGTACAATCTGCTTACCAAGACTTGATGCATCAAATAAAGTGAGCACAAGTTGCGTCACGCTCCGCTGCATTTCATGCGGAAGGCAAAGATTCTGCCGCTTTATACGTCCATATGGATGAGCCATATGACTTCATAAGGTACATGGATATCGTAGGAAAAACTAATGATTATACTATGTGATTTTCATCTTAGAACGTTGATAATCACAGAATCAGGAACGGGTGCTTGGATCAATCAAGAAGCCACGAGTGGCTAGCGGCGCGGAGTGACATGGCACGTGACTTGGCCGTCGTGTTTGGTGCCAACGCATCACAGTGGTGGCTTGGGCGGTACAGCAATTACCGCACCACCATTCCCACCGCACCTTGGGCCCTCGCAGAGACCATCTCGGATCAACGGCCATGCCCTGTGTCGCAGCGTGAGTTTCTCTGCCATGGCAGGCTCTATGCGATGCGCGAACGACTTGACCTCGAACTCCACCAGCCGGCTTTACGAGTCCATGCTGAGCACTCACGGTAGCTGACATCGTTGCTGGCACGAATTATTCCGACGACTGATCGACACTCCTCGCACATCAGACCCTACAATATGGCCGAATTAGCGGTCTGAACCAGACAACCACAGGGCGCTGATGGAACCAAGGACTAGGGCATTGCGTCGCGCTCGCTGCGAAGTAATGAATTACTAATACTACACAAGGCTGCGTCCGGAACCGACTTGCCCATCTGTAATGGCGTTTGGCATGCCTTTCCCTCGGGACATTCTGACTCCTCATACTACCCAGCAATTGCTGAACTTCAAAGAAGCTTTCGTTCACTTCCCGATAAGGCGGTATCCAAAGATGGAGGTCGGGTTCGGAACCCTATGTCATGGCTCAACTGCTTGAACATGAAAAGGAAGAGAGGGTTGTGACTCTTTTGCCGGCCATATGCTTGGCGGTCAAGGTTTTTATGTCCGACAGATGCATATCAGTCCCCAGGCCTTGCCTGCCCATTGCCCGAGAAACCTGGGCATCCATCGGGATTTCAGTGCAACCTGCGTCATGCCAAAGCGTCAGCGTTGAGTATAGCTGTCGCTGTTGACATCTTTGACTGAATTATGCACGGTCACGGTGGAAATCTCGGACGTGGCGTGGCCTTTGCCCCCTTATGTAGTTCTCAAACGCCCATGAATGACTTGTCGGGATCGCGTGTCTTTTGGCATCGATCTGACTTGAACACGCACAGGTGGACATACTTGCCAGTACGGTACGGTCGGAAATGGTCGCGCTTGATGGGCGGGCAGGAGGCGGCGAGCTAGCAAGCTAGGCCTTCAGTTGATGGCCTTGCGTTTGAGTGATGTTGCGTGCGGATTGTTGTGCGCAACGAACCACGCACCCGCGAGGAGCCTGGACCTGGTGACAACTATGAACCTCGGTTTTGACCTAAGGAGTAAACCTTATCTTACAGATGAGGTCACCGAGCCAGGGTCCACGCTATTGCTGCAACGCTCTACGGAGTACCACGATGCGTGGGCGATATCTTTCTGCCACAGCTGCAGGTCTGTCTACTCCGGTCGCCACGTCTCGACAGCCGCCTTCGAATCGCAGCGAATACCTGATCCACTCAGCAGAGAATGAGTTACCAGGACTTTCTCATTCACAACCTCGCGCGACCAGTTGCAATGTTGTTGCCAAAGCAAGTTTGGACGCGGACGCAGATAACCGGGTTGGTTAGCGCTGTGGTACAGCGTTGCCATGTCGGCTAAGCCACGGCCAATCCCACCCAGCACTCGAACACTGATTGCCCCGACTGCACTGGCCCGCCATCAACCCTGGCTTGAATTATCCAGAATCAGCACAGTTTTGCCTTGTCTCAAGGCGTCAACTATGGCAAGCCTGCCAGAGCGTCCACCACGCTCTCATGACTCCATCCGAGATGACATGGACCTTGACGAGAATCGACATCGATCTCGCACCGAAGGACGCGCGCATTCATCTGAACGACGACAGTCTCCGCCCCGACGACGGCCACGCTCGCCGGATCATGATAGTCAAAAGGCTCGCTCCTCACGCGCTCGCTCAAGGCATTCCCCAGACAAAATCCAACGCAACACTCGACAATCTCCCAGCGATAGCGACACCTGCCGTCCGGCTGGTGCGCAGGATTTGATTCCGCGATTCAGAGAGAAGCAACAACGTGACCCAGAATTGGGCGATATCCACCGTCTACGCAGCCGAAGCCGCGGCCGTGACAAAGAGTCCCCGTCTGTCCCCAAAAGGCACAGAAGTAGGACACGTTCGCCCAGCGATCGTCATCGCAAACGATCTCGAAGACATTCTAGTACCTCTCGCAGGGATCGTGGCCGCGACAAGATCAAGGACATGGACAAGGAACGTAGTCGGTATCGTGAGAAGGATCGTGACCGTAACCATAGCTCGAAACACAGTCGTCGTCACTCGCCGCACGGCAGGCGACGGGGTTCACCTCGTGTTCACGCGTCGCCTACCCAGGACGACCATTCTTCGTCGCGGTCGAACAGACACCGCGAAGATTCAGAAGCACCGCGTGACCAGCCATCACGCCGCGACAGACACGAGTCAAGGCACTCAAGGATCGACGGAGCTGATCGCTTCGGTCATCAAGACTTTCCAATGGAGCGGCCGATCGAACCATCCAGCCTTGCACCTCTCGAATCTGCAAGCCTCAACGACAACGAGGCACGCCCTCGCGAGCGCAGGGGCAGAACCCGTTCTCCGTCTAGTCGAGGAAACAGGAGAGTTCGACGGCCTACGCCCGATGGCCCTGCCGCTGCCTATTATGATGAGGAAATGCGTCATCGCGATCCGTATCGCGGCGACTACGACTTCCCACATGGTCGACACTACCCTCCTCCTGATCCCAGATATCCACGTTCTCCGCGTGGGGGCTCATACCGTGCTTCGCCGACCCGTTCACCTCATCCCCCCAACCGGCGTGGTAGAGTAGGACGTTATTCGCCTCCTTATCATCAGTACCAGTACCATCAAGGTCCGGGAGATTACGATCTGCCGCCACAGGATGGGCCTTATGGGCCACCCCCGGGATCTTATCGTGGAGGATACCATAGCGGGAACCATCGTGGAACTCCATACAACGGTCGTGGCGGACCACGTGGCATGGGCTACAAATCGTCACAATGGGGTGGTGGATCAGGACATGGTCAGCCGCCGGACGAGCTCAACGATCAATATCGTTCACCCAATGATTATGCGGACCAGCCATCGAGGGAGGCTGAGCCTCAAGACGTTGGCATCGACGAGTCTTCAAAGGCTTCGGACACGAATGGCAGTCACCCTCCCAATGCACCTACTGGGCCGTCGGGCTCGGGACGTCCGCCGCCGACTGGACCAAGCAACAAGTTCAGCTTTGCTTTCAAGGGCCCCTCGAAACCACCTGCGCCCAAACCTGAGATATCCCAGAAGTTCAACGCCCCTCCACGCAGGAGGTTGTCGCTCGACAGGGCAGACAGTGACAGGCAACCCCCGGCGTCCGCGCCAACTGAACCCGCCTCAGCGAGAGGGCGACCTGATCCGAGATCGCTTCCACCCATACCTGATGGTCCCAGAGTTGTACCGCGGATGCGCAAAGTGAAAAAGATAATGAGGCGGCCAAAACCTCGCCCGACACTCCCCTCGGAGCAAGTGATTTCAGAGTCTGTCTTCTTCCGCAAGCCTGGCAACGAGTCTGTGATCGGATCTGGCACGTACGGCAAGGTCTTCAAGGGGTTGAACGTGTACACAAAGGACCTTGTCGCCCTCAAGCGCTTGCGAATGGAAGGCGAAAGAGACGGGTTCCCGGTGACAGCGGTGAGAGAGATCAAGCTGCTACAGTCGTTGAGACATCTCAACATTGTGAATCTTCAGGAAGTCATGGTCGAGAGGAACGACTGCTTCATGGTTTTTGAATACCTTTCCCATGACCTGACGGGCCTCCTCAACCACCCTAGCTTCACACTGAACCCGGCGCAGAAGAAGCATCTTGCGAAGCAGATGTTTGATGCCCTCGACTATCTACATGACCGTGGGGTGCTACATCGGGATCTCAAAGCAGCCAATATTCTTGTCAGCAGCGAAGGTATCCTCAAACTAGCTGACTTTGGCCTTGCTCGATTCTTCGCCAAGCATCATCGACTGGATTACACCAATCGCGTCATCACCATCTGGTATCGCTCCCCAGAGCTACTCCTCGGGGAAACGCAGTACACCGCGGCCGTCGACGTCTGGAGTGCGGCCTGCGTCCTGGTGGAGATCTTTGTCCGGCAGGCCATCTTCCCCGGAGACGGTACCGAACTCAGCCAACTCGATAAGATCTACGGCATCCTCGGTACGCCCAACTTGCGGGACTGGCCTGGCCTCGTCGACATGGCGTGGTTTGAGCTCCTCAAACCAACCGTCAAGAGGAAGAACGTCTTTGCGGAGAAATACGAGGATCGAGTCACGCCCAAGGCCTTTGATCTCCTCAAGCGCATGTTCCACTACGATCCCGCCAAACGACCCACGGCGGCTGAGGTTCTACAACATGACTACTTCCTCACGGAAGAGCCTTTGCCAAGACAGGCAGTAGAGTACGTCACCTGCCACATCTCCCACCAAATCGCACGAGACGCTAACATTCCTTTCCCCACGTAGACTCGCTGATATCGAGGGTGACTGGCACGAATTTGAGTCCAAGGCGCTACGCAAGGAGAATGAACGAAAAAGTCGTGAGGCTCGCAAGGCTAACGCCGCCCGCGAAAAGGAGAAGAAACGAGCTGCGGAAACCGAAGAAGCTGCTGCTGCGCCCGAGGCCAAGAGACCCCACGTTGATGTCGGTGCCGAGGATGCTTTGGAGGTTGCGTAGGAGTATTGGCCTACGCCGATGATAGCGGCACGGACGGTTTGAATAGGAAGTTAGAGGCGAAAGTTGTTTGTCTCATATGTTCCATTGGTCTCTGATTAGATCACACTTTTTACGGCGTTTGGGAACGGGCATTTCAGAGGCAGGCAGCAGGAAATGGTGGGCGCGGGCAAAGTATGTACAACATCTATATATACCCCTGGGGGGCAATAATCCTCTCCGTAAGAGTATGGTTGAGCTGGTGCACACAATGCTATTTTCAGACGCAGTGATGTGTGGCCACTCCTTCTTCAAGTGCTGTCTACCAACACTATAAGTATACACAATGCTGGCCACTACTGGGGCTTGTTCATGCCCAGTTCCGTTTCTCATAAATATCATAAGTCGTCATAAGGTCGTCCTTCAGAAGCAGCCTCAGCTAGCATCCCTCTGCACACCTTTCCCTTTCGTATCCGTCGAGCGCAAAAGCTCGCGGAGACTGCCTTCTGCTCGCCCGGCGGCCTTGGGGACATTAGCCTCACCCGCGCGCCATGGCATCCAACCGGTCAACGTGGAGATGAAGCCCTGGGGTGTCCCGGGCTGGTTAGCCGGTAGCGATGCCCTTTTCGTCGAGTTTCGATAGATTTGTGACACAGTGTTCGCCGGGGGCGGAGGAATATTCTCCTTGTTCTGTTCCCTCTCAGGGACTGTGCGAATCTCCAGATGGCTCGTCGAGGCTTTTGGGTGAGCCGGTTCGCTGAGCAGCGCGCTGTTGGAGTTGCGGGGTGATGTCGTGTCAACGTTTGACTGCACATTGATGGAGCTGTCGATGAGCGCGAGGGATGCTGACCTCCTACCCTGTGGGGTCTTTGGCGCCATCGGACTGTGTTCGTCGCCTGTCGTGATGCTCGGTGCTGAGACAGGTGACACACGCCCTGAACCTCGCTCGATAGCTCTGCCGCGCACCTCGCGGGCGAGCTCAGCTGCTGATTTGTTCTTCTTAGACTTATCCTCGTCTGAGGACCGGCTCGAGGACATAATGGTCTCCAATGTGCCCATGGCCCGACTGCTCCGCCTGGCTCCGTTGCGTCTCTTTCGAGAGCGTTTCGAACTTCGGTCGTCATCAGAGGTGATCACTTGCAACGTCGGTCCCTGCCCATCGTTGCCGCTCGGCGAGCCCATAAACGTCGAGCCGGAGCCGTGAGGATGGTAATGCACTTCGTACTGATTGCTCAACGAGTATCTAGACTTTGCGCAGATCTCTGCGATGCGGTCAAGATCAGCATTGATATCACTCCCAGCCTCCTGCACGTCCATGTTGGTCATGAAACCTTTAAAGGTGAAAGCCTCGATGGGGGGCAGCTTGGTCTCATCCGCAGGACTAGACCCATTTCCTTTTCCACCAGCGCCTCGGGCTAGTTTGGAAAGCATTCCGTTTCTGGCGGTCGCTACGGAGCTCGCAAAGGGCATGCTACGGCCGCGAGCAGTGGCGGATCTCCCACTCTGCGAAACCGTGCCCAGGCCTCCGTGGACAACGACGCCTCTGCGAGAAGTGCTTATCGGTTTATTGTTCTGGGGTGCGTAGTAGCTCCGGACAATGACAGGTTCGGAGTAAGTTGTGCTTCGCGCACCTGTTGAACGCTCGTAGCGATGGCGGCTGGGATAGTTATTGTTGAGCTCCCTGAGCGCAGACGTCCGGTTCTCAGCGGTCGAATTATCCACGGGGATGGCCTTGCCCTCGGCAACGGAGTGTACGAGAGTCGTGGACGATGGGTTCGTTTGGAACGAGCGGATGAACGAGAAGGGAAAGGCACCCTGACGGTTGGTCACCACATGGCCCTGCAGAGAAGCATTGTCCGAGATCGAGCGTTGGTGATGTGGAGCATTTGTCTTTCGAGCCGGCGAAAGTCGAGGGGAGGAAGGAACAGAGGCGGCGGAGGGTTCCATGGTAAACCTTGCCAATGATATATGTGCGTTGCTTCGTAGGTTCTCAGTACCTGGCTAGCAGGGGCGTCTCGCTACTCGGTGCGCAAGTGGACCATTCCAGGCGTGTATATGCCCGTACTATGCTGCCTTGCAGTAAACAAAGTCCATGCGTGGTATTGCAGGACAGAAGAGCAGAGGAAGATTGGTGTCTCGAGAGGGGCGGCGGATCGATTACTTAGGCCACACGCTGCATAGGCGTATTGGCAGTCGGGGCTTGTTGAGCGGGCCAGCGTCAATTGACGAATGGAAGGGGCAAATCGATGCTGGACAAATGCGCGCTGCGCTGGAAGAGGAGAATCGATATGCAGCCGCGATGCACGGTCGACGTGGAGGAAAGCTGGCGGTCAGTCGGTCGGTCGAGAGGGTTGGAGAAGTCAACGCCCAGACAGGGTGTTGACCGAAGATCGGCAAGTCACAGAAATGCCCCGCGTTGGGAATTTTGGTGGGTTCGAAGTGACAGGGTACTTTGTAGAAAGAAGAGGGGCCCTTGAACCCCAGACAGCCAGGCAACACAACTTTAGCTCATCGTCTTGATGAATGCGATGATTGTGTGGTGGTTTAGTGGAAGGGCATCTCATTGATCGAAATGAAGTTTAAACAAAAGGGAACAGTGCGACCTCATCGAATCACCAGCGTCGGAAGATATGCAACGTGTCGTGGCTGCCGTTTAAAGGTCCAGTCGCAGAGCAGGACGCACACGGCGAGGAGGCAGGCAAACACCCATTGGTCCCTTGGGCTCGGCATACAATGTTGAGACAATCGGATTGACTAGTGGCATTCAAAGTACTAGGTAGCGTTTGAAACAGCGGTTGGAACAGCGGTTCGTGCCGAACTGAATTGATCAAATTCCATTTACTACCACACATAGGATGCAGGGATAGGGTACAGCGTCTTTGAGCGGACAGTACTCACGTACAGACAATTACAGGAGACCGCCCAGTAATCTTCGCGCACTCAACTCGATTTGGTATGGAAGCGAACTTCTCGCAACTATCGGACACCTCAGTTGTAGGCTGGTGCCGGTGCAGGTGCAGATGGCGCTGGTCTTCCCATCGTGCCGTAGCGGCGACCACCGGCCTGGACCTTTTCGCTGTAGATGCCAGGCGCGTTGTTTGGTGCGGGTTGCCCCAGAGCGGCCTGTTCGCGGCGATCATAGTAGACCCAAATGACATAGAAGCCGTGCAGAATCCCGGGGAAGTAGCCCAGAATTGTGAGCAGGATATTGATCAGTAGGTCTGATGGATTCGTTAGTGTGTTGCTTCGCTGCCAAGACACCCGGAGCTGGATCGAAATCACGTACCCATCCCGCATCCTGCCAGAACGAATACTGGAATGGGGGGAACTGCGTAAAGAATCAGCCATAAACGTAGAGCCAGGGAAACTTTGCAATCATACAGAATAGGTTGACAATGACCAGGATGACCGCGACAAACCCACCCATTGTGGCGAACTTGTTGGTGGTTACGGAAAAGATGGAGTAGGGTAGTCAACTCAGGCGACTCGTGCTCAACTGATGAATTTAAAAGAATGATATTGGATCGGAGAGAGTTCGTAAGGTTCTGACAAAGGAGAGCTAAGAAGCAATGTTTCGCCCAAGTTCGAATCTACTGGAGATGTATGTTTCTTAAGGTAAGGTACGAGCCATGACGTGTATCGACGTACAGGATGGCATGATGGGGTGACGTACGCGGTACGCGTACGCCTCACTGCTGGCTCGGCAGGTGCGAATGACTACGAACCGGAACAAGTCACAACCCTAAAGTACCTAGGCATTGCTGACATAAAATGAATCAAAGATCCATATTGTTCAGGTTGGCTCGGACCGTCTCGCTTTGCCCAACGACTCCTCCAGTCGTTGGTGGCTGACGAACACCCTCGGATTCGGCGCCCTGTGCGGATACGTATGCAGGGACTGTCGTCTTCAGAGCAGAGCCGCTCAGCCGCATCGCATCGCACATGCGCATTATCACGCGGGAGTCCACAAATCTCTGGTATACGCCGTACGTAGCACCAGCTATTGACAGCCCGCATCCTCCTTTGACTTCAGGGACACATTGCTCCCTCCAAAGCCACCCTTTAGATGACGGCACTCGACTTCTCCTCAATAGACCGGTAGGCTCCTCCGATAGCTGTCCTGGACTGAATTCACAAGCATCGTCGTCTAAGTGCTCACGAAGTTGAGCCCAAATCTCCCACTTGGGCGTACCATCGGACAGTTTGGCGAGCATCCTGGTGGCCTTGCCCAGTACTTGCGCGCCGCCATTCACCACACCGCTCACTTGACACCGCCGAAGGCGGGCAGACCCTCGTCGACAACCACCTCGATAGCCTCGTAGATGATCGGTTGACTGTACTTGCACTCGCCGATGCTATTTCTGGCGCCAGGCGGATCTGGGAAATTGAGAATGCTTTGCCACTGGCTATGCAGGTGACGCTAAAGACGTCCTGGTCGTAAGATATTACATGCGTGGGAGTGCTGAGCTACTCACACATGCCTTGCTCCACAGATGAAGATAGGGCGTCGTTGCCCGCTGGGGAGACGCGGTATAGAGCATCATCCTTCAGCCATGTCTATGACTGGTGTGTGAGGTATGCCCGTCACTTTAGGCTCAACCCTCACTTATATAGGCGTCCATGTCTCGGCATACCGCACGTTGGGTTGCAAGTGCGCTTCGATGCCTTCGAGGACAAGCGCGGTAGTTGCGCCGGGGGATATAATTCCCATTATTGCGGTTCTTGGCTGTGCAAGTTGGCATGAGAGCACGTGCTGCCTGTCCATGAGATGACATAGGACATGGCCGTTGATGCAACTTATATAGGTAGCCGTGTTATGATCGCCAAGATGTGGTCGCCGATACGCGAAAGGAATCTGGCATCGTGAGAGCTAGTCCCTAGCCACCGAACAGCATAAAATTCCATGCCGACAGTCGCTGTACTCGTCAAAGGCCTAAAAGTGCGGTAGGACGCCTTCAACTTGGAGCTCATCGTTTAGGTGACGGCTCTTACCTGTGTACCAGCAACCCCAAGTGCCGGCAGCGCGCGGGCCAACCTCAAGAGCTCTCCACGTAGCGAAATTGCAAAAGGGAACAGAACGTGTTCGGACAGCCCTGAGTTGTGTTCCCAGAGGGAGGCCTTTCAGTCCTGTCCGGTTCCTCAGCCCGCGTTGGAACATGGACCATGAATCAAGCCTTGCTCTCCACATTGCCATACCGTAAAAGGATGCGGAAAAGCCAAGCTGAGTACTATATCAGGTAGGCGATGTGGCCTGGGGCTGCGATTGGCAGCGGAGTTTGCCTCATGTCCGTAGTACAGCTGCGAGCTTGGGGGCTTGAGGGCGCATGCTGACTGAATCTAGGAAAGTGATGGTGCGGAACCAGAAGCTGAGCAAAGCCGCTGAGATGGGACGTGACGAAGAGATTCTCATCATAGCCGTCACTTGCAGCAGCGCATATAATGGAATGTAAGTTAGTCGTCATCCTGTTGGAACATGCAGGATCGTATAGACCGGTGACTGATTAACTAACGGTCTGTGGAAGGAAGGGTCCTCGCGGATACAACTAGCGGGACGGGACGGGATCCGACGTATGAGGGACTTGACGTCCCCGATTAACGTTGGGACAGTGCTTGTTCACGTCATATACTGTAGGTGGTGACCGTTGGAGCTTGCACTGCGCGTGGAGGGCTGTGCCACGTTCGTGTGTCACTGTGCCTGAACGATTGTCGGGGTACATGTAGGCTACACTTGGGGTCTCATGGCGTTGTTATTTTTGTTTGAACATGGTCAACAATCTTCGCCTACTTACGTATTGAGGCGGAACAGTGAGGCGCGCGCTCGATGTCTTCATGTAGAGTGGGTGTATGTACCTGTTAGCGCGCTGTGCCTGTCAAGGGCCACCGCTGCGCTTACTGTGCCTTTATTAGTGCAGCTCCAGCTTCATGCCTCGTGGTGAATGACGGATAGTTCAACGGCCATGGCTAGACTATGTTTGCCTCTAGATGATGGCAAACCTGTTGTTTGGCTTTCCAAAGGACACAAATCACTATTATCCAGATGTACTTTTCATCTACTCCAGACCTGTCATCGCATTTGCCAACCACACCAGGACGTCGGATGGAGAGGAAATGCGTCGTGCCCACACTATATTTGGAGAGCCCTCACTGTGCGGATAGCCAAACCCCACATTTCGACGCGCAACGGCCAACGGCTTTCAGGCTGGGCGCCTCCTGAGAACGCCAGTTCCCGCCCTCAGGAACCCGAACCAACACGCTGTCAGCAGTGAAGCCTTGTGGGAAGGGACCTCCAACACTGTGCCGGGCAAGACGCGGGCACGCCTCGGCGCCTGCCTCCACTCCTGGGATTGAGTTTCTCTATTCTCTGCTGCCTCACCTCCCCGTTGCGAGAGCTTCAGTCTGGTAAAACGTCTTCACGCCAGCATCGCCATTAGCCCATTCTCCTCCCCTCCCCCCTTTCCTCTCGCTTATTCTGTCACGCCGAGCCAGCTGGGTCACAAGCTGCTGCTCGCCATTGTCACCAGCTGATTGACAGATTCCAGACAGCCAGGCCGGACCGACGAACCGCCCGCCGCCGACAGTTGCTACCTGCATTGTTTGCATTCGCAGACCAACGCCTCGTCTGCCCATCACTAGCTATCCGCAGCTACTCTATCTCGCTCTTTGTCTCCGGTAGATCGCCTCGAAATCGCTTCATCATGGCCTCGCAACAACAAACTCCGTTTAGCGTTGACCGCTATGTGGTTATCCACGTTGCGACCACCTGTGACGAGCACGGTGTCTATGTCACCAAAGACTCTGCCGAGGTCATCGAGCTTGGATGGATCCTGATCGACGCCAATTCGCTTGAAGAGGTAAATCGTCCCAAGTGTCGAGACCTTCTGAACAGCACAGCTAACTCTTTTGCTCTGTAGCTCGCTCATGAAAGTGTGCTTGTCAAGCCAGTCAACACACCCATCACCCCCCTCTGCAGTACGTTCCTGAGACACCCCTCCAACAACCAGAACCACCACTATCGTCGGCAAATGCAGCGCGTGCATTTTGCTCGCTCAATTAATCAGTATACACAATCGGAGCCAATGCTGACTTGGTTATCCAGCGAGCCTGACCACCCTGACTTGGGAACATGTCCGAAACGCGGGTACCTTTAGAGACGCTATCACTAGATTCGACACGTTCGCCAACGAGCACCTCACCAGCAAGAACCTCGATTTCGTCTTTGTTACACTCGATGCTTGGGACCTCCGCGTCCAGCTTCCACGCGAGGCCCGCGACAAGGCCGTCGTGCTACCCCCTTACCTGCAGCACTCGCGCACCTTCGATCTCCGCACCGAGTACCAGCGCTGGCAGCAACGCCACCCAGAATCGCTACCATTCGGTCCGTCGATGCTGTCCAATATCTGCGCTGCTCTCGAGGTGGAGCCCGTCCAGTCGAGCGCCCCTATCAAGCACAATTTGCCCTTCCATCTACAGGCTCTCGCCCCTGCTTCGCCTCGCAGGGCTATGGAGGAGGCAGTCACCCTGGCCCGCGTGCTCGGCGGCCTGATCCGCAAGTCGCAGCCTCGGGGCGAGCATCCCGATGTCCTTACCAGACCTATGGATGCCCGCGCTGATGTGCGGGCTTTCCTCTCTGAGCGCAGCAAGGTGCTGCACATGTCCGGACTCCCTCACGACACCACTCAGTCCGAGCTCGAGAGCTGGTTCACTCAGTTTGGTGGCCGCCCCATCGCTTTTTGGACCCTGCGTACCCCTGAGCAGCATAAGCCCACGGGCACCGGCTTTGCCGTATTTTCTTCCCACGAAGAGGTAAGCCTTAGCCAACGAATGCGCTTCTCGTTGTCATACATGAGTCACTAACCTCTCCTAGGCTGCCGAAAGTCTGTGCATGAATGGTCGCGCCCTCAACGAAAAGGCCATCGAGGTCTCGCCTTCATCCAGCCGTGTCCTCGACCGCGCTCAAGATATCCTAACCCCATTTCCTCCGAGCAAGAACCGACCTCGTCCCGGCGACTGGACCTGCCCCTCTTGTGGCTTCTCAAATTTCCAGCGCCGTACAGCATGCTTTCGCTGCTCGTTCCCTGCCATGGGTGCCGGCGGTGGCGGCGGCCACCAAGAGATGGGCGGTGCGGGCGCCCCCGGTGGTTATGGTTACGGCGGCGGTTACGGCCCGCCTCACATGATGGGTGGCCCCCCTCCTCACCATGGCGGACACCACGGCCACATGGGCCATGGTGGTGGCCGCATGGGCGGTAGCGGTGCTGTGCCTTTCCGTGCTGGTGACTGGAAGTGCGGCAACGAGGTCTGTGGCTACCACAACTTCGCCAAGAACGTTTGCTGCCTTCGCTGCGGTGCCAGCCGTGCTGGTGCTGCGGTCGTTGCCGACTCGGGCTACCCTGGCCCTGGCCCTGGCCCTGGCCCTGGTCCGTCCATGGACAACACGTCCCAGTACAGCATGAGCCAGAGCTCCATGTCTGGCACCCCAGGTCCTGGATCCGGTCCCTTTGCATCGGGCGGCTCCTTTGGCGGCTCTGGTGCAGGCGGCTACAACCAGCACTTTGGAGGCCCCCCAAGTCACTTCCTTCCAGCTGGTATTGGTGGCGCCGGTGGCAGTGGCTACCCAAGCTCACTTAACACCCAGGGCTTCGGCGCTGCCCCTGGCGCCCATTCTGCTGGACCATTCGACAGCCGTGCTGCTGAGGCTGCTTTCCAGTCGGCATCAAATGGCCCAGCCTCCGCGGGACCTTCGAACAACTTCTACGGCGCGAACAACGGCAACAATAACGGCGGCGGCGGCAACCCCGAGAATGACCCCTTCGCCTTCCTGTCTAGCGGCATGGGCGGCCTGTCTGTCAGCGGTAACGACGCTCGCCAGAACGGCGGCGGCGGCCCCAGCAAATCGCCCGCTTAAGCGTAGCCTGATGCACGTTTGTGGCTACATATCTTTTCCGATTCAAGTACATGACGAACCGGAACTACGAATATAGGAAGATTCTATTTCGAGCAACGGCAATTACCTTTTCTGGCATAGACCATTGTTTCAGGGATTGCAGGATGGACACAATTATGTACATGTGCCTTATCCCTGTGTGTATGCGCGAGGTTCGGTTTGGGAAGACCGGTTGGTTGGCTGGAGTGTCGGATACCTCGTTTGCACCATTTCCTTTTGTTTTTGTCTATCTTTTGCTTTCTACACCTTTTTGTTGCTCGTCTCGGGAGACGAAAGAAAAACTTGGCGAGGGCGCGAGCTGATGGCCCGCGCACGGAAAAGTTGGCTATATCATGGCCGCTTTGAGTCGGCAATCTGGACGAACAGGTCTTTGGCTTAGAGGGGGAATCTATCGATATCTTGTCCTTTTGGCAGGACGACCGTCGCCTGGCTTAGTATCAACCCCCGAAAACTCTTTGCAGGATTACAGAGGAGGAGCGCGGAGTGAGGCGTCATGGCCGACCCTGGGTTTTTCTTTTTTCCTCACACAAAATGAGACAGGTCGATGGGGAGCTCCTGTGGGCGATGGGTGGTTGGAGATTTTGCAGGGGTTCCCCATCTACACAACTGGCGGGGTCATCGATCTTTATATATTGCTGCGAAATGAACTGGAGCGGTGTCCGGTCGCGTCGGTGCATAGCGAACGGAGTGAAGGGAACTGTCTTGGCTGGTGGCGCTCTCTGTAGCTCCGGGGGGTTGGTTGGCAATGGGGGAGTCAGGGTTCATCAAAGCTTATCTACTTCTTCTGGCCTGGTCTTGCTTGCCTTGTTAGATGAGGCGTGCTCGCCACTCTGGTAAGCATTGGTCTACATGTCATTTTGTTCTCACTTTGAGCTGCTGGCCTGTCTGTGTGTCGATGTCTGTTGTTTTTGCCCCTTTTCCACGGCGTCTTGGCCTGATCACAGAGTCCACATGGGTACAACTTCCTATGTGGAACGACAGGTACAGTTAGATGTCGCTAATCACCAACCGCCTCGCCAGGCTGCCTCTGTATCAAGTCATCCACATCAAATCCTTCCTCTCTCATCCACTGCAAGTCAATGTGACCAGCCCCTGGGCCGGCGCCCTGCCACTTCAAGGCGAGGTCTGGGTTAATCTCGGGCATGGCGCCCATCAGTGTCTCAGTGACGAACCGAGCCCAGCTCTTCTGGTCGCTGTCGCTCTGCGGAGGTGGACCTTCTCCCCTGGTCAGCGGTGGCGGGATGTAGCCCCTGCGTATCTCGTCATTGAGGCTATAAGTAGACGACGAGTCCGAGTCCTCTCCTTCCAAGTCAGAGTTGACGTCTGAGTCGGGATGTGCCCAGGCGAGACACCTCAGCCGATTATCCTCGTCCTCCTCCCTGATCGCGTCCTGCTGCTCGGGCGTGAGCATGTGCCACCGCTTCTTCAGGGCGTGTTTCTTCTTCCAGTGCGTGGTGGTGTCCATGTGCGCCAGTGTCCCGTCCTCGTCCGAGATGTAGATCTCCTCCTCGGTGGGGACGAGATTCTCGCCCGTGATTCGGTCGAACTGGCCCCAGAGAATCATGTGCCGGATGTGCTTTTTGAGCTGCAGCCCGCGCTGTACGGCTTCAATGGGGATGAGCTCGTCTGGGCGGAAGAGGTGCAGTTTGCCTTGACCCCAGCCCTCGCGGTGGAAGATGCCTATCTCGTCGAGGGGCACGCCGTGGACGGTTTTGCTATTTGTTGCGGCGGCGGCCCAGTTCTGGCGGGAGGGTTGGTAGTCGTACCGGACCTTGAGGTCGATGATCTCGTGGAGTGTGGTGAATCGCTTGCGGAGGAGGAGCTGCCAGAGGGGGTAGAGGCCCTTTTGGCCGAGCATGAGATGCATGAGGTCGTAGGTGCAAGGGCCATAGACTGGGTCGTTAAAGTGCAGACCGAGCTTGATGAAGAAGAGCTGGGCGTTGTAGAGGTCCGTGTCCCGCCAGAGCGTGCGGTTGCGTAGCATGGCGCGACGGTGCTCGGTGGTCGAGACGTCGAGGAGCAACCACATGCGTAGAAGCGTCTCGTACATTGTCTTGGGCGTCCGGTGGCCGCTACGTGCCATGATGGCGACAATCTCTCTGCAGTATCGGTCTCGACCCACGACGAGCTGGAGGTATCGAAGGCCGGGAACGGTGCGAACTGTGTTTATCCTCTCGGGGGCAAGTGTGGCGGGTGCTTGACCTTGATACTGGTCATCCCAGGTTCGACCAGAGGGATCAGGAACGACTTGGTTCTTGTACAATTTGAAGGGGAAGATAAGCCCAGCCTCAGGGCAGCGGTGGTTGATCCAGATGCGGATGCTGGAGAGCATGTAGCCGTTGATAGCCTGGCGGAACTGGCGACTGGCAATGTACAGGTGGAGAATATCTCGAGGGCGAAGATGTTTGCCGATTTCAACAGCCAGCTCGACAGTCTGGCAGAGCACGCCGATGAGGTCGCCCCTCTTTATCTCGTTGACAGGTCGTGGCGCCTCCGCGGTTCGGGGCACAGAGTAGGGATCCCGGCCTTGAAAGTATTGATCAAGCACTGACTTGCTAAATTTATACTTATACTCGCAGCGACCGTCGACGGTGGTCTTTTCAATGTCGATTCCGTGGGCAACGGGGTCTTGAGATGGTTGCGACGCAGGTTGGCGAGTCGTTATGAACGCCCGAGTGTCGGTTTCCAAAGGAGGTTGCTCTCGCGTCTCATTTTGCAAATCAGAATGGGCGATTGCATCCTCGATGAACCCCTGAATCAAGTCGCTCTCTACTTCGACCGCTGCAGCATCAGCCGATGGTGAGCGATCTGTGTCTTGTTGGCATTGTAGCTGGACGATGGCGATCGCTTCGCGTTTTGTGAGGGCCTTGTTTCTCACCACCGCGACACACACGAGTTGTTGCAAGCACTGAATGGCGAGCGAGCGAGCAAGACCGGTGTCGAGGTTTGCTTGGCTGGCTTTGTCGACTATGGAGGTGATGTCGTAGAAGGTGATCTCTTTGTCTTCGACGCGAGGCATGATGACGAGCACTGTTTTCGGGGTCAAGGACTAGCTTGGTCATTTGGTTTGATAATATGCGTCGGACTTTATTTGAGTATTCTCAAGGTCCTTGTAGTAGTAAACAACAGTCTTATTGATGTCGCTTGTGAAACACAAACGAACCATTGTGACGGGGCTGGCGACCTGCTCACTACGACCTGAGCTCATCGTCAGACGAAAATCATCGCCAACAACACATAAGGTGAATCGTGGACCTTTCCGATTGTATTGTTCCCCCTTTACTATGGGACGGAAAGTGAATGTGGCCCTTTGCTCGCCCGGTTTAGGCCACATACCTGTAGTCATGTCACTTGACCAGTTTGCGTCGCAGGAGGAACGGGGTCACCGTTGATATAGAGTTAGACCTTTGTTTATCCTGGCTACCTGAGCTATAAATCCTCGAGGAGATTCGCCAAGCACAATCGTGGTATGTTTCAGAGCCTCACGCAGCGCCAGCCTGTGCGGCTTCCCTCTTGCGTAAGCCCTTCTCCAGCTCCTCTACATGCGCATAGATCTTCTGAAACTGCCACGGCCAGGTGACCGCGAGCAAGAACGGACGAAGGTCATGTCGGTTGTCGTCCGGAGAGTACGACTCGAGATGTATGCTGGGCGGCAGGATCGTGCTCTTGTGCCTGTTGATGGCCCACCACTTGAAGAAGCGGCACACTGTGTCCGCCGTTTCTCTCGGGGAGCGCTCCTCTTTCCAGTCCGCCAGGAGTCTCAGGTAGGTCGACCATGCGCCGCATTTGTGCACCTTTCGGAGTCTTCCAAAGGTACTCAACTCGCGCTGTTCACTGTTAGCTGACATATGCTTCGGGGACTGCCAGTGGTTCGTACATAAGTCAGTCCCATCTCTTCCTCGTCGGTCTGTACTGCCTGGCCCTCCTTCAGGGGGATGAGCTCCGCGGTTGGTGTTGCGGAGATAAACTCTGCCAGTATAGGGAGGTCCCAGGCCTTCATGACGTGCCTCTGGAATGCCATAATGTCAATCTTGCTGATGCTACCGAGAGGATTTATGTCCGCGCTTGATGCGTCGTACTATTGTTCACGTCAGCCACTTTCGAGGGATCTGCAGCAGACGAAACTAGATTTTTTACCTTTGTGAAGTAACCTGAGACGTGTTAGTCATACAAACCATGGTCTCACAGGGGCTTTCCAACTCACCTCGCAAGCCTTCTTCAACATTAGACGACGCAAGCACGAGGAGGCTGGTGCCCGCACGAGGCAACGATCTTGCCTGCGTCGACAGCTGGGCCATGGAGTACCTAATATGGTTAGCCATCTGAAGCTTGAGCACTGCCGTACGAGACTTACGCCACAATCATTCTTGTGCGTGCCTGCAGGTTCTGCTTGGCGAGGCCTTCAGCATTACTGCCCCCCTCGACGACGTGCTTGGGTTTGAAGCCATCAAAGGCCTGACCGATCAGGTTCTCTTCGGCGGCCACAATGTCGTCAATTTCCACTTCCAAGTGATACGCACCGAGCCTCTCCGCGAGTCTCTTTGCGCCTGCACGGCCTGTTAGTCTGGCTTGCCACGGGTCGAGGGAATGGTCGACTCACGCGAACGCGTTTCCGAGCTCGAGTTGGACGTGCCCATGTAGGCAGTCGTGAGCAGTCTTCGCACAACATCCTCTGGATTCGGAGGCGTGTAGTCTTCGATGCCAACAACTCTGCGCAGATCCTGCAGGGTGCTTTCTTCACCGGCCTCTATCGACTGGCAAACCAGCCTTGCCATGGAATAGACGAAGAGCAGCACTGTGCTACTGTCGAGGCCGCCGGATAACGCCAGGAAATAGCCAGCCGAGTTTGTCCGTACCAAGTATGACCAGAGGAAGACTGCTGTGGCAAGCGCTATCTCGTCCATGGGATCCAGGATGCGTATTGGGGTTTCCTTCGCAATAGTCTTTGTAGGTGACAGATAGATTTCCTCGGCTGAGACACATAGTGTCAGGGGGCATTCGACCTCTGGGTAGAGTTGCTGGGCCGCAGCTTGTACGCCACGCGCGGCGCTGGCCCGGTAGCTGCGCACGCGGCCGATGTCGACCGTGGCCACGGTGCATTCGACCTGTTTGAGGCTGAACTGCGATCCTTGAGCGAGAACCTCGCCGTTGAGAATGAGAAGGGAGCTCCCGTCGCTTGCGACAAGTCAGCTGCGGTGCAAGCGAAACTGGGGTATCGAGTCGACTTACTGCATTTGACGGGCTTCGCCATCAACGCCGGATGCGTTAACGTACATATATAGGCCGCCATTCTTGCGGGAAGAGTTGGCAATCAGGTCCAACCTCTGTTTCAGTTTTCGGAGCTCCGCGTGACTACAAAGGTCAGCCGATTCGAATCTCGGGGAGTAGAGTCGGTGATGTAGATTTACCTGGCACTGCTGTTGAGGATAACTTCGGCACCCGCCACTGGATGAGTTGCTTCGTTAGCAATGTCCATCATGTCAAACCGATGCTCGCAGTTTACATACATCCTTGGAAGACGGAAGGGTTCCGTGGGACAAACTACTACAGGTCAGCACGTTGGATAGACGTGGGGAGTGTGACTGCTTGCCATTTCCTCGCACGTCTCGACACCGATGCTGACGTCCCTTGCCCTCAAGATGAAATCTCCTATGGGAGCAGTGGTTTGACCCGTGATGCTTTGGATGTGAAGCGGCAGCGTACATTGCTCGACCTGCCTCTCCTTCACCCAAGCACTGAAGTGGCGCGCTTCAAAGTGAAGGCCATCATTGGCCATCGCTGTGCAGAGTTAGCGTTAGCTTGCTTTGGTACATGAATGTGATATGTTCGGTGGCATACCCTGCTTCGCTCTGATGCCATATATGACGCTGTAGGAGCACAGCACCCTGCAGTTGTACTGGACATTGCGAGATCGAACAGGCATTCCCACGTCAACTGTCTACGTTAGCCATTAGACCAACGTCTGAGCGCAATGACAGACTCAGCATATCCTTGCATATCGGATCAGATATAATCTCGCCAAGCACCTGAGGAGTGTCAGTATCCTGGATAGGATATTGGGCAGGGGGACGACCGCGAACCCCGTCCAACGTACCTCCCAGCTGTGCATCTCAGTGTCGCTCTCGAGATGGAAATCGAGACAACCATAGCCGCCATTGGGGTGTCAGCGTTCTATAATTCTGTCGGAAGGTCATGACGCTTACCAGATCTCGAGCTCACTGCCACATCTCAGCGTTGCCCCGGCCTCCTTGGCCTCCTTGATGGACTGGAGAATCCGCTTCAGGTTGCCCTGGAAATCAAGCGGGCAAGATGGCGCCGAGGCAGCGCAGACCGTTAGGAAAGCGCCAGCCATACTGAAGGACGATAAGGTGCAGTGCAGATGTTATCGCGTCAGACAGTGGGAGCAGAGGCTTGTTCTTGGTGTTGAGAGTGAGGACTGGACTCTGACTCTTTGAGGCTGCTGATAGACCGGCCCACTATCGCGGGGCACCTCGGACTCTGTATCGTGTACACAACCAGTGCAGAGGCTTTCGCAGGCAGAGGAATCAGTTGACTTTGGCGAAAAAAAACTCCTCAGTTGTAGTATCTGAAGCAACTCGAGGATTTCACGTTCGAGTAACCGACATTTTGGGTTTGTGTAGATGCCAGGCCTCGTGAGCTACGTTAAAGTTGGGTTCCTCGTTGAGGGTTCCCGCAGTGCCCGAAATCGGCGACAAGGAGATCGCAAACCACATCCGAACAACACCACCATGTCGTCACCTGCTATGAATTCGTGATCATAAGCCACTTATGCTACCACGGAGAATCGTTGCTCTCTTCTGTTATTTCCCGAAAGCTCTAGACTAGCGCGTCTGCCACAGGTCCCGAGCATCCCGCCATAAGCCACAAATGCAAGGTTTAATCGCGTCCATTCAGCCCACCACCTACCAAAATGGATATGGACAGTCCACCATCTTCTGTTAACCGGAACGGAGTCTCACGGCTACGAGCTACCCTTATGAAGAAATCGTGGATCGGCTTCGATTTGGACGATACATTGCACGAATTCCGCCGCGCATCCTCAGCAGCTGTAAGCAAGGTTCTCGCAGAGATCTCTGAGCGATACGGTACACCTGTGCCTGCGCTTAGGGAGGAATACACCAAGATTCTCCAGACTAGCACAGCAAATGCATTTTCCGATGGCAAGACATCTTTTCACTATCGTACAGAAAGATTCCGACTCCTTCTGGACAAGTTCTTCTTACCGCACGATGCAGAGCTTATGAATCAGCTTCTGGAGTCCTATGAAGCCACTCTGGTGGCCAACCTCGAGCTGAAGTGCGGAGCGCAAGGCCTCCTATCGACCATCAAGAGCATGGGCAAAAAGATCATGGTGATTACCGAAGGCCCGCAGGATGCACAGGAGAGAGCGGTCGACGCTCTCGGCATCAGAAGCTACATTGATTTCCTCGCTACAACGAACCGCTTTGGGGCGTCGAAGAGGGACGGTCTGTTTTCGAGAGTCCTGGAGCACCTTGGCATATCTTCTGGTGATATGGCGTACATTGGTGACAGTGAGCAGCGAGACATGCAGCCTGCCATGGCCGAAGGCATCATCTCCATCCATCTCGCAGAAGGGAAGAGTGTGTCCCTGGATTCATGCCCGCCGAGGGTCAACACACTGCGGGAGCTGCAACACATCCTTCTCGCGGCTGGAGATGGTGGTACGAGCGATATGAGCTATTCTTCACTTGCGACTTTGAGCCAACACCACTGAAGCTCGTGCTTGTCATGTCTTGCTTCGTACGGACATCGGTTTCGTGATAAGAGAGGGATGTCTTTCAATGTACGGAGTACGGAGTAGATGCAAAAGAGAGCCAAGTTTCTGGGCACTCGTCCCCAAGTAGATCCTGCCCCACATCCCACCCTGCGCCGCCAAGCCAAGCCAATCAATCGCGCCCGCCGCGCTGCAGCTCTCCAGACTCCAGGCCTACTTTACCTACGGAACAGACGTGTCCATAAGTTCTCCAAAGGCCACAAGATGTCACGATAGCTTCGGCCGATTCAACTCCCCAAGTACCAAGCACACCAGGTGCACCCCGAACACGCAAGACCTTTTTCCATCATGCACAACTCCCTCAACCGCCTGCAGACGGTCTTTGGCTTCTTCACCACCGTCGCATTCACACTGGGCTGCCTCATCGCCCTGACAGACCTCTGGGCCGAGCGGACGCCCACCGGCGTCATCAAGGCCACAAACACACAAGTGTACCGTTCACTATAGCCTGCTCCCCCTAGCCAGACTCTGTGCATTCAGTGCTGACCTCCATCTAGAGTCAAGGGCAGGCCCCATTACTACTCGTCCAAGAAGGAGGAATACGCCATCATCAAGTTCTCTCTCGACGCCGACCTCTCCTCCCTCTTCACGTGGAACACCAAGCAGCTCTTTGTCTACGTCACCGCCGAATGGCCCGCGCCCGAGGTCGGCATAAACGCCACCAATGAGGCCGTCATCTGGGACTCGATCATCACCAATCCCAGCGCCGATCACCTCGTCAACCTGGGACCCATTGGCAAGAAGAAGCTAAAGGCGAGCGCTGGCGGCAAGAGCATCGCGCCCGAAAGGTGAGTTCCTGACGAAAAAAAGCAAAGACATGGAAATGCACGCTCACACAGACACTAGGGGCCTGCTGAAGCTCAAGAACCAGAAGCCAAAGTACCAGATCTCCCACCCGAGCGGCAAGATTGCGAGCGCAGAGGATGTCACCCTCAAGGTGCACTACAACGTGCAGCCCTGGTTTGGGCTGTTGACATGGAACACACAGTCGGACATTGGCCGATGGAAGTCGTTCGCGGGGGGCGTCAGTGACCAATTCTCGTTGCCTGCCGTCAAGGTCAAGGATGACAAGAAGCCGTAGATTACAAATACACGGGAATGGCGTTCACCTGGAAGGTCTGCGTATGGAGGGCGTTATGCAAATATCAACTGTTTTTTACTATTTAACATCGTTCTTTGCTTTTGTTTCTTCTTTCCCACTGCTTTTTCAGCCTCCGTGACTTCAACATTGCGTGTAATGATGTCGCCTCTATCGATACCATCATCAACCATCTAATCTACAGATTTTGCAGGTCATCACATCGTAAATCCGGTAACAGAGTCGACACCAGACACCGGCACAAATCCAAACACCACCAAAAGCACGATAACTCAATGTAATCCACAATCAGGCAGCTTGGGGGCCGCCTCGTCCTCGTCCGCGACCTCCACGTCCGCCACGACCACGACCTCGACCACGCTGGCCGTCCAGGCCGGCAGGCGGCGGTACGTTGCCATAGACGGCGCCCGTCTCGCCGCTAGGCTGCCCTTGAGGGGCTCCCTGCTGGGCCTGGTGACCTCCACGGGGCCCTCCTCGTCCGCGGCCCCCACGGAAGCCGTTCTGCTGCTGTTGCCCTCCGCGGCCACGATACGACTGATCGCCGTTCGACTGGTGCTGCTGGACTTCACCATTGGGACCGTTTCGATACACCATCGTGCTGTGCATGAGCTGCGGCCCGCCACGCTGAGAGTTCGGTCCGCCACGACCACGGCCATTGCCGTTCAGAGCACCACGCCATCCACCGCGCAGTGCAGCTGGAGCGGGTGCGTCTGTGTATTGTGGGACGGTGACCGTGTTGCGCGAACCAAAGGACGCTGCCTGAGGCTGGCGCTGCTGGGATTTGCTCGAGGCGGAAATCACCTGTCTGTGCGTCGTGTTGAGCACAGAGGACGAGGCCACTGTTTGTCCGCGGAACATGGGCGCTCTCTCGTTGAGGGTGGTCCCGCTCATGAACGAGGTGTCCCAGACGACGTCGAGCAGCAGAGCAGTCGCAGTACGGCTGATACCAACAACAGTGCCCCTCGTGGCAATGGGAACCTTGCCAGATCCAGCAACAAAGCAGACGCGGTCGCCTAGGACGAACTTTTGGTTGCCGAGCACAAGCTCGGCATCAGCGGGCTTGAGCAGAGCAGTGCGAGGCACGCCACGCATCTTCTTGATATCAAAGTCGCTAGAGGCGGCAAAGACCTCCTCGCCAGCCTTGGCAAGCGCCATCACAACTGTCGAGTCAAGCTGCTCGGCCTCGAGGGGTACCTTTTCGAACTTGTTGGTCTCCTGCTGCTTGAGCCACGCGGCAATATCCTTGACTCGGGCAGCTGCTTGTGCGGGGTCAGGCCACAGGTCAGTCTCCATAATCTCGCTCTTCTGAGCCTCCTTCTGAATAGCGGCAAAGAAATCAGGGAAAGTAACCATGTAGTCAGCAATCAGCTTGATGGCGACGGGGCTGAACTCCCACCCAGACTGCGACTTGCGCGAGTAGCCGAGCACCTTCATCTTGCGCGCCTCGAACTTGAGGTTCAGACCCAGGTTCAACTTGAGTCCTGCCCTGTTGTGAACTTGGTATGACGAAGTGATCTTGCTCAGAACAAGCGGGTGCAGCCCGAGCTGCTTCGCAACCGCGAATGAAGGTGTGTACGGGTTTGATCTTTCTGCAGCGTGGATGATGGACCGAGCAAAGTCGGCTTCCTTCTGCTTCAAGATGGATACCATGATCTCCGCCTTTGGACCAATATGGCCAGTCACCTCCAATGGTCGACCGTAGGCATAGTCTCCCAGGAAGAAGGCACGTGTGCCTGTGGGGAAATCTTCAGCGATGGGCAGAGCAGCCTTCTCGATGAAGCGCTCATCCTCGTTGACAACTTCGTCGACGATTGTCTGGGCAGCGTACGTCTTTCTCTGGCTGGGATTCTCCGCGTATTCCTTGATGTGAGCGCCCTCCTCCGTCCTGATCAAGCCCTTGAGCATGTGCACATGCACAATGCACTCGACTTGACCAATCGTGATACCCAGTCGCTTCCCATGCCAGCTTTCCAAGAAGTCAGATTCCTTGGCGACCTCGGCGGCGTCGCGGTTGTTGTTGTCTCTTGTCATCACTTGTTGTCCATCTTCCGATAGCTCATACGTGAAGAGCTCGTCAGAAACCTTCATAACCTTGGCCTCCTGCAAGAAAGGATAGCCGACATAACAGCGCTGACCGAGCTTGGCCTTCCAAGTCTCCACCTTGGAGCGAGTGTCCGTGTCTGTGAGGGTGACTATAACACTTGGGTTCCTGCTGTCCTGCTGGAACACGTTTACACCGTATCCTTCGACCAGCTGTGCGGTATGGGGCAAATGGTGCAGCGTGGGGAAGCCAGCAAGTGCCTCGACGTTAACCATGGCACCATCGGCTAAGCCCGACACGTACTGCAGCCCCTCCATGCTCGGCAGATCGAAGATGTTCTCAATGCAGCGGCAAGACTGTATGTCTGGAAAGATGCCAGGCAGTGAAGAAGGAAAGGTGTAGTTGACGTCTTCAGAGTACGTGAATTTGATAGGCACGCCAAATCCATTGCGCGCAGCTTCCTCTTCCGGGAGCAGAGCGTTCTTAGGTGCCATCGCAGAAAGCAGACGCTTCTCATCAATGAACGGGATTTTGACAACGGCTTCCCACTCCATCTTCTTGCCATTCATGTCGAGCTCGAAGTCGCGGGGGTAGAAGTCGATGATGGGCGAGTTGGGGTTCGTCATGAGGTCATGGTACACTGTAGGCACAATCTTCTTGCTTCGATCCGGCAAGACACCCATCAGCTGTTCGTAAGGCTTGAAGGGCTGGCCCAACTTGAAGTTGAGGTCGGCATTGAGGCCCTTGATGACATCTGACATTGCGGTTAGCATTCGACACGTATCAGTGGCAAAACGAACCCACCGGAAATCAAAGGCGCGTAGTGGTAGCCGTAGAACCATGGCCAAGAGGCAATGCCTCTGTAGTAGTAGTACAATACCCACTGGAGACCTTGTACGTAGTTCTCGCACAACGCCGTGAGCTCCTGATCGTACTTTTCCGGCGCCCATTCTTCGAATTTTTGCAGGTAGTATTTGGTCCTCCACCCCTGATACTTCTGCTGATACAATTCGTCGTACTGCTTCTGCGAGTCTTGCGAAGTCACGTCGACAACAATTGCGTTGTCGTACCTCTTCATCACGCGGTATGCAGCCAGGTTGCCTTCTTCGTCTTCATCCTCTTCATTGTCGTCGTCCGCGTCTTCTGCGACAGGTTTGGGGGGGAAAGAGACAATCAAGTGCCGTTGGCCATCATCGTCCTCCTTTGTGGCCCATTCGAGGTGCATAGAGTCCGCCAGATCCTGCACGAACTTGCGATCCTCGGCCTTCAGACCTGCGCCCAGGTCAAGCGGATTACTCGACCGCTTTGAAACATAGGGGCGAATCTGCTGTTTCCAAAGGTCACGCTGTGCCGAGGTTATGACCATTTTCCCGCCCTTGGGGGTCTTGTGAGCGGTGTTGTTCTTTGCCGCCAGCTTCTTTTCCATTTGTTTAGATGCAAACCACTTCTCGTCGGAAACCTCCGACTCAAATTGCTGCAGTTCGTATGTGCTCAGCTCGTCCAACAGAATCTTCAGACGTGGGATATTGATAACACCATTCTCGTTCAAGTACCCGTCACATTGTGGCAGGATCTTCTTGTACGTCCCAAACATGTTGGCCAACGCACCCTCGTTGATGTGCAGTCCGGGGAGATTAGGCAAGAAATCGTTGCCGACGAAGAAGGCCATCAGGATGAAGTCGTCAATAACCTTTTCCAGGTCATACGGAAAGCTAAGCTTCCCCTCGTCTTCCAACCCTTGGAATTCCATCTCCAAATACTCCCGCACCATGCAAAGGTGTAACAAGTAGAAATTCTGATGCTCCAACTCTTTGGATTTGGTCTTTGACGCGCGACCAAATGTGACCTCTTCACGCAACAAGCAGAAATGAGGGTCGTGGCTGAGAAGACCCAGCATGATCAAGTCGGCATCCAGACCGTAGAGGCAGTGTCGCACGTTGGGGTTATATCCGTCCTGCGATTTCGCATTGCGAATGTACTCCATGATCTTGTGCTCGCCCTCTCCCGGAACCTCGTGACCGGACAAGACGATTTCGCATCCTTGCCAGTCCGAATCCTCGGATACTTTTTTGTTCACAAAGTACCGCAGCTGTTGCGACAACTTTGCCATGAACGCAGTACCTGCACTAATTAGCCTGGTTTCAACCTTCGCAAATACGCAACATACCAGGGGTAATGCAGTTGCTGTCAAATGGCTCCTCCTTTGGCATCTCGACGCCTTCCTTCAAAGCCTTTTCACGGGCTTGTTCGGCATCGAGCGCTGTGCGGAAACGCCTCGCACGCTGCTGGTTCATCTTGGCTCGGGGCGCGACGCCGTCGATGGCCATGAAGAAAAGCTGCTTCGGCTTGATCTTTCCGAACAAATGTTCGATATAGTTGAATATCCTTATGAACATTTCTTCTTCGCTTAAGCGGAAAGTTGTGTCTTCGGCCGAGTCCTTGTGAGTACAGTTATGGATGATTCCGTTCATATCGAGCTATTGATACAGTTAGCGCAGTCAGAGGCGATCGGGCTGGCGCTCGTACGTAAAGACAGTCGAACTCGGGAATGCGGTTGTCCGCAATCAGCTGTGAGATCGAGGGATACCGCTCGGAAAGCCATCTGAAGAACTTGGGGACACTGAGAGAGTTAGCACGGATCCAGAAGTGACAGTTTCCACTGTGACACACCCCATGTTGTCTGTGGATGAGGCGCTCCTGGCGCAGAAATAGAATGGTAGATTCGGTCGTGGTGTTGCTCTCGCAGGCTTTTGCGCAACTTGCCTCGTGTCGATCGAAACGATACGGGCAGAGGGGAGAAACGGCAAAGCTCAAAAGGAAACTCGCATCAGAGTGCAGAGCAACAGTTGAGAAATAAGAGCGCTCTGGCAAGTCGAGGTGTTGAAAGATCAAAAAGACTGTCACGATGTAGCGACGTGAGTGATGACTCGAGGAGCCCGCGCTTGGAGCTGCCGCCCGATCGGGCTGAGGCGATCAAACCGCAGCTGCAAGAAGGTGATAGTCTGTGGCTGACATGGGTGGGGCTGCAGGGGCCCGTAGTGTGTCATATATGTGGCTGTGTATCTTGTGTGGCTTGGACGGCTTGTCCTTGCTGGCGGGGCCCATGCAGCTCATTTACGCGCGACGCGTCAAAAGCTCACCTTCACCTTGAGTTCACGAACTCCACTGACAAGGCGCCTCAGATTGACCAGAACCAACTTCCGCTGGTCAAGGCCACTGCCAACCTACCCTGCTCATCAATTGCCAGAGCAAGCTATTGCAGTTATCTACCACACACCATGGCACCGGCTGAAGTGATGGATCCTGATGCCGATAGTACGCATCCACACATTCAACTGTAACTCAAATTTGCTTACTGGGTTGTAGTCAACATGCTCGCGGCGGACGATATTGACGAGCGCGAACGCCTCATCAATGAGGGTGGGTTTTACAACAGGAGCGGCACACTCGTATGGCTCACATCTCCCAGAATACAAGACATGGAAGAAGAACTCGCCGTTCTTATACGATATGATTCTCGGGTAAATGACTTTTCTTTGAGAAAATCACTATCACTGATTTCTTCCGGTAGAAAAGCACTCACATGGCCTACATTGACGTGTCAATGGTTCCCGGACGTGAAAGATGTTCCAGCGGATAACTTTCGCACACATCGCCTGCTCCTGGGCACGCACACATCCGACGACAGCCCCAACTATCTTCAAATCGCTGATGTCCAGATTCCGAAAGCTGCGACACCAAACCCCGATGACTACGATGAAGAGCGTGGGGAGATTGGCGGCTATGGAAAGGCAGGAGACGTGGCGGCTCTCAAGTGTGACATTGTGCACAAGATTGAGCACCCTGGTGAAGTGAACAAGGCGCGCTACCAGCCTCAGAACCCTGATATCATCGCTACGTTCTGTGTGGACGGGAGAATCCTGATTTTCGACCGCACGAAGCACCCTCTGCAGCCCGCCAACCCTGGCCAGATCAACTCCCAGCTTGAGCTCGTCGGACACAAGTCGGAAGGTTTTGGCTTGAACTGGAGCCCGCATGAAGAGGGCTGCCTGGCCTCTGGAAGTGAGGACGCCACGATGCGCTTGTGGTAGGTGCTGGCTCTGATTGCGAAATGATTCTTCACTCACGGACCTTATCCAGGGATCTCACAAAGCTCGAGGCTGACACAAGGGTTCTGAAACCCTCCCGAACGTACTCTCACCACAGCCAGATTGTGAATGATGTCCAATACCACAACGTCTCAAAGTACCTCATCGGCTCGGTCTCCGATGATCAGACTCTCCAGATCGTCGACTTGCGATCGAAAGAAACAGATCGGGCGGCAGTTGTTGCCCGAAAAGGTCATCTGGAAGCGATCAATGCACTTGCGTTTAACCCTACCTCGGAAGTCTTGGTGGCAACTGCTTCAGCCGACAAGACTATTGGCATTTGGGATCTGCGGAACACTAAGGAGAAGGTTCACACACTTGAGGGTCACAATGATGCGGTGACGTCCCTTTCATGGCATCCCACTGAGGCGGGCATCCTGGGAAGTGGCAGTTATGATCGCCGTGTCATCTTCTGGGATCTCGCACGTATTGGCGAGGAGCAGCTTCCGGACGACCAGGACGACGGGCAGCCTGAGCTGTAAGTATTGCAATTTCTTGCTGCCGCCTTCGTAACTGACCTGCCCAGACTCTTCATGCATGGTGGCCACACTGCCCACCTTGCCGACTTTAGCTGGAATCCGAACGAGCCCTGGTTGGTGGCCAGCGCTGCAGAGGATAACTTGCTGCAGATCTGGAAGGTAGCGGAGTCGATTGTGGGCAAAGACGACGGCAATCTCCCTGTCGAAGAGCTCAACCAATAGGTCAGGTGGAAGTTCTCCTTGGCTTTTGATGCCCAGCGCCGGCGGTCTGCGTAGGACTATGAGGCTAGGCAGCTTGTGCGACTATCAGAGCAGAAATTGAGTAGATGGAGGATGATCAGCAATAGTTCATTGACCTCCGAATTTCTTTTGAGAAACCTGGCTGTGTGAGTCTGGTCCAGCCTTTATTAGTAGCCTTCACCGTTATGCTCACCCTGCAACATCTTCCAGAACAGCTTTGCTGCACGCCATAAGACCCCGGATGTGTGGTTTTGTTTATACATATACACTGCACGTTTATAAAATTGCAATGTTCTCCTCCAAATCAAATTCACCAGAATGACAGTGAGCACACGCCTGGAAGTTGACGCAGTCCATAAAATCCGACGGTGTTCACGAGCAAGTGATGAGTGTCTGGAAACCTGAACTTGACCACTCCAGCCGAACGCCGTCACTTTACTGCAGGACATGCCGTTTGTCCACAAACCTAACAACTCCACACCAACATATCGCCACCTGACACACATTGTCGCATTAAGATGACCGACACTTCCGTTGCGAAATCCGCCAGAGACCGACAGGACTGATCAAACTTCTTATCGAGGAAAGCACGACCGACCTTGAAGACAACCCAGGTGGAACTCGACCCACCTGCAAGTTGGCCGCGACTCGGACCCTTCATCGAATCCAAAACGCACTGACGACTCACGAGCGCCCCGCCTGGATTTTGTATGGGCTGCTCGTGATCCAGCGCGAGCAACATTTTCTTTCGACCCTACAAAGTCCCTGGTCGTTGTGTGCATGCCGACGAACGCCTCCAGCGCTTCATCAGGGAAGACGCCCCCGAAGGCTCCATGGAAGTACGATCATTCCTCCGCCTCGTTACGAGATCCAGGCCCAGACCGTACTGAACGCTGGCAGTCCGCTCGAACGCTATCATTCAGACGCCAACAGTTCCTTCCCCGACTATGGGTTAGTCCCCGAAGACGTCGGTTCATTCTAGTGTGCTGATCGCATAACGCAGCCCGAGACACGGCAACATGGGTAAAGGGAATCTCGTACGTTCGCACCAGTGACCCCTGCCACGGACACATCAGGCTGATTGCTGGTAGAGCACCGTTAAGGGCCTAGGGAGCAGGGCGGTCGACAGCATAAGTGTTCAAGTCCGGGGTGCCGTCAACCTCGTCGCAGGACAATCGAAGGAGCAAGTCCGACCTGCAAAACGCCAGAAGCAAGGCCCAGAATACTCCCAACACTTCCCGACTAACAAAACTCGCGATTTCCCAAAACGCGGTCGGGACGATGATACTGCTGAAATCTGGGAATTTACCACGATAGAGGAGCCGAAAAACGACAGCTACGGCAAGAAAAACCATGCCAGGGCCTCCTCCGGCCCGCGCTCCAAGAAGCCTAGGCTGTTACATGTCACCGGGCCTGCGCACGGAAAACTCATGAAGCCCCAGGTCATAAATAGCGACGACGAACCAATTTCCATTGCAGATTCTCAAGACTATGTGATCGTCGATGATTTGGCCGACAACGACGGGCCGCCACCAGCGAGCATTCAGTCCGACGTCTTACGGGGACAGTCTCGAAGAAGCGAGCGAGCGGCGCCGATACTGGGACCATCTGTCAAGAAACCGAAACGCACTTCCCAAGGTACAGCCAATGCAGATGTCTCAGAAGACGAGCTTGCACGGACTCCCAGCATGGGGAACGCAAGAACTACAAACTTTTCGGCGTTGCAAGCGCGGAAACGGCAGCGCTCGCCGTCCAAAGCAGACATTCAGCCAACCAAATTCACCAGTCCCGAAGCTCTGCCTGATTCTCTGGAAGTGTCCGCCTGCTGGTTGGAGGCCGCGGCCTGTGGGAGGAACTCATTTTGTGCTGGCGGCAAGAAGTCAGCGCTTGTTGAAGATGAAAATCACAACTGGAAGCTCAAGATCCGCGGCGAGGATGGCAAGTGGAAACTGTCGACGAGCAAGTGGTTATCTGTTTCCGCAGATTCAATTCGACACATATATCATAACGCAACGCACAGCAAGCACATACGAATCTCACGAATGACTCCATTAGGAAGGGAACGCAAGCTTCATTTGCAGTTCACGAGCAAGGAAACCGCGGTCAAGTTCCTCGATTCTGTTGACAGTAAGGCGTTGTGCTCTCAGGGAAGGTTTGTGCGACATGATCCCGCTTCATTGAACTTTACTGACTTTTGAAAAAAAAAAAAAGTGCACAACTGCAAGCAATGTTCGATCGTGCGATGTCGGAAGCACTGAACTATCAAGAGAAGAACGGCACCAAGGATGACTCCTCGACTGAAGAGCCCTTGCCATTAGGGGCCGCCAAAATCTCCTCACCACGTCAAGTAAAGGCTGTCAAACTCAAGGATAAAATGAATGGACCGCCGGAAACAGAAAATGCCCGAACTATAAGAAATACGAGTGCCGTTTCGCCCACTCAACCCGCGACACCTGTTACCAAAGGCCCTTCAACGCGGCGCAAACAAAGATTAGCACCTGATGAACAAAAGGCGCCCACCAGTGTCGAGAGTTTCGGAAGTTGGACGTCGCTGCATCCTGACTGGAGAAGCAGATGGCCCCAACCTTTGATATACCCGGCGACGGGCAAGAATCGGGCCACGGTTGATCAGGACGACATTCTGCGATTAGACGAGGGCGAGTTCTTGAACGATAATTTGATCAGTTTCTATCTGCGGCACCTGCAACTGCAATTGGAGAAAGAGCACCCTGAGCTTTTGAACAAAGTGCACATCCTCAGCAGCTTCTTCCATGAAAAGTTGAAGAAGGACAGATATGCGGGAGTGCAGTCATGGACTGCCAAGATCGACATTTTCTCGTATGACTATGTCATCATCCCCGTTAACGAGAACATGCATTGGTACATGGCAATCATCTGCAATCCTGGCAATGCGCTGGGTGGTAGCACATCAGCAGCCGAAGAGCCGTCTGCTTCCGCTGGCGATCAAACCGAACCGGGCCAGATCACTCAGCCGGGGCCGAAACATGACAAGTCCAAAGAACCCAAGATTGTCACAATGGACTCACTTGCCATTGCCCGGCCGTCAACCTGCAAAATCCTTAGAGAATATCTTGTGCAAGAAGCGCAGGCGAGGAAGAGTGTAACCATTACTACCCCAATTCAGGGTATGACGGCCAAAAACCTCCCAGAGCAACATAACCACTGCGACTGTGGTGTGTACATTCTGTCATATGTCGAGCAGTTTCTGAAAAGCCCTGACGAGGCATGCCGACGTCTTCTGAATCGGGAGGACCTGGAATGGGAGGTCGAAGCTAGTGAGATACGGTCCAACATGAGAGACATGTTGTTCAGACTTCAAGCAGATCAGCAACAGAGACTGCAAAATGAGAAGGAGGAGAAACGAAAACGCAAGAAGCAACTGAGAACGTTGGCCAAGTCGTCTGAGTCTACGGGGCCCCCAGATAGTAACGAGCGGCAATCGTCGTTACCATCCGAGTCAGGTATTCAGCCAACATCAGCGCGCGACAGCGTGGCATCTGTGCCCGTGAGTTGCGGTTCGCCATCAAGTCAATCCCCGAGGCGTGGCGCAACCGCCCAAGCCAGTTGCGATACCACTTCTACCACCCCTACCGCCATCTCCCGCTCGAAGCATCTACCATTAGTGGAGACTAATGGCCCGGCAGCGGAACTGATGAACAGTATCCAGGACGAGTGTGCGATGGTGGACCAGCCAGAGGATAAATGCTTTTCTGCGGAAGGGAGTTCGCCAACGGGGTCTCCAATGTTCGGTGATACACGCACCGCGCCCGCTTTTGTACAGCCACTGCCCGAATCAGACGGTGAAGAAGTTGGCACAAGCTCCAACGGTGCGAGCAACAAGCGAACCTTGGTTGGACGAGACCGTGGCGATTCGAGTCCCACAAACCAAACAACGTCGCGGCAGAAACAAGGTGTAGGGCGCATTGTACACAGCATCGACGGTGATTGATCTATATCGGAAGACGCGTGGTCGCCATCATTTAGCGTATAGATGCCAGGATGATACCCTTTCCCACAGTGGCACTCAAGAAGGAGGATGTTTTTGCTCTGCATACCGGAATGTTCTGGCGTTTGAGAGTTGGCCCAGTATATATGACTAATAATTTCCTTGGTATCTCTTGATTTTGTACATTCGACGAACCGTCAAAGCATAGCAAGTATGCCAGCAGGCGTGTCACATCATTAGTAAGGAGACATTCGGGGCGCTGGATGGAAAGGAGGAAATTTCTAGTTGTTTTTACAGCCAAACTATAGGCGAAGTGTGATTTACTCGTCGCCCGAATCCTCTGAACTCCCGTCAACGCCATTTGTGGTGATGCCCTTCATGCGAGGTACCTCGAAAATCAAACAACCGTTCCTCGCCTTGTTCCACGTCCTCCACCGCCCGAGACGGTGCTCCTGAGCGACTGCGGCCACTACACAGACGCCATCCTTGCCCCTATCCCCTCGCTCGAAGAGGGTGATATCGTTGATCACGCCTTGGATAGGCCCCGTCTGCTGCGCGTCTCCGTTTGGGACAAGCGACCCGTTGTCGGATCCATCGTTGGAGAGCACGCCCAGTGACTCGAAACTCCTCTTGTCATCGCTCAACCGCCATACGCGAATGTACCCATCCCAGCTTCCGCTAAAAAACACGTCTGAATAGGGGATCGTTTTCAACGCCGTTACCCATCGGGCTGAAGGAGGCGGCACCTCCTCCTCCTTGGGGTTCTTGGAAGCGGATACCTCAGATGGTAACATGGCTGGGTCGTGTCCATGGGCCAGGGGCTCGATGTACACGGGCTTCTTCTTCTGAACACTCCATAGACACAGAGCGCCGTTGTCACTGCCGGTGATGAAGAGGTCGTCGTCGATCATGGCGATGCGGTCCATGCTGCCCTCGTTGGAGAGGGAACGCGGGTCAATGCCCGGTGGCACAGACTTTTTGTCCGTGGCGCCTCCGCGAAAGACGAGCTGAGTCTCCTCCATGACCTTCCACAGGCGTGCCGTTCGGTCGCGCGCACCAACACTTACGCAGCGTTCTTGTGCAAGGGCATCAATGTCCACCACAACGTCCTGGTGGCCGAACAAGGTCTCAATGTAGGCCATCTCGTCCAGACTCCAGACCTTGACTGTGCGATCGCGCGCACAACTGTAGAGCTGATTCGTCCCGCGGCGAAACGCCAGACCGGTAATAGCGTCGCGGTGATGCGTCAAAACCTTGAGCGGCTTGAGCGTGGGGGCGTCGTAGATGATGAGCTTCCTGTCTTGACCACCTGTGACGACAAACTTGCCGTCAGAGGATGCAGCGACTGCGAGAATCTGGCCTGTATGCCTCATGTATCCTCTTTCCCGTGATTTTTTGAAGTCACCCTTGATCCACTGCTCCAGGACGGGCTTTCTCCTCGGAGGGGCTTGTGGCTTCTTCGGTTTCCGTTTCGTCGACTGGGGGAATTGGTGTTGCGGCAGGTCCTGCATCCTCCATTTGTGCAGATACAAGTCCTTCGTGACGGTGTAGACGTATGGCGCTGTCGACGCAATGGCGGTGACCGACTTGGACTGGCATCGAGAAAATATCCTGATCCCGCTGCTAATGTCCAACTCTGCCGCCAATTGACGGTATACCCGACCTTTCCCCTCGGCAACATCTTCTTGCAATCGCTCGGCAATGAGGTCCCTGTCAATATCGGCGGCGTCGAAACCTGCCTCGTCCACCGTCTCTTTCACATTCTCAAGGTAGCGTTCTGCTAGCCGCAATCTGCGCTCTGCAGCTGTCTCCTCCTCTTCATCAGACTCGCTCCGGTCGTCCACATCGTCACCCTTGTCGGAAACACCCTCAAAGCTTTGGTCGTCATCGGAATCGCTGTCCGAGGCGGATTCGTCTCTATCGCCTCGCTTTGTGGTGGTGGTGGGGCCCTTTGACTTGCCGTTGGGCTTGGAAGTACTTATCGGCGACGCACGTTTCTTGGGATGTTCGGGTGCAGACGGCCTTTTGCGCTTCTTGTGCGCACCTGGGGCTGTGAAGAAGGACGACATTGTGTGGTTGGCGAAAGGTGTGCTGTGTTCTTCACAAGCACGAGGCCTCGAGACAGGTGTATCGCCAGGCGTCCAGAAAAAAAAGTTCAGAAACTTTGGGCGGGTCTAGCTCGCGCCCCACATGCTGGCGCGCCGGCGCTGACACTCACCCCTGCAGCGGAAGGCCCGGACTTCGGGATGTGAATGTTCCGATCCCATCCTCCCGTGCACAAAAGCCGGCGACAACCATGGAGACATCAATCGATAGAGATATCTTATCGATCACTGCTAGATAATTGACTGTCGTGTCTGTATTCTTGTCACGGAAGACTGCAAGTCCTTCATTCAGATTCATAAGCTTTCGTGTGTAAAATTCCACAGTCCTACCAGGGAGGTTGGTTCTAAAGGTCACTGGCACAGCAGAACCGAAAAATACTGACTTAAACAATCATCTTGTACACTTTTGAGGCAAACTCTCCATTTTATCGTAACGACATATCGCTATAGAGCACAAATAGCAAACATGGGTCATCATGTGAAGATACTCCAGGTGATAAATATGATTGGTGGCTAATGGACATGTGCCTCACTAGAGCTAGCTCAATATCTTTTCAGTCATTTAGTCGTAATCATTATCCACGCAAACAAGGATTTCCAACAGACAAACAACGACAATGACACCGCAACACTATCGCGATCACCATCTCGGAGGCTTTGTGATCCGCTTGGTGAAAGCTATACGTGGCAATGGGTAGGGCAAGCCCTCGAATGTGACTCCAAATTCAGTCGACATGAGTACTCAAAAGCTGTTTTCCTTGTCGTTCGCAGTCTGAGGCTCGATCAACGATTTCTCCCACTCGTCCATGATGTGGTTGGCGGTGCGTTTGATATTGCTAGGCGTGAACTTATTGACCATACTTGGAAGGATTTCGCCAAGTTTCGGCGACAGGAGAGGGGCGTCTTCGGGTGTTGATTTTGGCTTGCTGCTCGAGTGTCAGTATGGCTTGTAGTCAGTCTGCGGGCGGTTCTCTCACGATGGAGTCTCGACCTCCTCGGATGCTTCAGGGATCGACTCGATGTCTTCGGCACCACCACTGTTGATGGTCGAGCCACTCCAGCGGGTGGACTTGGCCGACGCAGGCGAGTCCCAATTGGACCAGCTGCTATCGTCCACCGAGTCGAAGCTCAGCGGTGTCCAGGAGAACCGCTTGTTCCTGCCAGCCTTGGGCTTGTCTTGGCAAGTTCCGTCATTGGCCTTTTGGGTTGACGGTGTACTCGCAGCGGTTGCGATTGGAATATCGAAAGTGCTGCTCACCTTTGGTCGTGCAGGTTGGCTAGAACGTATCGTCTCGAGATCCCCCGACGACTGGCTCGTGGTCATGCTTGGACGCTGCTGGCCCGCTGCATTGGCGGGAGAGCCGCTGATGGGCTCCTCGCCGACAGTGATCTGACGAATGTCTTCGACAAAGGCTTTGAGTCCCATCCTAAAGTCCTCCACAAGCCCAGGAACATTGGATTGCTGACGATGGCTTTGCGGCTGCCAAGACGCGCGCTTCGCCAGGTTGGGGTTGGTCAATTGAGCTGCGCGACGCTCAATCGGAGGTAAAGGTAGGCTGACGGGCTCATAGTTGCGATCTTCGAGTATCGCGAAATCGGGGTAAGACTTGGGAGGTGACAGCAGAGAGAGCGTGCGAGCATGTCCGCCGCGAAGCACTCTGCGGCCCTTTTGCGTTGGAGTGTTGGGTTGCTGCAGAAGCAGCCTCCTGCGGTCTAGATCGACACTCTGCCTGGCTGAGCCGGTGTCTACTTCTAGAGGGGCTGTGGTTGTAGGCCGGGAAGTTTCCGAATGACGCGACTCATGTCGGCGGCTGTAGACCTCCTTCGAAGACCATTTCTTCTTGAGAGTGGAAAGCTCAGACTCGGCTCGGAGTAGTTCCTCTCGCAGCTCTAGCACTCTCCTCTCCTGAGCCGCAATCGCGATGATGAATTCATTCGCGTCCACAGGACTTGGAACTGTAGAGGAATCAACAGGTGTCGGAGGAATTGACGCACTCCCCGGGACGTATGATGTTGGCGTTGGCCTTGAAGGGTCGCTTGATGGGGCCGCGATTGGTAGCGTCAAAGAGAGGCGATTCGCATTCCTTGAGGCTGGGGAGGTGGCTCTTGAATGACGGGTCGGGGACGCATCGCCAGCCACCGGGACTGGCGGAGGCGGCATGGCGGACGCACCATTACTGTTATGGTCGCTATCACTGAGGGACTGGTTCGACGATCGACTTGTTATCTCGAGGGCAGGAGCGAGTGTCGTCGTTGTGGCCGAAGTGCTCGCCAGAGGAGCGACAGGGGCGACTGTGTGGTCGGCTGCAGAAGAGCGACGTCGAATCTCGTGTTGGGAGGCCATTTCCAGACGCCTCTGTAGTAGTTTCTGTAAGGATTGGAAGCCGTGCTGTCGTCGACGTTTTCTTAAAGGAGTGGCGGGCGATTGAAGGTGAGGAGCCCTGTCGGCTCTGCGGCGCCGCTGACGGGCAGTGGCGGCAGCAGCTCTAGCAAGAAGTGCTCTGTTGTCGTGGTTCAAGTGGCGATATTCATTGAAGAGAGAGGATGAAATTCGATCGAAGGCGCAGATGTTGAAAAGAAAGGTGGTCATAGGCAAGACCGGCAAGCGCTGCTCATCATTGGCAGCCCTAAATAAAGCAGGAACGAATTGGCAAGGGCTGTCGAGGAAGGGGTAACGATCTCAATTGGCGTCGAGATCGAGTCGTATGGGTGTGGTGACTGTGGTGGTCTCGACTGGAGCGCCTTGCCTTGCTCTGCCGGCGGCGCAGATTCAGGGGATTCACCGTGCTATTGGACAGTGAAAGGCCGTCTAGGGTGTGGTGTCTGGGGGGTCAAATGAAAGGCTGGACGCTTAATTGGAGCTCTGACCAGGCATAAAGACCTGGTGATATTGCAATCGGCGGGCGTAGTTGAGGGTGACAGAAGTTAATTGATTGCCGGTGCGAAGACGATGGGCAGTTTATGTGTTTCTAAAACCCAGACGTAACTTGTACGATCTGGGGATGTCTCGGGAACAAATGGGGCTGTTGTTGCTGGCAGTACTGACTCGCTCGTCGCATGATCAGATCATCACTTCATCAGCCTGCGTGGCCGTCGAGGCTGGTTTGTTTATCATCATCTTAACGCGAGCATGAAACGCAATTACTGAGGGTATCTGTGGAGCTGGCGGCGTTGCCATGTTCGTTGTCATGTCCGTTGTCAGGGGCATCACGGAAGGCTGAAGCAAGCTCAGAGAATCAGGACCTTAGTGGTCGTAATTAGCTCCAGGAACACTGCGGGGCCCGTGGTCTCGACGGACTAGAGACAGTGCCACCACCTGAAATAGTGGTAAGGGACGGCGCGGTGGGTGCACCGTGCACCACGTTGCGACCCACGTGAGACCCTTGGACCTCAGTCCAGGAAGAGGTTATATACTCCGTGCTATTCAACTGATTATCTACTACAAATCTAACAGATGCCTACTGATTCCAGTATTTTCTGTCAAATAAGCAGTGTTGGCATGATGTCTCGACTAGGCGGAACGCTGTTTTGCGCCTTTCTAAGCCTTCGCTACAGCTATATGTAGTCACGTGGTGGGAACTCCTGGCCAAGTAGTAAATAGCAGCAGTCACTACATAGAGCCTTGTAGGAATCATCATGTTACGGCAGACCACCCAGGCTGTGATTGGAATCGGTTCAGATGGTAATGATGGAACATTACTCTGGACTAGAACGTTTCCTTGCTTTGCAATCGACCTTGCCAACAGTCGGCCGAGATTAAACTCTAATAGAAAACTCCATGCCACGACTGTAGCTTTCCTTTTGAAAATGAGAAGCCCCCGGGCCCCAAGGGCACTTTCTCGATCCAGAATCCACCGAATCAGCACTGTGACGACCGTCTGCGTTAGTCCATGACCGTGGAACAGCTGGTGGCCAGCTTGTGAGAGCGGGGATATAACTACCGCGGACTGCAGGCACAGGCTCATTAGCATCCAAGAGCTAGCAATCTCAAGCAATCCCAGGACATGGGTTTCGGTCAGAGCACTCACGCCGATTTTGGTGACGCCGCCGCCGCCATACGTCCACTCGCAGTTGCAGCCGAAAATGTTGCAGTCGCAAACAGTCTTTTCAGGACCGGAGCAGCAGTCCTGGCTGCAGAAGAGGCCGCGCGCGGCGAGGAGAGGCGAGCTGGCCGGGGCCACGTTCGAGTCGGGGAGTGGGCCTGCGAGCGCGACTCCCCCGAGAGCAGCGAAGATGGCAAAAGATACCTGCATGTTGGCAAGGAAGAGCGTGAAAGATGCTGGTGAGTGATGGTAGAATTTTCTGAATGTCAAGAGGTGAGTGAGGAGTGCTGTGAGAAACTGTTCTTTGTCGAGGAGACGAGCTGCTTATGTACTGCGCGAGCCTCTAGCAAGCTGCTTTCTGTGTATATCTCATCCATCTCCTTGACACAACACTCGAATGAGTCTACACAAGGGCAGGATGTCTTGCTGTTCAGCTGCGGGCCGGCTCGCATCTAGTCCACATTGAGGTTTCGCAGATGTGGCAGATACGGCAGTGTGCCAGCGTAAGCGCCCTTGAGCCCCTCAAAGACCGCCAGTACCGCAATGATGTAGTTGCTGGAACTCCGGCTCAGCGTCATGTCTCGGCGGGGGCGTGTTGTCTCGGCGGCTGCCTCTGTTGAAATTTGACAGCTGACGTGTTTTGGTGGTGATCATTTGTGCATTGACCAATGATGGCAATCAGCCTCCCTATAGCCCATTCCGTCGCTAGCAGGGAATTCTCCGACCGCATTGTCATGGGTCGTCTGTCCAGGTCATCGGCAGTCCGGATGAAAGGTGCCTGAACTGCTTCGCGCCATGTTTTGCAAGCGTGATGTTGGGAGCTGGGGCTGCTGGGCCCCTTGATCAGGGCTCCGTCAAGTATGGACTTCATACGGCGGGCCTGCCTGCCTGCCTGACGCATCCCAGATCAAATGTCGCGTGTTGCCCTAGCGAGGTCACACTGTGAAGTTGCTGAGTGTCGGGATTGTGAACACTCTACGTTGGTCAGTAATTATGGATACCGTACCTTGCCTCATAGCAATGGCCCCTCAATGTCATGTGACAGCACGTCAATGTCGCGCATTTGCACGACGCGTCAATTCGCCTACAGGTCCCAGCACGCGAACAACTCCAGCAGCGGCATTGAACTGTGACGGCACTTCGCAACCTTGTCCGCAGCCGTCAAGAGTCCGCCCAGAGACAATCAGAAACCACGCTCTGAATATCAGCTGGCAATGCTCTGACAGCACGTGCAAACATGCCGTTGGCCTTCGCCGCGGTTTGCGAATTGCTTGACGAATGCCACAGTCTCTACATCTCAGAGCGGCCGTTGAAACAGACCGTGGAGTCATGGTTCGCTCACAATCGCTCACGTGTTGACGCACACGACACTGATATCGTCGCTCTTCTGTCCACACTGTTGCCGGAAAAGCGACCGGATCGAGTCTACTTCATCCAAGCTGGATCGCTGGAGAAGATTATCGGGCGAGGCTTGGCACTGGGCGCTTCTCGAATCCGAGACTTGACGAGATATCGGCAAAGCGGAAGCAACATTGACCTGGCTGGTTGTGTAGAGAATATTCTTCAGTCGACGGCAAGTAAATCTCACTTGGGTTGAAAGTCCTCGACTGACGAACATCAGCCCTCACAACTGAGTCCCAATCATCGTGTTACCGTGGAAGAAATCGATGCCCTTCTCAGCGATCTTGCTGCCAGGATCAAGTTCAGTTCCCCGGCTATTCGTGCCACGCTGAACAACCGAGATCGAAGCGATCTGCAGAATGTGTATCGTCGTTTGTCGGCCACTGAAGCTAAATGGCTCACGCGCATGGTCTTGAAAGACTTTGCGCCGCTTAGTCTGGACGAAAATTTGATCTTCCGACTTGTTGACACATGTCTCCCTACTGTTTTAAAAGTCCGCCAAGATTTTGCATGTGCTACCCAAATGGTCCAGTCGATTCGGACAAGCCTATTGCCGAACTCGTCTGGAAGAGATGTCATCTGGAGGCAGCTGCGTGTGAAGCTAAAGCCGCAGCTTGGCGTCAAGGTGGGCAGACAACATTGGTCGCAAGCGAGAAGTATCAAGCATTGTCTATCACAGGGCTCCGGGCGAATGAGTGTGGAAGATAAGATTGACGGGGAGTATTGCCAGATTCACGTGGATTTGGCAAAGGGGCCAGCGTGTGTGCAAATATTCTCTAAAAGCGGCAAAGACAGCACAGAAGATCGGAGAGGATTGCATTCGTAAGACTCACATATACCTGTCGAACTTATCTAACATTCTCAATAGCATTGTGCAGAGTTCTTTGAAGATTGGCGCTGGAGATTGTACTATCGCCAGAGGCTGCATACTAGAGGGAGAGCTCGTAGTATACAGCGACCTGGTAACATCCCTCAATACACCATGAAGATATCAGTCGCTTACGTCGAAAAGGAGAAAAGGATTCTGCCCTTTCACAAAATTCGCAATCATGTCACCCGCAGAGGTCTGTATCTCGGAACGGATCACGACTCACCGTAAGTATTCTGCGCAGCTGTTTCAACCACACTCACACTTTCAAGGCCGAGAGCCCATGATCATCTTATGATCATTTACTACGATATTCTGCTCCTCGAAGATGAATCACTGCTCCAAGTTCGCCATTCGGAGCGCATCAAACTTCTCGAGAGCCTCATCGAACACCGTGCCGGCTGGGCTGAGACTGTGAAGAGGCGAGTGATCGACTTTGGCACGCATCATGCCGCTTCTGATCTCCGGAATGTCTTTGCAGAAGTCATCACATCCAAGCAAGAAGGGTTAGTCATCAAACCAGACGAGCCTTACTTTGACCTCAGCGTGCCAGGACGTCCGAGGAGCGGCCGATGTATTAAGTTGAAGAAGGAGTACATTGGAGGTATGGGCGATATTGGCGACTTTGCGATCGTGGGCGCTGGCTATGATGCTGTGAAAGCGATGGTCTACCGCATACCCAACCTCAAGTGGACGTATTTCTTTTTTGGAAACCTGAGCAACAAGACAGACGTGCAGAAGCACGGAGCGAAACCGAGATTCACCGTCATGGGCACGGTGGAGCTTAATCAGACCCTGCTAACATCTGTCATGGAGCATGGGAGTTCCGGCGCAGTCACTCAAGAAGAGAACACGCAAATTATCGTGGACATAGTCCACAGGATGAACAAGCGACCCGGGATGAGTGTCATCTTCACTTCCCCAATGGTCTTTGACATGAGATGTTTCAGCTTTGTCAAGGACGGCAACTCTGGACTCTGGGTGCCGCGTTTTCCTGTTGTCACCAAAGTTCACTTTGACAGAGACTACATGGACACCATTACTTTTCAGGAGTTACAGGACAATGCTCAAGACGCTGTGAACGTTGGAGAGCAGGTGGACAGCCAGGAAAACCTACAATGGATTGCGAGGCTCGAGGCTGCCGATCCTCGAGGCGTAGCTGTCGACGCAGTCAGCCAGCAGACACGGACAACTATGGCAACCCCATCCCCCAGACGCTCCACGCAAAGCAGCACCCAGAGCTGGTCTGTATCACCAGCTGACCCACGATTGGGTGAAAGACTTGGTCAATCTCAAACAGCAACTGCGTTTGCTTCCCCGAGCATCAACAGTTCCGCCATGAAAGCACGCGGACCTTTGTTTGCGACTCCGACCTCACAATGGCGGCACGATACTGCAATACTTCGAAGGCTATCTCGTCCAATACACAAAGATGGCGAACAATTGTCCTCCAGAAAACGTAAGAATTGCGAGTCGGGGTCAAGCTGCACAGAGAGACCATCAGCAGATGACCCAGCTTTGCTTCGTCGAAGTCCGCTGGGAAAACTCAGTGACATTAACCAGCGCAAAATACCCACAGCATACGTTCTGGATGCTGGACAGGGGAACCTTCAGTCCGTGGAGTGTGAGACCTCCCCCGGAGGGACCACGGGGGATGGGCCAGTATTGTCGACCAAGTGCCACGACGCACATCCAGGATGCAGGACTCCTGTTTCTGCATCCTGTGGCACACGGGAAGGTACCTTTGGAGTGGACAATGGCGGACAGATAAGTCCTCAAGCCAGCATGACGGCGCCCCTGGCCATGCTTCCCAGTGGCAAAGGACACTTGCTAGAGGGTTGCACATACTCTGGTAAACACTGCAAATTCGCCCAAAAATTGTTGCTGCTTGCGCCGTATCTGGATAGGACACATCCAGAATTGGCAAGCCTGCTGGACGCTCACGGGCTTGGAACTTCTATGAGTCTTCTCGATGGGCGTCCAGCTACCGAGCCCACACTCTGTATCAACAACTGCGCAGGTGACCAAGCTCGAGACAAAGTTCTGCTCGTCGACAGTCTAAGCAAGGCAACCGAGACAGAAACCGTACTGAAAGATTTGATCATCTCGAGAGAGAAGATCCCTCACGGAGGACGAGATATGATATCTGTTTACGATTGGAGGATACTGCAGTATATAACAATACTGGAGGACGAAACGATTCGCAAGAAATGCTATGATGGATTCAAGGATCCTTGGAGGCGTTGGTACTGTGGATCGGTCTAAGAGCAGGAATCATTTCTTCTCATCATACAGATTCCCATATGTGGCCCTAAGCCTCATGTCCAAATGCTCGCCGGCCGTCATGGTCTTCCTTTTAGAATAGGGGTTAGCCTCAACTGCGTCGCCCGTCGCTCTGAAGTTCTTGACTTTGTCGCTCGGCACGGGCTCTAACTTCGTTGAACCTTCTGGATGGCAGAAGAATGCAATCGAATATCTCGGGCCATCGCTAGATTCGCCGGAGACTCTGTTGTCTCCTTGCTCCGGGGTGAAGACGACCCTGTGGACCGTGCTCCGGAAGAGTCCATTGGTCCAGTAAGACAACAGATCACCAATGTTGATCAAAATTGGCGGACTTGGGTCATTTTCGGTGCCTGCAGGGCACACCGGGACAGGAGCCCAAGTGTTGTCATTCTTGAGAATTTCAAGTCCCGCCTGCCCTTTGAGCCGGAAGAGCAGGGTCACAGAGCCGTAGTCTGAATGGGCACCCGCGCGAACATCATCACTGGAGTGAGGAGTGGAAGAAGGAGGCGGGTAGCGCAAGAAGCGCAGGATGGAATGAGACGACTCCATCAGCTCTTCGGGTATGATGTGCGCGGAGGAGAAGAAGTCTCCCACCTGGCATGCATTAGTAGTGAATCAGCTTTCAGGGCGATAGGCGCATACCCCAAGACCAAGACCTAACAAATAGAGGATCTTCCGGCAGAGCGCATGGCACGAATCGGCAAAGTCATTAAAACGGATTTCGTACTGAGACACGCTATCCGGGATCGGCTGCTGCGCTCTGCCTCTGATGAAAGGGCCGAAGTTGAATGCTCTAGACATGGTTCAGTATGGTTATGGAAGGGAGCAGTGTGGTCGTACTCTTTATAGTCCCCAACCTGATCGATCAGCATGAGAGACAAGTCATATAACATTGGTACATCCATACCTGCTGTGTCTTAGGGTCGAGGGTCTCTGAATGCATACCAGTCCAGCCCCTGTTGTTGGTCTGAATGGAGCACCTCTTCTTCTCTTCTAGCGGGGCATCGAAGATCTTTTGGGACTGCAAGATGTAAGTTTCCGATCAAGTCAAGCACAGTGGCAGTACCATATAGAACGCCTCGTCAATGTCTAAGGGTGTGAAGTCTTTCCCTAGATTTCGGATGTAGATGAACCCATGTTCTTCAGCAGCCTTCACCAACTGACGGGCCACATCCGCCTGATCCCCCGAAAGATCAATGATCGGGATGTGAGAAGTGGCTGCCATGTTCAAGTGATGATATCTAGTGTGAAGAAAGGGCTACTATTCATCACCGCTTTGAGTGGTTTAATCAAATGCAGAGATAATCGCCGTCGTAGTTCATGGAGGGGCGGTCCCTTGGTCTTGGACTCTTGGCCTCCATCCCACCTCGCGACCCACATCAGCTCGGAGAGCTCCGGCGGCTGGCGTGTCGCGTGCCCCATGTCTCAGTGCCGCTTTTAGTAAGGCTGTCGGGTTCATCGGAGATTCATTCCACCGACCGCCGTCGCGAAGTCTCAAAGGGCAGCTGCTTATCGCCACGTGATCCTCTCACACATTTCCCGAGAAACCCTGACGATAAGGACAGAATTTTGCAGCGCAAACTTGTGCACACTACCGGTCCCACGTCTCGTCGCAGCCAGCCTCTAATCCACCCTCACCTCCTCGAAGCCCACGACAACCGATCGCAAAACGCACCATTTCGACGTTTTCGCAATAACATCACACAATGGATTCCGCTAAGGCTCCCGTCAAGCTTGTCAAGGTGACCCGCGTCCTTGGCCGTACTGGTACGAAACCCCGATCACCCGCATGATCATCGTCATTTCGACATCGACGCCCTTGAATAATTTTTCCGCTGGAGATTTCATAGGCCGCGGTGGATGGATGGATGGATCAATGGGATCATGAGGAGAGACTGTCATGCTGACAATTGGCAGGCTCGCGTGGCGGTGTCACCCAGGTCCGTGTCGAGTTCATGGACGACCAGTCTCGCAGCATCATCCGTAACGTCAAGGGTCCCGGTATGTTCACGCGCGCCTTGATCGATCCATCCGCCAGGTCACTAACATGGGTCCGACAGTCCGTGAGGACGATATCCTCTGCCTCCTCGAGTCCGAGCGTGAAGCCCGCAGGCTGCGATAAGCAATATGTGGATAATGGGGAAGATTATGAAGGAGACCATCTAGCGTGGGATGGCATGACGACACGACAGAGTCTCTGGACGGGCTTTGGACTGGGATGGATCCTTTCGCGACGGTTGGGAACGGGGCAATTTTTGTTCCGCGGCGTCAAAGAGTTGTCTTGTAGCACAAATCATCAGGCTGCCCGGTCGACGGCTCAAACAAAAGACTTTTTTGAACCACACACTCAACGGCAGGCTGCCACTCAGTGAGTGGATCGGGGTACTATGGTGACTTGGAGATGCTGGCAACTATTGCCGCATGACATGCCGCCACTGTGGCTGCATCACAGCTCGCAGGAGGGTGACGAAGATGTGTAGACAACATGAGGCTTCGTGATCATCGTAGACATGCCGCTGGCACGTGTTGGGAGACAATGGGGATAGTCAGAGAATGCCCACGGTGGTAGCAGCAGCTGGGCGTTAAGCTGTCTCATAATTGTAGATCGCCCCAGCTCTAACAGCAACCAGCAAATACATTGCACGGTACAGCACGTAGAAGACGCACAAGCATTTGCAGGCGTGCTCATTGGCACCCTGGACGTGGACACGCTCCGACAGTGATGCCCACTAAAAGCGGCGGCGGCTAGCATGGAGGTCCCGCGGTGGGGTTACTCGCACTCCTTGCTGCTCGAGCGGCAGATGTGTCAATTACAAAGTTTACACTAATTCACACAGGGTCATGGAGTAGAAATTACCCGAATTGGGCGCAGCTTCCCATCTGGAACTTTGACAATGAAAATTGGCACGCACATGAACCGCCCTGCTGCAACAACAGCTGCGACTACGTCCCTGAAGCGACTTTTCTCTTTCCTCCAGGTTTGCTTGGGGCGTCACCATTAGAACTGCTTGTTGCTGCCTCGCACTTTCTCTTGGCAGACCTTGTACTCTTTTGGTCAGGGCCGATTGTCCTGTACCTTCGCCTTCCTGCCAGCAGAACGATCACAACAACTTGCGGGACCAGCTGTCACTTCCACAAAACACCACTCGTCGTCCACGTGCCTGCTGCTGGTAGCTTACTGAACCGCAAGGATTTGCGCGAAGCGCCTCCAGTTTCACAAAATGCGACGTGGGTAACCTGAAGACTCTCGGCGTGGACAAAGCTGATCATGTGGTACAGTTCTCGTAGAGGACTCTTGGATCAATGACTGCGCAATGTGAGTCCTTCCAACAGTCCTGCACCTACCACCTCCTGACATGCCAGCAGCGATCACTCCCTGTCCGATATCGAAGACTGCGCCATCGCTATCGATGCCACGTACTGGTTGATCCAGCTCCTAGACGACGAGGGCGCCGAAGAGCCTTTATTGCCCGCCCTCGGCGGACTAGCCAACATCGAAACGCAAATCGGCTTGCAGCTTCAGCATTTCGAGGACAATAAAATTATCCCTCTTTTCGTATTCGATGGACAAGCTTTAGTGGGACAGGACGAAGTCGCCCTCAAGCGCAGCACTGCCACTCACAAGGCAACGGACGAGGCGTGGACTCTGTATGCAAAAGGCCTACCCGTGGAAGCCGTCGACACATTCCGACCAAGCAATGGCGCATGCAACGTACGCAACTTGTACCCGGCTCTTCAGAGGCATCTCAAGGCCAGGGACTTGCACTTTCTAGTGGCGCCTTACAATGCATGCGCGCAACTGGCATACTTCGAGATGGTTGACTCCGACCAGTGTGCAGGCGTGATGGGACCCCAGGAACTTCTCGCCTACCCAATTCGAGACTCGGTCATCCGTAAGATCAACTGGGAAAGACAGAGGATCTCTGCTGTATCAAAGAATCAACTCAAGCGAAGTTTGGGAGGCGTTAGCGAGGCCATGTTTGTGGATGCTCTTCTCATGGCTGGAACCTCCTTCTTGGAGCCTTTTCCTCCATTCTCAGATGCTACGACATACCCGCGCGGGTCCGAAACGAGGATATGCGATGCGGTTAACATTCTGCGCACCTCTGACAAATCTGTCGCCAACGCCTGTGCTGCCTTTAGCGACCACCTGCAGTCGCAGGACGCGGAATGGTTGTCAAAGTACCGAATGGCACGCATGGCGGTGCATCACTTCATCCACATTACCGAAGATGGCGAAGTGCGCGTAAACGAGTACGACAAACTTACCCAAGATAACCACCAATATTTGGGGCTGCAACTTCCGGCGGAGCTCTTTCACTATCTCAACACCGGGCTTATCGGACCTCGTAACCTGAGCTGCATAACGCACGGCCAATTCATGATTCAGCCCACTCTGGACAGCATGATAACGGACGAATACAAGAAGCTTGTCACCGAGGAGATCGTCCCGATCAGGGAGCAGACTCTAGGACTGATTATTCCCAGAGTTCACCGAGGTATTGGACACAAGGCAGTCACCATGCGCGCATGGTTTGATCCAAAGTTCACCCACAATATCAACCACAGTAATTTGTCGCCTCCTCCGTCGCAAAAGGTTGGCACGTGGGATGTCAAGGAAAAGGATCTGCGCGCTCATTTCCCTCCAGAGTACAATGGCCCCATATTCTTGGAGATCACCAGCCTCCTGAATGATGAATTTGCGGCGAAAACAATCGCCAAGACCAAGAACATCACCGGCATCGACAGCACGGACATGGTCATCTCTGTGACCATCTGGCGCTTCCTCCACCTTCGCGGCTACATTAACGATCAGCACCGCGTAACGGAATGGGGAAGAGCCCTTGCTCTCGCCCTTTTTGCCATCCGCGACAGCAACGGCGACCAGCCTTCGCCAAAATCAGAAGAGGCTATCCTCCTTGCCTTTGAGCTCATTAGACATGGACTCCTGGGAGGAAAGCCTCGCACCTCTGCAGTCGGCTATCCCCGCAAGGGGACAGATGAGGAGAAGGCTAGCCTTGCGCTCGTATCAGAGTGCGCTTCCCTTCTCAGGCTGAGCCATCAGGAGTACGGGTACACTGGACCTCTGAACAGGGGCCTCCTGGCCTTCAGGGCCCTCTCATCCACGGTTCGACAGGCTGATCGCGATCTTATCGAAGCTATCCTTGCATCAATGTTCATGTACGGGCAAAGCAAACGCGATCGGTCCGACCAAGTCGAGATCAGCACCACGTAAGTAAACTCATGTTGTTTCATAAGCACTATACTTACTCATCTAGCCTGCCCTTCTCTGATGAGCCTGACATTAGTCTTGGTATTGCCGTGCGCACATTTTTCGACGATGATGAAGGCGCAAAACCATCCAAAGAGCAGCGCCTCGCCAGCATTGAAGAGTTCGTCCCCGTGTACGCACCCTTTGCGCAAGATCTGGCGCAGGACTTCCGCACCGTTGCGGCCTTTATTGGAGCCATCAACACCGGTATTCAGTCACTAGAGGAGATAAAAGTCGACAAGACTGCGTGGAGCAGAGCGCAAGCATACATGGATGCCCGCCCGCTCTGAGATGACACCCAGAAAATGAATCAAAATTACAAGAATTAGCCCAATCTCAATATGCTTATTCATAGCAGCTAGTTGTCTCATGCACGGCATCCTCTAGAGGCGTGGAGTGGCCAAACCGTTCACGGAGCACCGTGTACAACAGAGGTGTGGGGATGCCAGAGAGGACGGTCACCTGGGACGGTCCATGTCGGGCAGCTTCTCAGGCTGGACCGACGTGCTGATGGAGTAGCTTCAGCAGCTGTAGCCCGCCAAATAAGATACTGATGATCTGTTGGTTTCGCGCTACCGAACAGCAGGTCCTCGGATGCTAGTCTCCTGTACACGCCTGGTTCCTGTGACTATTTCTGAAATATCAAACTTCTTGATACTGATTCTTCCAGCATCGCTGCGCCTTGATTTTCGGTGTAATGGGATCTCAATTGAAGCAATCGACGTAGGTGTCGACCATAACTGCTGATTTGAGTGGACAATAAGGGGCTGCATCACTTTTGTCACAATATCCACCTGCTCTCGTATAGCATCATCGCGTTGTGCAAGGTTGCCTAGCACGAAATAGATGCAAGCCGAAGATTCATGAAGACATAAAAGGAGACCTCATGTTCTTAGTGTATTTTCATGTGCCCTTACGCTGAAAACGCACAATTGGGGAATGCTGATACCCATGGACTGGTTCTTGTATGGTTTACCTGGCACGATGAAATATGGACCTTTATTCATTTGTGTGAGTCTTTGTTCCTCGAAAAGCTGTTTTGCATCAGACTACTAGCTGTGGCTCCCCGTGACCGACCTGTCCGAGGAACTCATGATGGACTTAGATGAGGACGCCGTGAAGACAGCTACGCCGTCCAAGAGAAGAGGCCAAGCAGCGCAAGGAGGAGTGGGTGGGACACCTGGAAAGAGCGGCGATAAGCCTCGGGTTGACGAAACCGGTTCGCGAGGGCGAAGACGACGAAGAGGAAGTGGTCGAGATTGGCCCTGAGTTGGTTCCCCGCGATGGTGTTACGCCTACTAAGTTCATCAAGCCTAACGTTTCCTGGCTCTTAGCGATATATTGCGTGAAGAAGGGAGAGCTGCACGCTTCCTTGATGTACACCGACACGTTCGTCGGAATCGCCACGAAGATCTGCCAACGGGACGATGTCAAGGTCACTCGTCGATATCTGAAGAAGCTGATCCAGACACCCTAATTTGTCAAGAAAGTGTTGGCGGTGGGTGACAACGATATTCGGGTCCTGCACCAGTATTTGAAGGCCAAGTTCGAGTTTCATGTCAACATAAAGTCTTTCAACAACTGACAGCAGACTCGAAATAGTGACATAAGAGCCACTGTAATCTACATGAGAAGGGGGATCTCGCCAATTAAAATTTGTTTAATTGATCATTGTGGCCTCGATGGAGTCCAAGCTTGAAGAAAACGTCGCCAGTATCGGCCACAACGATACGAACACCCCAAGAGCAACGCGGGATCTTGAAAGATGATGTCGATTTGTACTTACTGCAAAACCTCGAAGGATCAGTCCTCTATGTCATCATGACATCAATTCTTCGGGCACAGGAGACGCTGGCACGAAAGTTCCTAGTGGCGCCAGCGTGATTGTGATGAACTAGAGCGTGGGAGAACAGTACTATGTTGTTGAAGTGAAGCTGGACAGCCTGGGATGATAGATGGGCCTTGGGTCACATGGTTGTGATAGTATTGGAAACTTGGCTGGTACTTTTAGGGCCTTCTCTACCAGCGCTTAAACGTTTAGCCCATACCGGACAGCCAGTCTATTGGTGTGGTGTGGCCAGGTGAAAGTAACATGAAGGGACATGCAGCACGAGTGGCGACAAAATACTGTAGCCCCCTATTGCCTGCATACTTAGCACAGTCATCCGCGAAAAAGTCAACCTGTTGTTCCCATTTAATAAAGCATATGATAACAAGTACAAAGGTTAGATTCGGATTGAAAAGAAAACAAAAAAATCTTGAAGAACAAGACAAGGGCAAAAAAGTGTATCACCTGCGAGGATCGAACTCGCGACCTCGCGCTTGGGAAGCGCGCATGCTAAACCACTACACCAAGGTGATTTAGTTAAATAGGTCTCCCAGACTGAGCATTATATTGTCTACATCAAATGAGGTCCTCCCCGCAGAAGTACTCCATCCAAATTCCAACAGCAAGTGCCCCTCCAAGAGCTCCAAACTGCATCATTACCCTCGTTACGATCCTCTCGTTCTCCAAAATCTGCAATCCATCATGTCCAGCAAAGTCGACCGGATCGTAGCTCGGCTACAAGAGAAAATCACAGACGGAGACTACTACGAGGCTCAGCAGCAGACGCGCGTTGCGGCTTCGCGATACATCAAGCAGAAGAATTGGGATTCTGCCATTGACATACTACACAATGTTGCCCAGTCTCTGCTCAAAGCTCAGCAGGGTGGAAGCGCCAGCGACTTGTGCATCATGATGGTCGACGTCTACAAGCAAGCTGAAACGAAGCCGGACGCCACATCCAAGGGTCGCCTGTTGACGTGCTTGCGATTGTTCCAGGCTGCAGAGCCCACCAGGAAGAAGTTCATCCAGGAGATGATGGGGTAAGCCCCGCAGCAAAATTGCGACAACGAGGCTAACATATGCAGATGGTCCGCCAAGTTCGGCGAGTACCCTGCCGGCGATCCTGATCTTCATCACGTTGCAGGAAGCATCTACGCAGAGGAACACGAACCCTACGAGGCCGAACGACACCTAGTGATTGGTACAAAGGATTCAGCTGAGGTCCTTGCGAAGATGGAGTATACTTGGTACAAGGAGAGCGATGCCCACACCGCACCGCATTACGCGGCCCGTGGCATCCTACCGTACCTCCTGGTCGGCAATGTCCGAGCTGCGAACACAACCTATCGCCTCTTCACCAGCTCCCTGAGCAGCGACAACGCCGGCCTCAACGTCCAAGACGTCTCGACTGCGAGTTCAGATATCCGCATCTTCCCGAGCCTGCCGCTTCTCAACTTCCTGGGCCTACTTCTCCTGGCGATTCAACGGGGTTCGCCAGAGGTGTTCCGAGGTCTCCTGTCCAAGTATGCCACGCAAATTAACGAGGTTGATGGCTGGGCCGAGCCTCTCGAGATGATTGGGCAGATGTACTTTGGCATACAGAAGCCGCGACAGAGCAACCCACTGATGGATATGATGAGCGGGCTCTTTGGGGGTGGCGCTGGTGGTGCGCCTCCTCAGCGGAGACAGGGCATCCGCGACGGGCCAGCGCCGGCTGGACTGGACTAGGTACCGACCGGACCCGAACATGTAAGGCATAGATACCATACTTAGTCAGCATCATACACCTAGTGTTTGTGGTTCCGTCTCGTATCTCCAGTCATCCTCGGCCAACATGGCGGTTGATGCACGTAGGCTTGCTTTAACGGCGTCCAGCAGCTCTGTGTCCCATTAGTGCCAGTGCCAGCTACAGGCTGTGCAAACTCACCGTCGGATTGATCAAGCACATTGCTGTTAGCTTGCTGGTGGTGCCGAATCGCGTCAGCGAGCCTTTGCTTCTCGTCTGTGGACATCGTCAGTTCCGCTCAAGCATTCAAATGCGTGAACCTACGTTCGCTTTCCAGTCGTGCATCTGCCTCGCCCATGTCCTCATCTACTTCAAGGTGAAGAGGTTCCTTGATGTCTATCTCGCCGTTGCGATCTCTCACGGCAATAACAGAATTGTCCTGTGAATTGTTGTCATTATCCGCAGACTCAGTAGGGATGTTTTGGGCGGGTCGGCGGCCCGCTCTTGGAGGTTGGGTGCTTTGAAAGACGGTGCGGCGCGCGGCAGGTAGTGAGGCGCCTGTGGTGTCTCGAGGCCGCGAGACCTGACGGGGCTGGTTAGGGTTAAGATTGCTTCTTTGTCGGACGCGCTCGGCCATAGTTAATAAATATGTTTGGGAATAGGGCTGTTGTTGATTTGGATATAAATGCCATGAGTGTTGTCGAAGCTAAGGTGTAAATAGATAGGTGGGGAAACGAGATGGCGGCTAGGTCGTCTTTGAGCTGATGCCACAGCCCCGACAGCGTGAGGTGAACGCGAAGCGACGAAAACCGTAGACAAAGTATGTGTACAAGTCGATTTAAAGCAAGCGGTAATTGTATAGAAAGAGCACACGCTCAAGATCACAGTGCTCCGTGCGCAGGTCCTCATGCTAAGTGATTGTCGTCCCCAGAACAACTACTGGCAACCCAGTGCAAAGCGTCGCTGATATAAGTACACGCCCAAGCCACATTCTACCGCATCGTCGCGTTCAAAAGCCTCGATCCTCCGTAAAACTCCCGCAGATCCTTCTTTACAGAGAGAGGTTGTACGAGTACTCATCCTCCATGTTCTGGCTCACCCACAGGACCACAGAGCTGACACCGACCAGCGCGTTGCTCACCACGTTCTCGATGCCCATCCCCAGTGCTGGCCCTGACACCTCTGGCACCACAAACTTGAGCACAAAGACGACGACACCGCCAGCCATGCCCCCCGCCAGCATGGCGAAGCCCAGGAACAGAACGACGCGCGCCTTCCAAGCTACGCCATTACCGCTGTAGCTGAACGAGTCGGCGCTGAGGCGTTGTTTCTCGACCGAGTTGATGATGAGCATGCCGAGGGACGAGAAGATGAGGGGCAGCCAGTCGACGAAGTGGACGTGTACGTTGGAGGCGTTGCGTGGAGAGTGAGACCAGACGGCCGAGTCGAGCATAACATAGAACGCGACGGAGAACTACAAAGGCGTTAGACAAACTTGGAGCTTCAACAGCTACGGCGATGGCAGGCCTACCAGAGCTCCGGCGCCGTAGACGCCAGAGTTGCGCGCCCACGCGCTGTTCAGCCACTCGGGCCTGCTAAACTTCCATAGACGGTCGTCTTCCATCGTCAGGACTTTCGGATGCGTATAATGGACTTGTATTGAATCCGATGCGCCGGTCTTTTCGCGGGGTGGCTGGTCGCAACGGAAGCTTGCTACAGGTACGGACGGGAACGTCGGCGCGATTATGACGAGGCTCAGGCTGCGGACTTGGCGGGTGACGATCACGTGCCGTATGTGCGACATAATAACGCGACCACTCTTGACGTCCGTATTCACAACGTTGGATTCACTTCTTGATCCCTACAACCACCAAATTTCGGGGACTTAGCTTGAAGTCGAACACTGGCTCGACCCATGCCTGGTCGACTTCTTGCTGCTCCTTCAAGAATGTCCAGCGATCTGTCACAATCAACGACTCGACGACTATCGCGCTGAACGCCATCAAGGTCCAGATGACGGAGAGCTCCTTCTTTCTAGGAAGATAGATCTTCTCGTACTCCTCAATCTCCTCGTCTGTGATGGATCCCATCTTTTCGCGCATGAGTTCTGCGTACTCGGGTACCTCCTGGTTGTTGATGATCTTGTCGACGGCACCGCGCACATACGACTTCAAAGAGTCGTAGCAGCTGTTCCGTAGCGAGCCCACAATCACTGGACTCGTGCTCAGGTCAAAGGGTGTCTCTGCCACACCGGGTTCGGGAGTACGGTGACGAATCTTCTGTACAACGCCGCGGTCAAGGAACATCTTCTGTGCCACCGCACGGAAGAAGTGACGCGTGAAGAACCCTTCGCTCTCCTTGGCAGTCCAGTTCTGCAGTGCCTGACATGCCATCATACGGGCGGTGATGTTCAGGCGTACACCGTCGCCGTTATGCTCGGAGAAGCGCTTGCTCATCGGGAAACCTTCCGGATCGTTCTTTTCGGATTCGCGTGTGACGCGGCCATTGATCGCTTGTAAGGTTGGTCGGAGGAAGGGGTGCTTATATGTCGGCGCGCCCAACTTCTCGGTCAGGAGATTGTAGCAACAGCCCACGATAGCGACGGCACGCATATCCGGGTTCATGACCAATGAACGGATGGCGAAGTGCGACAAGTTGCCGCAGGAGTGGATGGACACGGCCATCAGCCGAAGCTCGCGCTTCTTCTCCTCTGGAAGGTCGCCCTGCTCGATATCAGAGATTACGCCGGAGAGATCTCCGCTTTCAAGCCGCCCAGATATGTAAGTCATAAACCCCTTTCCGTCCTCGGCTGTGTATGTCGCGTCCAGATCATTCCTCGCCCGGAAATCCACCGGCTTGGCTTCAGCGTCTTTGAGCAAGCCCTCCTCGCCCACCACGTCTTTGATTGCTTGTGCGAGTCGCTCGGGGTCTTTGAGTCCTCCGGGACCGGCAGCTTTTCGAATCTTATCCCAAGCCTTCTTGTTCCTCCGTACCTGTGGCGCAACGGAAAGTCCAGAGCTCATGTCAAAACCCTTGGCAGCTGAAACGTTGTTCTCACGGCCTTCCACGGCTACGACATGGCGGTTGTAAGGTTCGCTGGCGAGTGCCCGCCCAAGGTAATTCTGCCCGCTGCCAAAGTCGACGAAGTGTGTGACGTTGCTCCCGTCATGCGAAGCGACCTCATAAGACAGCCGGTCAACATAGTCTGCAAAGTTGGCCACTTCGTGTATTTTCTTGGGTTTCATACCAATCGAGACAGATCTCGTCGGCTTGGCCACTGTTCGATCCGGCGGAGCATATTCCCGGTTCAAAGAGAGCCTGCGTATCGACTTGATGTATATGAGCAGGCTCTCGGGCATCTGATGCTCTCCATCATTTCGGAAGTTGTCAAGGTCCTCTCGTGCCAGTATATCGATTAGGCGCATGATGTCGCATGACAGTAGGAAAGGGTGCCATTCTCTTGGCAGAGCAGCATGGAACAGCCCAGGTTCAATTGTGAAAAAGTCTAGAATGTGAACGCCACCGCAGAGGATCTGGAAGACGTCGGTTGATGCGACGAAGTTCAGAAGCTCTGAGACATATTCGTCTGGAGAAGTGAATTTATCGTCATAAGGCAAAGGCTTCTGCGGTGCCATTGTGCTTGATATTGGGTTACCCTGTGCACATGTTACTGAATGTACGAAACGCAGTAATTACTGGATGTTTGGGCGTCATTCGTAGAAGCAAGTTGCGACTTACAGTAATCTTCAAGGCGTCCCTTGAGCAACAGTTTTCGGTCTCTTATTAACAATTCCCAGCACCTCGTGCGGTTGTCCACCGGTCTGGATTCAAAAAAAAAAAAGGTCGGCGTAAAGGAGGGGCAGAAGCCAGCTTGAAGACGGAGAATCCGATGAAGAGGAGGCCACGACGGGGAAACGAGAAATGATCGAGCTCTGACTGCTATTTGGAATTCCTACGGCGCCGTCCAGTTGCGTGCAAGAGTTCGAAGATGGTATGGATCGACGACAAGAGGTTATAGCGATGAATCTATTGTCGAAAACCCTACCTCGATTCCTCGAATATGCGCACCCCACGATGCGCGGCGCCGCTTCATGTGAGACCCACAAAAGGCCGACCGAATGCAGGGGTTCAGTTGCAACGTCATCCTCGAGCTGCCAGGCACGCGCCTAGATCGACTTCTCGCCATTGACAATCGCATTTGCGCCCGCCTGTCTTGTCAGCACTCATTTGAATTACTTCGCATGATTTACTCGTCACGGATCACGGCGTCATGATGTCCTCCACTAACGAAGAGGACCCGTTCCTACAAGTCCAACAGTTCGTTAGTCCAAACGATGCTCTGGAAGCGACAGGTGCTAACATGCGTAGGGATGTACTCAGCCAGCTGTCCTCGACTCGCTCTCTCTTCACCTCCTATCTGCGTATCCGCTCTCTCACGACATCATCCACTTCGCCCGAACTTGCCTCCGCGAAGTCCGACCTGGAAGCGGCGTTGGAGACGCTTGCAGAGGACCTCGAAGATCTCCAAGCCGCCGTACAAGCTGTCGAATCGAATCCGTCGCAATTCGGGCTCTCACAAGATGAAGTCACGCGGAGGAAACGGTTCGTGGGCGAGGTCGGTGGGGAGATTGACGACATGAAAGAAGAGGCGAAGAAGACGGCCACAGGCGGCAAGGCAGCTGGTGACTTGCCCGACCCGAATTCATTCGCTATACAAGAGGGCGACGACGGGTACGAAGAGTTTGAACAACAGCAGCAGGTCCAGATGATGCGCGACCAGGACGAACAGCTCGACGGGGTCTCGACCACCGTGGGCAACCTACGACGCCAAGCGGACGACATGGGCCGCGAGCTGGAAGAGCAGCGGCAGATCCTCGAGGTGGTGGACGACGCGGCCGAGAGAGTTGGCGGACGACTGTCGTCGGGGATGCAGAAGCTGAACCACATTGTGAGGCAGAACGAGGACCGGTGGAGTAGCTGCTGCATTGGTGTGCTCATATTTGCCTTGATTCTTCTGCTGGTTCTGCTCTTGATTTTGTAACTTGGATGACATTGCGGTCGCGCATGGGAAAGCAATAGGCGTTGAAGGCTCTCGGTGTTCATGGTTGGGTTGTAGATACTGGGCATTCGCTGATGCTCAAAGTTAAGTCACAAATTGGCATTACGTTAGACTTGGTGATGCGCGTTGTGAAACGATATCGCAAGCAGAAAGGGGGTTGACCCATGAAATCAGATACATTCTTGTCCGATCTATAATTCATTGAAGGACAAGCGCCCGACACCTTATATATGCAAATGTGTCATGATCAAGTACGCGCCTCGCGCGTCCTTGATACTCATAGTACAAATTCCTCCGATTTCCAGACTTCAGCCAAGGCAGCAACGGAACCCGCAGCAGATGCATTCGCTGGGGCCCTGGCCGGGAACTCCAGTACTGCCTTCCTGATGGCCGCGAGGGCTGCATTCCCGTAGAATGCAATGAATCGACCTTCGTGGCCCAACAGCATGGCCCGCAGTACCACGTAATGAGTGTTTGACGTCTCGCCTGCTGGCGTGTTGAGGATGAGAGCGAGGGCAGTCCAGTAGTTGGATGGGGGGTATGGGTTCACCTTGGTCGTTTTGCTAAAATCACGCAACGAGAGAGCGGCGAACCCAGCACCGAGCCCAGTCATTCGGTCGTTGTGAGCCTGCTCCGTGACCCACGTACCGTCCTCCTTTTTCCACCCCAGAGCTGCGCGACCTCGTTCGGTCTTGTCATTGCCCCTTGCGCCGAACAGGACAGGGCATCCCACGCGGAGCTTGGCAATGAGAATATCAACCAGTGATTGCCCCCGCCATTGGAACTCCTTGTTGGAGAATATGTGTGCTGCGAATACGCCCACGGGGTCGGCGGCCTTGGGGTTTGCGCCTGCCTCTCGCGCAAATTGGCTGATGATGCCCTTCGCACATATGTTCATCAAATATAGGAACAATGACGGCATCGTTGGGTCATTATGCGGTTTCGGTTGCTTGGGGTCATTGACCGAGATATCTTCAGCTGGCTGCCTGTCGTCCACGACATATGTTGCGACTGGGATTGGTTGACTCGGGACCTTGCCAGTTAGAGCGTCCCGGAGAATCTCAGTGATCTTGCTGATCTAGATGTTGTGAGTGAAAGAATCCGCAAGGAAGAAAGTGTAAAACCTACCGGTATGTTGTTTGCGCCTTTGCCAGCAGTGAGTTGCCCAATGGACACCTTGATGCTGCGACGAAAGTCACCCATTTTGCCCTTGAGTGGAGATCCCGGTACTTTAGACTGGGCCACCATGTCCTTGCGGAGCTGCTTTAATGACTGATGTATCGCCGTGTAACGGTCGGCAAGCTTCTGTTTCTCGGGCGATATCGAAAGCGCTGGCTTTGTTACCGGAGCAGGTCGAGGTTGCGTCGGTACTTGCGCTGGGGCCGGCCGGCTCTGAGAAGCTGCTTCAACGCCATTGACTTGTTTTAAGGGAGATGAAGGCTTTTCAGCAGGCTTCTGTAGGCTGGCGAACGGGCTGCCTGAGGTGGGTGGTTGTTTGAGCGCTGTCGTGGACGGCTGAGCTGCCGTCGCAGGTTGTGATTGCGCAGCTTCTTGGGGCGCCGGAGCTGGTGAAGGCTTCAGGTCGAGCGACTTTCTCACCGCAGGCTGTATCGATTTCGGAGCTTCTTTCGTTGGTGGCTCAGGGTCCGGCACAGGCTCCGGCCGTTGGATCGATTGTCTCTTGAGCGCATTGACTCGCTCTTGCTCAGCAGCAATCTCAGCCTCTTTCTTGAGCCGAGCTTCCTCCTGCTGGCGCTCTTTCTCGATGCGTCGCTTGTTCTCCTCGAGCTCATGGTTTTGGAAGGTTTGTATCGCGGCGGCGCGCACTCTGTCGTGTGATATCGAGGCAGCTTGCAAGGCGTCGGCAAGGGAAAGAGGCGTGTTTCGACCATCTCCGAGGATTTGACTGAGAACGCGCCGTTCCGGACTCGTCAAGTTTTGACTGCTTCGATCAAACGGCGAGTTGCGCGTTGTGCGTGTCATTGTGAATCGACTTTTGCTCCCAAGTTGTGTTCAGTATTGTGCTATTGGGGCTGCATCTGCGCTGTCGGAAAGGCGCGCGAGGCTGCGAAGGAGAAAGGACTGAGAGGGGTCGAGACCTGTACAATTGAACAAAACAGGAACCTCGTGAAAACTTGGCTATGCCAGGAAGCCAGAAACTGTCGCAGCGACCCAGCGATATTTGAATGGCTTTGAGCGAGCGTTGTTGGCCCAAAAATTTTGAGATTCGTTCTTGTTCCCCATGTACTGTAGCACGCGGCCCGCGACCGACTAAGCCTGAGGTAACGCTGTGCTGCAGCCCATTGTGGCGCTGCACTGTCAAGCCACAATGTGGGGTACGTTTCGCACGCTGCAACTAGAGCTTCCGCCGAAACCTTGGGTTCGTTCTTATTATGCATTGTCATGCGGGTACACACTACATCATCCATTAATAGGGACTGCATTCTGCAGCCGTGTGAAAGCTCGATGCGATACTACGCCACTTCCTTCGTGCTGCGTGGCGTCGTGGGCTGAGTGACCTGCGTTGAATGCGTGGTAGGCGTCATTGGGGCTGCCGCGATGTTCTGATAGAATATCAACACCAGAAATTAGTGACAAAGGTTGCAGCAAGAGGGTATAGCTAAATTAGCCTGTTAACTATCTGGTGGATATTCCGGCGCTTCGCGGACAGCTCGTCGAAGGGTCGGACCGGGTATGATCTGCACTAGTAATAAATACAGTAAGATATCTTCTGATCCCTACTGACGGCACACGACAACTTGTGCCACGATGGGCAAAACAATCCGCCAGGCGACGCATACCTTTGTTCACGACTTGATGATGCTACAAGATGTGTTGCCGTACAGTCCGACCATGAATCGGTCCCAGTGGTTCGGGTCTATCATCAAAGAGTTCGCCCGGTATCCGTTACCGCGTAAATGATCAACAGAATCCGAGCAGGGCTTCTATGACGTGGTTCGTCGTCAGCATTAAATGAATTCCTACATTACGACAATATTGGGAGCGACCCAGACTCACACCTACGGGCGGGTGAGCTGTTCTCAAGTCCACTGCTGGTCTCCAGCGCGTTGTAGGCGAGGATAGAGTTTCAGCCAACGGCCAAGTGCGAAGTTTGACTCTGTAGGCACCGGACTGTGGAAGTAGTAATAGCAAGCACAAATGGGTGCAGCTTTCATGGATGCCACCTCAACAAAGTGACGACAATGACGCACGGCGAAACTCGAGGAGCATCAAATCTTAGGTGTGGCAATGATGTACGAAGGGTTGTGCGTGGAGGGCGAATCCAGGTTGCCAGGCCATCCATGGCCAGGTACAATTCCGAGTCGGGGTCCATGTGGGTCAAGCTAGAGAGGACTGGAGCCGAACGGATACGCCAACTCAGGAGCTATGCTCGCATATTCCATGTAATATTACCTTGCAAGCTCAGATGGATGAGTGTTGGGCAGTCGGAGCTGTATTAATAGCCCAAAAAGGCTGCAATTGCTCTACGTACTATTAGGTTAGATCGAGCGACTGGAGTCTACGAGAAACATGGCCGTCACATATCAAAAATTGAGACATGCCGGTGGATCCTCGCCTGAGCCTGGGACTGAAACCCTGTCGTCCTCGACCAGCCTACGCCGCCTAACAGTATGGAAGTTTTTGGGGAGAGACATATTGCACCAGGCTGGCAGTCAGCATTTCCTGGGGCTGGACTGAGCTGGACCGCGAAGCTCAGCTCGCACAGTCAATATGGTGATGCACCTTGACAACAATTAATAAATGCACCAGAGAGAGGGGGCGACGGTGGCGGCGTCCAGTCGCTTCCATTCACTGTACTTATTGCCCCTAGTGGGTGGAGTATGGATGGCCTTCCAGGCCATTATACGACGGGCTCTGGGGCTACCCCCCCTAAACAAGGCCACCTGGCGCAGAGCCCGGAAGGTCCATGTCGTTTGTCCGCTCTTGGTGGAGGAAAGAACGACGTACCTCATCATCCATCCGCGTCTACCTTACCTTACCTTAGCTACCACCCTTCCTCTCCAAATCGAACTCTCCCTCTCCATCCTTTCCCTCAACATCCCGCCCTAGCTGTATCTTCAGCGCCGCAGACATCGTAGAGAAAACCTGCTTCTTGTGGCCTTGTCATCCCTATCGACAAGGTAGCGCTTTCGTCCAGGCTTTCCTTTCCCACGAGCCACACTCCTTGGCTCTTCGGGGTTACCTTTGCACCCGAGCTCGCTGGAACGATCCGTCTACCACAGCAACAACATTCACATCACAACACCCTCCTTACCAAACCTTCAACCAACCCACGAAAAAAAAAAGATCGCACCGAACCACCCTTATTCGCCGTCACTGCTGCAGTCTGCTCGCCTGTACCTGTCCCTTCAATAGATACCCGCGCAACGCACCCCCCGAAGCAGAGGATTTCCCCTCTTGCATCATCGCCTTGACCTCGACACAACACGACCTTGTCGACTGCCCGCACACGACGTGCAAACAATCTTTCTGCAGCTGCTTCCGGAGCATCTCGTCGCCATGGAGCAACAACAGCAGCAGACAACCCCTCAGCAGCCGCAGGGCCAGCCTCAGGGCCAACCGCAACAACCCCAGCAAACTGGAGGTGTGCAAGGCCCTGCTGGTCGCAGGCTGCATATTGCCCATCGGCGGAGTCCTTCCGAGTTGACTCCCCTGATGAGCATGTTCGCCAACCCAGGAAGTGAGTGGCGCTAGCGATCGACTCTTGACTCTAGCTTGCAGACTGACATTGCTTTTAGTGGAACAGTTGGCTATTCAGCAGCAGATTGAGCTGTTGCAGCAACAGCAACAGCAGATTCAGGCTACGCAGCAGCAGTACGTGAACATGGGAATGATGCCTCCTGGCCAACCCATGCACGGCGGACAATTCAATCCTTTGCAGTCCGTGGGTAATATGCAGCAGCCTAACTTCCAGTTCCCTCAGCAAATGGGGCAACAGAATGTCAACATGGCTCCTCCCAACCAACCCATGTCACATCGCCGTAATCAGTCGGCACTCCCTAATATGGGCATGGGTCCCCCACCAGCACCATCTTCCGGAGCCTCCGGCTCTACGTTTGGTAATTTTGAGGCACCCCACGCCGGTGCGGGTGGCCAGGGCCGCGGAGAGAATGCGGGTCGTGGAGGACGAGGTGCCGGTGGAGGTCATCAGCGCCGTCACTCACTGGCTCTATCGGACGCCAAAAAAGCTGCCGAGCTTGCGCAGCAGAAGAGAACCACAACCGGCTTTCAATTCCCCGGACCAAACGCCGACAAGACGGATGACGAGAACAAGCCTACTGCTCAGCAGGAAGCGTCATCGGATACCCCTCCACCGGCGGCTCCAGCTGCGCGGGGCGGTCGTGGAGGTCATGGTCGCAGTCAGAGCATGGCCGTAAACGGTCGAGGTGGAGGCGGTGACTTTGGTCGACGCGGTGGAGGCCACGCGCGAACTGGGTCTCGCAACTTTGAGGGCAACTGGCGTACTCAGGGCGCTGGACAAGACCAAGGTAACATGGGCCAGAATTTCCAGCCTGGTCATCGAACACAAGGGTCCATGAACCAATCCGTCTCTAATCTCGGCGGGTTCCAGTATAACCAGCCGCAGATGATGCAGATGCCCAATCAGATGGTCATGCCTCAAATGTTTGGCCAGCACCTTACCCCTATTCAACAGCTACAGGCTCTCCAAGCTGCGCAGCTCACCCCACAACAGCTACAGGGCTTGCAGGGCTCGCAGCACGCTGGCTCCATGGGGGGCCAGCAGCAGCAGCAGCGCAAGACTTTGTTCACTCCTTACCTGCCGCAGGCTTCGCTGCCTGCTCTTCTCGGAGACGGACAGCTCGTCTCAGGTATTCTTCGTGTTAACAAGAAGAACCGCAGCGACGCTTACGTCACCACCGGGGATGGTGTTCTAGATGCCGACATCTTCATCTGTGGCAGCAAGGATCGCAACCGTGCCTTGGAAGGCGACTTGGTTGCAATCGAGCTGCTGGATGTGGATGAAGTATGGTCTCAGAAGCGCGAGAAGGAGGAAAAGAAGAAGCGCAAGGATATCACCGATACACGTTCGGGCTCGACAAACCAAGGTCGTCGTGACAACAACAGTAACAACAACAATGAAGACAACAATGAAACTGGTGAGAGCGGTCTTCGCAGGCGCGGCAGCCTTCGACAGCGGCCCACCCAAAAGAAGAACGATGATGTCGAGGTCGAGGGACAGAGCCTTCTGCTGATGGAGGAAGAGGAGATTAATGATGAGCAGAAGCCGCTTTACGCTGGTCACGTCGTTGCGGTGGTTGAGCGTGTCGCTGGTCAGATGTTCTCCGGAACCCTGGGTCTGCTGAGGCCCAGCAGTCAGGCTACCAAGGAGAAGCAAGAGGCAGAGCGAGCCGCTCGGGACGGTGGCAATGGTCGTCAGGATAACCGCCAGCAGGAGAAGCCCAAGATTGTCTGGTTCAAGCCTACTGACAAGCGCGTGCCGTTGATTGCCATTCCCACCGAGCAAGCACCGCGCGACTTTGTGGAGAAACACCAGGACTACGCCGACAGAATTTTTGTTGCCAGCATAAAGCGCTGGCCCATCACCTCTCTCCACCCCTTTGGTACTCTCGTTGAGCAGCTCGGCCGCATGGGTGACCTCAAGGTCGAGACTGACGCCTTGCTGCGCGACAACAACTTTGCTAACGACGAATTCTCCGAGGCCGTGATCAGGAATGTGGGCTTGGCAGATTGGTCCCTGGAAAAGGAAGACGAGGCTCTGCTCTCTGCTCGCCGCGACTTCCGTGATGAGGCTACATTCACTGTGGACTACAGCAGCGGAGCTGAGCTTGGCAATGCAATTCATGTGAAGTCTCGTCCCGATGGCAAGATCGATGTGGGAATCCATGTTCCCGACGTTGCTCACTTTGTCAAGGCCAATTCCTTGGTGGACCGTGAGGCCAAGAAGCGTGGCACCTCCGTGCAACTCATCAACCGCTTCTGCGCTCTCTTGCCGCCCAAGCTGGCTGGCGAAGTGTGCTCCTTGACTCCTGAACAGGAGCGCCTTGCAGTTTCAGTGGTATTCAGTGTCAACCCTCACACGGGAGCTGTGGCAGAGGGCGACACTTGGATCGGACGCAGTATCATCAAGAGTTCTGGCAAGGTCACGTTGGACGAGATCGAAAAGGCCCTGACCGAGCCGTCAGCCTACGACAACACCGCCATCCCCGTCAAGCCCCTGCAGATCCTCAACGCAGTCTCCCAGAAGTTCCGCGAAACCCGCCTCGGTGCTGGCGGCGAGCCCATTGCACCCCTGAGGCTGCTTCAGCAGCTTGATGACGAGAACAACCTGGTGCAGCACAATTTGTTCAACTCATCCCAGGCCCTGGAACTGGTGGAAGAGCTCAACCACAAGGCTAACGCCTATGTCGCTCAGCGTCTTGCCCAGGCCTTGCCCGAGAAGGCTTTGCTACGCCGCCAATCCCCCCCCAACGCTCGTCGCCTTCAGACTTTTGCCGAACGCATGACTGCTCTTGGCTACGACATTGACACCTCTGGAAGTGGCGCACTGCAGAACAGCTTGTTCAAGGTTGATGACGCCGACCTCCGCAAGGGTATGGAGACATCCCTTGTCAAGTCGATGCAGCGCGCAAAGTACTTCATTGCTGGCAAGACTGCGCAGCCACTCTGGCCGCACTATGCACTCAACTTGCCACTCTACACTCACTTCACCAGCCCCACTCGCCGCTACGCCGACATTGTCGTGCATCGTCAACTCGAAGCTATACTTTCCGAAGGTGCCATTGAGTTCAATGACGATATGGAGAACTTGGTCAAGACTGTTGAGGCTATCAACACCAAGAAGGACTCCGCTCAGAATGCCCAGGAGCAGAGCATGCACATTGAGTCTTGCCGCGAAATGGACAAGAAACGCCAGGAGGCGAATGGCGACCTCATTGCCGAGGGCATCGTCCTTTGTGTTTACGAGTCCGCCTTTGATGTGCTGATTCCCGAGTGGGGATTCGAGAAGCGTGTCCACTGCGATCAGTTGCCGCTCAAGAAAGCGGAATTCAGGAAGGAGAAGCGCGTGCTCGAACTGTACTGGGAGAAGGGGGTGCCTAGTTCTGCCTTTGTTCCCGAGGATGAGCGCCCCAAGGCAGCTGCTTCCCAAAGGATGAACAATGCCATGGTTGCTCACAGAAAGGCCGAGGAAGCTGAGCGCCAACGACGTGAGCGCGAGGAAGCGGCTCGCAAGCAGACCGAGACGGGCACCATGTCGACGGATGATGTCGATGCTTTATTTGATGACGATGAGGATGACAAGTCGGATCTGACGGAGGCTATGGCTGGCGCTTCTCTGGCCGAGCGCCCGACGCAGAGTGTGCCTGGATCGCCAGCTCGATTGGCCCCGGCTGGTGATGCCGCCGGTCTGCAGCGCACGCAGTCAGCGTCAAAGGTGCCCGCCACCGAGGCCCCGGAGACCCGAGTCAACAATAAGGAGAAGTACCTGAGCTGGTTCACTCTCCGCGAGGAGGGCGGGGAGTATATCCAGGATGTCACGGAGATGACGAGGGTTCCTGTTATTCTGAAGACTGACCTGACGAAGAGCCCACCGTAAGCACTCTCTTCCCTCCCCATGACGACTACGTACTAACCGATGATAGATGCTTGACGATCCGATCTCTGAACCCCTACGCGCTTTAGACTGTCTCTGCGCGTATAACTCGGTTTGCGGGAAGGCAAAGGCAAAAGCAAATGTAGCTGGTTTTTTGAGAAGCCAGCTGTGGGAAGACGCTGCCACCGATACAGGGTGCACATGTTTGATTGTCTGTATTGTGGGAGGGAGCGGTGGTGGCAGATGGACGAAGTTGAGAACGACGTCAGAGGAGCGATAGAGTAGTGGAATGTACGAAAAGCCATGAATATGATACCTTAGCGTATGTTCTGTCTAATTCAATAGTACACGCACCAAGCGAATAATCACCGTACAGCTGCGCCCGTCTTTCACCTGAACTGTCAAACCATTGTCGTTGTACCAGTCATCAAAGTTGTGCCATACCTGAACGCTTCAGTAGGCCATGCTAACTATCTTATGTGTATATACAATGCCATAATTATCGATGTCAACGAACTACGTATAGCTGGGGGACCTAACGCGTCCAAGCGCCACCAGACGACCGCCTGCCCCTCTCGTACAACCACTTGCTGTTCAGTCCTACGCTGGTTCGTTTGTTGCCAGACGGACTCGGGGAATCGGAGAACAAGTTGGACGAGGTGCTGGCCGCGAGATTCGATTGACCGAATGACGACCTCCGCCCATTGACTGAGGCGTCCAGGCCCTTGAGCCCCAGGGGACTGGGGAGGGGGGAGTAGGAATCGGAAGCTTGCAGGGCAGGGCTGGCCCGACCTGACAGGGGAGAACCACTGGCCCAGCTGCCCCGAGAGCCTATGGAGCCGGACAGCGAGGGCGTCCTCGAGTATCGAGGCGGCGTGCTGTAGGTCGCGTTGGGGGTGGGCGCCGCACCCGAAGGGGGCAGACCGAGCAGTTTGCGTTGCGCGGGTGTCAGAGGAATGTCGGCTAGGGAGTCTTCGGCTCTCATGAGGGGCAGGCAGGCAGAGACAATGTTGACAATGGGCATGAGCAGACATGCGTAGCATGCGAGATCGACGTAGCCTCGCGTCGAATTTGACAATCTGCGGTCACCAGTCAGCCTCGTGTGCGCAGCATATGGTCACGTCTGGGAAGTATACGTACAATGTCGGCAGGGAGTTGGCTTTGGAAACTTGGTTGAGGACGACGATGGCGATGATGCTGGCTACGCCGTAGGCGATCTGCGTGACGTTCTTCTCGGTGAACGTTGTCGCATGGCGCCGTCTGGTGATCTCGTCGATGCGAGGGTGTCGCCAGGTGCCGGGACTCTCGGTGACTGGCGGCGATGAGGCAGCAATGGCCTTGACGGGTGTCGAAGGCATGGTTGTTGATTTGTCGGGCGGCACGAGTGTGGGCAAACGAGGCGGTCCTACGGGGTGGTCAGGTCAGTCAAACCGCTCTCTTCGCAGGCACAGCCAGTCTTGGGCAGCACTTTGCGCAGGTTTGTAGACGTACCGTGCAGGTGTTGTGCTTTACGGTAGCTGTGTGATGTTTGGGTCGTCAATGCGAGGCGCGAAACATGTGCTGCTGGTTAGTATAGGCTCTGCAAGGCCGAGGCCCGAAGGTGTCGTCTTTGTTGACGCTGGCCAGGATGGAGGTGGTTCCCGGGAGACGAGATACTGCGAAAACAATCTGGCGCGCTGCATGCATGCAGGGTGCACGAGCCAAGCTACCCGGTACCTAAGGCAAGGTAGAGCTGGCACAGTGCCTGACAGTGCAGTGACGCGCTCCAGTCCCCAGCTTCAGGCTTCGGCTGCTGCAGCTGCTGCAAGGAGGAGCAATAGGACCGTCAATTGATGGATGAGGCTCTCGTCACCTTTCCCGCCCATTTTCCTTGCTCCCGTCGCCCACATCCTTCCAACAACACTTGGAGCCACCAACTTCATGTCTCGCGATCCTATCATCGTCAAGCATCAACGCATCGCCCTCTCTGTATAATCACCATACTTATGCGCCGCTGATCCGATCCCTGTCCTAGTCGTCGCAAGCCACACCACGAACCAAGGTGAACCACAGCGACAACCTCGCCATGTCGGCCCCTCCCGACACGCCTTCCCAGGCGGACACGGTGCCTGCCAGCCCAGCTACACAGATCGATGATGCACCACCTTCGCCCGTCGGCAGGTCATTCCTGTCGCAAGCTGGCGACGAAGACATGCCGGATGTGACGGAGGACCACGAGCAGAAGAGGTCGCGCAAGTCCAGAACAGCACGAGACAAAGACCTTGCATCGCAATTCGGGAGGATCAGACACCTCAAGAAGGACGACGGCGATCCGCTGTGGCGCGTGGATATCCAGTACGACTTCCTGAAGGAGATATTCGACAATGAGCAAGCCGTCTTCACCAACTCGTACGAAACGATGCCCAAGCAGAACTTTGCCGACCTGTACATCGATACCATGGCGCGCAGTACCAAGACGAGCAAGGTCTTGCGCGACAAGCTGCTTAGTGATCGCGAAGTCGCCAAGGGAATGGCCATGGTTTGTCTGCTCGTCAACATGGGTCGTATGAACACGACGCTCAACTGTAAGGACCTTGCCTACTCTGCTTTCTTGATCAAATAGCTGACAAGCCATCCAGTCTTCCCCGAAATGCGGGCGCAACTGCGAACATACCACGCGATCCCCTCCCTACAGGCTCGGCAAGATACCAGTGCAGACAAGCAGCTGCAGGACGCGCCGAGACTCAAGTCCATCCTGAAGGGTGGCGCAGAGGACCGACAGGAGGCCAACTCGCTTGACGCCATCAAGAACAAGCGAGTTCCCAGGACGAACCCGGTCAATCTCATTTTCGTCATGTGCAACACTGCCTACATTATCGCCGAGCTACATTTCCCTAACGGGGAGGAGTTTCACGATCTCATCATGAAGAAGGAATACACGAGCAAGTCGAGAGCCAGGGCATTCTTGTGGCTCATGTGGTTTCATCTCGAATCGGACTTTACCGAAGAGGGCTGCGACGAGAATCCGTTTGGACCTGGTGTCGACTACGGCTTGGACGTTGCGAACCAGGGCATCCCTCGACTGGAGCCTGTCGACCCGGACGGACCACCGGAGAATGTGGACACCCCAGAGGAGATTGAATTTGGGCGTGAGAAGCAAGCTACGCGAGCCAAGATCTTGGAGATGGATCAGGCGTACCTCAACGAAAGAGAGAACCGTCGCGGCAAGCTGCGAGTGCCTCTGCCCACGGAGGACGGTCCAGCGATACTGCCGAGGATCCGCCCATCGAAGCACGAGTCCGACATGGATAGCACCCGGTCCACGCCGCCTCCGAAAGCTGGAGCCAAGCCCTCGGGAGCTACCAGACGAGGGGCGCCTCTCAAGTATCAGATCTACGAGAACTCATCACCCTCTAGACCTGGCAATGAGGGTGTTGTCGCCCGCAAACCGCGTCCCCCGACTGCCCATCAACTGGCAGTCGAACGCAACCGTCACGAGAGGGTCGAGTACATCCTTGATCGAGGCCTGCGCAAGCAGCACGCCAAGAAGCGCAGAATCCGCCGGCAGAATGGAGCCATCTTCCGGGCATATACACGCGTCAAGGCGCAAGCCAACGGACTGGACGACAGTGATGATGACGCGCCTGATAACGTCCCAGCGCAGCATCCCTATCCCTTCCGCGAGAAGGGCGTGAGCGGAGGCCTGAACTCACTCAAGACAGAGGACGATGATTTCGGCGAGGAGATTAGCACGTATGCAGCTGCTCTACGGCGCGCCACGAGACGACTTGCACGCTGGCACGGCCGCCATGACGAGCTCGGCGTGATTGCGCCAGTGAAGAAGCCTCGGGCGGCTAGTGAGGTTAAGGAGGCTGATATTCCAAGAGATGCGAGCCAGGACGCAGGCGTGGACGACATGGAGATTGAAGAGGTCGATCAGACAGCACTGGGAGACGACGAACAGGACGAAGTAGATCGCACAGAGCTCATGTCTGATGTCTGAGGCTCTGCTGCGTGTACCAAGTATTAGTGTTTGTATGATTGGCGGGTGATTCCGTGAGGGAATGCTTTTATTCAAGATAGTCAAAGAGGCTTGGCTCGGCGTTTGGGCTGTACTGGAAGAGACACATGCTAGCACATAGGCAGCACAAGAACTTGGGAGCAACGATTTATTTTTTACCATCTCTGGCTGGTCGTCGTCATTGAGCATATATCGCGGAACTCCGTAGCACTGGCAGCAGCCCCTGTGTAGCCGTATATCCACTGCCTCGTAGCTTCGCCTTAACTAACGGCTGATACCGGCAAGCTTTTAAGTTTAGGCCTATCGCTTACCTACGGGTATTACAACATTATTCGGTCAGAATACTATTAGGCTAGAAGTCCTTTTCGTTTACTTATACTTTATCAAAGCATCTAAAATCATAAAGATCATTTAAGTAGTCGCGGCCCACGAACGTAGCTAAATTCAGCTATGTAGTAAGGAGCCTCTACGCCACAGCGTCTGCCACGCTTAACTCCACCGGGTATGCTCAATAACGGATTTGGTATGCTTGACAATACCTCCCTTTTTCGAAGGCAGGATCGAATGGTCGAGGGACAATATCTTTACGTACCTACCAACGTCTTGCTGCGAATATCCACTGCGAATATCGCACGCTTCATGGCCTCGTGGAACAATTCGTGAAAGTTGGACTTGAATTAGTAACTAGAACGTGTTTCAATAAGAATGCTGTTGTCGTTGTCGATCTTGTCCTCTAATTATCTCGCATGGAGATCCATACTTGACGACCGTGTACTCCGTAGGCGATGAGCAACGACAAAAGTTAGAGGATCGCCGTAGTAGATGTTCACTGGAACACGACAAAGTCGCTAGCGCTGGTGAGCAAAATCTAGCCGCCTATGGTTTAGTGCTACGGATATGCTCTTATGCGGAGGTGCGAATCTCTTAACGGACTGGTATGCCCCTTGGGCATTAATGTAAAATATCTAATTCTAGACAGGGGCATTGCCTCGCCAAGACACACCAGCGTTAGTGACTTTGTCGAGTGAGTGCAGTAAATGGTGACGATCTTGTCGACAGTCTCGCAATGTCGACTGTACCCGGACCTCATGCGATCCATTCTTTCTGACATCAAGGTCAGATATTTGTTCCAGTTCCAATTCCGCGGCATAGTACCGGCATTCGGGTGCGCGAAGTACGGGCAGTTAGCCGCCTTTGGTAACGTGACGCCGGTGAAGCTGGCGATTTCGTCCGTAATTGGCATGACAACATTACCAGAAACGACGGGTACCTAAGACACCCTGTCACCAATTTCATTTCACCGGCTTCCGGCTGGTCATTCTCAGGCCATAACGAAACGTGCGGAGGGCGCGGAATCCGGACTGCCATGTGGGGCGCCGCGGCTCATTTGTACTTTTAGTATAACTTCATCAGGGCTCTCAACTCTCAATCAACGAACATCAAAGCTCCAATCCATCCACTGACAGTATCCTTCCCTTCCCTCGTGTCAATATGCCTTCCAAGAAAGCCAAAAAGGCAGCGCCGCCCAGCATGGGCCCTCTGCTGGCCATCCTCGCCCTGCTGACGGGCCTCTTTGCCTCAGTCATCTACATGATCGACCAGCACGCCGACAATTTCTACATCTTCGACCCAAGCGAGCTGCACAACCTCTCGCAGCGCGCCATTGCCGCACATGGGGAGGACATGCATGGCATCAAGGACTACATTGTCTCTGAGCTGAGCGCGAAGCACCCTGACCACGTGAACGTGGGCGAGGAATGGTTCTTCAACAATGCCGGCGGTGCCATGGGCGGCATGTTCATCATCCACGCAAGTGAGTCGTCCCTTTTACAGTGCGGCAAAATACCATCGCGGCTGAACGGACTCCAGGCATCACCGAGTACCTCATCATTTTTGGCACCGCCGTCGGCACCGAGGGCCACAGTGGGCGTCACACGAGCGATGACTACTTCAACATCCTCAGGGGTACGCAGCTCGCGTACTCGCTCGGGTCGTTTGAGCCCGAGGTCTACCCAGCCGGGAGCGTCCATCACATGCACAGGGGCGATGTGAAGCAGTACAAGATGCCCGAGGGGTGCTTCGCGCTGGAGTATGCCAGGGGATGGATCCCTCCCATGCTCTTCTTCGGGTACGCGGATGGATTCACGAGCACCCTCGATGTCCCAACATTGTGGATGACAACAAAGATCTCGGCTCGGGAGATCATTGGCAATCTTCTCAAGGGCAAGATCTAGATAGACAGTGTCAAGTTGCTGTGCGGTGGGCAAGACTCTCCATTGGCTACGTTAGTTTACGCAGATGGTGCACTTTGCTTCCTCTTGTCCTTTGCCCATGACCAAGACTATTTGCCCTTACTGTTGTCATCGCTATCGTCATCGTCGCTTGCGTCGTCGGGCAACTCCTGGATCCGTCCCGATTGCATTGCCGCCGTGACTGGGTTCTCCACGTCCATGACGCCCGTAGCCTTGAGCCTGGAATACCGTTAGAAGCACTCTGGCGGACGCAGGATGAAAGCACATACCTCTCAAACAGCACAAACAAGCGCTCCGCCTCGCGCTCCTTCTCCTCATCCGTCATCTCCGGCAGTTCCACCTCAGGCTCAGCGTCCAGCCTCTGGCCAGTGATGGGGTTGACAGCAGGGCCAACCGCTGACCCAAGCTCCTTTTGCGAAATCTCGATGCCTTTGGAATTCAAGTATCCCGCAGCGTTGCCAAACCCAACATTGTGTACGAACAGCGAGGGGTCTCTTTCGGACAATTCAAAGAATGTGGTCATGATCACCTCGCGCACCTCGGGGAACATGGACATGTTGGACATGTGGAGCAGTTTGTGTGGCAATGACTGACCCATGCCGAGCGCCTCCTTTCGATCCTCCTCGCTCGGTATGATCTTCTGCTGGAGTCGCTCCTTTGCTGACTTGGCTCCCGACCGAGATAGGTGGTTGATGGCCAGGAGCAGGGGAAGGAACTCGGATTCCTTGTCTTGGGTACCGTAGAAGTTGATGCAATCGCTCAGAATCTCCATGAGCTTGTCCACGGCGCTGACCTCAATATCTTTCTTCTCACTAAGAGGCAGCACAGGCAGACAGTTGACGAGGATGGACACGGGTGCCTGGAGCGGGGGCGTCAGGATGGTCATCTTGGACAGCATGTCCAGCACAGGATCGACGGCGTGAATGAACCGATGTGCCTGGTCCTCGTAGCGAGCAGCAAGTGTCGACAAAAGCCGTAGGCTTGCTGCGCACGCAGACGTAGGGTCCGCGGTTGGCAGTGGCCCTTGGCTTGCGTGACGTTGGATGTTCTGATACGAATTAGGATGTGCGGTAAGCGCTGGGGCAAGATACCTACCGCGCTCACGATTTCCGCGAGGCCATCATTCTCAAAGCAAGGCGTCAAGTCCAAGCTTGTGCCATGGCACGAGAAGATGATAATGTTGGCCAGTGCCAGCTCGTCGTCGGGGTCATCGCGCTGTGTGCCGTTAGACGCGTCTCGATAGAGCTGACTTGCTTCCTGCACACACCTGGAGAGCCGAGATGATCCTGTCTGTGCCGATTTCGGTGGAAATAAGCTTTCTGGACTCGGGGGCCCTGACCAGAATGTTGTTCAGGCATCGCAGCGCAGGTAGGTGCTCCGGCTTTGGATCAGCTTGGAAGGCATATGCTCCAATGATCCTCACCCCCCTTTTCGAAAACAAAGGTTCCAGCGCGCCCTCGCCTAGTGTGCGAGTCGCTCCGTGAAGTTGCACCAGCAGCTTCTCCAACTCTGTGCATTGTCCGTCAGACGTGGCCGTTGGTGATGTTGAGCGACTTACCTGAACTGTTGCTGGCATCGGCAGGATTCTCAAGTTTATTGAGAACCCCCTCGACATCGGCTTTCGACCCTGCACACTTGGTCAATATCGATTGTCGCTTCCGAGCAGTGGGATCTCGTCGTTGGGCTGGCTAACTAACTAGGTCCACCGAGGGCGGCCATGGCTGTTGGCGATGGACGGGCGCTGGTGGGCAGCGTGGGCTACAGGGTCGATGCAGATCTATCGGCAGATCCTTCCCGCCATGCGCCTTCGCTGGGGCTAGAGGTGCGCCACTGCGATGAAGTATCGTACTCGACTAAAATCACGTCTGCTTTCGGACGTGGGAAGGGTGTTCTCCTCCATTCACAGAATTGACTGACGTTGAGTGGCTGCTTCGGCGTGACGTCGCGTGGGGGGTTGCACGTGACGTCGACGCTTGCCATTCTGAGCTAGAATCGCAGAGGAGGGAGCGCGATGGCGAAGCCAGACATATCAAGCCATCACGTGGCAAATTCTTGCGCTCAAAGAGGTGAGAGCGAGAACATCATTCGCATCAATTTTGAATCGTTAATGGGATCCCTGAGAAGTGGTCGACCTACCTTATGATTGATATGGTAGGCTCGGAATGACAGGAAGAACTGTTGACGAACTCGACCCGGCCGAGTCAATGTTTTGGGTCGCCGCGATACCACCAGTCCCAGGTCGCTCTAATCAATCAATGACGCTTCGACCTCCAAAATCTAAACAGGCGGTCCTCTCATGGCAACATGATTGAAAGCACGCATGGTGGTCTCTGCGCTGCAGTAGTCCCCCGAATAATAAGGCGGTATCACCAAGCCTTGCTGCTCGGACGCTGTCTTCCGCGACTTCGTGGTTGCCGTCTGGGCACCTGCAAAGAATCAAGAGCGCTGTGATACTACCAATCACCGAGCCCGTTCATAGTACAATTCTTTCTCCTTCATCCAGAGGCTTAAACACCATTGTTGAGTGAGCAACATCGTACGAAGTTTGGTGGCAACAGGTCTTGTGGGACGCTGTTATGTAGTACATATGTAGCCAACCCCGGCGATAAGAGGCGGAAGTTCTTATCTGCGCATCGGTTTGCCCATCCCACATGCCGAAGGATGGCGCGTCAGCGAAATCTTTCGCTGGGTCCTATACGCATTCGAGAGCATCCCAACGTGAGCTTACTTCTGCTGTCATTTGTTCTCGGCAAGCGATAACGCGAAGGTTCTGAATCCGACGGAGTTGTTGTCCGAGGCACGACGGACCAATGTATCCCAACTCGCTCAACTTACCTTTGTCTGACCCTTTGAGGTTGGTCGAGGTTTGGTAAGAATGCCAGGGGTATCTGAGGATGTCGCATGATCCTCAGCGCGCGCATGGTTGCCCTTCATAGCCGACCGACCGTTGATAAGGACCATGCGACGCTCAAGGTTTGCCCGACCATGGTTGGTTGGTATCGTCTCTTACCAACCATCACTGCAGGAGTCCCATGCATGTAACCTTCCCAAACCCAAACGTCCAAGAGGTAGGGAGGCAGTCTGCTGGCTTTCGGTACTTACCTAATAAGTCTGTTTGATCGGTGCAGCCACGGCGTGTGCCCAGACGCCAAAATGAGCAGAGATGCATGCAGTCGTGCAGCCGCATTACCCCAGAAGTCTGTGCAAATGTTCTAGCGCCGGTGGCTAGCCCCGTTTCGGAAGACCTTTTGTAAACATGGAATAATCTGGCCATAGCCCACACGAAGGCGGGATTGCAGTGAAAACTTTGGCAGCTGCTTGATTTTGTTGTGTCAAAGGATCAGCGAAATTGGTCTGTGTGCTCCACCCTTTAAGCTTATTGTTAACGTTGTGGGGTCCTGTTGGGCGCTCGCGTGTTGCTTTCGTTGAGGCAAGGCAATGTACTGTCGTCTGCCTGTTTGACAACAAAAGTTCCAATGCAAGCAAACCAACCTTCCTTCAAGTATGGAATGTGTTTACATAGCAACAATTGTGGGTCGCTCAAGCGGCTCAACAGACCCTACAGTCTGTAACCTGTTCGCCCTCGGCATTGTGTCTAGCTAGGGTCAGTGTCCACCCCTTTCCTGTGGCTACCCCACACTTGAACTTCTTATCTCGACTCCAACCTATCACTGCGCGCCTCGCCTAGACTCGGAGGATAACGCAAGAAGTTCCTCTGTTCGGCAGACAGCTGCCTGGTCCAGTAGCGAACAGTGTGGCTGGAGACAAGGTCCCCAGTTACATGGGCGCCTCAGCGATTGCCGTCTGGTGTGCCCTCTTGCCATTTACCCCCAATAGCCCACGTGAGCCTTGTGACCACCGATCGATGAATATCTTTGCCTCTCTAAAGCTGACCCTCGCAACCAAGATTAAACTGCATTATTGGCGGGGCCAATGGCGTTGTTTGCAGTTGTCGCGGTTGGCGGCCTCGTCCATCGCTCCTGCCCCTCTTGGCTCAAGGTCGCATCTCAGTTGGGCCCCATGGCCAGCTGCTCAGGTCCATACTGCATTTCTTCCAGTCTTATGGTCCAATATCTGTCTGCTGAAAGAGGTGTCTAGCTAAGCTGAGCAGTTTGCGCTAGATTTCCTTGCGGACCTCATAGCTGCATGGTCTGCCAGCCAAGTTGTCGCAAGGAATCGCATCAAGACGAGGATCTATGGGCCGGAAGTTGTATTTAGCAATAGCTGTCGGCAAGGCGCAAAAGCCAAAGCTTAGCGGGCCCCTCCCGAGCGTGGCGTTCTGTAGAGCCTCGAGTGGGAAGCTCCAGGCCATGGGTTCCCGCTTGGCCAAAAACAAGTTCATGATGAACATTTCCCGATGCGCGCTCTTCCACTCGGCGTCTTGGCTGCTGCTAACACGATGTAACATTCTTCGCAGGTGAAGGTGCAGGGGTCGTTGGTCGGCTGCTCCTTCTTTCACAATCTCATAAAGATGGATGCACCTTCCCACCGACTCGTCCGCCGCTCCTTCCTTCGAGTCTCTTCCTTCTCGAGATTCATGCGACTGCGACCCTTGCGGCCTTTTGTATAAGTCACAAAGCCCCAGACACTGCACACTCAACATCATGCCTACTGGTGACGCTGCCGAGGTTGGCGGCGCTACCCTGCGCAGCGAGGCCGTTGAACAAAAGCGCAACTCCATCGCCAACGCCAACGCCACCGATGCCGAGCCCCGGGCCTCTGTCGCCGTCTCAGGAGGCCACGATGGCCTGGTCCACTACGATGACCTTCCCACTCCCGAGGAGATGAGGACTCTGCGTCGTGTGCCTGAAAAGATCCCCATCAAGCTGTTCTCCATTGCTTTCATCGAGCTTTGCGAGCGTTTCTCGTACTACGGCACGACCATTGTCTGTAAGTGATTTCGGCTACCCCTTATCCTCCTATGGTCTCTCATCTAACTTCTGGAAAAGTCACCAACTTCATCCAGCGCCCTCTTCCTGAAGGGTCCTTGACTGGTGCCGACCCCGTGCAGCCTGGCGTCTTGGGCATGGGACAGCGTGCCTCGACCGGCATCACCACCTTCAACCAGTTCTGGCAGTATTTTATGCCGCTTTTCGGTGCCTACATTGCCGATCAATACTGGGGCCGCTACAAGACTATCTGTTGGGCCCTTGGCATTGACATTATCGGTCACATCATCCTTATCACGTCCGCTATCCCAGGTGTCATCCCCAACCAGTCTGCTTCGCTCGCCTGCATGATCCTCGGCATCATCGTCATTGGCTTCGGTACCGGTGGTTTCAAGCCCAATGTCAACCCGATGATTGTCGAGCAGCTTGGTGAGCAGCACATGCACGTCAAGACCCTCAAGTCCGGTGAGAGGGTCATCGTCGACCCCGCCGTCACCAACGAGCGCATCTACCTGTGGTTCTATTTCTCCATCAACGTCGGCGCCCTTGCTGGCCAGGTCAGCATGGTATGGGTTGAGAAATACGTCGGGGTACTGATTTTTTGATTCTTTATGATTCCTGGACCATCAGCTAACGAAATTTAGTTCTGGTTATCCTATACCCTTCCCACCATCATGCTGTGTCTATGCCCGGCCATTATGATCTGGGGCAGGAAGCGTTACTCCAGGAGGCCGCCGGGCGGATCCGTGCTGGTCCCAGCTTGGAGGACTTTTGTTCTAGCCAACAAGGGCCGTTGGTCCATTAACCCTTGGAAGACGTACAAGAACCTCCACGACGGCACTTTCTGGGAGAACGTCAAGCCCTCCAAGTTTACGGATGCTAGCCGCCCCAAGTGGATGACCTTTGACGACAACTGGGTTGAGGAGGTTCGCCGCGGTGCCAATGCCTGCGCCGTCTTCTGCTGGTACCCCCTGTTTTGGCTCTGCTACAACCAAAGTGAGCGATAAAAACCCTTCACTGAGGATTCAATACTGACAAGATGATAGCCAACAATAACTTGGTGTCTCAGGCCGCGACTATGAAAAGACACGGCGTACCAAACGATGTCATCACCAACCTGAACCCCTTTTCCCTCTTGATCTTCATTCCGCTGAATGATTTCGTGATTTACCCCTTTCTCCGCAAGATGGGTATCCGCTTCACCCCCATCAAGAAGATCGCTTGCGGCTTCTTTGCTGGTTGTTCTGCCATGATCTGGTCTGCGGTTGTCCAGCATTACATCTACTCGCGTTCCGAGTGTGGCAAATATTCAAACGGTGAGGATTGCCCTCCCGCGGAGATTAATGTCTGGGCCCAATCTGGCAGCTACATTCTCATGTGAGTTCCCCTCTGCCCCATTCTGATCGCCAGCCGCTAATATGCACAGCGCTCTGTCTGAGGTATTCGCCTCCATCACCTCGCTCGAGTATGCTTACACCAAGGCCCCCAAGAACATGCGTTCCATGGTGCAGGCTTTCGCTCTGTTCATGAACGCTTTCGCTGCTGCCCTTGGTCAGGCCCTCGTCGCCCTCTCTGACGACCCTCTGCTCGTCTGGAACTACACCACTGCTGCTATCCTTGCCTTCATTGGCGGTACCTGCTTCTACCTGCAGTTTCGCCACCTCGATATCATGGAAGACCATCTCAACGAGCTTCCTGAGGGTCTCGTCGCTAACAAGGTCACTGGTGTTGAGCTGCCTGGTCCCAAGCGCATCTCCGACGCTGGTGCGGAAGACACCGTTGACGATGAGAAGCGCATCTAAGCGTCTTCAAGTGTTCATCTAACGCGTAGAAGAGATTCAGGAAGGGGTTTGAGGCATGTGGTTGCATGGCCGCTGTTTAGTCGGATCTAAGCAAGATACCACCAATTCATAACATGAATTTCTTTCTCAAGCTTAGTCACACTCAAGGGTGCTCTTTATTAGTTGCAAATGTATGGCTCAGCCCAATACTCGATCAAGACTAGTAGGCAATTCTTATTAGTTATTCCTACTACTCGTATCAAAGGGTCATGCCCGAAGCAAAAATGCAACTTAATAACAATCAATGCTTTTGAGCCAATACTGGTTGAAGCATGTCGATCCGTGTCGTTGCGTGGGAATCCACGCAAGGTTCCAAGGCCTCTGCTTCATCCCGTGGATACTTGTTGAAGAGACTGAGATTTCTTCAGATGCATCAAATTGGGCGCCCCAGTCTCTTCTTTGTCAGGTCCTGGTGGTGAGATTCTTGCAACTTTCTGCTCTTCTATAACTCTTGAAAGTGAGTCCCGGCTATTCGCAAGGTTGTTTGCGTGAATGATTCACCTGGATCGACACTGAATTGGGCCCAGTCCTCGTTCTTGACTATGTCGCTAACCATGGGCAAAGACGCATACTTGGTGAGAGATTTTCGGCCAGTATCCGATGCTGCCTTGTCGGCCAGGTCCATGAGTTCCTTCGCGACGAACCGTTCCGCAGTCCCCTCGCACAATGGCACCTCGGGCCTCTTCGAGCTCATTTGCAACGTGACCGACGTGCTTCATGCTTTGACACAATAGCATCCTGCATAGCCTTGAACCATTCGCGCTCAGTATCCGTAAAAATTATCAAGTCCGACGGAGCCCAGAGCATTACCGCTTGCTTTCGACGATATACAATACTGTCGAAGACATTCAGGGGTCATCAGCCCAATATCCGACTAAAGCTACTAGTCAACGTTCAAATATATAACACGAGCAGGACGATAATTAAAAAGTATTGACTGACGACTTCAATCCCGTATTAGGTCTATAATGTTCAAGGATTGATTAGCCATTTCATTCAGATGTCTATTATTAATTCGGATGTCGGAGTTTTAATGCCAAAACGGTCCAGTGGTAAGCCACAATCGTCGCCGTAATGATAAGCAGCCACAGCCGTCGGGGCCCGCCATACACCTTTGGACCCTAAAACTTGTCATTACATGTCACCTCTCTCACCCTTTTTCAATCGCCGAATTTGTCATGAACAGCACTTTGAGTGATGGCGCTCCTTTCTCGGGGTTAAATCAAGAGGGACCCCGCCAGAAGCGCTCACGCGTCCTTCTGTCATGCGGACCATGTCGCTACTCCAAGCTCAAATGCGACCGGGGCACGCCTTGCTCGCAATGCCAAAAGAAGGGTCGCGACGACCTCTGCAAATATGCCCCCAAGCTGGAGAAGAAGAAGAAGAAGCCCGCGAAGACCATGGCTGCTCGGTTGAAGCGGCTTGAGGGGATGGTGCGGGGCATGATGGATGAAGAGGGCAACATCATACCGCAGCCCGATGCTTCGGATCAACCCCCCCTTATTGATGGTCTGAGACAGCCTATGGGTGGGCAAGTTGTCAGAGGAAAGCACCAAGCCACGACGTGGGTTGGTCCGACCCACTGCTTAGCCATGCTGGAGGACGTGAGTGCATGGCGTCCGCTTTGAGGGATGACCACAGGTGACTAAAGCTCGCAGATTGAGGACTTGAAGGCCTATTTTGATGAAGGGGATAAGGACGAAGAGATGGATGCGCTTTCGGACGAGGTTGAGGCTGCTGAACTGGTCCTACTCTCGCCTAGTCCCCCTAGGAATCGCGAAGACATCATCGCAGAGCTGCCGGAGAAGAGGATAGCCGACAGACTCATAACGAGGTACTACGCCTGCATGAGCCCTTCGCAACGTACGTAAAACTATTTGTTCTTTAAATCACGGCTGACCACGGCCAGACATCATACACAGGCCGAGTTTCTCAAGAACTGTGAGCCAAAACCACCCCCATGGATATCCTTGGCTAATGTGCATAGTATGCTCGCTTCTGGCAAGACAATGGCAGCGTCAACTTGCACTGGATCTCGCAGCTTTTTATGATGCTCGCTTTAGGCGTCCACTTCAACCGCTTCCAAGCACCCCAAGAGGTCGAGGGTGACTCGCCTCTGCCTCCCAACGATCGCATCAAGCACTACAAGTCAATGGCCAGAGAAGCCCTGTCTTTGGGCAAGTACACCCAGCCCAATCCTTGGACCATCCCGGCATTCATGCTTTACACGGAATCATTTTTCCTACTCAACCGTGCTGGGCAGATGCAATGCTCCATATTGTCCAGCGTGTGTATCAGACTCATGCTCAAGGTCGGCCTCCATCGTGATCCGAGCAAGCTGGCCAACATCACCCCGTTCGAAGGTGAAATGAGGAGACGCATGTGGAACATGGGCATTCAAGTCGAGACCCTGGTCTCCTTCCACATGGGCTTGCCGAGTGTCGTCCAGAGCGTCGAAACAGACACCCAAGTCCCGCGGAACTTGAAAGACGAAGACTTTGACGAGGATTGCACAGAGTTGCCGCCTGAACGACCGAGTACCGACTGGACAATCACAACTTATCCGATAAATAAGACCAAGATAATGCGCGTTTTCGGGAACATTGTCCAGCAATCTCACGCACTCACGCCATCACCCTACAGTGAGGTCCTTCGATTGGATCAGATGCTGCAGGAGACTTGGAAAAACCTCCCAACCTTTATGATGAACCGCCCGCTGGATGAATGCGTCGGCGATCCTCCGGTTCTGATCATCCAGCGCTTCGGGCTAGCAGCGCTGTACAATAAGTCTCGCTGTGTTCTCCACCGGAAATATCTTGTTGAGGATGGCCCCCTGCAGGAGCATGACTACTCCAGACAGCAGTGTCTCCGAGGTGCAATGACATTGCTCGAGAACCAGGAAAAGATTTGGGAAGCGAGCAAACCCGGAAATGTCCTAGCGCACCACGGGTGGTTTCTCTCATCACTCGCTGTGCACGACTACTTGCTGGCGGCTGTCATTGTGTATATGATTCTGAAAGACGAACAATACGGCGATCCAAGCAACGAGCGCCATTGGAGCAACCAGCTGGCAGAGACGCCTTCAAGAGATGAACTGAAGCGAATGTTGGTACAGTCACATACTGCATGGACCGATGTAGCAGAAACGGCGACCGATCTCCGCAAGACCGCGGACACACTGGCCATCATGCTGTCGAAGCTCGGGGTGCAATTGAGTGACCGGCAACTGCAACCTTCGCCCCTTGCTGCACCAACTGCGGCTTCAGGGAGTCTTATATCTTCCGGCATGGGGGGCTTCTCTAGCTCTTCAAATGACCTCACCGCAACAGGATACCTATCGTCAGTTGGATTTGATGGTGAGTTCCGTACTTGTGGACTTCCTCGTTCCATGTAGCTAACAAGTGGTAGGGCATTTCACGACCACACAAGTTGAGGACTCCTTTGCGCTGCAGCAATCAACCAAAGCCATGCAAAACATGTCTTTCCCGGAAATGGGCCCTTCAACGCTGCCCAGCACTAATACATTCGACTTTGATTCCTCTTGGGTCGAACCAGAAACCATGGACTGGGTAAGATCATACTCAAAGGGATTTGACAAGCGGCTAACAGTTGCAGCGATTTCTCGACATATCTCTCGCACATGGCCACACTGCTGGCGCCGAGGTTGACGGTGTCGGGATCCAGTGGACTGAGAACTTCCTCATGGATGACAGCAACATAGATTGGGGCAGGACTGAAAACTGTAGCTAGCAGCTTGCCACAGCATCGCCGGACTGGTTTCACTGGTTCGTTGTACGCGCGGCACTTGAGACCTGTTTCTTCTCGAAAAAAAAAAAGGAGATAAAAAAGAAAGATAAAAGGCCTCAGAGAGCGCGTGTAAGCATCATTCAATGTGTGTAGCCAAGTCAAATACGGATACTTGATGATTGGCCATCCTGTACCAATGCAGTAGCAGACCCAACTATTTACCTCAAAGTCTGTCTTTGCCTAGCTTTTCACATAGCTAGGCGCCAATGGTCGATTTTCCCGTGTCCTGAACGCCAGACTCCATGCCACACCGCCCAATGATTATATCGTCACGCTCATGAAAAGATGCTCCGTCAGATCGTAGCTCAGCTCACAGCTTGCCGCGATTATGAATCAGGTGCGTTGGGCAGACGCTCCACCACGTATTTTCCTCGCGCCACACTCATCTAGACCCCGAGATGTCAGCCGGAATCCAAGGGATTTAGAAAAAGAGGGCAGGTATGCTTACAATTGGAACACCGGGAATCTTCCTCAAGCGTTTCTTCAGGGCGAAATCGTTGGTCCCTATGATATAGATGCGGTTCTGCTGGACTCTGGTGACTAAGCAGTCATCGGCATATGTTCCCTTGTGATCGCACTGCAATCGTGTCCATCGTTCATCTCGCGCTACGCGTAGTGCGAGCCTGTATTTGGGACCAAGCTTCTCGAGTTCGCTGGGACATGTCAGAGACGCTTTGGCGAGAGGGTACAGAGACCGAAAACCTACCTCATCACGCAAGACGTGATGATCGGATTGCACTTTGCATAGAGGCAGTCCATCATGGATTCTAACAATGACAGCTTCCGCTGCACTGTGTGGGACAAAAAGTTGGTATCCACGAGGACACTGTCGCATGTTAGTACGGTGGTCAAAAACGTGGGACCGAGGGGCAACGGACTTGTAGGGCGGCACGAGAGCTTCGTTGTGTTGGAAGAACATGTGGCTCGGCATTTGGGGCGCTTCGCGAATGAGCTCGCCGGCGGCCGTCTCTCTCTTGTCAACCCTCTCCTTCTCCAGAGCTTCGAGCCTGGCTTTGCCTTCCTTCGTTCGGTTGTCGCGCTGCCCGATCACTCGCTTGACCTGTGCGAACTTTCTCGTTTTCTTTGCGACACCCATATTTGCGGGGATCTGGTGGGAGACTCAAGTTTCTGGTTATTCTGTGTCGAGCTCCGTGTACTATCGTTCGGTGTGCCGATTACGCAATCGATTCTGTCGCAGAGGGTGTTGAAGTTTATGGTTGTTGGCAATGGTGGTGATGTTTAATTAAACGGGCAGCTTGCGACTCAAAAAAGTTGGGAGTTTTGCCATGGACAGCCGAAGGCGGTGGCACTAGCCTGGTGGTGCACAGACCATTTCTTGGTGGGCTAGATGTGCCCCACATTTGCCCGACAACGCGTCGAGATCTCCAAAGGCGCGTAAAGTGATTCTCCAACATCACCAATTCCACCCAGAAAGAAACAACCAGCACACGCACATATACACGCACAATGCCGGCGGCAAAGAACGAGACAAAGGGCGAGTCGTCCATGGCTGCGTCGAAAGCGGCTCTAGCAACATCTTCAAACGGCAATGTCACATATGAACTGCCATGGTAAGGCTCTCTTCGCTGCTCTGCATCCTTCCACTCACACTTGCCCTAGGGTGGAAAAGTACAGACCAGTCTTTCTGGATGATGTTGTTGGAAACACGGAAACGATTGAACGTCTAAAGATTATCGCAAGAGAGGGCAACATGCCGCACGTCATCATCTCGGGAATGCCTGGTATCGGCAAGACGACGAGTGTGTTATGTCTGGCCCGCCAGCTGCTGGGGGACTCGTACAAAGAGGCGGTTCTGGAGCTCAACGCCAGTGATGAGCGTGGTATCGACGTCGTTCGCAACAGGATAAAGGGTTTCGCACAAAAAAAGGTCACATTGCCCGCGGGACGCCACAAGCTCATCATCCTCGACGAGGCCGACAGCATGACATCCGGCGCGCAGCAAGCGCTGCGAAGAACCATGGAAATCTACTCGAACACCACACGCTTTGCGTTCGCGTGCAACCAATCGAACAAGATCATTGAGCCCCTACAATCGAGATGCGCCATCCTACGGTACGGCAGGCTCACAGACGAGCAGGTCGTCAAGCGATTAATGCAAATCATCGCGGCAGAGAAGGTCGAGTACAGTGACGATGGGCTGGCAGCACTCGTCTTCAGCGCCGAAGGAGATATGCGTCAGGCAATCAACAATCTGCAGTCAACATGGGCCGGTTTCGGCTTCGTCTCGGGGGACAACGTCTTTAAAGTCGTCGACTCGCCACACCCGATCAAAGTGCAGGCAATGCTCAAAGCATGCTTCGACGGAAACGTGGACTCTGCGCTGGATACCCTGCGAGAGCTATGGACTCTGGGGTACTCGAGCCACGACATTATCAGCACCATGTTCAAGGTCACCAAGACGATACCGACTCTCCCCGAGCACACCAAGCTAGAGTTCATCAAGGAGATTGGATTCACGCACATGAAAATTTTAGAGGGTGTGCAGACTTTGCTGCAGCTCAGCGGTTGTGTGGCTCGGTTGTGTAAGATTAACATGAACTCGAAAGGCTTCACCACCACGGCGTGAGGGACGAGGCTATGTCATTATGTGGCGTTGGGGGGTTGGGGGTTGTTTCACTAGGATACGAACATCACCGTCATGGCGAATGTCAATAGACTTGCTTGCTTAAACGATGTTACATTGTTAAAATGACCACGAACGTCGCTATTCCTTTTTGCATATATCGTCTAGCTTGCTCGAGATTCTCTTGCAACCTGCTGATAGCCCGGCAATTGTTGAGATATCCGAGGAACAGAGTAAGCACGTTGACAAAGCGCACAGAAACCATTAGGCCCATTGGTTGAGACATGCAAGCGAACCCTCGACCACCATCGGGATGGGGAAAGGTGGGCTTTCGTGAACCAGTTCTCATCGGGAACACGGTAGCTCAGGCACACTCGTCACGAGTCGAAATTCTTGGGGGACAGCTATTGGCATCACCCCATTGCTGGCGTTGACCTCAGGGGCTTGAGTGAGCGAGATCTAGACCATTGTGACGTAGCAAAGGAAGATGGCTAATGATAGCTTGAGGTTATGAGACCATAACTGTGTTGGATGGGTTTAATCTACCCAGAAGAAAAATATCAATCAACTTTCATGTGAACATGATTGTGGACAGGAAAATTAGAGCGTGTTGGAGCATGCTAAGATGAAGTTATTCCAGCTAGCAGAGTCTAGAACGACGCACAAGACGCATATCTAGCTACTTCCTTCATCGTCAACGAGCCTCATACGGTTGCGAAGCTAATGCATTGTCTGTACGTAGTACTTCACAAGGCTTGGAGGCACGGCGGAAAAGCCGGCAGAATGCGCGTTCAAATACCTACAGGGTAATTCGTGTGCCAGCGCGGACCTGACGCTTGTCCTGAATGGGAAAGGCACGTCACCGAAGACGTCCGCGGAGATGTTCATTTCATTACGGCACACACGCAACCTCCACGCGGTGTTGTGCGACAAGACCGTGCCTGGTGCCGTATGATGTCGCAATCTTTGGGTTTGACAATCTGTCAGAGGTACGTAGTCCTTCCTGCAATTGTGATTGCATGTGCGCATGACCTATGCCTTTTCGACCTACTCGTGTGTTCAAAACTTGTAGCAATGGAAGATCATCAATTGACGGGACTAACGTCAGCATACGTTTGTTAGTGACCGAATGCTCTCTACGAATCAGAATCAACCATTCACCAACGTTGCTGGAAAGAGGCGAAGATGCAATGGTTGCACTTCGGGACGCGGGATGCTGCCTCGTGCCATTTACATAGTTTTCGTTCGTAGATCGCTGATCAACAGGCGTGCGGATATCGTTTGCGAACATTTGAATTTGGATGTCCGTGGCTTCGGCGATGCTCATGGATGCATCATCTCACCAAGGCCATGCGAGCCAACAGGTCAACGATCGATCCTGTGGAGAACCCGGATGGACTAGTATCAAATGGACTTCAGACCAGTGGGTTGGTGAGGGCGAGTCCTTCGAGCTCATCAAAATTGCCCCAAATAAAACGAACGTACAGAGTGGCGGTCGGTCACGAGCTTGACAGATCTTTAGTCTGGCAAATGGTAGACGAGGTTGGTGGTGATGGGGTAACTGGCATGAGAAATGAAATCGACACAAAATTTTCTGACTGGAGCCTGGAACCAATGTGTTAGGTAAGGACTGCGGACGGACGTCGGAACCCCATGGCCATGCGCGATCCAACGTGACCGTGGAGCCCGTTGGGACGTTTGGCTAGGCCAGGTATAGACAGTTTTCCAGGTGAAAAATTCCGACCAGTGATGCAGTAGTGATCGCCCATAGTAGCACTACAATTTGGAGTTATCGAGTAATAGAAATTGCTGGAGGCCAATGAGCTGGTGGTGCATTCCGATACCGCAACGCGCACTCCAGCATATCATGATGATGGCTTCATGCTGAGATCTGCCAAAGTAAAGAACACTACGCGCTGGCGTGCTTGAGGGCGAGTAAGTCGTGACGGTTCACGAGAACCATTAGAGTTCTCCAGCTTTCTGGCATGCAGCGGCTGCCTGCAAGAACTTGCTTAGCGTCAAGCAGAGGCGACTGATGACCCCGGATTGTGAATGCCGTTATCAGACATCTGTAGGCGGATACTCTGGCTCTATTAGCTCACATGTACTGGCTGTCTATCCGGGGCATAAAGGTCGCAAAGCACTGGCTGCTTGAGAGTGAGCTATCCATATGAATGCGGTAATGCCAATCCGTCGGTGAAATAGGCAGCCTACTACGTAGCTTAGCTAGAGATCTGGAGGTGAAGCGCGGCACTGCCAAGGTGGAGGCCGGAGTCGGAGGAGCGCCGAGGGGTGCAGGAAGCGACGGAGGGGCAGAGAGGGCGTGGTATCAGTGGGTAAGTTGCCAGATACAGACATTTGATTGGAAGGCGCATTTGCAATTGGCAGCTGCAGCCTGCAGTGCAAGGACTAGGGGCGTGCGTTTACTTCTTTCAGAGACTTCCCGCTCCCCTGCACGGGCAGGTATCGCACTCCCTCCGCCGGGGAAAGAACCATTTCGTAGATGGGCCTTTGACCAGTCTCCATGTCTTTGCTGTCTGCCATGATAAGCCCAGCTGGTCTTCCATCGTCATCGTCGTCGCTTTTTCTCTATTGCTTCCACTGTCAGGCACACAAATTTTTACCAGATCAAGTTGCGTCGCAATCCGATCAAACCTCGCCCAGCCATCCGACCAGATTTACACACCTTACCTATCGCCAGCCTGCTTATCGCCAGCCACTCAACGGCCAGCTAACCTCTCGCTTGCAACAACGTCGTCCGCATCCGATCAAGGTAGATCAGGGACTTTAGAATCACCGTCAGCCGGCAAGGTAGCAAAGCAGTCCGACAGATAACAATCTGCCTCACTCGTCGTTGGTCAAGAACCCAGGACCAGCAATTGCGACAACAATCAACTTCCTTCCTTCCCTTCGACTCTCATTTCAACCACACCGCTACGCCCCAAGCACTGCAAATCATACCCGGTACGTACGCAAGTCTCGTTATCATGTCTGATAACCCCCGGATTTTCATGCCCCTCCCTTTCCCCTCCATCCTGCAGCTGTCTCATTTTCGTTTTCCCACCATCTCGTCAGTTGTGCCAAGTGCTTGCTTCTCGAGGCCGCTGGGCTGCAGTTCATCCAGCCTACGAGCCTCGTGGGCGCTGGCGCTGGCAGTTTCTCTTTGCGCCACGGCAAGCCGTTCAGGAACGTGCCCACTGGGCCGGCCACCGGACGTTGGAATAACCCATGTCGCAGACTGGAATCCACCTAGGCGTGGCCTGCTGCACCGCAAAAAAACCCATCGTGACCATTACAAAGGGCCCCCCCTCACTATCAGTCTTTGAAGAGGGTGATTATGCTGTACTCCCGCACTAGATCCCTCGACAGCGTCTGCATTGGCTGCGCCTATTGCCAGTTCCATCTTCCTGGTCGCCCTGCTTCGCTTCGCTGGCCGCTTCGCCGCCGTCACCGGTCCACCACCATACATTCATTTTACGTACTGACTTGCCCGCTCTCGGGCTGATCCAGGCTTTCGCTTCTCCACTCACGCCCAGCACTGTCTGTACCAACTGTTGCAGACGTCGCGCCGACCCCGATTTGAAAAGACGTTGTTTCGGCGCACCCTTCTTCTCGACCGCCGCACAACATTTGTCCCTGCGTCGGGTCTGCGTGGCATCCTCTCATCAACCAATAGACCAGGAACGCCTCTCGCCGCTCGCACTTGGCCACCACATATATGTCGGTTCGCGTCCTCCGCGAACCAGCCCAGGCTGCAATCATGCCCGCCCAGATCAACAGCTCGGTCGCGGGGAGTATTCCGATACACATCGCCAACGATACCAACAATTATCGCAAACAACACAAGCATTCCCGGTCCTCCTACTCGGAATCATCGCCCCTCGCTTCTTCGCGTAACAATTCAGTCACATTCCGGCCTCCCAAGCGACTCATGTCGTCTCCAAACAAGACCATAGCCGTGATCAACGCTGCTGGCCGGCAGGCGGCTTCTCTGATCCGCAATGCCACAGCCGTTGGCTACCACGTGCGCGCGCAACTCCGGAATCTCGAGGGTGTGATCGCAACGGAGGTGTCGACAAACCCCAACGTAACCGTCTTTGTTGGAGAACTGTACACGCGACACAAGCCGACGGAAGAGAATAAGGATGTGACCAAGAATGGCCCTCTGTCCGGAGTCGGCATCAACCACGACCTCATTTCGAACCTATTCCGCGGGGCCCAGCTCGCTTTCATAAACACCACCTTTTATGGCGACGAGCTCTCAATTGGCAAGGCAATGGCGGATGCTGCGAAGAAGGCCGGCATCCAGCACTACATCTACTCGTCCATGCCCGATCATGCTGCGTACGATCCAAGCTGGCCATCTCTGCCTTTGTGGGCCGACAAGCACAAGGTGGAAGAGTACGTGCGAGAACTGAAGTTGCCTGCCACGTTTGTGTACACGGGCATTTACAACAATAATTTCACATCACTCCTCTACCCACTCTTCTGCATGGAATTGCAAGAAGACGGCTCCTTTGTGTGGCAAGCGCCATTCCACGAAGACGCCAAGCTGCCCTGGCTGGATGCCGAACACGACGTTGGGCCGGCCATTCTGCAAATTATCAAAGATGGTGTTTCCAAATGGGGCGGTGAACGTGTCGCGCTGGCATACGAGCACCTGACACCGAAAGAAGCTTGCGAGGTCTTTGAACGTGGCGTCGGTCGCCCTGTGCGATACGTCCGAGGTCCTATCGAGATAAAGGTCCGCATTCCAGCTGGATATCGCGAGCAACTTGAAGCCCTCGAGAAACTCTTCGACCCCAACGAGCCTGACGCGAAGAAGCAGCCTCCCTATTTCGGCGATGCTCGCTTGGAGAGCAGTGTCCCCGCGACAGCTCTTGAGCTCTGGGAGGGTCCTCGTTGTCTCGAGGAGTACGCCCGGGAAATGTTCCCGCTCGAGGAGGAAGCGAACGGACTAACGTGGATGCTTGATGACGAGGACGAGCTGACGGAGGACGATGAAGCCCTGCGCACAGCCACAACGTCGGTCGACCAATTACGTATCCACGACGACGTCGAAGAGGAGGACGAAGAAGACGAAGATGAGGGCCTCGTCATGCGCGGGCGAAAGAGAGACGAGGAGCAGTGGTTGGCGTAGGGCGCAGTCATACCACTCCGCTGACCCCAGGCCGTTTGAGAGGATGTGGTTCACTCGCATATGTCACGAACGCATGACGACCTTAATTGTTCTTCAACACTGTGCGTTAGAAGCGAGTACATTGTGTTTCGGCGTTTTGGGAGATTTTCAGACATACGGAAAAGTTTTGGGAAAGGGAAACGTGGCCGCGTTTTGTTGGAAACCTGATCGGCGCACGCTCGCCGCCATACGGGCTTACCAAGTCGTTTGGCTTCTTCGTCTTGTTTTTTGCCGGGGGTTTCTTTAGCAGCATACCGGCCGGGGTCAGCCGGGTTACAAATGTATATATGACCAGTAACTGCATGGAAGGTTGCGCGAGCGGCAGCAGCCGGCGGCCTGACATGCGATCATATGAATGAACATGATGAAGCTAGAAGGGTCTGGGTACTGCTTTTGATGTCCTGTCGGCCATTTATGTGATTCTTGGTAAGTCAAGTCCGGGGTCGAGGAGAACCTGACGCGGGGGCTGGGGTTGGGGGGACCCGGGGGAGACGTGGGGGTGGTGCTGATAACAATATCACTTACTCATGAGTCATGCAGGTTCTGAGAATCTCCATGGTGGTGGAATGCTCCCACAGAATAAATTCTGAATGTGATGTAGCTGGAATCGCTTGTTGGTTTTACTTCACTCGCTGTGCCAGGACTCCCATGCACATAACTACGAACTGCTCAGATACTTGAAATTCGTGTCTCCTTCAGGAGGAACCGCTGCCTGGTCTTCAAAGCCTCTGTCGTGAGCTGGCCCAGCTTGCTCAGCGCTTGATCCAGGAACTTCAATTTGTCCCTTGTTGTCGGCTGGAGTGCCAGCACTGCCTACATAGACAGCAGCAGGGTCAAACTGGGCTAGGAGCCTCATTCGGAGGGCCTCCTCTTGATCCTCCAGCTGGCTGCTTGAGTAGCCAACGTCGCTCTCAGGCGGACTGTGCGTTTGCTCGTCATCCTTATCCATGTCCACTTGTGGAAAGTCCCACGTCGAGTCTGAGTCTGATGACTGATCGTCTTCATCCATTCCCGCATCGTTACCAGTCCCTTCTTTCCCAGCCTTGTCGTGCGTCGTCTTTCGTGTCTTCCTCGCCGATCGACGGTTCTCCTCACTGCGCGCGCGCTTCTGGTTCCTACGCTCGCGTATCGTTTCCAAATCCCGCAATCCTTTTTTCAGTTGCGAATGTATAACAGAGGTAGAGCCGCGGCGAACCATTGGATTGTGAGAATCGACTGCGTCGGCAAATCTGTACCGCTCTCGGCGCGCGGGGGCGAATCTTGTAGGCAAGCCTGTGGGAAGGTGAACACGAGAGGATGGGCCAGAAACTTTTGACGGAGGTGCGTTTGGTACGAAAGGTTGACATCGAGACCCGCGTGGGAGACTTTTCAGGTTGCCCGGCTTGTAGGTCTGCCTTCGGTCAGCAAGCGATAAAACGCATCCCGGTTGAGGCAAGCTCACCGGCTTTATGACCAATTCTGTGTGGTTGGAGAGAAACTCCAGGATAGCCTCAAGCTTGTGGGCTATGGCATCCACTTCATCGGTGTTGACCTTGACGATCCTCTGTCCATCCTCGCCGTCGTCCGAGTCTCTGTTCTACAGACGAATCATATCGAACAGTATGTCGTTACACGTCCCGATCAGATCCTTCCAATTGTGAAGTGGAGGGAACACCGTCCACTCTGGCGGAGGCTTGAGTATCATTGTCTCTGTATTCAAGTACAACTTTGCTTGGCCATATAGGGCGTTTTCACCGTGATGCTTGGCCCAATTGAGAATAATGTGCTTCCGGGCAGACGGCAGAAGTGCCATGATGGGCGCACGTAATGTGAGGAAAACAGTTGGAGTGTGGAGAATCGCATCACGATGATGATGCTTGCCCATGTGCTTGAGCGCATACTCCCATCGTGCGTTCGCATCTTCGCGAGTGAGCACTTCTCGTCGACCGGTTGGTTGTAGGTGAACGGGAAAGTGGCTTGGATCGGTCCAAAAGTTGGCCAACTGTATGTGCGCCTTGGACGCGTCGAACTCGAGAGGGAGTCTTCTCGTTTGTGTCCTAGCATCGGAATACCGAGCAGAAGAGGCGCGAGGCGGCGGGCCAAGGGTCGCTTGTGTGACCATATTCCGAGTTGTCGGGCTGCAGGGTAAATTCATGTAGGGATGTTCTCGTTGAGCCAAATGATGACGAGACTCCCCAGTGGAAAATTGTCCGGGAGGCCTTGACGGCATGATGCCACTGTTGACATAGGTAGATGTGATTGTGCCCAGTGCTGATGATATTCAAAACCTTATTTGCTACTGGAGAAGTAGTAGACAAGCGCCCCTTGTGCACTTAAGAATGGTCCCGGCCACGAGATGGACTTCGCTGATAAACATTGTGTGCAAGCAAGTGACAGGTATACTAGCTTAGTGCCTTACCTTACTGCTCTCCCTGAAATGGCAGGTACGGAGGTAAGCTTGAGTGGGAGCAGTTACAACTCGTTACTTGCCAAGTGAGCGTACCTTGGGTACCTTGCCTTACTGAGCCCCAATATGCCAACAACTCATGTTCTCGAGGTAAGTACCGGGTACATCTGCAGTGCGAGGATGTGTGAATTGGTTACAACGTCTCGCGGGGACGAGTATTGGGTTAAGTGTATGGATAAGTAACCTACATGAGTGATTCTGGATCGAACTGTCACCTCGTGTGGCTGCATTCACTTGCCATTTCCCCTTGTGAGCTCTTCCTCGTACTGTTGCCATCTGGCCCTGTCTCGCAGGACCCTTCTCTGCATCCTCATCTTGGCCTCATACTCTCTGAGCTTTGAGTCGGCATCAATCATGCTGCCCAGCACCATGCCCGACATCTGTATGTACCTTGAGATGGTCAGAGCTACTATATTCACAAATGCGTCGAGTCAGTCTTACACCTTGAACTGAATAGTTGTCGCTCTATACACCGGCGACCAAGCATAGCCAATGGCTCCAAGGATGGCAGTTGCCACGCCCCATTTAGCAGCGCCGCTTACCGCGCCCCTCGCGGCTTCCCATGCAGCTTGGTCGGCCTCATCGGTCTTCATGAGATCATGGGAACGCATCGTCCCAGAGAGGCGGTATGCTGGATCGCTTAGCATTCGAGCTGGATGGTTTTCGAGGCGCACGCGTTGCACGGCGACCACTTACTTCTTGGAAGAGTCCTCGCTTCGGATTACATTGGAAGTTTGACGTTTGCCACACCAATGCCACCGCAACGTTTGTCCTGTTCCTCGTTGCTCCAGGGATTCTGTACAAAGGCGAGGTTGTACCTCAATCCTAGCGTCCCGAGCTCCGGATTGTCCATGACGCATTTTGGCGACCATCTCCAAAACCCCGATAACGTGGACCGTGCAACTTCAGTGCCCCACGCTCGGTTAATTGCATGACACACTAAAAGCTGTGCCGGAGCTGCCGCTTTTTTCTTCTGTGCTCCAACAAGTTCGCAGAGGACACGACATCAGCTTCTCTAAGATGCATGAGCGCGCGCACATTGCTGCAGCCTAGTGGTCAATTCAATGCTTGCATTGCTCATCTCTTCTTGAAGATTTGTCAGCGTTCCCGCGACTTTATTATTATTGCAACGCGCGTTTTGCGTTTCTTGCTCTTCGCGCTGCACTTGCAAAATTCGAGTCCTCACGCCGCCTGCGAGTTTCTCCAGAGCCACCACATACTCTCACAATGGACGGGGCCATGGAAGTTTATTGGCAGGCGCCAGTCATCGCTCGGTAAGTTTGAATGCCTCTCCCGCGCAACCTCAAATCAAACCTAACATTTCTAGATCGACTGTCACTGCCATGCTCCTGATGTCGGCCGCTGTACACTTTGGCATGCTCTCCGGGACCCATGTCATCTTCCACCAATACTTCCTCTGGAAGTTTCCACCGCAAATATGGCGCTTGTTCACGGCGTACCTCCTCACAGGTCCTCAATTAGGCCTTCTGTTCGACGCGTACTTTTCGTACCAGTACTTGAGCCAGCTGGAGCGTGGTAGGTACTCCAAGAAGGAGGACCTTCTCTGGTATCTGACCTTTATCTGTGGAACCATACTGGTAAGTCGCCGTGATGCCTACATCTCCACCATATGCTTTCGCAACACCCCTCAACATATCTGCCCGGATAGTGCTTTGCCTCTTCAGCTATCACGGTTCCTGGAATTGAGGGAAATTACCCCTGCATGTCGGATCGACCCACACATTCGCAAAATAGGGCGGTCCGGGGTGTAGGAATGGTGGGATGTATCTTGAATTACTCTGGTGGTTTCTCTATCCACCCGAGTGCACTTGAGCTCCCTACATCTCCGTGTCATTAGGAAAATTTTGTCAGTGCAGCGGAAGTGGGCAGCGCTGACGTAGTCTTCCAGGGTGTCAACTACATCACTGGCCTCGGCTACATGACCTTCCTGCACGCCTTGATGATCTCGATGACCTACACCGTGGTCCAGGACCAACGGGGCATGAAGACCAACTTCTACTTCATCACGATTCCCGCGCAGTTAACCCCATATGCTATGATCGCCATCAACATGCTATTTCCAGGCGGTGCTGCGCAGATTCCTCTGCAACTGGAGGGACTCTTCGCTGCACACCTGTGGGAGTTCTTGACCAAGATTTGGCCGGCCTTTGGAGGCCAAGGTCGCACTCTGCTGCCCACGCCTCCGTTCTTCACCACCGTTGTGAACACAATCAGCGGACTTGCTGGTCGAGCCGCCCCGGTTGTTCCTGGACCGAGGGGCGCGGCTGGTGGTGTGGCTCGTGGTGCCTCCGCTGGATCTGGGCCGTTGCCAGACTCCTGGAGAACTCGGGGTCCTGGCCACCGACTAGGCTGAAAACGTAAACTAGGCGTCAGAAGGTTATGAGTAATGAATGACTTGAAAATAAATGTGGCTATCACCAGTGAAGGTGAACACTTGCTCAAAGTTGGGTTGATTATTTCAAGAAACAAGAAACAAACCCGTTAACGCCATGCTCTACGTATTTAGTGTCCCAAATTCCAAGTACTCAGACGCCAGCTCTGCATGTCAATACCCGTAGAGCGTGCTCTTGCCGCTACGCATTGGCACCTCGACATAGCCATTCGCAGCATCACTGTTGGGTACCCGTCCGTCTGTAGCATAAACTGAGCCGCCCTGTAAAGGCTTGTCCTTGAATCGCGAGCCCGAACGCATCACTGGTTGGGAGATGGACATTGACGCATCCCGTGTGACGTCCTCCACCGTTGGCGGGGTGTATTGTTTTGCACCTCGGAGCCTGCGCAGTGAAGGCAGACCTATCGACGGGGTTTTGCTATGGCCCTTGGGCGGAGAACCTGGAGGAGGTGGTGGCACGCTTGTACTTGGTGCTGGAGGTGGACCTGGTGGTGGAGGTGGCAAGCCCGGGAGTCCGTCCACAGAAGCCGTGCGCCTCGACGCTGGAGGTGGCGCTCGAATCGCCGCGTGGTCGGCAGCCTGTATTGCCCCGGAAGATGAGTTGAGACAGGTCTGCATAGTCATGGATCCAACAGTGTGGGCTCGCTCATGCCCTCGATGAGGGGAGTCGTCGCGTGACCTAGCAAGACCTCCGCCTGCTCCTGGACGTAACTGTGCTACGCCGCGAGGGATGTATGCTTCGTGTGATGGCAGGGCGCTCCCCGGACCGCGGAATCTGGAGCGAGGGTCAAAGGCATAGTTGATCTTAGAAAGACCACAGTCCTCTTCCAGCTTGTCGTCATACTCGCCGCTTGTCACCACTTGCCCCTTGGTGTCATAGCCGTTCTGTGGCGTGTACGACCTCAAGGAGGCAGTCATCTTGCCGTTACCGGGAGGCAGAATAGGATCGGGAGTGGCGCCATAGTCGCTATCGCGGCGCTCGAAACTCGACTTCTCGTTGCGTTTCATCTGCCGCTGGCGACGATAGTACATGAATAGCAGAGCGACACCACCGACCAGGAACAGTCCCACGCCGACCGCGATACCAACGATTGCGCCGGTCGTGAGTTCGTTGCTACCGGCACCTTTGGGCTTTGTCCTGATGTCGACAACAGGCTCGGTGATGTTGATGGGTGAGTTGCTGAAGACACTCCCACTGAGCGATGCAATGTGGCCCTTCTCAGGCTTTTGTTCACAACCAGCTTGAAGCGCAACCATGACTGGATAAAGGGTCAGCATTACAGGCCCTGTGCCATGAAGGTGTCCGGATCTTACAGTTGGCGAGGTAAGTGTATTGCTCTACTCGCAAACAATTGACACACGTCCATACTGTCGACTTTTTGAATGAGCCATCGTCCGCTTCACAGTAGTTCCAGGTGTCCTCGTTCTTCGAATCAAGTTCGTCGCCGGTGACGGGAGTATCTAGAGGCTCGCAAGCGTACTCGGTCACGCATGGTGAGTTGATCTGCCTGTTCTTTCCGGACTTGGGGTAGTCGTATAGACAGGTGCTGACAGCATAGCGAAGATTGTCTGTACCAGATTAGTCTTGGGGTGCTAGGCGCGGATTGCTCCCGTGAACTGACACATGAACCAGTGGCTATCCGACTCCTGGTCTTCCACCTTTTCGCTTTTTGCTAGACATTCCAGACAATTTTGGAACCTGATCCCCGTCACCTCCGTCGAGAAGTCCAAGTCGTCGCATGTGATTTCTGTGCTATTTGCAAACGACGCCTTGGGGTCAAAAGCATCATCGTACCCTTCACCGAGACAGTAGGTCGCACATGACGATCCGGGTGTGAACTCCAGTGTTGAGACCAGGGTGGCAAGGAGTAGCGATAATGTTGCCAAATATATCGGACGATGCCAAGACATTGCTACAGGCTCGATGTCGGAGGGAGAAGAGGCGAAAGGGCGAAAATGAATAAGGCTGATGAAGGAATATACTAGCTGCTCTGTCGCAACCTCATCCTCGGTGCTTTCTGCTTGTGTTAGACAGTGCAACTATGGACAGAATTGGGAGATGGAATCGCGAAAAGTCGAAGACACGAGAGCCAGGGACGAAGCTCAGAGGCGACTAGAGGGCCCCAGAACCATATTAAAGGCGGCTCTTCTACATCGAAACGAGATGTTTCCGAAGTACTATCTGTCTCGCACGCTCATAGGCCTGATGTTCCCTTGCTCCTTGCGCCTAGAATACAAGGTGTGCTCGAAGTTCAAAGAAGCGTCGATCTCATACACACACGCATGTTTTCAGTTACCTAGAATAGCTCACTGGCGGGGATAACCAACTGGGAAGCCATATACTCAGCCAATAGGATCACGAGCACCCTGCAAGTAAGCCGCCTAGACGCCGAGACCCTGAAGCGGGGAGAAGTGTGAACCAATCGCATTGCAACAATTTTCCTACCAAGCGCCCAGCCGTCGAGAACTGCTGGCATTGCTGCCGGTCGATGGATATTCGGGAAGCAGGTGAAGGCCGTGAAACGTGAACAAGGCCATCGAGTGGTCGTTTGACAGACGCCGGCCGTCGATGCGGCCGGACAACACCCTTGCCTAGAACTCTGTGCGATGGCATCTGCATCTGTAGCCTGGACTCCTGGACTCCTGAGGTCTTTGACCCACTACCATATGCGATGCTGGCTCTGCCAATAATGCTTGGAAGACTCAAAATCGAGTGATGTCTTGTGTCAGCCAGTATACCACACCTGATGAAGAAGGATCATATACTGCCTAGACTAGGTGCTTTAGCGCTGCACCGAGCCACGAGTGAGCCAAGAATTAACATCGTGGCATTGATGATATTCTTGACTGTCTGGTGAACTATTGGCGATGCGCTGGAGTTTACAGTGCCATTAAACTGTCAAAGTCTCTCAACACCGCCCAACGCAAGGCGCAACTTGTTTGCGGAAGGAAGTGCTTGTTGAGCTGCCCAGATCCCGTGATACCTGGCTATTGTGGTGTTGTCTCCTAATAAGACTGCCGGTCGTTTGAGGTGTCGACGTGGTCAGCCGAGTAGGCGAGGAGATGGCACAAAAAAGGCGACGCCCAAAAATACGTGATAAAATAATTTGTTAGTAATGGGATCACCTGGCCTCAAAGCGCACATAAGGCCGATGCATCGTCAATATATCAGCTCGAGTTGCTGGATGCAATTCAACGCCGCCCGCGAGCCTCAGATGTCTTTCGCACTTGCACAGTTGAGCGGATATTTCCGCTTGCCACAATGAGGATACAGAGGTGCACAGGCTTTTGCCGAGATGGAAACGTGCGATAGCCTTCCAAGAGACTAGACTAGGAGGTAGAGTGACCCCGAGACCTGTTTATTTGACATGCGATTCTGCCCAAAGCAAAAAGGTCAGAAGACACAGCACGCTAGACACAAGACAATGAGAATCCCTTTTAGTGAGCGGTGACACCAATGGGATCACTAGACGTAATATCAGCTCGCACCAGTCGACGTCAATAGCATGACTGCAGGGTTTGCCATCCACGGGCGCTTAACAGCTGTGCTCTATTGGACCTCGTCGCTCAGAACATTGTACTCCGTAAGATGCGCAAGGATTCGTGTCAAGTCAGCACACGGCACTAGCCAACTCCATGCAGAGCGAAGTCTGAATGTTTCCAATGGTACATGCAGCATAATGGCGAAAAGAAAATTCAATAATGTCAAGGTGCGATGATGTGCACATGGAAGCTGGTAGGTAGGTTACAGAAGAGAGGAGTGTGAGTTTACGTGACTCCTGACTCTGGCAAAGAGGGGTCCACGTCCGAAGCCAAGTTAGAGTTTGGCTAGACACAAGTAGTACGGAGTAGTCCTTAACATTCTTCCCCGCGCCGACTGCAAGACCAAGTTAGTAGGCACTTGCATCTCCACCTACAGGGCATTTTGCGGGCCATTCGAATCAATTTCCTCCTGCTTCCCAAGGTACGCCGACGGCAAGCCCCCACAATCACAATCCGAGTCCACTAGACCTCGTGGCTACCCATTTCGCAATCATATCGACGTAATCTTGCAATACTTTCAACCTTCGACTGGCGTGGCATTGTGACTTTCCACCTGCTTCAGAGGGGAACAGTGGTAGACCCAGCCGCTGCGCACTGCGGCGTTCTTTTGACGCTGGGTTGTGAGCCTGTGACGTGGAGGCGACCGTCGAGCGTGCGTATATGAGATAAGTCGATAACGCCCACGAAAGCGCAAGGTGCGACTCTCATGCAACTCGGGACATTGAAGTTCCTCAGCTTCACGCCGACATCAGACATCACTCTGAGCGACCAAGATGCGTATAGGGTGTCTTCAGTTTGCGCCTAAGCTCGGAGATGTCAACAACAATATCAACCGAGCCGATGCAGTTCTTAGTCGCGCCGATCCTGAGGACCTAGACCTCCTCGTCCTGCCTGAACTAGCCTTTACTGGTGAGTACTCGCTGTCTTTTCAATTCCTCTCAGTTCTTTCCGCTTTTTCTTGCCTATCCAGCTGTACGAAGTGATCGAGGTTCAGCAATGAGTGCCGGCATGATATCTCTGTCGTGCAACCAGCGTGCAACCTCCCTGCGCAAATGCCCACCCAGCATAAGCTGCATGAGTGAGACCGAATTCCGCTAAGTCACTGAACAAGGGTACAACTTCAAGTCTCTGCGTGAGATCTCACCTTTCCTTGAATATTCAGGCACAGGTATCAGCTCGCTGTGGGCGAAGACAGCTGCCCTCAAGTATGACTGTACTGTCGTCGCTGGCTACCCCGAGAGGGAAGATCTGACCGACCGATGGCCTGCTGATCCCGCGTACTACAACTCGGTCATTGGTGTCAGTCCTGATGGCGAGTCGATCATAAACTACCGCAAATCACATCTTTACTATACAGACGAGACATGGGCTTTGGAAGGGCCCGACGGGTTTTATGCCGGCCGTCTCCCTGGTCTAGGCCGGACCGCCATCGGAATCTGTATGGATATGAAGTGAGTTGCTTATTCTATACAAGATTACACATGAGGCTAAATTCACTAGTCCCTACAAATTCCAGACTCCTTGGGAAGACTTTGAGTTTGCCCAACACACTCTCAAGTGTGGCGCTCGTCTTGTCATTGTGTCCATGGCGTGGCTTACCCAAGCCGAAGCCCGAGAATTCACCCGAGAGCCACAGGAGCCAGATATGGAGACGCTCATGTACTGGATCTCACGACTAGAACCTATCATACAGATCAAGTCGAATCAAGAGGTCTTTGTTGTCTTCGCCAACCGTACCGGTATGGAAAACGAAGCGACATATGCAGGCACCAGTGCTGTTGTCGGTATCAAGGAGGGGGAGGTACTTGTTTATGGACTTCTGGGACGAGGGGATAAGGAGCTTCTTGTGGTGGACACCGATGATGAACCTTTCGCACGGCTGGTCCACCACCAAGCAGTACATAAACAGGAGCTTGATGAGGAAGAAGTCGTCAGGCGGCGTGAACGGTACGAATCGCCACCACGAGCTGGGAGCCGCGATTTCTACGATTCACAAGGCGCTGAGCACAGCTCGCGTCAGCAGTGCCTGCCTGACGATAGTGACCAGCACGACCTTACTGATCGTCTTCGAAGCTTACAGAGTGACCTCGGCAGAGGGCCGAAGCGGACGGGATCTTGTAACAATTTACCCCTCAAGGATGACTTTGCAGACCAACAACCATGGGTTTCGCAATCTATGGTGGACAACAACCAATCGCACCTTGGAAAGGATTTAAGACCGGTGCCCAGTCGGCGGATCAAATCATCCACAGATCATCAATTCGTCTCAAGGCACGATCCAGAACTATACTACTACGGTAGAGCCCCGTCACCCCCCAGAGAAAAGAGGCAAGCGGAGGGGGCAATACGATGCTCACCTCCGGGCTCAGACAATTCCGTGGGGTCCTCGCAGTTAAATTACGCTCCAGAATCAGACTTATCTAAGAAGCCAAAAGAAACCGACTGGACTACCCCCGATATCATTGATGGCAACACGACCGCGCGGAGGAACCAGGTTTCGAAGCCCCACGGTCTCGAAAGTCTCTCAACAGACGTCTCAGGTTGGAGTGACCGACCAGGTCGTCATATGACGGAAGAAGATGCTCTTCACCAAGATGAAATGGCGATACGACGGATCGAAGAATTTCTGAGGGACCCGGGTTTCAGGCCAGCAAGTCAGAATGATTTTCAGGATCGAGTTTTGCGCCCAACAACGTCCGACCAAAGCAAGTCCCGTAATCACAGTACGAAGCATCACGTTTCGGGCTCTGGCACACAACACTTCTGTCCTGGTCCTGGGATAGCAAGACGGCAGACAGCAGATGCAAGCACAAGACATCATGAGTTAACTTCGAAGAACCAATTGGGTTCCCGTCAGTTAACGGCGCCCTTTTCGGCCCTCGGCTTTCACGAGGGCAACCCCAAAGAGCCAGGACATAGTTATCTCCCTATTGCCATCGAACCAAAGACGCAGGCTATCGCAAGCAGGCAATTATTTCAGGAACAGTCTCTTTCAGCCGAGTCGGAGTCTGAAGCTGAACCCCCGATCCTAAGACCAGCATCACGCAGCAATCTGGGTGACCGCCATGATTACAACAGAGGTCGTAACGACCAGTGGTCAGCGGGCCGCTCGAATATTGCGGCCTGGGCAGAGAGCATCCCGCAATCGGCTACGACAGCAACGCAGGGCAGTCGACAGCTCAGTCGGGGGCGCCAACCTGAATCTGTTCATCGAAATCGTGCAACGCCGAGCCGCAATCAACAAAGATCAAGGACAAGCCGAACGCGCGGAGAGGATGTTGACCTAGCACAATTCAACCTGATTGAGGAGTACCCGTCCGCAAACTGCCCACTTCATGGTTCACGGTCGGGTTCTGCCGCCCATAATCGCTCGCACTCTGGCTCCCACCATAGGTCACGCTCCGCGGCGCACCAGCGCCGGAGCTCGACGCGTCGGAACTTGGCGTCGACGCGTCGCAAGCCTGGGAGCCGAGATAACCATGAGCCACAACATCAACCGAACATGGATTTCTCGGGGCCACGATCGAACCAACGGCCGGCCTCGCGCCAAAGGCAAGATGATGATGCATCCCCAGCACTCAGGAAGGGTTCCAGTTCACGGAAGGCCGCTCCGCTCACTGCGAGCACGTCGTTGCGCCGCAAGTCCTCGAAACCCGATCCCATGGTTCCCCGGCACTGGAGTCAGTCCGTCGCAGTTCATGTATCTGATCAACGGTCGAGGAGAAACAAGAGCGACGTCAAGGAACAGGTTGTCCACATGAAGCCAGCGCGGTTGGGCTTACGCCACGGGCCCAAAACGCCTAAGGCCATGGTTCTTCTGCGCAATGACGAGGACGATGAGGATGCTGAGGCAGATGGGCCCAATAACCAGCCACATGATGTCCTTGTTGCCAGGAAGGAGTCTGATATTTCGCTTCTGTCTAGATCTCATAGCGCAGTATGGTAGGGCATACACGGATCAGGGGAAGAGGCTCGAGTCTAGGTCAATTGCTTGATGAATCTACGACTCAAGAGAACGGCTGGATAACATGCTTGATCTGTGTTTTGTCCCCTCATTCTCATTTTGCAAAAGGCTGGGAAGCAAAGATAGCATATTGGCGCCTGGCTTTTCTGCATTTGGCATTTGTTACACAAGAGTTCATTCGATGCCGGCTTCCATCATCCATGATGCATCGGCCCCCATAATCCCCGTCCAAGCGCCCTGCAACCAGCAAGCGGCCACCGCTTCATCGACTAGCCAATTAGGTTCCATCTACGGGGTTTTTCTGTGTGAAGACGACAGGGGTCCTGCATGTCGGCGGCCCGAGGCGGTAAACGAGTGGCCAGATGCAAGAGACGGCCCCCGCATCGGAACCTCCTCGTCTTCTCCCAGCCGCCGTCTTTCCTGTCCCGACTCTCTGACTGGTGATCTCTCATGAATGATGGGCAGCCCAGTGGTGAGCAGTCGCCCACTCAGCGTGGTTACGTCCCGTGGTTGATTCGATGGCCGTCTTCGTTCACACCTTATCACCCGCTGTCCCGTGCCGGTGAATCGAACCGTCCGTGTCACACGTTTGTTGGTTCTTCCATCTTCATGTTGTCGACATGAGATAAACTAGCGACGGGTTCCTCGTCGGAAGTGCCGGTTGCAATAAATCGACCGAAACCTGCATTTCTTACGCGCAGCCAACTAGTAATCTCAGCTCCTACGACATCTTTCCACAGACATCTCTCCTCGATTGGAGGCGGAGGTTATCAAGGCCGGCCTCTGTGTCATGTGGCACAGGGTTTGACCACTCGTCATTTCGCGCATACCGCTCGTTCTTGTTCGCTCAGATAGACGACGAGCCGGACTTACTACCGACCACTCGACATGGCTCTGAACTTCTTGTCCACGTTTGCGGCCATCATAGGCGTCGCAAACTCTGTGCTTTCTAACCCAGGCTCGCCTTGTGGTACGAGCTGTGGCAACGTACTCGACAGAACATCGACCGACGACATTGTTTGCAAGCAGGATGATATGGAGTCGACCGCAGGCGAATTGTTTAGCACTTGCCTCGACTGCCAACTGCAAAGCGACTATTCATCTGACGATGGTACAGATACCGATTACGCTCTATGTAGGTGTCTATCACTTCCCAATGACGCGACACATGGCTGACTAGTTGAAGACAACTTGCGCTACGCTTCTTCGTATTGCGTGTTTGGCTTCCCCGATGATGATCAATTAGAGAGCACTATTTGCACACAAACGTACGTCAAGCTCGTACACCACTCGTCGATATTGGTACTGACCACAGATAAGCCAAGCTTGCGGAAAGTTCCAGGATGCCATTCAGTTCGGGAACCTGACCAGAGAATTTGAATCGTACGAGTACTGTGCCATCTGGCCGGTGAACGATATTGAGCATTTCCAATACTGCGTGGACTGTCTCCATGGGCTGCGACAATACTCTGTCGCCAATTGTGAGCATTTCGGTCTTCATTGCACGCAATACATACTAAGTAGCTCAGTCATCACCGCTCTCCAAGCCGGCTGCGAACAGCAACCGCAGGAAGGCGTCAATCTTGGTCTCGATGGCGAAATTTTCTCCTCCGTAACTGTCAATATCACCGATCCGGACCCACGCGCGACCGTCAACCCCGAATGGTTCGATCAAGGCCCCCTCGACATCGGCGCCATAGCCGGTATCGTTGCTGGCGGAGTTGTCATCGCCTTGACAATTGCAGGTTGCTGTATCATTTGGCGCGGTAAGCGAAGGCGCCGAGCATTCCTGAGGAGCTACGAGGCCAAACAAGGACGGAAAAAGGGATGGCCATCACCCATTGAAACGAGCACGAAAGAAGTCAGTGACACGCCATTGAGTCAGCGACCGCTACGATCATGGGACGAAAGTCCAGCGAGTGCGCAGAGTGAACAGCACTTCCCGCGGTACTTCTCGCCATATTCATCACAATACAACAGTCCTGTCACTGGAAACGATGCTGTCCAGGCGCATGAAAACGCCTGGCCAGCTTTGCAACAGCACCTGCAGCCACAGGCTCAACAACAGAACACGACCAGAAACATTGGACTGGCACTCGGTGGCAGTGAGAGCTCGTCAGCCATAGACAAGACAAGCGTCAGAGGCGAGGCCTATGAGATGCAGCATGTCGACAATAGGCAGGCGGTTGATGGGAGAATCCCCACGCCTGGGTCCGAGCAGGAATCGTACTTCACGCAACAGAGGGGTAGAACGTACAGTGGTTCGTACAGGGAGTTCTCGTACAGAGGTCAGAGAATATGAAGCATCGGAGAGTATGCAGCGACGTTACAAGCATGGAGTCTAGGATCAATACCAGGAACTGATTTTCGTTGTGACATCTTACTTTCCGCTCCTTTACACTCTGAACAAGCATCCAACTTGCCGGCCAAAGTATTGCGGCGTTTCGGAATCTCAAAATCTGGCGTTATTTAACTTGCCTTTCCAAGCCATATACTGAATGAAGTTTTGAATCTTTGACAATGAAGTTCTCGCTGTCAGTCAAATGTCGAGGCGTGCTAAGTTAGAAGAACATTGAACTGCGTAGGGTAGGTTGGATCACGCAACGCAGACGCGTCGGGTGGGGGCACTTAACGCGGTCCCGATCGCGTTTTGCCTCACAGAGTACATCTTCAACCGCACACATACACTCACAACTCACAAGATGACAGTACAAAGAAGACGCGCGCGTACCCACGCGCATTCCACAGATGAAGCGACACCGTCAAATCAGGAGCATGAAGAGTACCAATACCTCGACTTGATCACCGACATCTTGGAGGAGGGGGAATTTCGTCCTGATCGGTCAGTGACAACCCCACCAAACATCAACTCTCGCCTAACACCCAAACAGTACAGGGACAGGAACGTACTCAATCTTTGCTCCGCAGCCGATGAAGTTCAGCCTGAACAAAAATGGCATACCCATGCTCCCTCTCCTCACGACGAAGCGCGTCTTCACCAAAGCCATCATCGCCGAGCTCCTCTGGTTCATCGCGGGCACCACATCCTCGATACCGCTCAGCGAAAACGGTGTGAAGATCTGGGACGGCAATGGCTCACGCGAGTTCCTCGACAAGGTCG